GAACAGTTTGGGTAAGCTGAAAACTAATTTTATCAACATCATATACTAAAGCTAAGCTCTTAAGTTGAGCAAAAAGAATTTGGGAAAACATGTAAAGATAAACTAACTTACTCCAAGTCTTGAAGTTCCACAAATACTTTCTTATGTTCTTTATCATTTTTAACCTCAAATTGTGTATAGTCTCTCTCCAAGAACCGTAATTCATAATAACACCATAGTTCGAAATAAGCTTTCTATCTCCTTCTCGAAGAATAGATTCAAACTTGGATATGCTCAGTTTCTTTGCTTGTGCTTCGATGGTTGATCCCTACAAATTGTAAATTCGATCAACTCGATCAGAATAGTTGCTTCATGTATGTTTTAGTGGAAGAAGACAACCAAAAAATTTTAAAAAGAAGCCACAGTAAAGATGAAATTTGGCATACAAATTAAGCAAATATAAAAGTGATAGCAAATGCATTTAATCAAACACATTATGATTATTAAAAAAAAACTCACAAACATTGATACATGAACAACAATGAATGTCAATAAGAAACAATTACAGAAAAAAAAATGTAAATTGACAAACAGAACAGCAAGCACATAAACACTTGTAATATGAAATTTCAATACTATTTAGAGATGAACCAGTAGAGGAATGGGAGCAGAGAGAAAAGATTAAACAGACGAGAGTAGAAAATACCTTTGAATCCGCCAAAATCATTTCAACAGAGGTTGTTTCAACAGGATTGAACTTATTAGATGGTTTCCAAACTCTCCTAACACGTACAAGCAAAGCTCCATTGTTTTCTGATGATGTGATATTATCAATGAAAAATTTGTCATACGTCATAGTTCTTCCTAGATTCATGATTGTTTATGAGTTTTATTTTTTTCTCTGATGTAGATAAACTTTTTGATGAAAAGACCAACGGAATTAGTATTTATAAAGAAGTCTCCACCTTCTGTCTCATAGACCATGATCCAAAAACTCACCATTATTAGGTATGTTTCAATTATGCAAATCAGATAATCGATCGTGTTGGAAGAACGTGAGTGATTGGAGCTAGAGTATGGAGACGGAATATCTCAGAAGAAAAGGAATCGTGAGAGGCCGTTTTGCGGTGATTCTGGGGATTGACTGAGGATTTTTTTAATTATAAAATTGTGGTAAGTAAAAGGTATTAGTTTTATTTACTGTTAACCTAAGGAGTAAGTAAAGAATTTTGAAGTTTTACCATGTCATTTACAATTGAGCAAGAATTTAATCAAAAAAAACTTAACACATCAGTTTTCATTATTCATGTGGTTTTTCCCATAATGGGATATATATATCTTACTATATTAGAAACAAAAATCACACTTAAGAGAAAGTACCACCATTTGCCATGTGGCATTTTCACATCATTATTTTAAAATAAATTTTTATTTTCACATCTCCTAGACTTGAAAGGTAAATGCAGTCTAAATCCACTTCCACCTCCTATTTTCGCCAAAAAAAAACCATGGGTTCATAAAAAAACCCAAATCCTCATCCCCATCTCTACCACAATGGACTCCCTAATCAATCTCTTCTCCACAATAAAAAAAAAACAAATTCCTCATCAATCATCAGTTGAGAATATGTGGTGAAATATACCCCATTCCAATTAGCATGTTCAATATTTTCATTAGTGATGATCAACTACATCCTAATCGGATAAAATTTCGACTTCAAAAAATATTTTTTTTACCTCTCTATATAAACACAAAGGGAAAAAAAATTCTCATTGATCTTGCTTCGGCCGTTGTGGTGGTGCAATTAAAGGTATTAAAATTTAAATGATTTTATTTTTACAGATCATTTGGTTGGCTTTTATTATTTTTTGTTTTTCCCATTCAAGAATAGTGTTACTATTATTTTTATGCGTCCATCCATTACAGCTACCGTAGCCATTGTCAGGTAATATGATGTGATTTCTTATATGATTAGTTAGCCTAGAATTTTTGTATGATTTTAGCTCTGTTTGGATTGAATTCATTAATTGGGTTTTTGTTATAAAATGTGGTTTTTTAAACTTTTTTTTATATTTCATTCAATTAGAGTGGTTTTCTTTTTTTAATTATGGAGTCTCGATATTTTTTCGTATATGGTCAGTTATGAAGTGTGTTTTTTCTTTATTTAATTACTTTTGATTTTGTTTCATACTTCCAGTTGACCAATTATTATTATTATTATTTTTTTTTTATTATTATTATTTTATTTGCAAATGAAGCGTTTTTTTTTTGTGTTCGGACTTTCAATAATATGCTTTTTTGGATTTGATTTTTGGACTTTTTTTAGTTTCTCATCATATAAAAAGTTCAGGTCGCTTCTTCTAATTAATTTATGGGGAAACCTTTTATGAATTTGAGGCGGAGAGGGAAGGAATGATGTTTCTACGTTTATTTGTGCTTTTATACAAATAAATTTCTCAATTTTTAATGGGCTATCTTTTAATTTCTTTTTTTTTTCTTTATTTGCCATGGTGAGGTGAGTTCTTTTTTGCTATAACTTGAAACATATGCAAATTTACATTATTTTCATTCTCATATTTGTGATGAACCAGTTTTAAAATCATATTTTTGATATTTTATTACCTATAAACTTTTGGAAGAAATAGTTCCAACAATTAAGCGTATACCCTTGGGATGAAGCTTACTACAAAACTATTATAAATCTCCAAAACTAAGTATTGATTTGGCACAACCAATGGAGAACATCAATAAATTATCTTACTAATATTTAAACTTATTGGCATGCTTTCATATTTTGTCTAGCATTTACTTCAAGAGATATATTTGATCAAGTTTATTTATATTTAAGAAATAACACTGATAAAACATTTCTAAAATCTTCAAACATTTCTAAAATGTACCGGACCAAATATAATTTCTTTTTATGATAAATACAAACATTTCTATGATCACACTTATAAAATATTTCTAAATTCTTCAAAAATTTCTAAAATATATCGGGCCAAATACAAAATATTTTTTTTCCAGATACAAACATTTATAAGATCTATAGATATATTGTGCCAGGGTCGCGCATTGCGCGACCAGACATCACTAGTATATATAGATATAGATATAAATAGATAGATAGATTATTCATGTGATTTTTACCATAATGAGATATATAGATTGATAACAAATTTTCATCTTCCATAAGAGAAAAAATAATTAATCGCATATTTGTTTGTATTTTAAAATAGTGGATTTACCAATTTTTCGGTGGGGTTCACGGAGCAATGGAAAAAAAAAAGTACTTTCACCTTTTGATAATTTGTATGCCTTCATTGTTTTGTATTATTTTCATTTTTATGGTTCGTTGGTATTTATTAAATTTTTTCTAACACCAAAATCTTCAATTGCTATATATGGATTATTTAGACAAATCAGACCTTTTTTTTAAAAAAAAAACTTTTCATAGTTAACAAAATAATCTAGCCATATATTTTATATATGCATTAGAAAATCGATGAAAAAAGTCGACGAATTTAACAATAACACCCGATATAGTAATTTATTGGATCGATTTTTCATTAGCACCATTGAGCATTGATTTTAAACTTGGTAGCTAGTCAATGGTCAGTTTACAAAATCTAAATCGAACTCTCGATACAGATTAAAAATATAACTGAAAAATTTCAAAATTTATTTCGTTCGACTTATTGTAAAATTTGCTGCCATTTCTTATTTATTTATTAAGTTTGAGACATGAAAACAATCTAACTCAAAATGATTGTGCGGCTTAGAGCGAGCGTGTACAACATAAATGTGTTTTTTACTTATAGTCATGTTTGATGGTGGCTGCTCGCCTGCTCCCATGAACCAATAGTTACTTCTACTTGCTAACCAATTAATCAGACTCGACGTAGAGAATTCATTAGACTACAAATACGTACTTTTGTCCCAAATCAAAGAATTTCCATACAAATAAACACCTTGCGACTATCATTTTGGATCCTGGTTCTGATGATGTAGCCGCCTCTGGTCCTTAACTGTGTGGAGAGATTGTTTCTAAACAAACGTCCTTTTCAATCACTTTCTCTACGCTTTATTAATACCGGACAATCAATTGAATTGGTTATTGGACATTTTCATTGCAACTTGCGGGGAAAAGTGGTGGCTGACGTATTCTACTCTCTCTCGCTAATCAAAACTCCTCAATGATTATTAACAATTTCGTTTTGGTAATAATATAATGATGATAGCGGTATTAAATTGATGTGACATTTCTTAAGGTTTCTACGTATTTTACTAAATCCTCTTGGATATAATTAGCGTATACATGTATCCACGTCACATCAACCCATTTTTTTTTTTTTTTGAAAAAGGCACATCAACCAAATTAAATAGGAGTATTTAATAATTTTCTCAAAGCAATAATTCAAAGTAGTAGGAGTACATCCGGATCGGGGAAAAAAATAAAATAAAAATGAAAGGGAAAAGGTGGCTCGAGGTTGCTACCATTGGCTGCACGTTGCTGGCAGTACAAACAATTATGCTGTCTTTCTCGCAAATAATTACCCCCCGAAATAGTAATACTCCTAACAAAATGAAAAAAAAAGAAGAAAGTTTCCAGAGGCTATTAAAAAAAACTGAAAAAAGAAACAAATTGTCTGGTCATTGACCGTGCTTACGTGGATCATGTATGGCAGGTGGCCCCACTATGGCCGACAATCAATTTTGAAAAGCGAAACAAAACCTCACCAGTCACCTCCTCTTTCTCTCTCTGTGTTCTTGTGATTCATATGTTTCACAGAGCAAGAGAAAATCCTACAAATTTACGTATACATCCTTTTGTTGGATTTTTTTCAATCCAATTGTAGTTTGGAAGGATTATGAGAGTTCGAGATCGTAGATTGGTGATAAGATTCCGAGGAAAGAAAAAAAATATCACGGAGCTCATAATTTGTGTTTGAGCCCATTTTTGGTTGTTGGATAACATTTGCCATTCTTCTGTAAGCTGATTCCTCTGGTCCAGGAGAATTATGGGGGTTCCTTCCTGGGACGACATCGTTTTGATCGAACACGGGAAGAATCCCGGCGACCCGACTGTTGTCACGGTCAACTGCCCCGATAAGGCTGGTCTTGGGTGTGACCTCTGTGGGATTGTTCTCGAGTTTGGACTCTATGTCACCCGAGGAGGTTTGAAATTCTTCATTTTGTTGCCAATTTTAGACTCCCTTTTTGATTGTTTTGAAAAACCGTTTACCGTCTTCTGTTGTTTGTTGGTATTGTTTTGTGTTGTTAGTGTTTTTTTTTTCGCAGTTCGATGATATTTATGAGCTTTTGAAAGATTGAGCTTGAAATGTTATGGTAGAATTCCTAGATTGATTGATTAATTTGGAGAAACTGACCTTATATTTTCTATCTCTGATTTCCCCTAACAACTTGGATAGTACTCCGATGCACCGAGAACTTGTCTAAAACAATGTAATTTTGAATTTGCATAACTTATTGAGCTATGTTCTTGTGTTCAACTTGGACAGTATCTCAAATTGACTTTATTTGGTTATAACACGTGTATAGAACCAAATTTCTTGTAGGTATAATCTTCTGGCCCATTTAGGTTGAAGACCTTGGCTTGTCGTTTATGGTCTTAATGTCCTCTTTGAATCATATCGGTTGATGAGGGTCTAATTCATTTATCGTAATTTTGATTGCAGATTTCACTACTGATGGGAAATGGTGTTACATTGTGCTGTGGGTTGTTCCCCGTCCAAGCTCTATAAAAATTGATTGGGATAGCTTGAAAAACCGGCTTCTATCTGCTTGCCCATCATGTATGATTTCTTTTTACTTAAATCAACAAACCGGTCCTTCGCCTCCTCCCGCAGTGTACCTTCTGAAGGTTTTTTGCTTGGATAGGAAGGGACTCTTACATGGTATGTCAACTCATCCCTTCTTGTTCTCCATATGCCCATTCTCCTTATATATTAACATGACAGTGCTTTGTTTTTCTAGATGTTACAAAACTCCTCTGTGAACTCGAACTAACCATTCAAAGAGTTAAAGTTATGACAACTCCAGATGACAAAGTATTAGACCTTTTCTTCATCACTGACACCATGTAAGTGATGCACTTGGTTGTCCAATGGATGCAACCTTTGTCATTTGCTTGAACCTCGGATGAGATGGAATTTTATGTTTTTAATCTTTTCAGCAAACCACTGATACTTTCTATGCTACAATCTAATCTGAACTTATAGATGTTTGTTTATGATCTTCCGTGGAAGTTCTTGATGGACATTCTCATGTCATGAGATCATCAAGTTTTGTTCCACTTTATATACAACAGAAATCTTGTCCCATTGCTGTTTTCCTGTATAACATTTCATTGTTTGAACTGATACTTTATGATCTCAGGAATTTGTTGCACACTCCAGAAAGACGGACTGAAACATGCAGGCATCTGGAACTTGTTTTAGGCAATTATTGTATCAGTTGTGAAATTGCACTAGCTGGGCCTGAATACGTCGGTCAGCAGGAAATCTCTTCTTTACCGCCAGAAGTTATGGAAGATTTATTCAGTTGTAATTTGTCCAACAAAGAGTCTTCTTCAGAGGGTGTCACTTCCAGCATGGCAAGAGCAAGAAAAAGCACAGTGACAGTGGATAATACATTGAGCCCAGTGCATACTTTGCTTCAAATACAATGCAGTGATCAGAAGGGCCTCATCTATGACATTTTGAGGACGTCCAAGGATTTTGATATTCAGGTATACATGCTTTTGCAAGTGTTCTTTAGTGATAATTTCTACTTTCTCACTGGACTTGATAATTCTTGTTCCCAAAAATAAAAAAAAACAGCCTCGGAAGCATGGACCCAAATTCCTTTGTTTTCTTCTGTATATGTACAGTTTTTTGGGGCCTTTTGCTCTGGGACGGGGATGATTTTCTTTGAGCTATCAGGAAAGCTGCTGCTTCTTTTTCTTTAAAAATATTTTTTCTAAAAAATGTTTGAGATTGAGTATTGCGGTTTCCATGACATTGAAGTTTCATGCTCGGAATCTTTCAGACTTTCGCTATTTCTTTCTTTCCCAGTTGTCAGTTCTACTTATGCTTTCATAGGGAACACTATTTATCAATGTTGCACCACCAATAGATCCCTCTTTCTTCTTTCATCTAGATTTCTTATGGAAGAATTTCTACTAGTGCCAAAGGACAAAGAAACATGGACCTGTTTGTTCAGAAAAAAGATGGCAAAAAGATTTTAGATCATGAGGATCAGGTTGCTTTATGTTCTCGCCTAAAGGAAGAGATGCTTCATCCATTAAGAGTCACCATTACCAGCCGAGGGCCTGAGACAGAACTCCTGGTTGCTAATCCTGTCGAATTATCTGGAAAAGGAAGGCCTCGTGTTTTTTATGATGTTACAGTTGCTCTTAAAGCACTTGGAATCTGCATATTCTCGGTATGTTATAAGAAAACACATGGAATTGCAGTTGTTATAGTTTGGGGTTTTCCTTTCAATCACTTTCTTTTCTCCCCTTTCATATCTTTTCTGTTTCAAGTTTGGTCCTTTTTTCAAAATTAAATGCCCTTTGGTTTATGATCAATTTGCAGGCTAAGATTAATCGGCATTCGACGCCTGATAGGCAGTGGGAAGTATACAGATTTCTTTTGGAAGAGAGCAGAAAATTCCCATTAGCCAGCAGGCGAGCTCGAAATGAGATAGTAGAGAAAGTCAAAGGAACACTAATGGGCTGGTTATAATGAATAGTCACCCGGTCGACTGACTGTTAAGGCAATGTACTTCAGCCATGCAATCCTGGTCCCGCGGACAAAGCTGCTTGTTGCGTACCATGAGAATGCACGTAGTACAAGAATGTCGAACGGCTGAGATAAATTCTCTCTTCAGATCTTACTCACCTTCCATCCCATCATGTTTTTACTGTTGTAATCCTAGCTTGTTTCTTCTTCCCGTAGAAAATTGATAGAAAAAGAGTTTATTGATCTTCCTTTGATTTTAGTTTGAGTGCTCCATATTTCTCCTCAAACTTCGTAAACTGCTAGATTATAAAGAGTAGAGAATGGAAGTCTAGTTAAATAAGCTTTAGTTGGAATAAACTCACACACAGAGCCGAGTGGAGAATGCTACAAGGATGGCCGTATTCCTCTCATGTTAGAATAAAGACCTAGCTTTTTTATGCACAATTCCGCACATATGCGAAGACGCCCAATTTCCCTAATTCGCTAGAATATGTTAGGAGTGATAGATGAAAGTTTGAAATCACTCAAACCTGCTGTTACGGAATCAGATTGGAGCATAAGTTTCAGTAGGTATACAAATGAGATCGTAATCTCCTAAATCCTAAGGCACCAACAACTCGGAAACAGAATTGTGAAATAGTATGTCAACATATCATATTCTGGAAACTAGCCGTTAGATTTTGGAATGGATCTGTTCCCTTATTTTTGGATGTTGGCCCAAAAATTCCTTATTTTAAAGCCCACTGATCTCAGCCCAATTTATATATCCAAAGAGCTCTCTCCTCAAAATCAACATGGTAAGTTAAAAAGCACATAATCATCATCAATTCATCTCATCAACCGTATAAATCACTGTTTATTTTACTTCACTTTTTCCCAGCGTTTGTGGACTGATAAAGAGAAGAAGTCTTTTTTTTTTTTAAATTTTTTTTATTTTTATTCCTTATTATTATTATTACCAGCGCTTGCCAGCTAATAATAATAATAATCCTCTTCCTTACTGAAACAATATACAGCTAATCCTCGCTCACTATTCACTGGCTGGGTTTACCGAAATTCAAGAATTTCAACATCTCCGATCCTTATCACCCCTAAATTTCACCCTCTTTTCTCAGTTTCTCTCTTCATTCAAATGCAGTTTCGAACAGATGCTGTTTTGAATCCAAAAAACGCACATTCTTTCCACCAGAAATCTCTCTCTGAGTATACCTAAACATTTTTCTCTTTTTATTTATGTATGTATAGGTACATACACAGCCTTGCTGCACACATAGATATATTTTTATATATACTTTTAGGTATCATCAATGACAACGAGCTTTAATAGTCCGACCAGGAGCCCTGCGAGCTCCAGGATACAATTTGGCGGCCTTGGCAGTGTTTCTAGGCTGAGATCTTCCTCCCTCAAGAAGCCGCCGGAGCCGCTTCGGCGTGCCGTTGCCGATTGTTTGTCTTCTTCGGCTCCATCGAACCATGGGAGCCCTTCCTCAACCGCCTCCGAAGCTTTACGGACACTTAGGGTGCGCAATTCGAACTTTTTTTTTTTTCGTTGCTCAATTTGGTTTCTTTCTAGATCTTATAGTGTTTAAACTACTCTCGTTTTGATTTATGCCGTTAAGAGTTCGGGCTACGTGGCTGTTTGTGGTGCTATTTTAATGTTGGACTTGATTATGCTCATATACTGTTAACTGAAAAGATGTACTCCGCCTTTGAAATGTTTATGTGCATTGGTAAAGATCGGAAATGTGTGGTTGAATGGTGCAATACTTTTCTAAAACTGATATATTTGGATTAATGTAGTTACGGTTTTTGTCATTATGAAAATATGTTCCTCATACTGCAAGGGCATGAAGCTTTCCCACGCTGGTTGATGTGTAACACCTAAAGGGAAAAAGAAAAGGAGGGGGAGGGACGAAAGACAAATGAAGTAGGAGGATAGAGCTTATCGTTGACTTTGTTGCTTAGGCTTTGCATTGACACTTTCCTCGATTTGAATGGAAAAGGAAAGGATAGGTCGTAATCTTGCCGTTATGCTTATTATATGGACATAAATGAGTGGAGCGTGCTTCTTGTTCTGTTCATTAATTGTCAAATTGTTGCAGCGACTAGCGACATTCCTTTAAATATTTACCTGACAATTTCAGTGCACGCATCTTATTCAATATCTTAACTGTGACACTGGCAACTGAAATGGTATTGAATTTCCAGATGTAACAGGGTTATTTGTATCAATCTGATAAGTAAGCCAAAAACTGGAGTGCACGAATTGGAGGCAACTAAAAGTTTGAAGTTATTAGGACTATCCTTCTATAAAACGGGGATTTGTAAAGATATTATACATGGAAAAGGGAAGAAACGCTATAATGGCTGCAGCTGTCATCTTAAAAATGTTTTCCATATTCTTGTGAGGGTCAAATTTTTTTGTTTTGTCTTTATTATTTTTGCCTGAAAATGAACGGCAGTTGAATGGTTTATGATTTCGTTCTAAGTTTGCTTTTTCCTAAGTGCCATTTTTGACTTATCTACATAGTTTCTACTTTAGGTAGTTCTTGCAGTTGTAATTGCTGTATTTTAAGTTACGTGTCTTTTGGGGGGGGGGAAATCTTTGGTACTTTGGTTCTTTTGGTCCCACCAAGTTTGTTTTCGTGGTTGGAGAAAATTCATTAGGGATTGGGGTTTCTCTGATGTCCTTCCTCACATACCGATATGAAATGAAATCCTTCAATCCCAAGGATTTCGGGCTTCAATCGAGAGCCTTACTTGATATGTGAGCCTGGAGCCCTCCATAAGGACTTCATTTTTAAGAGTCGGAAATGGATGAAACATTATGTATCAGAGCAGTGGGCAACTAGAATACCAACAACGATCAAAACGATAGTAATAGTAAATAATAATGTTCAGATACGTTTGTGGACACATTAGACTTGATTGAATTATTAATGAGCAGATTAAAAGGGAAGGATATTTTAAAGATAAGAAAACAAGAGAGCCTTGTTCCTGGGTTTTAAGGGTCTATATCAGCCCAAAATAGTGCGTGGGAACTAGGGAATTATTGGCTCAGTTTAGAATAGGGGAGAAGTTTTTGTTTCTTTTCTTTTTTCTTTTCATTTTTTTTGTGTGAAGGAAGGGGGGGGGGGTTGGGCTGGACAGAGTCGGTGCTCTTCAGAAAAGGACTTGGAGAGAATTTATTGGGGAGGCATGACTCGAAATGAAAAATTGATTGTTACATTAAACCTGAAGAAGAGAAATAAGTAAATATGATTCATGTGGGCGAAGTCACATAGTGGGGATAAAGTTTACTTATTGTCGCAAGTAAGCCTGTCCGTTGCTTACGCTCGAGAAGATAAAGTTTCTTATACATTCAATCTGTTCCCTTTTTTACATAATTACTTGGAAAAAAATGCATTTTTGTGTTACGTTGCATTTACCAAAGCATCCTTTTCTGCAACAAGTGAGTGTATTGTGAGGCAAATTGTAAACATGAGTTAGTTGTTTGGAAATCGTACTATATAACTTGCTGGAGCATTTGGGACATGCCGTGGCAGAAATTGTTAAAGGTACATTGGAAATAATTTAATACTTTCTAACATGTCTGGCAATGTCAAGCATTCCTTGTTTTCTAAATGTCCTTTCTTTAAATTTCATATTAGAAAATGAAAAGAGCATGATATTAGATTTCCTTTCTCTCGTGTTTGATGATATAAAGCTTTTTTAGATGGCATTTTTCTTTCTTGATTAACTCTTTCGAGTTACTTTACTTTGCCCTAAAGAGGGGTATATTGTTTGTTATCCACATTAGAATATGAGGCACATCATAGCTTTTCTTATCAAATTCCTCGAGTGAGTAATGTTTAGATTGATTAATTCATGATAGGCCGGATAATCTACATGCAGGATTATTTGGCTTCAAGTTCAACAATTGATTTGGCTTATGGCGTGCTTTTAGAACACACACTTTCTGAAAGGGAACGCAGGTATGTGTACATCTAAATATTTTAAGTTGTTACTGTCATGAAATGGTCTTCATGGCTAAGGTAGAAATCATTTGCCTTTTATCCAAAAGAAGTATTCTCTTTCATGATTTTAATTTTTGTAATATTCTTCTGAAATAAATTCAAGTTAGACCTCAGGATTTTGTGAAGGTAGGACTTCTGATCTCGTTATTGTTGTCACGATCTTACTAGTTCACACTCTAGGTTTCGGGTTAATTGTGGATTACACAATTGATTTAATTATGAACCATTAAGTGCGTCTTTTTCACTTGCACTTTTTTTACCAAGGGTATTTTCTGCATTCTTGTTGATTCTCATCCAGTGCTGAGAATTTTAGGTTCATTATGATCCTTCAGTACAATTTTGGCAGAATATGTGTTGAAGTTGAGGAATATGTACTGAATTTCTCGTTTAATTTGGAACATTTACCCCGAAGAAGTGCAGAAATTGTCCCTTTTTTCCCCTCCGAATATACGAACCACCAATCAATCACGGAGTCATATTCTGGAATAAGCAATCCGAACAGTTGTAGAAATTTACATTTTAGGACCTTTCTTAGCCTTGGCCCTTGAGATAATTTATGAAAACCATGGAAGCTGTTAAAAGAAAATCCAGGAATACATTCAACACAAGATTGACTGTGTAGAAAAAACTCATAATAGGTGAACTGTTAAGAATCTCCCATGCTTTTGAGGGTCTTAGCTTCTGATCTCCAAGGTATTAAAATTGCGGCTTGTAATCTGCATTATGTTGAATCAGCTGAAATTGTTGTTTGCTCCTCTTTGCCTAAGGGTGTGTAGGTGGAATAAGATTGCTTACAGTAGATATTAAAAGGAGGTAGCGCAATGTTGTATGGCTTCACATTTAATTTCTCGTATTGCGATTAGCCATACTGCTCTCTTCTTTCATGCGTGTTTGGGTTTATTTTACTTTGTTACAGCAAAATCCTTTTTGTCATTTCACTATAGATGAGTGAAGGTTCTGGATATCTATGCTCAAGATTTGCTATGGCTCTGTTATGATCTCTAACTCAATGTTACTTTGTTTGATCAGCCCAGCTGTTGTTGCAAGATGTGTCTTGCTTTTGAAACGGTATCTTCTAAGGTTAGTTTTACTAGTTGTGGATTAGCATTATATGTCCTTTGAACACTGAATTGAAAATACTTGATGTTCTGTTTCCTGTAATGATGGTTCCTTTTTGTACTAATTTATTTCAATCGGTGGTTGTTATATTGTGTTATTTTTTGCTAACTGTTTGATTTGACTGCTGAATGTTTCAAGACTTCCCCACTGTTCTTGTGTTATTTTCTTCCTAAAATACTATTATGTGCTGCAGATACAAACCAAGCGAGGAGACATTGCAGCAGATAGATCGTTTTTGTGTTAGCATAATTGCTGAGTGCGATATAAACCCAAATCGTAAAGTAGCACCCTTGCTCGGTCCTTTAAGTCAGCAATCTGGAGCATCCACTGTGTCCGCAAAACTTTCTCCTCTGCCCGTGTCAAATTTTGCATCGGGGTCTCTCATGAAGTCACTAAATTATGTTCGCTCTTTAGTTTCTCAATACATCCCAAGACGATCTTTTCAACCAGCAGCTTTTGCGGGAGCGCCTTCTGCCTCAAGGCAGACACTTCCAACCTTATCATCTCTATTGAGCAAGTCTTTCAATTCCCAACTCAGCCCTGTTGGTGGTACAGAACCTTCTGAAAAGAAAGAAGCATCAGCCTTATCAATTTCAAATTCGTCAATTCCTGAAGAAGTTGATGGATCAGAAAACCATGAGTACATTCCCATTGACGTTTTTAAATGGCGGTGGTTTGGAGACCAACAATCGTCGCTTCTTTCAGCTAAAAGGTAGTTAAGCTCTTTAATTCTATTATGGAGGCATTATGTAGTTATTTCATTCTTTGTCTTACAAATTTAATTGTTCCCGAATGTCCAGTGATCATGTTTTGAGACCCCAAGATGTCAGCGCACATAATTTTCTGGAAGTAGGTGCAGCTGCTCTTCTTGTGGGAGACTTGGAAGCTAAAATGAAAGGCAAACCTTGGGGGACTTTTGGGACCGCTGAAATGCCTTTTCTCGATCAACTTCTACAGCCGTCCTTGCTTACAACTGTAACAAATTCTGCCGCTGCTCATGGGCATCTAAGAGCAATAACAACATTGAAACGCTCAAAGCCTGGACCTCAACAAATTTGGTATTCTTATGCTTTCTGTTTTTCTTAATTCTTGACCATGTCCCTTCATTGGATTTGTCAACATGGTAACACTTGTCATTTGGCATGTATAGATAGAAGTTGTGTTGTTGCTTCTTGTCGTAAGTACAGATTTTTGTTTTCCTGTTTCATGTCTTTTGTGTACATTATTGAAGAACAAGAGCGCAAAGGGGCTGGGTTTCCACGACTACATAGAATGTACATGCAAACCCTTTCTTTGGGAAGTAGACTCTCTTGTATGTGATTCCAGAACATAACAATATGAATGTTGGCACAGGCTATTCTTTCAGCAAGATGTGTATTTCGTATCTTTTTCTTTTACTGTATGTTGTATTTAGTTATTTATTTGTTTATTTTACATGCAAAGTTTAAAGTTTGAATGTTCGTCAATGTTGGCACCTCAAGTTTGTACAGTCACTAGTTCATAAAAAAGTACTAATTTAGACGATCTTTTATTCGGCTTGCTATAGTTCGTATCCGTTTATTGGAAATTCTGACTTGTTTTCTCAGAATTTTATTTGAACTTCCTTCTTTGTTTTCCAGGGAAGATACTCCATTGAATACTTTTCGTCCCCGAGCAAGGCCTCTTTTCCAGTATCGCCATTACAGGTACATAGAGTAAATTATGGGACTGGTTTTCTTAAGATTAGTTGCATGCACACTGATGTCATTTATTCATATCTTCTCTGTCATTACAGAATATGTGATTTCATATGTTTACTTCACTTGTAAACAATGAAATTGATAAATAGTTTAACTTGTCTCATCTGATGAGTTATTTTCAACACTAGAAATATTTGCAAAGTTCCTGTATGTCATTAGAGAAACCCTTGGATGTTGCTCCAGCTTTTAAAGAAATTTGTATATGAATGAGGAAATTTGCTGATGTGTTCTGATTCAGAATTTAGATCCCCTGGCCTCGCTTGGTTAAATAAAATCGGTTTACTTCTATTTTGATCAATAACTTTTGCTTTCTATGATAGACATTAATTGTCCATCCATTTATCTAACTCTCTGATATTTTTTTGAAATCAGTGAACAGCAACCTTTACGTTTGAATGCCGGGGAGGTATGTGAAGTTCTTGCTGCAGTTTGCACTGAGGCACCATCTCCAAATGCTAATGCTCTGACAGTCTCATCCAAATTAAGCAATAACAGTGGAAGGCCCTCAATGGATGTGGCAATGAGTGTGCTTGTTAAACTAATAATAGACATGTAAGGCTCTGCTGCATTCTGTTGTTTGCTTGTTGAATTAAGATATACAGTTCTTATATTGTAACTTCTCTTTGTCTTATGCTTCTTCTAAAGTCATTTAAAGTCCCTTTGTTGTCTGCCAATTTGATTGCACCAGTTGGAAGTGTGTGGTGTTACATGTCATACCATTGTTGATTCATCTAATTCTCAGCTGGATAAATGGGTCTAATTAGTATCTGTAAGCTGTATGTTTGCTGCTCACGTATGTGTCGTGAATTGAACTGTGTTTTCACCTTCTTTGTTCCTGATGGTTGCTGTTAGTTGTTTTATCCTTGGTTCTGAATCATAAACACTGAATTTGTTTTGTAGGTATGTTTTGGATCCTGAAACTGCCGGTCCACTTACTCTATATATGCTCGAGGTGCTTTTTTCATTAAGTTTTGGATATGTATAAAATTTTGGGATATGTTTTCATGGTAGTGAAATTTGATTGCAGGAAATGCTTAATTCACCAAAACTGGTGTCCAAATCTAGGGCTTTTGATTTGATTCTCAATCTTGGTGTTCATGCACATCTATTGGAGCCGCCACCACAGGATGATCCTGCATTGATTGAAGACGAATATTCTCAAGAACAAAATTTGGACAATGAAGTGCCACTTCCTTCACAGGGAATGAGGAAGATGAATTATCTTAAGAAAATCGGAAGTTCTTTAGCTGTTGACAAGTTTGAGTGCTGGATTCTGGGTATTCTCTCTGAGGTTCTTCTTCATCTCGTCCAGGTAAGTTAATTTTCTGGACTGATGCTAAAGTAGTGGCCTGCCATTCAAACATCCAACCAGATTTTAACAAATGTATTATTTTCTCAACAAAAAGAAGCAATGTATAAGAAAAAAAGAGGAAACAATGAATTTACAGTATTTTCTGATGGTGTACAATTTGCAAGACGCATATTGGGATTGTTTTTTCCCCCATATGAATCAGTTCTATGAGGCAAGTTTTTTCTTGAAAATCCTGAAGATTTTTTCTGGAAAATCCTCAGTATTTAAGTGTTTTCTTGAAACTTGTGAATAGCTTGAGTTGCTTAATGAGGCATGTTTTACAGCCTTGAACATCAGAATTATGGGATAATTTTGATGTTTTACTTCTACCGTCTTTCTGCAATCGCTTAAAGATAGATTATCTCTGTTGGCAAAATCTACCCATTTTCTCTGTTAACTTTTTTTCAGTAGTGGTAGAGGAGTGATAATTCCGTATCACATGCAACTATGGGTTTAGCTTGTTAACATAGGGCCCTTTTTAGTGACTGTTCTGGTGTATTGATCGTATCATCCTCATGATTTAATTCAACAAAATACAAAACGTCTTTTATGTCTCACATGATAATTACAAAGTGTGGAGAGCATGTTACAATAATCTTAGGAAGTATATAGCATTCTATAGGGGCTCCTGGTATCATTGCATGTCAACAGTTGTCAATGATCATTTTATTTAAGAGGTCAAAAGAATGCTTGAGCAAGTAATTCAGTTTCACTAATGTAGCATGCAAGTTCATTATGCCTGGTAATGGTATTCATGATCCTTATTTTCTTTAACAGTCCTTGATAATTGCAATGCATTGCAGGTTGAAGAGAAGGAAGAATCTATCTGGGCTTCTGCCTTGAGCTGCTTGCTTTATTTTGTCTGTGATAGGGGCAAAATCCGAAGGTCCAGATTGAAAATACTTGACATACGTGTAAGTGAACTTATAAGAGCCTTTGTTCATGTTGTCTATGATCTTGTTAGAGGACATGAATGCTATTTATCAAGTTTTTATTGTGAATAAGTTCTTCTGTGTTTTTTTTTTCCATGAATTAGATGAAAGTGTATAGTTCTAGAAAATTCTGGAAATGGAAATACTTGCAGAAAAAACATAGTTAATTAGAACCAAGTATAGAACCAAGTATCCGCCACCGCATCAAACCATAAGGATATTATTTTCATCTGGTTGTATCCCCTCTGTGTTAATCGATGTTTTCCTCACATTTTTGTGACACGTATATTCTCCTTTCTCCTAGCTTATGTGAATGAAGAGGATTGAACAAGACATGAAAAAAAACGAGTTGTATCGATTTCTTTCTGGTATATTTATAAATATTGTGATTCATACTTTCTCTGGAACATTTTGCTGTTGATAAAAGTGAAAAAAGAACACCAGGCAACGTATATTAATCCGTTTCTGGTCTTTAGGTTTATCTTGATTTATATGTTTCACGTGTTTTATGATGCCTGGGTGATTGAGTCTGTTCTCTCTTCTCCAGATTGTAATATGGGTGTCAATTCAATTCAGTTACTTTATGTTTGTCTTTTGGGCAGATTATCAAGGTCTTATTGAAAGTTAGCCGGGAACATTATTGGGCTGAGGTCGTTCGAAGCAAGCTAATCTGCATGTTGACAAACATGTTTTATGAAGTTACTGATGGATCTGGTAAAGGTGCTTCGGCTAGCCCACTGCATTTCATCGAGCAGGTTGATCTGATCGGAGGAATTGAGTTTATATTTGTTGAGGTAAGTGGATCTAATTATGCCCTGCATTACCTGTTTTTATTGGCTGTAAAATCTTTCTTTCCTTGTTGGAGAAATCATTTGTCATCCTTATTTATGTATGAGTTTTGACCTAAATGTGTTCACCTAGGACCAGACTGGACAGAACTATTTCCGGTTGGGAGGAGTGGACAAAAGTATCTCTATCGGGGTTGCGAAATCCGAAAGTAAGGGAATTTCGGATTTCGCAAATCCAAAAGTACAAACACAATTGGATTTCCCTAACTCAATTGAACTCTCAGATTTGCGAAATCAGATAGATCATAGATGTTATTCTGTCCCAAAAAAAAAAGTAAAATTGGACTGTCCATACATAATTTATTTAATTTATTTTTTTTCCGAATCACCCATCTATGCATTGCATTTTCTCAAAATGGTTGATGGCCAAGGGAGGTGCATCTGATCTTTTCATCCCTATACTGAAGTTGCGTTGTTATATTGGAAAGCGCTTACTAACGGGATATGTTGTCAGCTCAATTATTGTTGGTTTTCAGCTGAAATTTATCATTGTGACATTTTTTACCGTATAAATGCAGTTAGTGCTTTCAAACTCCAGAGATGCGAGGAATAATTTATATCTGGTGCTATTTGATTATGCCTTGCATCAAATAAATGAAACATGCGCCACAACAGGGGTTTCTGAATATAGTGACGAAGAGATCCAACCTATTGCTAACTTGCTCATGTTGGCTGATGCTGCCGAGGCATTACACATTTCTGTCAAACTTGGTGTTGAAGGCATTTTGCAGCTTTTGAAGAGATCAGTTTCTGCTGCATTGTTGAGATATCCAAATAGTGATAGACTAGTTGTGGTAAGAATGCTTATTGTGGTTTTGAAGTTTCTATTTTGTTGATAAAGTGTTCAATTGTGGAAAGCGACGGGGAATACTCTCCACTATTCCAGTACTCTTGACAAATGTTAACATGTTACTATTTGTTGGCAGCTGATGGAGAAGATCGTTGAGAAGTTTGATGCACTTATAAGATCCTTTACTCATGTGGATAAAGAATTTGGTCATATGATAAAGACAGCTAAATCCTGCAAATTTCTGGAAAGCATCGACAGATATCAAATCAGCCACAGCAACAAAGCAAAGCTCTCTTGGGCCACTTTACACTCTCTACTACATTCTGACATACCCCAATATCGTCATCATGGATATCTGTGGTTGGGTGAATTGCTTATATCTGAAATTAGTGAGAATGGTGAAATGAGTATCTGGTCAAGGATTCAAAACCTGGGGAATAAAATTTCCCTTGCTGGTGTTAATGATGACACAGCTGCACTGGATGTACCTTTGCATGTTTGGCTTCTATGCGGACTTCTAAAGTCGAAAAATAATTTTATTAGATGGGGCTTTCTGCATGTCCTGGAGAGGCTTCTTATGCAGAGCAAATTCCTTTTAGATGAGAGTGACGTCAATCCTGCCCCAAATGTTGAAGCTGCTGGGCATGGAAATGACAATAGCCGTCTTGAGAAAGCTAATGCGGTCATTGATATTATGAGCAGTTCCTTGTCTTTAATGGCTCAGAGAAACGAGACCGACCATATCAACATATTGAAGGTAGATCCTCTCTTCCCACATTTTGCCTCTCTGAAATGCTTGCGTGTGAGTTTTTCATGTAATACTATGATACTGAACCCGAAGCACTGGTTACAGAAGCTTAAGCATACTGTCTTTTTTAGACTCTTTCAGCTCTGCCTTTCCAGTGGCTGCACGGGATGGCTAAGGAACCTAATTGTCCGAAAAATCATCAATTGGCAAATATTAGGCAATGTCTTAGAATCTGGCCAGTTGAAATCAAGTTTTTCACAGCAAGAGTTGACCACTATTTATTCTAGTGTCGTGATGTAATTTTTGCAAAAGCACTACTACAAACTTGTTTTCCTTGATTTTCTGTTACCATTTAACCTGGTGGTTGATAGATATTGCAGTCCAAGTTTCTCCCCTCCATTCTGGTTGAGTTAATTCTCTACTCTAAATTTCCCCTTTCCTATTTGTTTTTCCTTATTCTTTGGACTGAAAGTGAATACTCAATGCATGACATGTGCATTAGAAACCCTTTTCTTGGGGCAGTATAAACTTTTTGAAGCATCAAGATCTTAAGCTAAATCATACCTAATGCTGCAAATAACCCAGAAGCCAATATTTATAACAAAACTTTTGGGTCAACATGTGCTTCTGCGTCACTTGTCTTGCTATTTATTTATTTATTTTTCCCTCCTGCAAGTTGATCCTTATCTTAGTTCGTTCTGGCTGAATTGACTCAGATGTGCGACATTCTGTTTTCCCAATTATGTTTGAAAGTCACGCCTCCAACTGCAACTCCCCTCGGAGATGTTATGCTAGGTGATAAAGATGCTAATGGAGATTGGTACCAAACAGCCAATGCAGAACCTTTATCTCAAAAGGAGAATGATAACTGGGAATTGTCTTCTGGTGAAACTAAGAGCAAATTTGACCAAAAGAAAAGTTCCTTGGTCGAAGAGACTGCATCTATGGCAGCATTGCTACTTTGTGGGCAGGCAATTGTTCCCATGCAATTGCTTGCTCGTGTTCCTGCTGCTTTGTTTTATTGGCCTTTAATACAACTTGCAGCTGCTGCGTCAGACAATATTGCTTTGGGGGTTTCCGTTGGTAGCAAAGGAAGAGGAAATGTACCTGGTGCAACATCTGACATCAGAGCTACTCTTTTGTTACTATTGATTGGCAAATGTACTGCAGATCCTGCTGCTTTTAAGGAATTTGGTGGTGAAGAGTTTTTCTGGTAAGGGTGCAGCTCTACTTCCCATGGATAAGGTTCATGTTTTTTCAGATATAATTATTAGCAGCATGTTTTTCAGGGGGCTGTTGGATGATCCTGATTCAAGGATAGCTTATTATTCTTCAACTTTTCTTCTAAAGGCAAGTTTACTACTAGTGCTTCTGACCATTATATGCAATCTTATATGAAAAGAGTGCTCTCTAATTTGACTTGAAAATGCAGAGAATGATGACTGAAGAACCAGAAAATTATCAACGAATGCTTCATAGCCTTGTTTCAAGAGCTCAACAGGTACAATTTTATGGGGTTCTTAGGGAAATATTTTTTTATCCTATAATGTTAACGAAGAAAGTAGATAAGGCAGTTTTGTTTCTGCCGTCTCGATCTTTTTCGATAGTAAGAGCTGTAGAAAACAATCAGAAAGAGCAAAAAGTTAGTATAATTACAATCATTGTCTGTAATCAATTTGTAACTCGAAGGTAAATATGTTATAAGTTTAATACTGACAGGGTTTTAGCAGAAAAGTTTTGGAATTGTCCTGGATTGTTTTGATGGATATTACCATGACAAAATCATCTTTTGCTATTAATTTTTTCTGGGGCTTGAATTTGCAGAGTAACAATGAAAAGCTTTTAGAGAATCCCTACCTCCAGATGCGCGGTTTACTTCAGCTTTCAAATGAGTGACGAGGGTTTGCACCAATTTGGCTCGAGTTGAACATACTGCTGCCCTTTGAATCGATGTACTCTTCAAAGTTTTGTGGTGGGTAATTGCTGCTGTATTTTTACTAACAATACAACATGATGCCTACATTTTAGTTGTGCATCGAGAAGTAGCAACCTGAGGAAGTCATGGCCAAATGTGTGCTTGAAGAGCCATTTCAGTGGAGAGAGCAAAGAAATTCATGCCACCCTCTTAGTCTTAGGGGAGCTCCCCTCAGCTAACAGGATATGTGAGGCCTCATGATGGGTCAACTGGAAATCTTATATTTCGAGCACAAGATTTAAGAGCATTGGACCACTCAGCGGCTGCATCGTAGACCATCTTGAGGTGATGATCTTAATATCTTGTGATTTGTGAATCGATTTCTGATTTTGCCATCTCTTGCTAGCCTCATATGCACATCCTTTTGAAATGAAATGTTTGAATTGCATGAAGATTTGAATTGAGAGCATAATATCTACTGGTGATCTTTTGGGGATTTGCCTTTTTTCAGTCTGTACAATTTAAGTACTTCAATACATCCCGGGAACTTATGTATGGCTTGTTCATCATTGTGAACCGAGGGTAGTTGACTTTTACAAAGAAGAGATTTTGTGGATCATCCCTGCAGAAAAGTTGTTCTTGGCTTAATTTTGAGCTTTACTCTTTTCAGCTCTTCCCATTATCCGGAGGAATCATGCCTGACTCTGGGATTAAATTGGTTGCTTTTCAATGCATGTATTCAGTCTCCTGGTTTCTGATGGTAGCCTGTAAATCACTCGAGCATGTTGAAGCGGCCATTGTTCTTTACTCAATAGTCTGACTGAATTCATAGGGGAGGTTTAGATGTGGACAGGCTCGCTCGTGGAATGGTAAATGAAGATTCAGAGTTTCATGTCGTGTTCCTTAGTTCACTGATGATGTCTGTTTTTGTAAATGTATTTTTTCGGGGTGATCAAGATAGGTAGAGTGATTGTCAGGTTTGTAGATATGTGATTTTGGTTTCCATGCTCATCCCCCAATATTTTCAAAAGATGGAAGATCATGTTGCGATAGTTGTAAGATAGCTGTTGAGAAATTTTGGCATCCTAACTTGTAAATGGTGGATTCAGATATCCGCTTTGTAACTTTTATCTTGTGAGTACTGACTACTGATTGACATCACTACAGTGAATCTGATCGTAATTAGCAGATCAGAGAGCTAAATTCCCGTGTGATTCTGTTGATATAAAAGTTGCAGTTTATTTGCTTAATCGCTATTTATTCATTAGGAGCCTCACTTCGCTAGTGAGTCATGTCTTTCCGAATCTGTTAGGCGGGAGTTGAAGATAGTAATAACTCATTGAGGCATTTCTCTTTTAACATTCATTTCCTAATTCTTTCATGTACTCTGGTTCTGTTCCAGCTCTTAACATTCAGCAACGAGTTTATCTCAGTCAAAATGGCCAGATCCAAGTTAACAACATTGACTTTTCGACCAACAATCTTGTAGTAGAAAACTAACTTCAGAGACTGGAAAACTACTCCATATAGATAAGGCGTTCTTATAAATCTATAAACTAGTATGGCCAGTGACCCGACTTCTGAACTCGAACCACAAATGACAGAATTCAAAGCTAATCACTCAGCCAAATTGATTATACTTCTCTAGATCAGAGTCCAGAGCTTCAGCTGTAACCATTGCACGACGTTCTCTGTTGACTCCACTTGCGTGACCACGGCCTGGTCCTAGCCTATCTCGGACATTGCTGGAATAATGAGAAACGTTAAATGAGTCGCACATTATTATGATGCTAATGCACATTCACTGTGATAAACTTCCTCTGATGTATATAGAACTGAGGAGAATAAACATGTAGTACAGCCTTACCAGAATCATGCAAGCCAAAAAAGAAACAAGACAATGAATATGGCAGCGTTGCTACTTTGCCCTACTCGCACATGATGAATAGGGTTTACTTTGACATACTTGGCGACTTGTATATAATTTGAATTCACTACATAGTATGAAGTATGAACATTTAGAACGACATCTTGATGGCCAAACGCAGGAGTGACAGAATCTTTCTAACATGTAGTATCTAGGCCAAAAATAATTGGATGGATCAAATTTATTGTTTTATGCATCACCATGTTCGATTAACTCTCAAGATACTCTCTATCGTTCCTCTTCCTCTCTTTTCCGAGTGACAACTGTGAAGGATGAGGTAATAGAGTTGATCATTCTTGTAATGAAAGTGCAGTTGTACATACCTTGAAAAGGTTGGTCCAACATAGCAGTGATCAACTCCTTGAGAAGAAGCAGATGTGTCTCTTATAAGCTCAATTTTGACAGGCTTCCCATCAAGATTCACATTATGATATCTCCTGATGGCTGTTAAAGCATCTGCATGCTGTGCATATATCACCTCTGCCGTCCCCTGAGAAATTCAGTAACTTCTTTACCCAACAGAAACGGTAGAAATTAACCAAACATATAAAGATGTATATATACCCTAGATCTTCCAGTACTGTCACAATGAATTGCACATCGCTTGAGCTCTCCAACATCCGAAAATAGAATCTGAAAAACAGATGTCAACAAAATGGTTAAATGAGCAATTCCATTTCAGACTCATTACCATTCATGTTCATGTTTCATCAACAACTATTACCAACAGAACTACTTCTACCTCTTGGACACATTGTTGAATCATAATAAGTGACGAATTATGCAAAGAACCCTCGAGCTTTATTAATGACAATGGAAATATCCGCGATCAGGTAGAGCGCACACATAATGAACATAAGAAGGCACCCATATATGGTTACTTAGAAGCTACTTAAATTGGCTATGGATTTTATAGGGAGAAAGAAAGTATTAGAGAATGTGGTTTGATCCAAGGAGAGGTAATGCAACAATTCTTCACTATGGAATAACAGGAGTAAATTTTGATTTTAGCATTCCCAAAGTGTAGCTTATAGGGAAAGATACTAGGGTAAATACAAAGGCAGGGAAAGGTATTAAACAGGGCAAGAATCACAATCACTTTGCAAAGCTATTAGCTGACAGTCACTTGTTGGTTGTTAATTAGCCTAGGCAGAAATTGGATTATGTATCACTGACTAAGCAAGTGATTGCAATTCTAACACGGTGTCACTTAATTGCTTCATCACTCTAAACAAAGCAATGGATCCAAAGGCATGTCTAAACTAAGTTGGCCTTTGCCACAGGACGTATCTAGTTTAAGATTAAGCTACATACAGTGTTAAGATATTCTACAAGGAGATAAGCAACTTAAGGGGGGGAAGAACTCTAGTCTGCATAGAGCCAAAGACAATTCCAGTCCCTTTACAAGAAATCAGCTGTATTTCATTACTTTCATCTTGAAATCCATTGTTAAACATCTAAAATAAGGAACATTTTCTTCATACGGGACGTACACAGAGCAAATACCCATTTAATCTCACTTAATTTGTCATCAATGGATGTGACTTATTAAGTAGGAATCGACTTATTAAGTAGATCTTAGATTTCAACTTTCCAATTTCCATTAACAAGAAAATAGAAAAAGAAGAACAGGAATCCTGTTACAGGAGGATGATAGTTAACATTCCTTCCTAAAACCGACTCAAGCAAAATTCGAAAACGACCTGTTCCCAAAATCTCATAAAGCAGCATGCAATAAGTTCAATAAATCTCATAAAAGCAGCATGCAATAAGTTCAATAACAAGACTGTCGTACTACGAGCAATATATAACTTCACCGCTGGTTCACGAACGTAGAATCGATAATGAACTGAAAACTTACCCTGATGTCCCGGTCAGTAACCCCAGAATCCAAGTTCGAAACGAACAATTTAGTCTCAGCATTATGGACACTTCCATCCCCATAACTCGCCGGCGCTTCTCGCAGGCGCAACCTCTGCATATCATTCACACATTAGTCCAAGTTTTTTTTAACACCGTATAAATTGTGAATAAAAGTGAAGCGACGAAAAGAACAGAGGTATGTAACTTTTACCAGTGGGAGTGGAGGGAGAGGGTAAGGCGTCGGTCTGACCGGAGGTCTTTCCGGCTGCCAACCGGTGAAACGATCAGAAGAAGCAACGGCAGCTCGGAAACAACCGCCACGCCCCCTGGTATTCCTGGCGTAGGCGTTTGGGTTGGCATTTTGATCTACTCGAGGCTTGCGGTTTCGCTTGATGAGGTCATCCAGAGACATGTCCAGAGCTTCTTCCATTTTTTTTTCGCCTAACTCAACAGAACGGAATTGTTCAGAGCAAAGCTTCTCGCCGGAGCCGGGAGGGGGAAAAAATCACGTGAAAACTGGAAAATGTGTAAGAGAGAGTTCGTACTGTTTTTCTCTTTTTTTTTTTTTTTTTTTTGCTTTTACAGCTTCACTGATGATATATGATAGTACATTGATCAGATATTTTTTTACTTTGTGTGAATTACCTTCTTGCCCCAAATTCCAATTTCCAATGTTTATCTGGATTGGTTACACAGCCCCAGTAAAAATGATTTTATTCAATTTGGATATACACGAAAAAGAAAAGAAATATACACTGGACAAAAAATTTGAGACAAAAAAAGTATAAACATTAGAATTCATTACATTCTTTTTGGTGTTTTAAATTTTTATCAGCATTTTTGAAGGAACTAAACCTCTAAAAGTAAGTGATAGATGTTTGTAAGAAAATACCATTCTTTTTCGTGCCAATTCCATGAGCTATTTGTTTGGAAAGTAACAAAATACTCCTTCTATCTCAAAATTATTGTTTTGTTTAGTTTGAGATTTCACTTTTAGTACAATTTGAACTAGAAATGAAAGTTCAAACTGAACAATAATTATGAGACGGAGGGAGTACAAAAAACTTAAAGAGAATTGTAATCATTATCCCTTTTACCCTATTAAAGCAGAAAACAGGATGCTAATGTGTCAATTTCTTATTAAAATGTTTTGGCTCCAAATGCACCATATTGCATAAACCATTCTGCCACGTGTCACCTACTTTTAAAAACAAAAAATATATTTACAATATGAACGAAGAGATCAGATGGCTATGCTCATACAAATTTTCAATTTGACAGTAAATGGAACTTTCCTTCTCCACTTATTTAAGACTTTCGAAAAAATTAATTTTTGGTGTCAATCAATTATTTTCATCAAAAATTAAATTCATTCATAATTAGTTTTAATTATTTACATATCAATTTATTAGGTAGGAAGACTCCCCCGGGCATTTGGGGGGGGGGGGGAGCATCTAGTAATAAATTATATAACCAAACAAAGTGAATAATCCTTAATTCTATGCAATTAATTCATTAGAATGAATGAAAACTCTAGTGTATGATATTTCTGTTTGAAAAATCAAAGAAAGGAAAGAGTAACGGAAGTGGGGACCTGCCGGCGTGGCAGCGAGAACATTCTCCCGATCGAATGACGACAAAACACCCTAACTGAATTCCCAACCTTTTCGTATATTTTCATAAATAAAACCAAAAAAAAAGAAAAAAAAAATCAGAAAGGATTTTGCATATTAACCGCCAAACCAAAACGCAGACAAAGGGATGAATATAGAACGGGGAAAAAGCGGTGAAAATAGAGCTATTGCTAAAAAAGTTAAACGAAGGAAAAGGGGGAAAAAGAAGCGCGTCCGGAAAGCCACAGCGAGTAATGAAATGGCGGAGAACCACCACCACGACGGAGGCGACGATACTCAGATAACGGCGGCGGAGGAAGTTGAGGTACTCATGACGACGGAGGAGAAGCTTCCGGCAGTTCTTAATTCAGACGCAGGGGAGGAGGTTCAGGCGTCGGCCGGAAATGAAAATGAGTCCTCCAAAACTAAAACCAGAGAAGAAGGCGAACTCTCTTCTTCCGAAGACAACGTATTCTCTTTGCCTCTCCATCCATCTTCAAACTTCAAACCCCTAATTTTTTGTGGTTTCGGTTTCGCTCTTAAGTTTTGCCATTACTGTTTATTTTATTACTTTTTTATATTATTTTATATTATTTTTTGCCATTGCACGTCTCCATTCTGCTACACTTTGCTTTCTAGGGATTTAAAAATAAACTAGGAACACGGATAAGCACCAGCTGTTGGCTGCATTTTTTTTTCCTCCCCCTAAATAATTTGCGATTTTTGTTCAGTTTTGTCTCGAGCTTTTTGTGCTCCTCTAATATGCTGTTTTTCTGAGTACAAATCTATTTGCCATTGCTCTTATTAATTCCCAGTCCACGCGCCTTTACGTTTATTGTTACAGAGGAGAGAGAATTTGGCATATTTCACTCTTCAAGGACTAAATCTGATCTTACAGGAAATTGATGCTACTGTTTCCACATCTCAATATGCTTCTGGTGGTGATACTGCTGTGATGGAGTCGGTTCAAGCTTCTCCCATAAATGAAACCATTCAGGATAACCAGGCGGGTAGGTTTTACATTTTTAATTGGCAGATAAGTTGATGTGGAAAATTATGTTCATGGTTTTGAGTAATTTATTATGTAGCAAACTGAGCCACTATTCTTTGGTTGTTATAAACTAGAGGCCTTTATGTGGAGTGAATGACTAGTACTGCATGTGTGTATAGGAAGTGCTTCGGCTTTCCCATTTATAGGAGATATTGAGGCTTTGATATTTGGATCCATTATCACTGAGCTTTTTAAATGCCTGTGAAACACTTACCAGGTTTTGAATTCCGCCTAGTGTGGCTTCATAATTTTAGAAAAACATCGGAGGCTTGTCCACGCGATTGTATGTTTTATTTCATCACTCCTCTCTCTTGGTCTTTATGTGTATCCTTTTTGTTATCAATGACCATATATTGTTACTCATATGAAACTGAATTTGTGCATCTATTTATGATACTACCTGAATGCTCAGGCAGCTCCTACATTGAGTCGGTTTTTAATATTTCTACAGAACAGTGTGACCCTGTCAAGTCTGCCCCCGTGGTTGGTGTAGCTTCTGGAGCTGCCCAACATGAAGTAAATGTGAAGATCTCTGAGAAGAATCGAGAGCCATTTGTTCCTTTTGTTATAAGGTTTTCAGACGACGAGACCGGCAGTGATTCTGATGATAGTAAACATACTAATAACAAAACTGAAGTCGACAAGGAGGGCACAGATAGAAATGTTACGCAACCGGTGCCTCCTAAACTAGGATCAAAGAAGTTGCAACAAAACATGACCAAGAATGCGAGACCGATTCGCAAAGAAGTGCCTTATAGTCGTCCGCCTGTTTCTAAATTGACAAAGAATAATGGATCGATTCAATGGAAGAACTCTCAAAAGTCTAGCTTTAGAAATATCAGTAACATTCGAGGTCAAGCAGTCCAGAATCACATACCTGCGCGGAAAACAACTTTGAATCCTGATTCAACTATACAAGAGCTGCAAGATCTAAGAGACTTAATTGCCCAGCGAGAAAATGAGATTAAGCTCAAGGCAAGCCAGCAAACCAAAAATTCAGTTGGATGTTCAAATGGGAATGGTAAACTTGGGAGCCCTGACAACCATGTGGATAGAGTGCGCAAGGCCACTGTTTATGATTTACGAAGTGAGTTGGATGAATCAAGCAATAAGCGTCTTAAAACTGGAGAATTTCAGTCTAGAGAACTAGCTTCAGACGAGGACAATAATCTTCACTGTCTGCAGCCTGTTAATGCATCTGGAAATCTAATGGAGAAGCGGGGCACTGTATCAGCAAATTCTTATGGCGCTAAAGGGGGTAATTATTTAGACTTCCCCCCTATACTTGTATATAAATGAGGGAGAAGAAGTGTAAGTAGGCTGACAAGTAGGTTAGCATTCTACTTGGATGTCTGTTGATTCTTGGGTTATGGCCTTGCAGGTAAATCTGTTCTCGCCAATAGTAATCAGGGAGCTATGACTGGTAAAGGAGTCGACCCTGTTTCTTTGGTTAGACATACCGGGAGAACAGAGATGGGGCCTGCTGGAGATTTTTCAGTGAAACCAGTGAGTAGCACATTCTGGTCTCTTCTTTCTGTTGCTTCCTTTGTTTTAGCTTTTATAATTGCACTGATTTATGTAGCCCGTTCTGGATGTAAAATGCTAATAAATCCAATATGTAGAATAGATTTCTACTCGTTATTTCTGTAAGAAGAGCTGGTTAGCTTAATTGAGAAATTAGGAGTCTTGATGCTATACAATTTTCTTTGGTCTACGGGAGTAGTACCCAGATTTTTCTTCGTGAATGTTGCTCCTTTATTTGTGACTACAGAGCAGAAAATTTGCACTCTATAATGTATTATCTGTGGAATTTTCTTTGTAAGTGTGGGTTTGTGTGTTATGAAATCATAGATATTGGCTTCTTTTCTGTCAATAATTTCTTAAAATAACTTGGAGTTTTGCACCAAATATCAGAGTCGAGGGCTACCGATGTCGGACTGGGATTTGGTTACATCTAGTTCTAACTTACAAGAAAGAAACATTAGCAATACAGATTGCAACATGGTAAAGGAACTAAGGACAAATGCTAGAGCTCAGGAATCTCCTCCAAATTTGCTCAGTGATAACCAGCAGGTTAGATAAATATTTGCATGCCAAAACTGCAACATGTTTGCTTTTCAGCTTTGTATGTTGACTCATTTTTACTCTATTTATGTTTCAATAGGAGGCGCAACTCGGTAATCCAAGTTTCTTCAATGATTTGAAAAAAGTGAACTTGATGGCTAATAATGTCACTGATTCACGGTCACTACTGGACTTTGAGGAGTTGCTAGATAAGGAGATAGAGGAAGCGCAAGAGCATCGGCGCAAATGTGAAGTGGAAGAAAAAAGTGCTCTTATGGCTTATCGGAAGGCTCAGAGAGTCTTAATTGAAGCTCATGCAAGATGCTCTCAACTCTACAGCAAAAGAGAATTATATTCTGCACAGCTTCGATCTTTTATGATGGAGAACCCAAATTTATTTTTCTCCCAAATATATCATGACCATGTGGAAGCTGGATTTAAATCCTTAAGTAACGTTTCTGATGATAACGTGCCGCCAATACCACCAACTCGCCATCAAGTTTTGTCTGCTGATATTAACAACAAATTTGGTTACGAGGCTAATGTATCTCCTGAGAATAATGAAGTACAGAAGGTGTTGAATTTGCATGTAAGTGAACAAAACTTGGTTTCTGATCCTCACCATGAACCTGATGGAAGTCCATCAAAGGTCTGTAAGCAACCTTTAGCAGATGATGGTGCCTGCTCTTCTTTTGGTGATTTAAGTCACTCATCTACTGAGGATGGTGAGATAATTGAATCAAATCACAAGTCTGCTCATGAACATTTAGTCTCTGAAGGAGTATCAGAAATTGATGCGGCAAGAGAAAAAGATATATATGAAGAGTCTGAAAGAGAAGGTCAAGATTGTTTGCTGCTTGAAGCCTCTTTACGAGCACAACTTTTTGAAAAGCTGAAGGCAAAAAGATTCTCAAAAAAGGGTTCAAGTGCTGATCAGTTTGTGGAAAAAGAAGACGAAAATTATAATGTGGGAGAGATGATGGAGACTGATGCTGACATGAGACAGCCGTGTGAACCAGAGAATGATGAAAAACAGCTGGCAGAAGGTATTTCTCTCAAGGATTTCATTGTGGTCCCCTGAGTATCATTTTCATGTCTTTGTTAAATTCTCGGAGAGGGCCTGAAGTATGATAATATATTCTGTCCCTGCTTATGTTTTACTCCATTTATCTATCTGCAATTTTGGTGTTATGTGTGTTCATGTTGCAATCTGCTCTGTTTCCAGAGTCTAATGGATCATATCGTGTTCTGAAGTTCAGGAGTGTGTGATGTATATCTAATATCTGTCAATTATTTTAGTTAACCTAGTTTATCCAATGCGTATGTGGTTGTATGATTTTTCAGAACTAGATGATAGCCGGGAAGAAAGGTTTGCTGAATTGCCCAACCAGATGATCTTCCCGTTAGATAGTTCAAATACTGAGCATGATTCGTCTACTGAGGTTCCTTTACATGGGCACATTTCCTTAGATGTTGAAGAAAGTACTTCTGGTACCTTCTTTTTCCCCGCAGTAAAGAATACATTCAACCATCTGAAGATCATTGAACGACATGATGTACCACAGTCTGCGTGGACAAGTCCAGGTGTACTTATCTCCACCAGTGATGAGAAAATTGAGGATGGTGGTTTCCATAACAGAAACAAGTTGGGTGTATGGAGTTTTGATATAATGGATTTTTCTGTTGGACAAAGTGGGTCTTTTTCCCCAGATGCTGTTATTGATCCAGTCTGGGCATTGTGTATGTATGAACTCCGAGGAAAATGCAATAATGATGAATGTTCTTGGCAGCATCTCAGAGACTACTGCGCCAGTTCGAAGCTTGAAGCCAGTGATAATTCTGGTAAATCTACTCTCGTATCAAGTCAAATATAAGATTCAGAAAACCCTAGTAATCCTTTATGAATTTTCCTGTGTAGATACTCAGTTCAGAAAGCAGTCGGGAAAGGAAAATTTATCTAGTACTGCACGGCCTAAGAAGTCTCTGGATGATCCTCTTTTAGCTCCTCCTACTTATTTTGTTGGCTTAGACATTTTGAGACTTGATTCACATCTTGGTACATCTGCCTCACCTCAAGGTTATGGACAATGCTGGCAGAAGAATTTCAGTGCTTTCCTGGTTCTTTCTAGTCTGTGTCCAACAGTATTGCAATCAAATGAGCCATTTTTGCATGGTACCGAGTCTCGAATTGAGGTGCAGAGCAGTTGGGATAGGCAGTTGAGTTATTTTCAGAACAAAATTGGGACTCCGGTTTGTCAAACCATTCCTTTCCTTTTTTGGTAGTTATATCTGAGTCTACCTTCGTTCATTGACTGCTTTGATATATGTCCATCGAAAGAATCAAAATGCATGGTTGCAAGATGTCATTTTCTCTTTCCATGTTTGCCAAATGAAGCCATTACTTCTAATTGATTGTATGCTTGTTGCTTGGCGTATAACATGATTGCTGCTCATCTAGTCTCCTAAATTCTCTTGTACAGTGAGGACCTACATTTCATAATTTAACTCTTACTCTAGTGAATAGAACATTTCATGATTAATTTTACTTTAGATTAACTCCAGTTGTTTATCCATTTTCCTCTAGTTTGTTTTTTCATTTCTCATTTAGCATATTTTGGAAGATTTTCTAAATAATAATTAGCATTATTCTTTTTCCTTGCGATGACTTATTTTTTTACATTGTGGCAACCTAGAGAAAACATGATACTTCTGGTGTGGAGCAATCACTGGAAATGGCCCTCCATAATTTGAAGGATGAAGCTGATAAGCATAAATCCATGGTGGAGGTACTTTGGTGTTCAGTATTTGCTGTTAATTTTTTCTATTTTGTTTCAGATTCCATATAGGAAGCCTATTTTGGATAAATTTTTTTCTTCTTTTTCCTTTCTTCTCTTTCTTGGAAAAAAAATGCAGGCTGTTGTACTTCTGGCACGAGCTATTGAAGATGATCCAACTTCTACGGTTCTGTGGATACCTTACTTACTGATTTTCTATAGTAATCAAAAGTCAAAGATGAAGGATGATCTGTTCCAATATGCGGTATGTGGCTTGCTTTTATTCCATCTTATTGAACGGAAAATTTTATGGAGAGTTCTTTTTATTATGCCTTGATTTTATTGTTGCATCATGTTCTGTTATAAAAGATGGTATATGAGCCGTATATGTATAAAGAAATGCATGCCAATGCCAAAGCATCTCGTTCCAATACAAGTATTAGCTTCTCTGGCCTCCATCTTGATTTGCAATCAAATACCCTGTTCTCTTAAAAAAGATGTGGAGACGGTCCTCCTCATCTAACTAGTCTTTATTCTACCTGTGTTCTCCTCTCCTCTCTGGCTCTTCTCTTCCCTTTTTCTATGTTCTACTGCATATAGAACATACAAAGGTGCAGTGTGAATCCATTATGATAAGTAATTGGTGTTTTTACATTTGAGGATCTTTCGACTTTTTTCACCTTTGACATTTTAAGGAAACCAAAGTCACTTGATTACCTAGTGTATTATGTTTGTTCTCTAGGTTTCTCGAATTTATCAGTGCAAGTAGTTAACGGATGTTTCATTATTTTTCTAGGTTAAATACAACGAAGAATCTTATGAACTCTGGCTCTTATACATTAATAGTAGGGTACATCTGGAAGACCGGTTAGCTGCGTTTGAATCTGCACTCTCAGCTCTTTGTTATCATGCATCTAAGTCTGATGATATCTTGCATGCGAGTCAATGCATCTTGGATATATTTCTGCAAATGATAGATTGCTTGTGCATGTCGGGAAATGTTGGTAAGGCAATTGCGCAAATCTCTGAACTTTTTTCGTCCACAAAGAAAACCGAAGATCACTCTCAACCTTCACTTCTTAATATTGTTACTTGCCTGACCATTTGTGATAAATTCGTCTTCTGGATCAGTTGCGTGTATTTACTTGTATACAAGAAATTGCCTGATCTTGTGGTGCACAGATTTGAATGTTGGAAAGAATCTTCTGCCATAGACTGGCCCTCAGCTTGTTTAAGATATGATGAGAAGCAGCAAGCAACGTCACTGTTGGAAACAGCAGTGGATTCACTAGAACCTTATGTGAACCATGAATCACTTGGAGACGAAAAAAACCTGAGGGCAGCACACCTCTTTGCTGTCAACCATGTTAAGTGTATCTCAGTCCTTGAGGGTCTTGAATGCGGTAGAAATTTACTTGGAAAATACATCAAGTCGTATCCATCATGTTTAGAACTAGTTTTGATGTCAGCTAGAGCAGAATATGAGTTGGCGAATTCTAGTTTTCATGGATTTGAAGAAGCTCTTAGAACCTGGCCGGATAAAGGTGGGGTTCAAGGTATCTGGAATCAATATGCTGCATTTGCTCTTCAGAAGGGAAAACTTGATTTTGTGAAGGAACTAATGGATCGATGGTCAGGTTCTGTGTTAGAGGCACAGAATTCTGAAAAGGTAGTTTTGAGCACTAATGAACCGAGTCTGCAATCTGCTTCAGCAGCAGATCTCCATGCTTGGTTTTCCACTTTTGGCCCGGTTGACACAGTGTTTGGAATGCTGAATTTTTCACTATATAAACTATTGAAAAATGATCACACGGAAGCCCACGTTGCATCAGAGCTGGCTTTCAAAGCAGCCACTGTTGATAATTATCAGCTTTGTCTTAAGGAATTTGTTCCGTTTTGGCTTAGAGATTGTATCCAACATGAAGGTGGTGTTTATCTGAAGAGCATAACGAAAATTTTGCATGTTCATCTAGTTGACAACAGGGCTCTGCTTCTCTCCGAGCCGCTGTCTCTAGCTTTTGTTAAAAAGTTGAAGAAGCCAAGGGTTCAACAACTTGTCAGCAAGTTATTTGCTCCAGTTTCAGCAGACTTTTCTTTGACGTTCATGATTCTTGAAGTTTGGGATGGACTTTCCATGTTACCGAATGTTTTAGGCAAAACAAAAGATTTTGTGGATTTTGTGGAAGCCATGATGGAGATACTGCCTTCTAACTATCAACTGGCAGTCATGGTCTGTAAAGAGTTGTGTAAGACCGCCAAATCTACCAACATCTCCGCTGGTCTACATTTCTGGGCAGGGTCTCTCTTGGTAAATGCATTTTATCATGCTGTTCCTGTAGCTCCAGAATTTGCATGGGTTGAAGCGGCAGAAGTCTTGCATGCTCTGACAGATTCTCGGAGCATTAAGGAAAGTTTCCTCAAGAAAGCTCTGACGGTGTACCCATTTTCGGTCAAGTTGTGGAAATCCTGCCTGCATTTGTCAGAGAACGAAGGAGATAGGGAATTGGTCAAGGAAGCAGCTAAGGAGAAAGGAGTTGAGTTTTGACTAATTTGTACATGAAAAAAATATAGGGTTGTGGTTGCTTCTGGGGCATCTGCTGAAGCAAATTTTGGGGAAAGTTTTACAGATATACTTTGGCAACCTCGGTTTTGTGAGGATTTGGGTTGGCATCACATGTGGTGTAAATACTGAAAATGTCTGAAGAGGTAACTAGTACATGTATACTGAACTACTGGAAATTAGTGCTTTTATCTTCTATCATAGTCTAGATCAGTTAGGGTAGTGTCATATTTCTTTAGTTTTATCTGTAGTGAAAGATTTGGAGGAGTTTTTGGTGTTTTTTAGTACTGTGAGTCTGTGATGGTCAAAAGTCAGAAAGGTAGTTTATAGGGCATGTAGGTATAGCGACATAGATCATCATGTGTATTGGACGTTGTTCCCAGTTTGGATATTCTTGTAATGGAAATAGTGCGCGCTTTAGAAATTGCAGTTGAAAGAAGCATATCATGCATAAATTACAAGACCAAACGGGAGAAATCCTTCGATGCCATCTGATTCCCGAGAAATTCTTTCATTATTAAATATTTTAATTTTGTAATTTATTTTTTGTACAATTATTAAAATAAACAAACAGAATGTACGAGATATGCATAATCTAACTTTCAACTGTATGCAATGTAATAGTACTAATAGATTAGTACCTTTACCATAATAAAACATGTATTTTTAACAAAAAAAAAAACAAGACCAAATGGGAGAAACTACTGCAAGTTCCAATTCAAACATGACAAAGTCGGCTCTTGTGTTTACATCATTATTATGAAGTAGCTCGCTCAAAATGAAGGAATGCCTGAATTTCAAATTGTAGCATTAACAATAATAACAAAGCATTAAAAAGTCACAACTAAGTTTTTGCTAAGTACAATCTTGATAGTTTTGAAAAATTTGTATTGCATTCAATAGTTACTGAGTTTTTTTTTTTTTTTTGATACAATAAAAGAGCAATTCCTGTGTAAAATTAGATCAGGACCTTAGTGGAATCCCCATATAACAATATGAAAATGATGTAGTCAGTTTTAGACGTGTGTATAAACTTTTCCCTAATCCAGATAAATTATGCAAACACCCGAAAATTGAAAAATAATAATCCGCGCAACCCCCGACAATTGGTTGACACTAATAGCGGCTTTTTTAACCACATCCGAAGCGACTAAGGAGGGACGGGGTTAAAAAGGTAAAAGGGCCACAACGACCACGACCAAAAGTTGGCCGCCAGGGTTTTACACTCCCCCGGACCTTTTTTCTGCACTTATTGCTGTTAGAAGTAGGGTTTTTCTTGCGGGAGTAGAGAAGAGCTTTGATAATCTAAGGAAAATGAATAATCTGAAGCTCTCATGGGAGCTCCCTGCGAAGCTTGAATTGCAATCCGAGGATGAGGTTGTTCAGTTCTCTGCGTTCGACGTGGAGCGCAACCGCCTCTTTTTCTCCTCTTCCGCCAACTTCATATACACCACGCAGCTTCCATCTTCTCAAGTAAGTCTCTCTCCAAAACAACGGCTTTCTTTTGAAGATTTCTGTATTCAATTACACGCACTTTGTCGAATTTTGTGCCGTGACATTATAGGCATTTCAATTTAGTGTTGTGTGTTTGTAAATCTGTTCTTCTACTGGCTCAGCTACTAGACTCTGTTACCATTCTAGAATCTGAATGGAACTCTATCCTTATTTAAGGAGCTCGGTTTGAGTACCACAAACTGGCACAATCTATTAGGTTGCAGAACCAAAGTTCCTCCAGTTATTGCTCGTTCAGAAAGTCTTTTCCCTCCAAGATTTTATAAGGTGGTTTTAACAAATCCCTAGAAAGCCAATAACATGCTTTGTAAGAGGAAAAGTTAGAAACCTATAGATATTTAATTCTAAGACATAATTTTTTGAAGCTGAATATGTGTATTTCCAGAGACTGACAAAATATGATCCATATAGCGGACCTTACAGGGGGAGATGGAGGCTAGTTGTTATGAATTTATGAGTTCACTAAAGCCGCAACCATTAGTAATTTTGTTTAAGTGTTTATTACTCTGTATTTTTCTGAAAAAGATGGATTTAAATGTTCTTTTATGTGTGGCTATTTGCATATATATTGCGTAATGGTTTAGACATTGCCTAATAAGCAACTTATTGTGACGGCAGGAAGCCACATGGGCATCGAATTCTTTCTCTGTCGCTGTTGAGCCTATCGATTTAGAACCAGGGGACTATATCACTTCCTTGGATTATCTGATGGAGAAGGAAGCATTGATAGTTGGAACATCTTATGGACTCCTATTGCTTTATAATGTTGATGATAATGTCACAGAGGTCGTTGGCCGGGTAGAGGGTGGTGTTAAGTGCATTTCACCTAGCCCAGATGGAGATTTGCTCGGTGTAATTACCGGTTTCGGTCAGATACTAATCATGACTCATGATTGGGATCTGTTGTATGAGATGGCTCTTGATGACCATGCTGAGGATGTTGACGTACGTAAGGACTTCATTCCTTCTTTTCTTCATTTGGTGCATGCATCATACTGTCTCGTCATAGATTGCTGGCCACACATATTTTATGCCTTCTGCAGATTTTTGAGAATTGAGATTATTGAGACACATATAATATCGATGCTTGTGTCTCTTTACATTTTCGATTGGATTGATATGTTTAGACATCAGGGAAATATATCTAATTTGGAGAATCTGTGTTATCATTTTACTGCTGGCTTTTTGAAACATTAGGAGACTACACGTCTTTCTAATAACGCATAAGGAGGTCTTGAATTAAGCATACTTGATTTGCTGCTTCCCTTCAGTAATACTTGAAAATGAGATCAATGCTCTTGTTGATGAACTATCTTAAGTTCAAATTCTTGATGATATTATCAGATTCGTCAAGAAGGATAAGAAATCAGGTTGTAATTTTAAGGAGGAATAGTATAGTGTTGACCTTGTTATAATTCCAAAACATGATCTCAAAAGGTAACTATCAGTAATTATCAGATATATCAATGGAGAAACACAAACATTCATACTTTTGTACTTCTTTTGCGTTCTTCTTTTTCAATGTTTCTCTGGACACCTTTAATGGTAGTCAATCCTCTGAAAGTAACTGGGTTTTACTAGTCTTTTTCAGTTTTGTTTGTGACTTCCATTTAAATCATATTTGTTTCATTTTATGATACTTTGCGAATATCTTTTGGGGGGTTTTTTGCCCTCTTTACTGCTTGCATAGAATGTGAATGTTCTCTTTATGATCTGTAGTGTATAAGATGATAAATGTAAGTTTCTCGATTAGACCTTGTCATTTTTTCCCTTCCATTGATGTTGCAAAATCATTTTAGTATATCTTTGATACAATTAAGCTTGTCCTGATCTCTTAGGGTTCAACTTATTTGCAGATGAACCAATTATTTCTTCCAATTATTCATGTGAGAGTCCCATCTCATGGCGGGGCGATGGGAAATTCTTTGCAACATTGAGTAAGGTGCTTGACTCCTTTCCCTCACAGAAAAAGCTTAAAGTTTGGGAACGGGATTCAGGTGCCCTTCACTCTGTTTCAGAATCAATGGTTTTCGTGGGATCAATTTTGGATTGGATGCCTAGTGGGGCAAAAATTGCTACTGTTGGTGATCAGAGAGAGGGAAAGAAGTGCCCATCAATAGTTTTCTTTGAAAGGAATGGATTACAAAGAAGTTCTTTTAGTATAAATGAAGAAATCGATGCGAAAATAGAATCCCTGAAGTGGAATTGTAATTCTGAACTTCTTGCTGCTGTTGTTAGAGGTGGAAATCATGACTCTATTAAGATTTGGTTCTACAGTAACAATCATTGGTATCTAAAGCATGAGATCAGATACGTAAAGCAGGATGGAGTTAAATTCATGTGGAATCCGGTAAAGCCACTGCAGTTAATTAGTTGGACTTTTGATGGTCAGTTATTAATACAAAACTTTAATTGGATCACCGCTGTCACAGACAACTCATCAGCATTCGTCATCGACGACTCTAACATCCTTGTAACCCCGCTTGCTCTTTCTCTCATCCCACCTCCAATGTCTTTGTTCACCCTAAGAGTCCCTGCGGCAGTTCGGGATCTAGCTTTCTTTTCTCGGAATACAATGAACAGTTTGGTTGCTCATTTGTCGGATGGAAGGTTGTGTGTTGTAGAACTTCCAGCCCTTGATATGTGGGATGAGCTAGAAGGCACAGAAATCATAGTTGAGGCTGTTTCATGTGATTTTAGATTTGACTCTTTGATGCACTTGGTTTGGTTGGATTCTCATATGCTTCTATGTTCTCATTCTGGTGTCAGTCAGGGGAACTCTGCAGCAACAAATATATCTGGGAAGTATGTACATCGTAGCTCTTCTTATTTACTGGAAATTCAGCTTAGTTGTTCTGAAAATCATATACCAGGGTCAGTAACCAACTCAGGCTGGCAAGCGATAATGTCGAATCCAATTTCTCTTGAAGAGCAGGTAATTGGTATCATTGCAGACCCCCTTCGAAGATTTTCAGCTTACATTCAGTTGGATGGGGGGAAAATAGTGCAGTATATGTCCAAGTTAGGGGATAATAGATTGATTCCTCTTCAGAAACGTGATGACATGTGCTTCTCAACAACATGCCCGTGGATGATTCTGGCTGTTGCGGAAGATTTTGGATCACGAAAGCCCTTACTTCTTGGTCTCGATGACAATGGTAGGGTTCAACTGGGTGGAAGGATATTATGCAACAATTGCAGCAGTTTCTCATGTTACTCCAGTGCGGCTAACGGATCAACCTCACACATAATTCTTTCAACCAAGCAGGATTTGTTGTTTATTGTAAGTATTGATGATATCCAAAATGAACAATTAGATGCAAAGTATGACCGCTTTCTACCTGTTTTTAAGAAGAGAAATGAAGAAGATGGAAGAAAATACATAAATATATGGGAAAGAGGTGCCAAAGTAATTGGTGCTTTGCATGGAGATGAGTCAGCTGTTGTACTTCTGACAACTCGAGGAAATCTTGAATGCATTTACCCGCGAAAGTTGGTCCTGGCTTCAATTATCAATGCTTTGGTACAGAGACGCTTTAGAGATGCATTGTTTATGATTCGTCGCCAAAGGATTGATTTTAATGTTATTGTTGACCACTGTGGTTGGAAAGCCTTTCTTCAGCTTGCTCCTGAATTTGTCAAACAGGTGAACAATTTGAGCTATATAACTGAGTTTGTTTGTGCTGTAAAAAATGAAAATGTCATCAATACATTGTACAAGGACTACATAGCACTACCTTCTCAAAGTAGTATCAACACGGTAGAGTCTGGAGATTTTAGTGATTTGAATAAAAATAACAAGGTCTCAGTTGTCCTTCTGGCCATAAGAAAGGCCCTTGAGGAGGAAATAGCTGAATGTCCTCCAAGAGAACTTTGTATCTTGACAACTTTAGCAAGATGTGATCCACCATTGCTTGAGGATGCCTTGAAAAGAATAAAAGTTATCAGGGAAGTTGAATTATCAGGTTCTGACCGCTCAAAGCTGACTGACTCACCTTCTGCTGAGGAATGTTTGAAGCATCTTTTGTGGCTATCGGATCCAGATGCAGTTTATGAGGCTGCTTTAGGACTTTATGATGTGAACCTTGCAGCTATAGTTGCACTGAATTCACAGAAGGATCCAAAAGAGTTTCTTCCGTTTCTTCAGGGACTGGAAAGCATGCCACCTATCTTAATGAAGTATAATATTGACCTTAGACTGCAAAGATTTGAAAATGCTTTGCGACATATCATTTCAGCTGGAGATGGGTATTATCCAGATTGCATGAAGCTTATGGAGAGTCATCCTGAACTCTTTCCCGTTGGATTAAAACTGATTAGTGATCCTGTTGAAAGGAGTCAAATTCTTGAAGCTTGGGGTGATCACCTGAGTTTCATAAAATGTTTTGAAGATGCGGCTATCACATATTTGCGTTGTTCTTGTATGGAAAAAGCTCTGAAAGCTTATCGATCTTGTGGCAATTGGAGTGGGGTTCTCACTGTTGCTGGTCTTCTGCAACTTGGGAAGGAGGAAGTCATGCAGCTGGCACAAGAACTGTGTGAGGAACTCCAGGCACTGGGTAAACCTGCAGATGCTGCAAAAATAGCCTTGGATTATTGTGGTGATGTGAAGGCAAGCATTGGTCTTTTGGTCAGTGCTAGGGAGTGGGATGAGGCTCTGAGGATTGCATTCCTTTACCAAAGAGATGACTTAATCTCAGAAGTTAAAATTACATCTCTTGAGTGTGCGAATGCACTTGTTGGTGAATATGAGGAGGGTCTGGAGAAAGTTGGGAAATATGTGACACGGTACCTAGCTGTTCGTCAACGAAGGTTATTACTTGCTGCAAAGCTCAAGTCGGATGAGCGGTCAATAAACGAATTTGATGATGAAACGGCTTCAGAAGCCAGCAGTAACCTTAGTGGAATGAGTGCATACACCACCGGGTATTTCTTTCTTCTCTGCTGTTTCACCTTTCTTGTTCAATTCATTTGGGGTATGGGTTGTTCAGGGTGTGGACATGTTTACTTCTTATGCGGAACTGATTTTCGAGATGTATATATAAAGTTTTCCCTGGCACTGGAATTTATCATGTGGCATAATTTCTTTGAGCAAATTGACAATATCTTCCTGTTCCTCTGTAATGACTACCTGAGTGTCAGCTATACCTATACACATGTCCTCTTATCCTGTTTAGTCATCAATATATCACACCACCTTGACAGCTTAGCTTGTCAAGGGGAGCTTGATGTTGTGTGCGCATTAACTGTATTTCTCACAGCCCCTTTACTCGAAAAAGAAAATACCCCGAATCCTTAGTTGTCAGTATTCCTTCATTGCCAGGACAAGGAGGGGTTCAGCTGCTTCCATTAGTTCAACTTCTACCAAGGGGCGCGGTCGCCAACGAAATAAGGGAAAAATTCGCGCTGGGAGGTATATGATTTTTTAAAACATCCATATCATAATTTGTGTTCTGGAAGAGTCACATTGTTATTTCTTGTGTCAATCCTGCTTGCAGCCCTGGTGAAGAAATGGCGTTGCTTGAACACTTGAGGGGAATGACTTTGGCATCCGGAGCCAAGACTGAGCTCAGATCTCTTTTAGTTTCCCTTGTAATGCTTGGAATGGATGACATTGCTAGGAAGTTGCAGAAAGCTTGTGAAATCTTTCAACTATCCCAAATAGCTGCAGTAAAATTAGCTGAAGATGCAAGTTTGACTGAGAGCATGGATGACCAAGTCTATTCTATGGAGCATTACGTTCAGAAAGTGAGGAAAGAAATGCAGGATTTAGATGCTTTTTCTTGGCAGTGTAAAGTTTTGGTTTGAATTTGAAAAGGTGAGTATTGGTGGAGTGCATATCTCATTTGCTTTCCGTGCTTTTATTAATTTCTCATGTACTCCCTCCTCCTGAAATGATTGTCCAGTTTGGGACTAAGAATAGAGATTCAAACTGGATAATCATTTTGGCACTAATTGAGTTGCCAATTTTTATTCTCCTCCTTTTTGCATAACATCATCTTTCTGATCACTTTTTTTGACAAGTTCTCTCTAAAATGTTTTGGTGCAGATAACATTATAAACTAGATGAATGATTTAAGTCCTTTTGTCGAAGCTTTCATTACATCTCCTGAAATGCTGCCGGTGCATGATTTGCAGAAGGGATCTCCCAGATGGAGAAAATTGAGTTTCTTCAAACTTTTTTGGGATACTTTAATTGTTTTAAGCAGGCCAAGTAGCGGCTGTGCGTTCACTGTTTAATTAGTAGGTTAGTTCCTAAAAATCAAAAATGTTCAGTTGCTTTTATATAAGAAGAGTTTCATAACTGCTTCTGCAGACAGATCCTGGAAAGTTGAAAACTAGCTTTTGTTGATTTGTGTTATGGAGACAGGTTGCTTTCAACTTGCAAGAAGGTTAACGAGTCTATTTAAAAGATTAGTTGCGCAAAACTAGATGGAATAAACGTGCTTTGTGCGTATGCGAGTCATACTATAATATAATGAAAAAATATTTTTCATAATTTATTGTAAATATAAATAGTATTCTATCTCTATAAAAGAAAAAGAAAAGGCACATATACTCAGAACAATATATATTGACAAATTTAAAGTACGAAACTTTTGATATACCATCTGAGTTATAGAATAATTTTTCGAATTTTCATTAATGAAATTTTAAAATTCAAAGAAGAGAAGAATAATAGACACATGAAAAATTTAAAGCTACAAAAATACTTGATAAACTCATAATATTAAAGTAACACCAAATGTAACACATAAAATCTCTTTAAATTAAAAATTAAAAAAAAAATTAATGGAAGGAGATCAAAGATCTAAACATTAAAGAAATACCAAATGTAACACATAAAACCTTTTCATTTTCTTGGTTGGAAAAGAGGGAAATAAAAAACATATCTAATACTTAAAAAGACTGCCAAACTCAAATTTACATTATACAATTATAATATATATGTTAATTAATTAATCGAGCTATTGTATCCTTTCTTCTTCTTTTTTCTATGAAAACGCTTATGATATACCCTCTTTGGTCCTTCACATATTCAAAACAAATTTAGTTCAAAACTCCTATAAGTTATATATTGAGTATTTACGTTCTTTAAACCTTTTATTATGGACTCAAATCTCCTACACGCTTTCATCTATTTGAACATTGCGTATAATTTCTTCCCTGAACATTCTGTAATTAACTATAGATAAAGTTTTTATATTTAAAAAAATAATTCAGAATTCAGCTTTGCGTATGCCCTGAACATTCTGCAATTAACTATAGATAAAGTTTTTATATTTCAAAAAAAAAAAAAAACAGAATTCAGCTTAGGTTTGGACGCCGTTGAACAACAAGATCACTAGCCGACGTTAAGAACCACCAGCACTCCCAATTCCGTCGCCCGTGCAATGTACAAGGTTTTTTATTAAATAAATTTAATAATGAAAACATCCGTCGGCCGTGCAATTTTATTCAATAAATTTAATAATGAAAACATTTTCATCATAAAGGGCCTATAGCTCAGTGGTAGAGCATTTGACTGCAGATCAAGAGGTCACCGGTTCGAACCCGGTTGGGCCCTCTTTCAAATAAAGATTTTTGATTCTCTTTCAAATAAAGATTTACTAGCATGTCAAAGTTTGAATCAACTGATACTGACATTGGTAAGTCTTAACCTTTCCTAGCACTTTTTTTATTTTTACCTCTTTTACTAGCATGTCAAAGTTTACTAGCATGTCAAAGTTTATTCTTAACCTTTCCTAGCACTTTTTTTATTTTTACCTCTTTTACTAGCATGTCAAAGTTTACTAGCATGTCAAAGTTTGATATTTTTACCTCTTTTACTAGCATGTCAAAGTTTACTAGCATGTCAAAGTTTGAATCAACTGATACTGACATTGGTAAGTCTTAACCTTTCCTAGCACTTTTTTTATTTTTACCTCTTTTACTAGCATGTCAAAGTTTGAATCAACTGATACTGACATTGGTAAGTCTTAACCTTTCCTAGCACGATTTGATTCCTCTAGAGAAATATAATGTAGTAGAAATGCAGTTTCGGGATTCACTTTCATGATTGTCTTGATGAATATTCTGTGTTCCAGGAATAACGAAGGACTCCAGCTATGCAATTTCAAGGACCTTTCTGGGGAAGTTCTTAAGATTTACCCTTTCAATCACCAATAGGTGGAAAAATCGTGTTGATGATGAAGCAAAGTAAAATTTCTAGATGATACATATTGTGGAACAAACATTTTTTTTTTGTCCTGAACCCCGTCACTGATGCTTCAGGTATTACAGCAGCTTCTTTTTTTGAGCTGTCATAAGCAAGCTTCTATTTTCGGCATACAACAGCCACAGCTCTTGTATTCATCACAAGTTTTCTCCAGGTATCAATGTCACCTACAACCACAGTCAGGTTCTGATTTGAAGCCCTAGTTGCTTATATGACTTGCAAATGTTCTTCCGTGTCAAGCCAACTGCAACCTGGCGTCTTCTCAAGTCCCATTGTGTTCATCCTTGATCTGGTATTTCCTGCATCATTCCACCTGCCACTTTGACAATATAAGCTTGATAACACGACATAATGTGCCATGTTCCCCAGCTCAAGGTTGGTCAGATTCTTCAGGGCTAGCTCACCTAGTTTAATATTAGAATGCCTTCGACAAGCATCAAGCAATGCTCCCCAAACACCAGCATCAGGTTGCATAGGCATTTCCTTTATCAGATCCAAAATTTCATCAAATAACCCAGCACGACCAAATAGGTCAACCATACATGCATAATGCTCCAAACTTGGTTCGATATTATACCTCTGCTTCATGGAGCGAAATATTTTCCGACCCTCTTCAATCAGACCTGCATGTCTGCATGCAGATAAGACACTGGTGAAGGAGACAGAACCCAAATTGACTTCGCTTTCTTCCATAAGGGCAAAAGTTCCAAGTGCAGCATCACCTAGCCCATGCACAGAGTATGCAGAAAGCATGGTATTCCACGAAACTGTATCCTTATTCTTCATCTCTATGAATACTAGTTTAGAATAATCTAAACGACCACACTTAGCATACAAGTCAACAAGACCGTTCCCAGCAAGTACCGAAGATTGAAATCCCCTCTGTAGTATGTATGCATGAACAGCCATACCTTCTTTAAGGGCTGTTAAGAATGTCATTGCTGGAAGGATGCTCACAATAGTGACCAAATTAGGTTTAAAAGCCTCTGAATGCATGCGGCAAAATGCAGACATGGCATCTTTGGCACATCCATTATGCATGTAACCTGCAATCATGACATTCCAGGACACCTCATCTTTATCAAACTCAATTTGTTTGAATAAGTACTCTGCAGCTGACAAGCTTCTACATTTGGCATACATATCAATCACAGCATTCTTCACATGGCAGTCAGACTCTAATCCATACTTGATAACTTGTCCGTGCATGCAACTTCCTTGGTTAAGATTGCCTAAAAGGGCACAAACTGGAAGTAAACCAACCATGGTGCCTGAATCTGGGCGTAAATCAGACAAAATCATTTTGTTGAACATCTCAATTGCATGGTAAGGTTCACCAATCTGTGCATAAGCATTTATCAAAGCATTCCATGTGACTGTCTCTTTATAAGGCAGTCTATCAAACACAATCAACGCTGAAGGAAAAAGAGTGCATTTTGCATACATGGAAACAAGGGCTGTTCCAACAGATATGTCATAGTCGACACCATCCTTGACTGCACAACAATGCACGCTCTTCCCAAGGTTCGGAGACAATAACTCAGCACAAGCCGGGAGCACACTAACCAAAGTTACAGCATTAGGCTTCATTTTCTGATTCTGCATATCTCGAAAGACAGAGATAGCCTCTTCAAAATTGCCAGATTGAGCAAAGGCAGCTACAACTGCAGACCAAGCAACTATATCTTTTTCTGGAATCCTCCAAAATAATTCTGCCGCCCTCTCTACCAACCCACACTTCGCGTACATGGTAACTAAAGAAGTAGCCACTGAAATATCAGAATCAATCTTCTGTCTTACTACGGATTCATGAATCTGAACCCCCTTCTTCATATCTCTCAGCTCAGAAGCTGCCAACAAAGCATTGACAGCTGACACCTTATTTATCATCAAATTCTTCCTTCTCGAGTCATCAAAAAGTTCCAGAACCTCAGAAAATCTCCCATTATATGCATATCCAGCCATCATTGATCCCCATGTCACATCATCTCTCCCGACCATCCTATCGAAAATGAACCTAGCAACATCGGGAGATGCACATTTCACATACATATCAATCAACCCATTTAAAACTGCAGTAGGGAAATCCCTCCTCCAAATGTATCCATGTATCGACCTACAAGCTTTCAAATATGTCAATTTACAAACCGCCGGAAACAAATTTAACAAGCTTACAGCATTAGGTTCTACCCCACAGTCCAGCTGCATGTGCTTAAAAAATTCCAAGGCTTCACTGGGCTCGGCACTCTGCGCAAGCCCAGAAATCATTGAATTCCAAGTCACAATATCTCGGTGAGGCATTCCGTCAAACACTACCCTGGCACATACCAAGTCACTCATCTTACAGTACATATCAACAAGAGCAGTTGCAATGAAGACATCATTCTGAAGCTTTCTATCAACTATTTCCCGATGAATTAGACGGCCCTCGTCTAAGTTTAAAGTTCCAGTACAAGCTTTGAGTGCAAAAGTGAAAGTGTATTTGTCTGGATGGATCAAGTTCCCCTTCATTAAATGGTAACATTGAAGGGCCTCTTTGTATTGGCGCGTCGTCGCATAGGCTCTGATCATCGAGTTCCACAGAACTACACCAGGATTCTTCACAGAATCGAACACTAAGCGAGAAAGTTGGCATCTTTGGAAAGAAGCGTACTTGGCTATGAGGTGGGTGTTTGATGAAGTGTCAAACTGGAGACCCGTAGTGATCAAGAGAGCATGGATTTGTGTAATGCCGTTTAGGGTTTTGCAGGAAGAGAGGAGGGCAATTAGGTTGCGACAGCTGGGGAAATTTTGAGGTTCAGGGAAGGATGAGATACCGCTTGCCGGTCTTCTTACTCTAAGCGTTGGGAGGGAGAGAGATTGAACTAATTGCGGCTTCAATCTTGAGTTTGCTTGTCTTCCGAGCATTTTTTCCGCTCTGTGTTTTTGGCCATGGTCTGGATTTACTTCTCTCCGGCCACCGTCATGAGCAAAATCAAAATTGATGAATGAACAGGTCCATGGCGGAATGCACAGCTTTCAAGTTTCAAGTTCCAAGTTTCAATGGTGGGGTATTGAAAAAAGTCAAAAACGGTTTAAGTCACGAGTCACAGCTCGGTAAGTGAGCTTTAGAATGGATTGGGCCAGCTGACCCAGTAAGACAAATGTAAAAGGGTAGACCCAGATATTAACTGTCTAAATTAAATTTAAGTAAAAATTTGAGGAAAAAAAAGAAAGAATAAAAGAGAAAGAAGACCAGCAGATCACAAAAGATATTATTGATTGAGTCCCATCATGCGCCATTTTAGCTCAAGAACTTTGAGCAATACAGAGTGTTGAGGCAAATTCTTACATGATAAAAGGGGCATTTAGTTCAAACAGCCAAAACACAGAGCAGCAGAGCATGTGTAGGTCCTTTTTTGGGGACACAAAGTTTAGGACATCAAATCCAGATGCAGAAATGGATACTGGTGTGAACTTGTATCTCTGCGCATCTAAACATCAAATACCGCCTAGATAAATCCACACCAAATTTAACATAAATCCACAAATAACAATCAGGCCATACATGAATCACCAAAGTTCTTCACCACAACATAACCATAACTTGAACAACAACAATCCCAATATATCATAATCTAAGGAAGTTCTACTTGGCCACAATCTATAGACATTTAACATAAGTGATGCAGGCTGCGTGAGAGATCATCTTCTGCAGCAACGCAGATTCAAGCAGCTCGGCTTTTGATGACATCAAGGCCAATTTCAGTAGGATCAGTTGCTTGCAACTCCACCTGGATACCATCAAGTTCCCTCTTGAACCTGTCCTTGGAGCTAGCATAAATCATCTTGTTTCTAACCCTTGATGTGTCAGGCGACCTTCAACAATTAAATAAGAATATCAAACCAATTGGCTTAAGATATACAGGTAATGACTCCAATATTCACAGTCGTATAGACATTCGAACTGGTGTACTAACCAAGCAATAAAGAAGATTCGGCTCTTAGGGACATTTTCCTCAGTCATGAAATCAAAGTCATAAACAGCGTAACGGCACTCATCAGCAGGGAGACTGGCTGTGAAATCGTCATAACCATTAGCTGGTTCACCAACCTTTTCAACAATAACTTGCTTCTGTTTCTCCTCAATCTTATAAATAATGAAGCGGTAAGTCCTCTTAGCCTTCAGTTCGAGGAACTTCAGCTTACAGTCGTCATGGACAGCCATTCCTGATGCTGCGTTGGCCTGTAGTTCCATAAATAATATGTCAAAGTCAGAGCCGTCAAAGAGTAGTACATAAAGTAGAACCCAGATATGAACGCACAAGCATGAAACAAACTTTTGACTTGAAAATTCTTCTTTACACTAGTTCCTTCATTTTATACAATACTGGGAGTGTCACTCATATAGATTTTCAGCTATATTGAGGCTCTGAAACTTCATCCACATTTGGTTAACCCTTGTCCAATTAGTTTTATATAACATTCCCAAACTGCTGGGAGTAAAAAATACTCCTTCATGTAACCCATTTTACATCAACAACAGACTGAGCCCAGCAGGACAGATAAAAGGGCTCAGCCCTATTTCAAGCCATAAAATATGATGATGGACACAAAAGCTAGGACCAGAAACGCAAGACCTTTACATTTACACTTGAAGGAGCAAATCTGGAACAAAGTTTTATTGCATTTTGTTAAATCAAGTTCTTATGCTTCACAAGAAAAAAATCCCTGTCCATCAGCCTGATCCCAGATACGAGATGACAAATTATAGGCCATGCAAATTCACAATGAGCGTTAACATCATGGAGTAACATGGAATTTACAAATGAAACTTCTTCAGGGCTATTTCAATAAAACAAAATCCAACAGCACAAAAATTAAAGGGGGAATTATAGACTGCCGGCCACATTTTTTAAGAAAACACATGGACCATCTTCGATCCAGCTGATTTTCAATAATAGAATAATACAAAAACGAACCCCATAAATAGATCAAGTTCAAGTCTTCCATCTGAGATGTCGACACCTTAATTCCCAATTTTATCCTGATTTTATCAAAACAACTAATGAAATATTTTTTTACTAAATACTAGGAAAATGGTGAAGTCAAAACCACATTATTTGCGGAGCCAAAACAATAATCCATGAGTAAAAAGATCCATTTAAGGAAGAAGGAAAAAAATCCCCATCATCGGGTAAACAAGTCATATCCATCATCCACCAAGGATCATATCAGATCTAAGGCCAATAAAGACCGCAATTCGACCGTTCGTTAAACCACGAACCCATTTCCAAAGTCTCAGCTATAGTTCGATTAAAAATTTCCACAAGGATTTATTCGTAGATCCAACAATAGAATATCAAATACACACATATGCATATACAAAAATTGAGCAAAAATTTCCCACGGCAGAGAATTAAGGGCATGAAGACACATCAAGAAAGAGGAAACAGAAAAGAGAAAGAATACTGACCATGGTTTGAGGAGGAAAATCGAGAGAAAGAGAAAATGGAGGAGAGAGCGATTTGCAGAGTAAATCTAGGGCTCCGATAATAGAGAGATTTTTTTGTGCTGATACAGATAGACTTTTCAATGATGAACAGGGAATAAACACGGACACACCCCCCTCCTTTGCCACTTACGCCCACCGCCCTTTTCCTTTTTCTTTTTCTTTTTATTTTTCTTTTCTTTTTTTTTCTATTTTGGTCATTAAAGTTCTTCGAAAATTATATCGCACCACCTTGAAAGTTTTAGACTATTGTAAACTCACCCTGTTATAGTTTTAAAATCTACAACGACCCATTTGTTTGTTTGAACTTTATTTTATTGTGAGTTAATTAAAAATTCATTATCTATTACTCCTTCGTCCCATAATTATTGTCCACTTTGCCCAAAAAATTTTGTCCCAAAATTATTGTCCAATTTGACTTTTTATGTATCAAGTTACACATTTGTCCTGAGTAAAAAACATTATCCATAAAATCTTTGTGGTTAAACAATTACTTATGTAGGGGTATATCCGGTTGTTCAAGGTAAAATATAGTTAAATTTGACTAAAAATAAAATTTTCCACTTTAGTAAAACTGGACAATGATTATGGGACGGAGGGAGTATTTGCTAAATGCTTGACAGGAAGTGTTTTATTTGATATTTTATTTTTGTAACTAACGCGAATAACCCCTCAAGAGATTAATAAATTCGCGCTAACTGTAACAATTTACAAATAACAGTGGAGAATAAACTACTCAAAATAGAATTAGATAACATATTTATATGCAAAAATCAAGAGCACGTGTGTGCTGGTTCTTATTAATGGTCACCAAGTCCCCTTGGGAACTTCTTACTAATTTGAGATGTGTAAAATTTGGAGTATATGAGATTTGTACATTAAGAAAGTTTTTTTCTAGTACAAGATTACATTTTTCATATGTTTTCATTTTATTACACTTGTGGTTATACCTAAAATTTGCAGAGTCTATAATTTTTAAAATACAGACTTCAAGTTCTAATTATGAGACACAAATTTAAATTCTGTTTGAAATGGTTTTCTTTCTTCTTCTTTTTTTCCTATATCCCTTTCGAGCGGTATTTTTTATAAGAAAAGTAAAATGTGTCCTCAAAATGTAAGCAATGGAAAGTTTGGCGCTTTATTTCGGAAGAAGCATATAGTAGTAGTGTTATTGACGCATTCCGAAACGGGAGAACAGAATGAGGCAGCTACCTGTGACAATGAAAGTTGAAATGATCGGATCCAGTCATCAGATGCCACGTCATTTTCCAATAAAATTTGTTAACGTAGGCACTTTCATTTGTTAAAAAGTCGATTACTTTAATCTTTATTGCAAAATGTCCGTGTTGGATCAAATGTGTGTTTTGCTTCGACGTACCAGTATAATCAATCAAAGGTTAGGTAATTATTTTCATGTTGGAAGGCAACGTTAATTTTACACATATGAATGTTAAGCAATACGTTTGACGAATTCAAACCAACTTTCGGTAATCCATCCTTATTACGGGCTTTTGGTTGCCTCAAGAATTTAATGATCGTGTGGTGACTTATTTGATCCTAATTTCGTTGCAATTACTTATCCAGGAAAAATACTACTCATTGTTGTACAAAACATACCAATAAAAATGTCATCTTGAAACTTTATGAATTATCCCAATAAAAGTAGTTATCTCGAATCATTTTTTTTTTTTTTAAATGGTACCTGTATATATTAAGTCAAACCGACATTTATACTATTACAATGTATTTTTGCAAAAGCTAAATTATGTATTTCACTAACCTCTAATCTGCTCACTTTAACCAGTGAACATGACTCAAAGGCTAATCTAGTAGACCGAAGCAAGGAGATAACTTCCTGGGTCTCTGTAGGGATAAGAGTAGTTGGGTTATGCAACAAGTGTTTCACAATCAGCATAGACTTGAACGCTTGTTAAACCCAAACTCAAAGCGTCTTTCACGACTAGCAAGCAAGTCATCGCTTCTTCGTGCAATGGAGACAGGACAGTGATATCAACCACCCTGAGCTGCAGTACCATGCCATGCGGAGAAATAATTTTCCAAGTAGCTGCTACTTTCCTTGCTTGATGGCTGTAGGATCCATCAATGATGATCAGAGAGTCAGAAGGCCCTCGCAGTTGGAGAACTGGAGATCTGAGGTGGATGGAGGAGGAGTTATGTCGAAGTTGTGTATTAATTGTCGCATCAGACATGATCAAACGCCATGAAACCGCCGGATCATTAGCTTGTTAGCGTCAAATCCTGTCATTTCGTTCCATCCAAATTCTCCAAATGATGAGAAGAAAAAAATCCACCTCTTTTTTTGTTGGGTGCTGCTGAATCCAATTAATAAACCATGTATGCATAGAGTCATAGTTTGGGACAAATATTGATGCAAACTTGGGATATGCGAAGGACCAAATAGCTTGAGAGGATTCACATTAGAAGAATAAGTGAAGGGCAGTCTCTTCACAACATCCACAGCGAGGACATAGAAGATCCACCGAAACACCACGTTTAATGAGCTCTGTCCTGGTAGGCAAAGCATCCAGTAGCACTCGCCAGAGTAAGAACTTATATTTCGGTTGCACACCTGAATGCCACAGTCGTTTCCATGCCACTTTCTCTCTCTGTGTTTTGAGCTGGCTGTGGAAGAAGTGCATTTGTATCGAGTTGGTAACCTTCTCTCACTGTATAACTTCCATGTGAAGTAGAAGTCCATTGGATTGCATCAGAGTGATTCCTTCTGTCCGGATCTACAAAAATTCCCACAATCCGGGAAATGATGTGATCTGAGAAAAACCGTCTCAAAGCATGAACTTTCCATTGTCCATTTGGATGGATAAAGCGAGCAACTTTCAGATTTGAAGTTGCCAGGACTGACTAAGATCCGATTGGATTTTACACATCAGGAATCCAATTTGCAGCTATTGATATATCTTTTCTTGACACCACTTTCCATTTTGTGTGATCTTGGATGAGTTATGCTCCCCATAGAATGTTTTTGAAACTCCAAGAGGTATTAAATGACGGTTGTATTGGTGAAAAGACACTAGTATTACAATACTTAGTACGAAAGGCGTCCCATCAGAGAATTCGGAGCTAACATTAACTTCTATGTATGTTTTGCTAAAAGTGTCTGGCTGACAATAAATCAAATTTATTGTTGTACAAATGCAAGAAAATCGGCTGCTTACTTTTATCATCCGGTACAAATTAGCGACAAAAAAAAAAAAAAAAACAAATGGCTGGGTGTCAAAACAAACACACTGTAAAAACTGGGAATATGTGTGCAAAAACTGGAGACCGGAAGTAGTAGTAGATATCCAAAACATTAATGAGACTTGACTTGTCCAATATCCACCCTGAGGTGTTCACTTTACTTAAAATAGCTCATTTTTTTAGGGGAAAAATCCAAATAATTGTAAAATCAAACAGGAAAAAAAAAATCAAATAATTATATAAGGATTTTTACCTTTAGACAATTTGTACTGAAAATGAAAATTTTTTAGATCCAATAATAATTGGAGGAATAATAAAGAAATGGTAAACCACAATGGCCATGTTCAAAAAATGATAATCAAAGGGATTTAACTAGGACGACATGAAACATAAAGTCATGTTTTGATCTGGAAAGATGCCATGAGTGCCGCTTCTGATCAATCATTTCAGAGCAGATGTGTCACAAAGCTCACATAATTAACACCCAAAAAAAAAAGTGATTATTTTCTTTCCAATTTCTCACTTTGATAGAACAGCACATCGAAAAGTAATTCATGGTTGACACCACATTCTTAGTTGTATTTAGCCTTTGGCCTTCGGCATTAACACCTTTCTCTTTCAGTCCTCCGGTCAATTCAATACAACAGAGTCATGAATGTAACTAAAGAGATGCGAATTTTTAAAAAAAACAACCAGTTCTAATAATAATATCGTGATAATTTGCAAATATACGTGCAAACAAAAAGAAACGAATATTTTAAAATATTTTTTAAACTTAAAATGACTGATATTATGAAACGAAGAGAATATTATCTTTGTTGGGTTGTTGTCCAACTTAGTAACATTGAATTCATAAATCTCCGGTTGAATTGAATCAATAGAAAAGGCATACGTGGCTACATAATTCTTGGCAACAATAATAATCTTCTTAATGCTGAACATTCAGCAGCAGTTCAGCCACTTGAAACTTTGTTAACGTTGCAAATACAATTTAGAAGAAACCTACGACTATATGTTGATAGGAATTAAAAAAAGAGAGAAAAAAAAAAGAAAGAAAGAAGTAACTAATCGTGATGAATTTAGCTAACTAAAAATGCGTTGACGAATTGTTACGTGGAAGCAGATCAATGTCTGCCGTGGAGAAATGGTAATTGAAATTGAAAGAATCCTCCTTGATAATATTCTTGGTCAACGATACTGGAACCAAACAAAACCCTTTCCTCTTTAGATCAGATTTTCTGTCTCCCATTATCTGCGTAAAGAAAGTTAAAAAGGAATCCAGAAAGGGAGGGAAAAGAAGATGCATTAGCCATTTATATATATATATATATATATATATATATATGTAAATGGATGAATTTCATGGCGTTGAAGTTAAGCTACGATATCAGACTTTAGATTTCTACCTTGGAATGAGGAGATCCATATTCCTCCTCCACTGATGCACTTCTTATTGCGTGATATGAATTCTGAACGAAGAATATTGAGAGGTGAAAATGATTATTCTGGAAATTTGCCAGACTGTTCCATTCTCGAATAGAAATTTGAAATTTTGAATACATGACTTTGGTTAACGGGTCCTTAAACATACTCATTGTTTACTATGTTTGTCTCATTAGTTGACTATAACTATAGTAATTGCTAGATTATTCAGTTAGAGAAATATCACAATTCAACAAGAGATATAACAACCAGGGAAGTCATACAGATGGAGGAGACACAATCTTGCTTCCTACGAAGAGGAACATGTGAGCAATTATAACAGAACAAGTTTAAAATTGTTTGTAGCCAAAATTTGATTTTTGAGAACTAATAAGAGAAGTTTAGATTGAAACCTGGATTTGATCTTGAAGCACCTTAATGAACATAGAAGCCTCATGAAGCACGGATGCTGTATCAGTCTGCAAATTCAACGCCAATTTTACAAATCAATAGTTAATTGCAACTTCTTCTTCTTCTTTTTTTTTTTTTTGATTGATAAATGATGAGCAGTGACGACTGTACATTGATGGACTTATTATCGTCTGGACTGGACTGGTTAGGTTACCTTGCCATAAGGAGACACCAACTTTTGAAGGGCTGTGATTTTGTCAGCTAATTTTTGGCTTCTCCTCTGTGGAACTGGAACCTGATGTCACATTCAAAACAAAATAAATACACTTTTTTTAAGTCCCAAGAAGTGTACATATTACCAACCTTCTGTTTTCAAGTCAAATTAACTTATGCCAATAATTTGATGCTATTCGGCTTTTGGTTGGATTGTGCTAAAATCACGAGTTGGGAGTCTATTTTATTTGCCCTGATTAATCATGCATTTTGGCTGCAGACACAAAAGATGGTAACATTTCACCTATCTCAAGTACAAACTGTTATTTGAAACCGAATCGGAAAAATCACATACTTTGTCTAGTCTTTGGACATCTTTATTATTCTCCTTCTGAATTACTGGGTCTCCAAGCATTTGCGTCTTCTCCTTGACGGGCATTGGCATTCTTTTCTTTATCCTCCATTGATGATCATTTTGACCCTGAAATGCCCTGTTTCCAACTACAATTTCAGGCCTTCTTTCTACATGCTCAATCAGACGCTTTTTTGGACCAGGGATAATATTAGTGCCCTGGATTAATCACAAATGATGATGATGAGTAGAGAAGTAGTAATAAAATGGAACAAGATCAGAGAGAAACGCCAAAACTGCAGACAAAATATACAACTTTAAAAACTTTGGCAATCAGGAAATTTCATTAAGCAGCATTATTATTCTTTTTGCTGTTTGGAATGTTTTGGCACTTTGTTGGCCTCAGCAGAGTAGTCTCATTCATTAGTCCTCTTTAGCAATAATGGATAGAAGAGAAGACATTAATAAAACTCGCATTCATTTGTCTGGAACCGGAAATTAACGATCTGACCCAAAATGCCAAACAATAAACTACTAATTGAAACAGAACGTTTTGTTCATACCCCTGTCCCCAGCTTGATTAATATGCAATTAAAGCACAATTAATTCAGAGTTGTTAGTTAACCTCGTCGTGTTCAATGTTTGTAGATGGCAAGTTAAAACTACCCTAAGTAAACAACTTGCTAGATGTTGACTGATCTCTTTATTTCCATGCACCAATAAACCGACATCAGAACTTGGCAAAAATGTATCAAAAGTTTAGAACGTTATTTTAACTCTGTAGTAACGGAAGTTTCTTCATGTTAGCAGATGTGACATGTGAATTGGGTCCAACCCGAATTTGAATTTAGAAAATACAAACAAAAACAAAAACAAAAACAAATCAAACAACCTTTTTAACATTGGATCGTTTGCTGTCGTAGGCAGTTGTAGATATAGCCTCCTCGTTAGTAAAATGATTGGGTTCAAAAGAAGCACAGTCTAGCCTCTTAATGGTCATTGCTGAGGACGGCCCTGGACCTGGTTAAAGTTAAATAGACTGAAATATCACTCGGGGTGTCACAGAGTAGGTAAGATTGAAGAAAAAATGCATTGGTTGATTAGGGACATTATTGATTAGTAGGGAAAAAAAAGGAGATTAATGGAACCTGATTGGTAGTTGAAGATAGGAGAATCTGAATATAACCCACCAATTAGGGTGTTTTGGAAATGATCCGGACTTGTATCCATGCAGAAGCTGCTTCCATATCCATTCCTGTCAATCTCAAAGAAAACAATTACTAACATTTTGGAAAGTTTGACTACATTTTCAACTAATAATGTACATGGATCAACATCGTCATATTAAGGCATCTCTGACTGAAAATAGGACTTGAGAACAGAGGACTCACAATATGCCGTCTTCTGTTTGAAGAGGGACATTTTCAGAAACTGCCTCACCAAATCCTGAAATTAATGATGGCCATAATATCAGATCACTCTCTGTAACTGTAACTCTAAACTCTTTGAGATTTGATGCATGGGTTTTAGGCTTACCGAATCCATAAAGCTGGGGAGAAGGTTGTGGGAAAATGGAGTTCTGCATTATGGAGAACTGAACATTTTCTGATATGTATCTCATTGAGGTTGAAGAGATGGCTTGGGAGGCCTGCATGTGTGTGTAAATACTTCTTAACAAGAGTTAGCTGCCCTATACTCTGAATACCTGCACGTCGCATATCGAACAAATGAATATATCAATTAAATCTTACAGTGAATACATACAAATAAATTAATAATCAGTTCTGAAGAAAGCTTTTCATTCGCCAACGATGGCCATGAAATGTTTTAGTCATACAAATTAACACGACTCTTATTTTTCGACGAATGGAGTTTAGTAGACATCAACTCCTTTCAGGGCACTTCTCAGCTCTCACCATCATGAGACATCATCAACCATTATATACCAAAAGTACTTGAACTTACGCTGTAACAGAAGCGGATGATTATTAATTATGAAGCCTAATCTAGGAATATGGGATGAAACCCAGGCTAACACAGAATCAAATCAGTCAATATATATATATATATAGTACTATCATATGAACATACCGTAATTAATTATCACGAGCTGAGGCTTCTCTAGGCCTTCAATCTTCTTCTTGCTTCCTTTCACTGGACTTAGACATAAACCAAAGAAGGCCAAGATATTCGCTTGCGTACGAATTGTCTTGATGGACGGCCAAGGTTAACACTTCGTTTAGCTTAAGGTTTAACAACCGCGTACGTACTATTATTTAAAGGAATCCAAAGGGATGTCTTAAATTATTCGTGCATGGAAACATTATAGGTAGACAAATCGTCAACATTTCTATAAGACAATGAAATTTATTTTCATTATGTCAAGAGCGGCTTTAGTAATTAACAATTGTAAAATGACTGTTTCATCTAATTAGTTCTCAGCGATCCACTCCTTCTGTTTGACTTGGTTCGTGGGGATGAAGGATTGAAAAGTAGTGGAAGAGTTGAGAGGTTTTCGACTACATTAGTAATTGTAAATCAATATTAAATACCCTCACTTAAGCAATGATTAGAGTTTAATACCCTCCGTCCCGAAAATATTGTCCAGTTTGGATTTTTATTTTTAGTTCAAATCGTACTAAAAGTGAAATATCAAATTGGAAAATAATGTTAGGACAGAGGGAGTATCAAAAATACGCAATCACCAATTATTAAATAATAACTCGTTGGGAGAATTAGTATAAGTTTGTTTATAACTAGTGAATATTAGTATATACATCCCAATGTTTATACCCTACTAGCGAATTCATCCCAAAGTTTTAGAATTAATTAATTACGTCCCAAGGTTATCAAAATTGAGCATATCTATTCCATGACCTGCAAACCAACAAAAGTGACCTGGTATAACATGTAAAATCATTTGGATCCCATATTTAACATTTTCACTTCTGTTTTTTTTGAATTTTTTAAACTTTTTTTAGTTTACTGAAACAAAAATAACATTTATAAATGGAGAAACTAAAAATTTTAATTAATTTTTAATGAATTTAATGTATTTTATAATCAGATTCATCTTAATTTTTCGATAAAATTTGAAGAAACTTTCCAAAAAAATTTCTTTAATTTGAATGAAAAAGAATGATTATGCTTTCACACACACACATATATATACCGTGTATTCAAAAATTAATTAATTTTGAGTTTAACCAAAATTATAAATTATTTCATTTGTGATGCATAAATTATTTTGATTAATTAAATAAGTTTTTTCGAGTTTTTTTAATATATAAATTTTGTTTATTTTTTAATGAACTAAAAAATGACCAAAAAATAAAAAAAAGAGAGAAAAAAAAGAATAAATATGAGATCCAATAGATTTTTACCTGTTATATCAGGTTATTTTTTATGTTTTGTAGGTCATGGGATGTATCTGCTCAATTTTGATAACCTTAGAATATAATTGATCAATTTTAAAATGTTGGGATAAATTAGCACACTGATGTAAATATTGAGGTGTACACTCATTCACCCTTTATAACTATCCCATGCTTCCTGATAATTGGTCTTTATGTGCAAATAAAAAGAAAAAATTGCTTCCTATGCTAGAGCGCCCACCTAGACTCTCACCACTCAATCAAGTATAGCTTTTGAAGATTAATTAAAGACTAGAATACTGCAGAACTACTCTTTCTATCCAAATGTCATCAAATTGTTGTAACGAAAGTACATTGGTTAAATTGTTCATCCGAGAAAACAGTTAAAAAAATGCCTGTCTTAAAAACGCTTGATCTTATTTTTAAAAGAAAACTTAATCCACAATTTAAAATAACTATGGACGACGGAATATAGAGTCAGAGGGCAAGATAACAAATACGGGTAGACTCATCTTCCGAGTGATTTTGCGTTGAAACCCTATCCAAATTAAACCGTCTTTAACGTTTGTTTTCCTGTTTGACAATACTTTAAAAATGCAAAATGCAAACCTAATATACATCCGTTCTGCTGAATTTGTTTGTTGCATTCCCAATTGGACTTACTAGTTGCCTAACCGTGTTAGGCCAAATATATAATGAAACAATTGACTTGGAACTGATAGAGAAATGGAAAAGGGGGATAATGACTTGGAACTGATTCTCTTTTCTTCTATTTCACCACGACCGACTTAAAATCATGAAATGTATTTAAGTGAATATAAATGATATTCACACTAAGGGGTAAGATGGAAGAGCATTTTCATCACAAAAGTGGGATTTAAAACTCCATTATGTTGATAATTCTTCGCCAACTTTTATTGACAAAAACTATGATAATACAGTACTACTAAACAATTCACGGTGTGAGAAGATAAACACGTTGTATAGAGTAATTAAGCTTGGTTGGTCTTTGGTGTCTTCCTTGTTTCCAAGAATAACGTACTGAGTTTGTTTTCAATGGTTTTTCTTAAAAAAAATTAGTACGTAGTACTAGTAGTGATTTTTTTATATGAACTTTGACCATCCAAAATGGATTGTCAACGCATACGTAAGACCAGCTTGTTAATTTGTAATGTTCGTCAATTCGTCATAATCTGGACACAGTCTTCTTCTTCTCATCAAGTTTACTGCATTCTACATTTATATTTTATTTTTAATTTGAAATCATTAATTAAGTCAGTCATCAAATGTTTGCTTGCAGGCCATTTGATAGTTTGGAGTTTAGTTTTATACTTATCTATATAGATTTCTTCTGTTATTACTTATTATTATCACCAATAAATAATAATAATACTAATAATAACTAAGAACGTCATTATCTTGCGTTTTAAATTATTATGTATACATGACAGCTTCAACTCTATGTCTGATTTCAGATTCCTTTTTTAGCATGCCAAACAAATTCCAACAATTAAATGCTTTATCATACTAATTATCATACTAATATTTATAAGCACATCGTTACCTTGCCTCTTAAATTATTACGTGTACCATGAGCGAGGGGAATTAGTCACTGTTACCAATAGTGGACACTTTACAATATGCACGAAAAAAAAAAAAATTATTACGTGTACAGGACAACTTCAACTCTATGTTTGATTTCAGATTTTTTTTTTTTAACCTGCCAAACAGATTTCCAACAATTAAATGCCTTTAACATATTCAAAACTATACTCTTTTTTTTTTTTAGCACAATGGAGCCAATAGTTTAAACTAACACTTCATTGATCACAAATCACATGTAGTGGTAGCCTGGTAGGCTACTCAATGAAAAAAGTAAAATGAAATAGTAGTATTGGAAAACAAATAGGATTGTTATATTGGGCTGGAAACTAAAACGACACTCTTGATTGGCCCATTTACAGACAGCCGCAAGCATATTTTGTCACGACCGGGGCGGAGAGGTGGCCGGAACGGCAGAAAAGGAGAATTTCAGAGGAGATTAGGGTTTCGGGTAAGTGGAAATCGAAGAAGAAGAAGGAAACTGAAAAATTCAGTTCTGACATAATATTTTTGATAATTCAAATTATACCCCTAGCTGGCTATTTATAGTCCACAAGATATAAAAATTATAATTTAACCCCCATAATTTCTAATTCTTACAATTAAATTCAGGAGCATGACATATTTATATCAGTTCTTTCTTTCAGAAACACCTGGGCTTCGTTAGGGCTTAAGCCCGTTAACTAATTAGCCCATCATCCGGTGACTCTGCTCAATAAAGTATCAGCTATTATTTTGCGACTCACACTGCGTTTAAAGAGCTTTGTTGAGCAAAACACATCGGCCTCTCTTCCCTCCGGAGTCTCTTCTGCCCTAACTGGTATGCTGCGCTCTTGTTCCCTTCTTATACCTTCGTGGGGCTAATTCTGTTATTTTGGTCTTCGTGCTGAGATTTCTTGATCTAAGATTGATATCATCCTTTCTTGAGGATGAGCTTTTACTGAATAATAGTATATCGGAAATATGTTTATTTTCCTGCTGTAGAGGATGTTTTCGATGAGAGTTATTTGTTTAAATCGCTTTATAGGGAATTTGTGGTTTGAAACGATGTTGAAATGCGGTTCGATTAGAGGATATTCACTCCCTTAGTGGTACGGTGTGAAGTTTTTTTCTGGGGAAATTGACTTTGACTAGGGTTTAACATTGTTGTTTTGTAAATCTATTGGTTTGAATCGTTTGATGCGTTCTTCACTGTTATGAGCATATACCTGTGTCTGTTACCTCCTTGATTTTATGTTTCATTGGTCAATTGATTTTGCTTGTCAGCTTTGTGCCCAGATATTCAACATGCTTCATTTTGATAAGTTATTTTTTGGGTTAATGGTTTATATCCCCGTGTAAAGTTGTGGACGTTGTGTTTGAATAGTGTTCTTAGTTTTTTTGCGAGTGAATGCTCTGGATATTTGTATGTTTGATGATGATAAATCAACTGGAATGATAGTGGACAGAGCGGTGAATGCTCTTGGTTCTTTGAAGTGTTTTTATGCTCTTGATGACTAATAGAAAATCTAATTTGTGAAATGATTTGTTTACTACGAGGATCCTGTACCCAGCAACCCAACCTATTGCCCATTAGCCATGTCTATAAAGATACACTTAGAGCAGATTGTGTATTTTGACAATAAAAAATTCGGATTTTTTCCTCTTTATTCATGTAACCAGTTCTCTTTTCTTATTGCTAACATCTGTTTCTATTGTTGGATCATTTTTCAGAATTAACTCCGAAGATGGTGAGAGTTAGTGTGTTGAATGATGCTCTCAAGAGCATGTACAATGCTGAGAAGCGAGGAAAGCATCAGGTCATGATCAGGCCATCCTCAAAAGTGATCATCAAGTTTCTGTTGGTGATGCAGAAGCATGGTATCTTTTCTGTGAACTGTTTCGTTGTCTGATGGCTTTGACTTCCTTCTGAAAGTTTCACTCATTTTTGTCTTTGTTGTAGGTTACATCGGTGAGTTTGAGTATGTTGACGATCATAGGTCTGGCAAAATCGTGGTTGAGCTGAATGGGCGGTTGAACAAGTGTGGTGTAATTAGTCCTCGCTTCGATGTTGCAGTGAAGGATATTGAAAGTTGGACTGCCAGGTTGCTTCCATCTAGACAGGTAAAGTAGTTAATTGTATATAATGTTTTAAAGTATACAAAAATTTGTCGTTGTGGTATTTGTTTAGAATGACTTTGCACATGACTGTTCACCTAGATTTACTGAACCTCTGTTGCTTCCGACCATCTTGTCAATAGCGGTTGGCTAGTTGTCACTTGTATGTACAGTTTACTCCTTGTAAAATTTTCAAGATAGCTCTTTGTTCAACTTACTTCTCATAAGTTGTATGTTCAGTTTACTCCTGGTAAAGTTTTCATTTTAGCTCGTCGTTCAATGTACTGTATCTGAACATCTCGCATGTCATAATTTTTGCAGTTTGGGTACATTGTGCTGACCACTTCTGCTGGGATCATGGACCATGAAGAGGCTAGGAGGAAAAACGCTGGAGGGAAAGTCCTTGGTTTCTTCTACTAAGAATTCAATACCTGGGACCTGTTATAATGGGACAGTTTTGAAGAGTTTCGCTTGGACTTGGTTTTTACAACTGTGGTAGTTATGTTTGCAAGAATTTTATTTTACTCCTAATGTGAGTAGGGATTGTTTACTTGCATTATTCGAATGTGTTTTCGTTGTCGAAGATTATATTAGCAGGGTAGTGTTCTGAAATTATTTTGATTTCTCACTTGCAAATGTTTATGAAGCTCCATAATCGTATTTGAATGCTGTAAGATCCGTAATGCATGCCGATGTTCATTGTTACTGAAGTGTATCAACTACTGGAACTGTAGAGTACAAACCGCGGGATGTTGATGGTCTGGAATCTGAAAGTTCTTTGTTCTGGCTAAATTTGCTGCCTAATCATCGACTTCTAAGTATGAAGCTCAGACGTTATTTGAATTGAAAGAACACTCGTAGCGGGATTGCTTTGCCGTTTGTAAATGTATACCGTAGTGATTTATTGTTCGTTTCAAGGTTTGGGAACCTCGAAATCATGGCAATTTGAATAAACTGCAGGAATGAAACTCGCGGAAACAGAGCTTTTCAGATTTACTGTGCTTCATTCTTCTGATACTGTCTACCATTTCCCCGTAAGAATGATTGAATCGAATAGTGTTCGTTTGAGTTAAAAGGAAAAACTAATGAATACCGTAGCCAAAAGGTATTTAAGATCGAGCTTAAGCGAAATTGGCATGTTGTAATATAACGCAAATCAGTAATATAAAATACTTCCACACTAATTAGGCTTGGACAAGTATAATCAAGTGAGTTCCTAATGGAATTGGATTTTAACAATCGAATGTTATATTCGGTCTAGATTTGAAAATCTGAACATACACGCGAGATCATATTCTCGAATGGAATTGCACACCAATTGCAGCGGGAGCATCTAACATTACATTACATACTTTTACCGTTCTTCTGAAACTTTGAAGATTCACGAGGTAATTATTCAAGCAAGTGTAAAACAGCTTATTTCATAGCCCTCGAAACAAAGATAAAAGACAGTAATTAGGGAGGTTTTACATAGCATCCAATATGCTAACTCCTTATTTCTTATCGGAGAGAGGTAGTAACTTATTAGGGGAAGAAAATTCACAAAACACAACACTTACTACATAGTGTACTTCCCAAATTGCATGGCATATCAGGACATTAGTTTAGAATTTAAACAAAAAAGGAGAGAGACACTGCCAAAGGTTTTTAGTTGCCCTAATGGTAAAACTTACCATTGCAACACAAAAATCAAGAAACATGGTCCGATTGATCAGCCATGCTCGTCACCGCCACCGCTGCCGCCACCATCGCCACCGTCTTCTTGGTGATATTCAGACCCCATCAAGTGGTGCATAATAATGCAGCAACATGAAACGAAAAGAAGGCACCTTTGGTTGGGAAAACCAGAAAGAAAGAATTCCAAGGTTTTGTCAGGGAGTGGCTTTTTGAAGGGGAGTGGGAAGAGTATCTTCTCAGCATATCCCTTTTTACACGGGGCTTTACTTTTTTGTTTTTGAGTTAGTAGTCATCGTAGTAGTAATTAAATGCTTCAAGCGTGCCAAAATGACATCTTCAACTTCAGGGGAATCTCTACTCTAAAACTAACAGAGTTAATAGGAGTTTTCCTCTTGCCACGTTTTGACCCTTTTATTACTCTTTTCGCAAAATGAATTATAGATTTGTTAGCAAATGATTGGGATATTATCACACTCTATAAACCATAGACAAGTTCTAAATTGAACTATATAGTTCTTTTGGATTTCAATTAATTGAGTTATGACCCGTGAAAGGTAAAACATAACTCATAAAATATGTACTTAATTAATCGATAAACATGTAAGACATATAAAAATTATATCTACCAATACCATTTATAGTTTCTCAAATAAACCTCAATGATTCAATATATTACGTTTCCATCCATTAAAGTTGTAGAGACATCTTTTAAATTGATTCCAACCCTCCCCCCTCCCATAATAGTACTACAACGTTATTTAAAATCGTACTAAATTCTCATTGTTTGGTTGATATATGAAATATATGCAAAATCGTACTAGATTCTTATTATTTGGTTGATGTCTGAAATTTATGTTCTGTGCTGAATGCTGATCATTATAAAAGTCCATATAAACTCTGACAAATGTCATTCGAGTAAAATGAGAAAGTACATTGAATATTTAGTTCTTTTTGATTATCTTAAAAATGATTAGGACCAGTTTGCGATTTTTTTATTTTTTTTTTGAGAGCTAACACCGTTAAGTTAGTGGCTCGGGGTACTAACCGTACTATTGCTCTAAAGTTAGAAGGTGTTAGATGCAACTTATTATTACTCATACTAATATTTCGATTGATTAAACTAGGCAAAGGAGCAATGGACTTGGTTAATTTATTGTCGGAAAAAATGTCGTTCCTACCTAAAATTTTGCCCTCGTTGTCAATCATACCCAATATATTTTCGATTAGTCAACTTTATCTTAATGTTTGAAATTTTCACTAATTTCGTCCAATCGGCCCATTTTCCGTCCAAATTAACGGATTTTCGTTAGTTTTTTAATAAAATAATAAATTTAAATAAAAAAACACCCCAGTAGTTTGTAAAAATTTTAAAAATAACCCCTAAAATATATAAAAATAACAAAATAATCCCTTTTCACTTTTCTATTTCATTTTTCTCTATTTTGTTCCATTTCTCTCAACTACTTTTAATGACCATAAAAGTCTATTATATGAGTTTTAAAAAATTATTTATTTATTTTCAAACTCTACCGTAAAAGTTAATCTTTGTATAGTTGTAACACGTGATTATATTTATATAAGCATGTTACTCTTTTTAATAATATAGTTTAACAATAAAGACACTATTTTTCTGATTTATTTTATTCTTCCTAACATAAAGATTAAAAATATTTAAATGAAACTAATATTCCATATAAAAATAAAATATTAACTCAAATAAAAAATAATATATTAGTATAGTTTAGTATATTACAATTTAACTAGAGAGACTACATGGCATAATATAATTTATAAAAGATATGTTTATACTTATCAAATATCAATGCGAGGATTTAACATTTTGTAATAATTATTTGAGATGTTAATATATCTAACTATGGAGGAAGTCTTACTAGCTTATTCTATATGATTTTAGTTTAAAATAAATGAATGGAGGTAACAATATGGTAATAAGTTGTTGTGATAGAAAATAGGTTTTAGATTCAAGAAGGAAAACTTATGTTTGGAGGATTTTTTTAAGGTTTTAATTATTTTATATTTTAGTTATTTTTTATGAATTATATTAATGCAAGTTACAGTCACTTGAGTTAAATTGTAATACACTAAAATATATTATTTTTTTTTATTGAGCTAATATTTTATTTTCATGTGGAATATTAGTTTCATTTAAATGTTTTTAATCTTATGTTAGGAAGAATAAAATAAATCAGAAAAATAGTGTCTTAATTATTTATATTATATTTTTTTTATAAATTATATTAATGCAAGTTATAGTCTCTTGAATTAAATTGCAATACACTAAAATATATTAATATTTTTTTATTTGAGCTAATATTTTATTTTTATGTGGAATATTAGTTTCATTTAAATATTTTTAATCTTTATGTTAGGAAGAATAAAGTAAATAAGAAAAATAGTGTCTTTATTGCTAAACTATATTATTAAAAAAATTAACATGCTTATATAAATACAATCATGGGTTACAACTATTTAAAGATGAATTTTTACGGTAGAGTTTGAAAATAAATAAATATTTTTTTAAAACTCATATAATAGACTTTTATGGTCATTAAAAGTAGTTGAGAGAAATAGAACAAAATAGATAAAAATAAAATAAAAAAGTGAAAAGGGATTGTTTTGTTATTTTTATATATTTTAGGGGTTATTTTTAAAATTTTTAAAAATTACTGGGGTGTTTTTAATTAAATTTATTGTTTTATGAAAAAAACTAACGGAGATCCATTAATTTGGACGGAAAATGAGCCGATTGGACGAAATTAGTGAAAATTTCAAACATTTAGGTAAAATTGACTAACGGAAAATCTATTGGGTATGATTGACGACGAGGGCGAAAATTTGGGTAAGAACCACATCTTTTCCATTTATTGCCTCCTCATGAAATATTGAAATTGTTGACCAAATCAATTCCTTATACGTTTATATTAATCCGCAATTCCCCGTAGGCCCATACTTCATTGGCTACGTTAGTTTCAAACAATTATTTTTTCCTAACACAAAGTGGATTCTTCAAGTTGTGTTTATGTTCAAGTGAATGTATAGAATGATTATTAAAAACGATCGTCATAACTACGTTACTAACGTACGAAGTACGAACTGTGATGGAGGGAATGAATTAAAAAAAAAAAGAAAAAGGAAAAAACCAAAATACGTAGGCATACGCGGAGAGAGAGAGAAGTAAATACAGATTTTATTTTATTTTTCTTAAAAAAAAAAAAAAAGTAAAAGGAGAGACGGAACTCAGTTGCACACTCTTCGGGGAAGGAGAGATCTTCTTTGGCGTCCAATCCCATTTTTCCCTTTCATTTCTTTGTCTTCTGTTCTTTTTTTTTTAATTGTTTTTTTTTCAGCTGTAAATTTTCTTTGAACTTTCATGTTCTCAACCACGTTTTGCTGAGTTTTCAGGTAATGGAATACCCTTCCATCCCACTGTGTGTCTCGTTTTTCTTTTAAATATATATTTTCTGTTTTTGTTTTCGTTTTGGCCTAGTATTTTTGATTCGTTGAATTGTTTGGAAATCATGTGATCTCATTGGATAATTGGTGGGTTTCTTTTCGATTATCGATCCTTTGTGTCTGAGAGTAGCCATTAACGTTTGAAATTAATGTGTAATCTCGTATTATTATGCTGATTGTGTTTGACCACGGGGATTGCAGAAACGGATTTTGCTTAGGGCTTTTGAAAGGGGTACGTTATTAATCTCTCGGGGGGAAAACATATATTTAGAGGACAATGGCAGCTCCACCAACAAGGGCTCGAGCTGATTATGATTATCTGATCAAATTGCTTCTCATTGGCGACAGCGGTTCGTTCTTCTTCTCCTTACCTCCCGCATTTTGTTATCCGGGTCGTGGAAATATGGAGTCTAGCAGCGAGTCCTTCGGTTTTATCTCATTTTAACGTTTTAATATACAAACTATTGTATGCTTTTTGCTCTTACCATTGTCAAAAAGTTCAAAAGTTTCTCTGTGCTTTGATCCTGTACTGTTGGATTGGATGTCTGAGAACTAGTAGTTGTGGTTTAAGCTTCCAGTTCTAAGAACTCTTTCCAAAGACTGAGGGAAAATGCTTGTACCTTTTGTAAGGCCAACTGGAGAATCATTGTTGCTTCTGTCTAGATGTAGGACACCTTTTTGTTAGGGGCTTGTTTGGGTTATGTATTTTCTTCTTGTTGTAAGACAAGTGACATCTTCCTTTTGTTTATTGCAGATAGACACTGTCTTTCTTCTTTGTATCCGAATTATGTTCTTGAATCCATTTTTAGTTGGGTCTAGATTATTATGCTACTTCATATTCGGATTGATGAAACATTTATAGCTCTCTTAATCTTGCTTTTGGTACTAGTTTCCAGTTTGTGAACCTGACTTATCCTGGCTTTTGTACTTTTTTTTTTTTTCGTTGTTCCTGAAAAAGATATTTATATAAGGTTCGCCAATTGATTAATTGTATTAAATTGATATTTTGTTTCATCACTATTGTAGGTGTGGGGAAGAGTTGTCTTCTTTTGCGGTTCTCAGATGGTTCCTTCACAACAAGTTTCATCACCACTATTGGGTTTGTATTCTGGGGCATGTTTTCATAGTTTATATTGGTATCCTTGATAATAGCTTTATCAGATGATGTCTTTAACGGAATACAGTAAAGTAGTCAATACCTTTAGGTTGAAAAATATAGCACTGTAAAAAGAATTGTCTGGGTTCATTGAGTTCCCTGGATAATCACCACCATGTTCACTTGTTTTTAGAAGGTCTTTTTGGTCAGGGTAATAAATGCCATGTTCTTTTTTTTTAATTTTTAATACTTGTAGTTGCTATTTTGCAAAGACACGGCCATCCTATTGCCATGAAACCTCTGGATATTAATCACTTATTTGACATGAAGCACATGGATAAGAAGATGACATCTTTTGGACTAATTTTTTGTCTAGCTGAAAGAAGTAACACTGATAAATGAATGAACCCCACTTGGATGTCCACAGCTACTGGATGAAATAAATTTGAGTGAAATTTTGGCAATCTTTTGTAAATGTTCATCCTCTTAATCCATCGTATTTGTTGTCATTGATAGCATTGACTTCAAAATAAGGACCATTGAGCTTGATGGAAAGCGAATCAAGCTGCAAATATGGGATACAGCAGGTCAAGAGCGGTTTAGAACTATTACGACAGGTGCGTGGTTTTCTTTCAACTTTAGATTTAAGGTTTAATTTGTCCTTCTTGCACATGCTGGAAATGCAAAACTTTATGCTGTGTCTTCTCTCTTGCCACTTTATTGAGTTCTCTGTTACTATTTTGGTGGTTTTTGATCAATTTAGTGATTTTTACTATTTATAGCTTCTGGTGGTTGGGAAATTATGGTACTCGATTATGCATATAGGCGTTATGATCGCATGGTCTATATAAACATATACAGGAGTAGCATTCCCTGGCAACATATACATATTAATCAATGGTGGTCACCTTCTTACAATTGCAAATCTCTTTCTATCCATGCTTGCTTTTTTCGGTTAACTTTGTTTTGAACTTCTTGGTTTAGTCTAAGGTAAATGACTTTTGGTACTGTTATGGTTATACTGGTTCGATGGTTGGCCCACAATTGGATTTTAATTTTCGCAGCTTACTATCGTGGAGCCATGGGCATATTGCTAGTTTACGATGTAACAGACGAATCATCTTTCAACAGTAAGTTAGTTTTGTCATCTTTGTTCAGTTTCTAAATCTAGAGTTTTTGGTGCTGCTTTGTATTGTTTTTATCTTTTGAATTGTTCTTATTTTTGTTCACTCTGACCCTTGGAATAGTAACAACTTTTGGCATAATGTGTGTTTTCTTTCTTAATCTTAATTTTGTTTCTGGCTTTTAGTGTACCGTCTTTCTTGGATTGTAGTTCTCCTCTAAATGGTTTCAACAATTTTATCTTTGCTACTGTAGACATCAGAAATTGGATCCGCAACATTGAGCAACATGCTTCAGATAATGTCAACAAAATACTAGTCGGAAACAAGGCTGATATGGATGAAAGTAAGCGGGTACGTATCTCATGGGTTTTTTTCAGGGAAATCATTTGTTTTGCATTGACTGTGCAGTTTCCTCATGTTGTGGATTTTTACGGACTACCTCTTAAGCTTTAAAGGATTAAAACGTGCCGCTGAGAGTTAGGGTTTAGGGTTCTGATTTTCTGATAATCTCCTCTTACAGGCTGTTCCAACTTCAAAGGGTCAAGCTCTTGCTGATGAATATGGCATCAAGTTTTTTGAGACCGTAAGTTTATTTACTTCTGATGTCTTATTGTGATAGTCATGATTCTTCTAAACCTTTGGAGCATAAACTTCAGAGTGCAAAAACCAACATGAACGTGGAAGAAGTTTTCTTTTCAATAGCTAGAGATATAAAGCAAAGGCTATCTGAATCAGATTCCAAGATTGAGGTATAGAAATTTGTTGCCTATCTACATTTTGTTCTACTTCTACGCATGCCACCATTTGAAAGATTTCAAGCAGCATTTACTTCACTGTGTGATAATTGTTTTTTGCGGTTACAGCCTCAAGCAATCAGGATCAAAGACAATGATCTGCCCGCTGCTGGTGGACCAACAGCACCAAAATCAGCTTGCTGTGGATCGTGATCAGATAGTGTTTAACTGTGAAGAGGCTGGTCAAAGTGTGCTATTAAGTTAGTGAAATTTATTTGCTCGAGAAATGGTTAATTTCAGTTGCCTTTCAATGCTACTTTCTACTTTGATTTGTCATTTTGACGATCAGATTATTGCTATTAACCTCTATAACTGTGGTGATACTTTCTGCTGGAATATTTTTAGTCATTATGTTGGCATTGTTATCCTGTCTGCATCATTGTTCCTATACATTTTCTGTTATGTCAGGTGGACTAGTTACGGTACGTGCTATTGCAAACTGAGCTTATGGTCATCATGTGTTTGATGACGCCTGAGAACATGTGGATTCCCATCGTTGTGGCCATGTGTAATCAATCATAGATTATATTTAGTAGTAGATTCGTTCCTTCCTTTAGAAAAGGATACATGAATAGATTGCCAGATTCTCAAGTAGTTCTCTATGTTGGCTAGAAATCAAGGACGCTCATCTCAAACTGTGAACAAGAAGGGAAAGTGCCGTAGAATCATAAGCTAACTAGAATAAAAAAGCTGGCTAGAATCAACACGATCTAATGGCTTCTGGCTTAATAATACCATTGGGGAGATTCAGCAAAAGCTAAAAGCTACATAACAGTAGAAGCAAGCAAAACCAAAAACATAAGCATACAACTAAAATAAAGTTGCAAGTAGATAGAACTACCATTAAGTATCTATCTATCGCATGTAAAGTAATTGATCAACGAATTAAGCAAACGAAAACCGCAAGAAGTCTTTGTATGCATGCAACAGACAAACTTATGTGTAAGAATCCCTGTAGTAAGAAGCTCCATCCCTGAAATTCCCGGGGTAGGGAGCACCACCCGGGTAACCCCTGAAATTCCGATATCCAGACATCTGATGGCGAGGTCCCAACGGTGGGAAACAATAAGTAGATGAAGAAGATGTTGGCAGCGTCTGATGTTGCATCATCAAGTTATCGAATCGAAAATTTGGATCCTCCATCGTAGGAGCCTGATTTGGGTTGTTTGCTCCGGGAAAAGGATGGCCGTGGGAATGGTGAGGATGATCAACATTGGTAATGGAGGGCACCTTGAAGTGAATGATGGGTCGGCGTTTATGGATCGGGCAGTAATTATCAGTGCAAATTGTAGGGTCAATTTGGGGAGCTTCAATTGCTTCAATCTGATGAGGTTTGTGATAATCATCCACCTTACTTTGATCACCATGTCCACAAGTATGTTGTTGTTCTCCAACATTTTTCTTCTTTTCTGTCTTTTCACTATCAACATTTTTGTTACTGTCGTAGGATAATAGGTGAGCTTTGATTTTCTTGCTTTCCAGAAACTTGATCAGCGTCCCTGGATCATCAACGTCCCCTATTATAGTCACTCTCTCCTTTTTTGGCTCCACACCCACCCAATGAACCCCTTACACAACAATCAATAAAAAAAATCAAAATAAAATACAGAAACCAACAAGTAATTTTTATTTTTCTTTTTCAAAACAAGAAAAACGCTGTAATACGCAAATTGTACCAGCGAGTTGTAGCAATAGTTTCTTAAGTTTTTTGGGGCAGTCGTCACAATCATGAATCTTTACCCTCAGCACGATCGTCTACAAGTTTAAAGCACAACAGAAATTCAAGCTGGACATTGTAAAAAGAAAATAAGAAAAATATAATAATAACGTGTAAAATTGGTACCGGACAACGAACAAGTTTTTCCATGACCGTAGACTTGATCACTTATTTTTGCTTCTTCTCAATGTACTGCGTCAGAACTGAGCCGAAGAACGAGTTATATATATATGATGACGTGCCGGGAAATAGCAAAAGGATGAAAAAAATATAGGGCTTTTTTTTTTTTTTTGTACTGGAAAAAGGGGTTTGATTTGATTATGGGAAATTATTTATGAAGAAGTTAACGTAAATACTATAAATAAACTCGGTCATTTTGGAAACATATTAATGATTGCCATTTTTATATGGGGAAACCTCACTGAAATAGTAATAATTAAGAAAAATTTTTTTTTTTTTGATAAACGAAAATTTTAAATAAGACCTAAAAAAGAATAGTATTAGTAACTAAGAAATTATATACGCAAAAATAAAAAACGCGCATTGTCGACTTGTAAAATGTTTGCCCCATTTCGATGCCTAAAGTAAACCATACAAAACAATGAAACTCTTTAAAATTATTTTTAGGGCTGCTTTTAGAATTCAAAATATCTTAAAATTGGACGTTGCGGGGAAGACCAAAAATATCTTATGAATTCTTTCACATTAAAGAAGAAGCGAGTTTAATTATTTTATTTACGCATTCTTCTTACCTTCCCCCCTCCCCCCCCTTTTTTTTCTGAAGAAAAACTTAAAATATTCATAATAATTATTATTTTAGAGAAATAAAATATTATGAAATATTTATTTACCAACAATAATAACCCGAGGTAAGGTAAAAGGGATCTCGTAAGCCGTACCAGTAAGTAGTAACTTTTGGTTCAAAATTAACAGCATCGTCCAGTGTGACTTCAAAAAAAGACAAAAGAAAAGTAAAATAAATGATTCTGTAATAAAGAGTTTCGAGAAGATTGGAGGAAAGTAAGAAGAGAAGTCATAAAAACTGAACCGCGATTCCCATTTTTCCATTTCAGGCGTGCTCTAGGGTTTCTCTGAATCTTCAGCCTGTCCTTCGCTACACGTCTTCCATCTTCTGTATGTTTTTCTGTCTATTTGGATCCATTTGTGATGTCTGGGTGCTATAACTTGTTCTCGAATTTCTTTTTACGAATTGATACGGAGTCGAAGCTTGTAAATTTTGATTTTTCGACTATTTACCTTGCCTGATTTTTTTTTTTAAATAATTTTTTGCTGAGTTTAACCGAGGAAATTTTGTTTGAGCTTTTGATGATGCAGCTAGAGACGCTAATTTTTTGGCTATAGATTTTTGGTTAGAGATTGATCTGTTTTGCTTAGTTTTTACACCTTTGAAGTCACTGCAGTTTTATTTGTTCTCGTTTTGTTGTTTTCAAATTGTTGGTTTCGGATGTGCCAATGTTGACCTTTTTGGTCTTTAACTGTTATTGATAGGTTTGATCTGCCACTGCAATGTCATGTTCTAAGGCCTGAGATTAGCTGAGGAACAACTTAAATTTTGGAGAATACACATCTGGTTTGGTGATTTGAATCAAGAGCAGCTATGGGATGGTTTAGGGCTGGGTCTAGTGTGGCAAAGCTTGCCATCAAAAGAAGTCTCTGTCAAAGGGGATTTGTGACGCGAGTCCGTCCCACTGTTCCCATTCAAAACCGATACTTCCATACTACTGTTGTGAAGTCAAAGGCGCAGGCTGCACCTGTTCCTCGAGCTGTTCCGTTGTCTAAGTTAACTGATAGCTTCTTGGATGGGACGAGTAGTGTTTACCTTGAGGAGCTTCAGCGGGCTTGGGAGCAAGACCCTAATAGTGTTGATGAGTCATGGGATAACTTCTTCAGGAACTTTGTTGGCCAAGCTGCCACTTCGCCAGGGATTTCTGGTCAAACCATTCAGGAAAGCATGCGGCTATTGTTGCTTGTGAGAGCTTACCAGGTTTACGGTCACATGAAAGCCAAGTTGGATCCACTGGGTTTGGAACAGAGAGAAATTCCAGATGATCTGGATCCGGCTCTCTATGGATTCTCTGAAGCTGATCTTGATCGTGAGTTCTTTATTGGCGTCTGGAGGATGCATGGATTTTTGTCAGAGAATCGTCCTGTGCAAACATTGAGAGCGATATTGACACGGCTGGAGCAGGCTTACTGTGGTAATGTTGGTTATGAATATATGCACATTGCTGATCGTGAGAAATGCAATTGGTTAAGGGACAAGATTGAGACACCCACACCCATGGAATACAGTCGTGAGCGGCGCGAGGTTATCCTTGATCGCCTAATGTGGAGTTCTCTATTTGAAAATTTCCTGGCAACTAAGTGGACTACTGCCAAGAGGTTTGGGCTAGAAGGTGCTGAAACTTTGATTCCTGGAATGAAGGAAATGTTTGATAGGGCTGCAGATCTTGGGGTTGAGAGCATAGTGATAGGAATGTCACACAGAGGTAGACTTAATGTGTTGGGAAATGTTGTTCGGAAGCCTTTGAGGCAAATATTTAGTGAGTTCAGTGGTGGTACCAAACCTTCAGAAGGAGTTGGCCTCTACACTGGAACTGGTGATGTGAAGTACCACTTGGGAACTTCTTATGATCGTCCAACTAGGGGTGGAAAGAGAATCCATCTGTCCCTTGTGGCAAATCCCAGTCACTTGGAAGCCGTGGATCCTGTTGTGGTTGGGAAAACTAGAGCAAAACAGTATTATTCTAATGATACAGATAGGACTAGAAACATGGGTATCTTGATCCATGGTGATGGTAGCTTTGCAGGCCAAGGAGTTGTTTATGAAACCTTACATCTGAGTGCCCTTCCTAATTACACTACTGGTGGAACTATACACATCGTGGTGAACAATCAGGTTGCATTCACTACTGATCCCGAGTCTGGGAGATCATCTCAATATTGTACTGATGTTGCTAAAGCCTTAAATGCACCAATTTTCCATGTCAATGGTGATGATGTTGAGGCAGTGGTCCATGTCTGTGAACTTGCAGCAGAGTGGAGGCAAACGTTTCACTCGGATGTTGTCGTTGATATTGTGTGTTATAGGCGATTTGGTCACAATGAAATTGACGAGCCATCTTTTACCCAGCCCAAAATGTACAAGGTTTGTTCTTCGTTTCTTCTTCTTCTTTTGAGGTCAGTCCATGCGCAAAGCTAATTTTTTGGCCCAATATGCTTATTTTAAGATCAATTCCCTGTCGCAATTGTAACCAGCGGCCTGTTAGTTCCTTATAAATTATGTTGCTTGTTTTGAGTTATTTTTTTAGTAAGCACTTGTTTTAAATTATTGAAACAGGTTATCCGGAGTCATCCTTCGGCTTTGGAAATTTACCAAAAGAAACTTGTCGAGTCCAGTCAAGTGTCTAAGGAAGACATTGATCGGATAAACAGCAAAGTCCTTTCAATTCTGAATGAAGAATTTTTAGCCAGTAAAGAGTATGTCCCCCAAAGAAGGGATTGGCTTTCAGCCTTTTGGCATGGATTCAAGTCTCCTGAACAGCTTTCACGTATTCGAAACACTGGGTATAGTATTTTCCTAAACTCTTGTTTTTTGGTTAAGAACGGTTTATAGCTTACACTTACAATGCGTGGATTTTGTTCTCCAGAGTCAAGCCAGAGATATTGAAGACTGTTGGCCAAAAGATCACAACCCTTCCAGCAAATTTCAAGCCTCATAGAGCTGTGAAGAGGATTTTCGATGATCGAGCCAAGATGATTGAAACTGGAGAGGGCATTGACTGGGCAGTAGGGGAGGCACTTGCTTTTGCCACTCTAATTGTTGAAGGAAATCATGTCAGACTCAGTGGTCAGGATGTCGAGAGAGGAACATTTAGTCATCGCCATTCTGTACTTCATGATCAAGAAACTGGGGAGAAGTATTGTCCTCTGGATCATATTATCAATGATCAAAATGAGGAAATGTTCACTGTCAGTAATAGGTAAGGAGCACTGCTTTGTCATTCTACTAGTCCAAAAGAGATTTTTTTATTATTATTATTGTTTTGATTCTTCGCATGCACATCTAAAACACAAAGTAACTGGTTGCTGCATGCTTAGTGTTTTTTGTCATGAGAGTGACTCTATGGTCTAGATCTGAAATTTGAACTGCATCTTTTTTGCCAGCTCCCTTTCTGAATTTGGTGTGCTGGGATTTGAGCTGGGTTACTCGATGGAAAATCCAAATTCTCTGGTCCTGTGGGAAGCCCAGTTTGGTGACTTTTCCAACGGAGCTCAAGTCATCTTTGATCAATTCTTAAGTAGTGGAGAAGCCAAATGGCTACGTCAGACAGGTTTAGTTGTGCTTCTGCCTCATGGTTACGATGGACAGGGCCCTGAACATTCCAGTGCTCGTTTGGAACGTTTCCTTCAGGTATATATCGGGTTCTTCCATTACAGGCCCTGAATATTTTGATCACCCTGGTTGTTCTTCCATTCTATGGACATGGACATGCACACAGAGATTTACCCTTACGAACGCTTCTTCACATAGATCAACTTATTTTCTTGATCTTTGGGTCTTATCTGTGATTACATTGTTTCCTTTTCTCTGTTTTGTGGGTTTTCTGTCTTCTGGGGTATAGAAATCAACTTATTTAAGTTGTTTCATCTTGAAATTCCAACATTTACCTGAAGCCGTTATATCTTACTTAATATTATGGTTCCTGAATTTGCTTCCTTTCCTCAACATCTGAATATTCTTTCTGGTCCTGCTATTTGATTTATTGCGGAGTGATAGCTTGAACCCTTTCAACCATGACATGCAGAATATAGTCTTTATTCGTCATTTGATTGTTTGTAGAAAGTTTTTCTTTCTAGTCCACCTATACGCCTTGAGAAAAAGATCTCAATATTATTTCACTTCAAAAACTTATTGTTGTTGTTCTCATGGTTTTAACTTGTATCGAATTGGCAGATGAGTGACGACCACCCTTATATTATTCCAGAGATGGACTCAACACTCAGAAAACAAATTCAGGAATGCAATTGGCAGGTCGTAAATGTTACTACACCCGCAAATTACTTCCATGTCCTCCGTCGTCAAGTAAGTGAGGTGTTTTGGTTATGAGTATGATAACTTCAGTTCATTGTTTTTGTTCTCACTTATCATTTGGTTATACCAGATACACAGGGAATTTCGTAAACCTCTTATTGTGATGTCCCCCAAGAATTTACTTCGGCACAAGGACTGTAAGTCGAATCTTTCTGAATTTGACGATGTCCAGGGGCATCCTGGTTTCGACAAACAAGGTACCAGGTTCAAGCGCCTCATAAAGGATCAGAATCTCCATTCAGATGTTGAAGAGGGCATCAAGCGTTTGGTTCTTTGCTCCGGAAAGGTCTGTACCTCTGTATTTTTTCACTAATATTAATATAAAATGTTTTCCGTCATGTTTGGCTCATAGTTATATGTTACCAGGCCTTTACTTGAGTTTCTATCCATGTCTTTCGTGTTAATGAGCTTCCAGTAAAGAACATACTTGAAAGAATGGTCCCAATTAGCGTAATACTAAAGATTACTTGTAATTCTATTATATAGTACGTTAAAAGTTATATGTTCTGTTTACTTAATCCCTCTTCTTCGGTTTTGATTTTTTAATTTGCTCCTAATCGGTTCACTGCTTGTTTTCTCCCATTTTCCCAGGTTTATTATGAACTTGACGAAGAGAGGACAAAGGTGGAAAGAAAGGATGTTGCCATATGCAGGGTTGAACAACTGTCTCCATTCCCATACGACCTCATTCAGCGTGAGCTGAAGCGGTATCCTAGTAAGTTTATAAATTTTGCTTAATTAGTTTCGATGAAAATTCCTAACATCCTGAATCTCCTCTGCACTCTGTTGCTCGCTAATTGGTAATGCAAGCATTTTGTGTAATAAATTTGTTTTATACTTGCCAACCCACAAGCCTCAAAGTTATTCTCTTTCTCAATCATGCGGACTAATGCGTAAGTTTTACCATTTTATCTGGCTATACTTATCTCAATACTCTTACGGCTGATCAGCGTTTAGCTTTTCCAGACTAAGGCTGGTCCTATCTGATATGAGATGGAGTATATAGATTTACTTCTTGCTTTGCTAATAGATTATGTATTGTTATAAGTAGAGTCGCTATCTTATTTTCTCTTCCTTTTTTTTTTAAATAAAAAAAAAAAAAAACTAATTTCTGGATCATCTGAAAACTTAAAGCAGGATGGTTTTCTAAATAGATTGGGTCTTCATTTTAAAAGTACCACTAAACATGTTATTTTTTAATCGGTGTTTGTTGGATAAATAGACGTCAGGAGTTTAGTTTAATGCCTTTGGTTGAAATGCCATCGATTCTTTCATATTGTTCTAATGGCCTGTGTTAATGCTAAGACCGCCCTGTATATTTTAGCTCTGTTAGATCTCCCACCCTCACTTTGATATTTATCATTTTGCTCAACCATTCATATTGCGGATCCAATTACCCACGCACCAATCTGATCATAATTCTTCTCAGTAATCTCGACTCGCGCTCTCACTTGATTTGTGCCGTTCCAGACCCTTCTTCATACTGCGTTAAGAAAGCTGCAGTTTCAAGAATGAAATGACTCTGCCGGCTCCTTTTCTGGGATATGATTTTCTCCTCTGATTTGCTTGAGGCCTTTTGTTTTCTCTTCAGGCAGTGATTTAGTCTTCAACTTCAACCCCCCTCCTCCTCCTCCCCCGTTTACATTCCTTGCTGGTTTATTCTTAATTTGATGTTGGAAGTTCTGTGTTTCAACTAAAGTTACATTACTCTTAAATCAGAATGATTTTTGATTAATTTGAGATGGTACCTCATTTAACTTGTTACCTGATTATGGGCAACTTCTCTGTGGTCCCATATTACAGTGAGGTTTAGATTCTTTACACACAACAGTAAGAGAAAGGAAAAAGTTAAAATTAGAAAAGAAAACATATTTCAGGTGATCACTTGCACCACATCCGTTGCGGGTCTAGGTTCTCTGTGTGTCGATATGGGGGAGTGTGAATCTAACTTTTCTAGTATTAATGAATTTATATTGAAGAACATGAGAACTGAAAGTAACCTCGCTTCTGCTGTTGGGTTGGGCTGTTGAGCAATTGTCTGTGGGCCGAAACAAACAACTATTAGTCAACTAACTTTTGCAAAAAAAAAGGTGCTTCTTAAGCAAGTAAGTTTTGGAAGATGAGGCTTGTGGGCAGGGGAGAAAAGCAAATGAGGACGTGCCTCTATTTATTGGTTCTTCTAAAGATTAAAGATGGTAAAATTGGCATAAAAGCCGCTGTGAAAAAGAACAAAATAAGAGTTAATCGATTTGGTCAGTAGGATATGTGTGAGTCTTAAGTAGAAGTGGTAACTTTTCGTTATGTCAGTAATTGCATTGGCAGCTATGTATTTCCTGCTCTGGCAATATCATTTGCATAAACTGGGGTGGATGTACTTCTTGCTTTACATAGTTACTGCTGTAATTCCTCCTGAAAGTTGATATTTCCCGTGTCTGGATTCATGGAAATCTGATGGATTGATTGTTTAGTTGACAAATCGATCTGACTTCTTTGCTGCACTTTTTGTGGTTCTTTTCAGATGCTGAGGTTGTTTGGTGCCAGGAAGAGCCAATGAACATGGGTGCATACAATTATGTTTCACTTCGCCTTGCTACTGCAATGAAAGCATTGGGAAGAGGCGACATGAATGACATTAAGTATGTTGGACGGCCTCCTTCTGCTGCCACAGCCACTGGCTTCTACAGTGTCCACCTTAAGGAGCAGAGAGAACTTGTAGAGAAGGCCTTGCAGCCTGATCCAATCAGTATGCCGTAATTGCTTCATACGATTCGGAAGCATTAAGTTATTCTTCTTTTTGGTTTGGATTTGAGGAAAGGAAGATACAACTCCAGCTCAAACAGTCTATTGAACATTGAACATACCATGCCCCGCTGGTGTTTTATTTTTTTGTTTCCGACAAAGGCAGCTTGATGAACAGAGCTGCATCGCATGTTTATTTTTCTTTTTGGTCTGCCGTGCACAGCGGGGGGGTAGGGGGAAGCTTCTAATGTTTATAAAGCCAGAGTTTTGTTTGCGGTTGTATTACTAAGAAAACCTCACCGAGTTGAAAATAAACGAACATCTGACATGTATTTCTACAAGAGAATTTATTGAGTTCAGCACCCCTTCTTTTTCCCTTTTTTCCCCTGCATTTCTGGGTTTATGTTTCAAAAACTAGTCAGTTCTAGGCTAGTAATGGAGTTTGAGACTGCAGGATGTTATTAGTATGCTGTTTTCAATTTTTGAAAAATCTGTGCTTTAGTTCGAAGGTTAATGTTCTATTAGTGAACAATCAAGTGTGTGAGCCGCAGAAATGGCCAAACATACTCTGTCCGACGTTTTTCGTTGGATTAATGTACAATTGGAATTAGACTTTTATAACGTTCCGTGCGACATCATTAATGGCACGCAATAACAATCCCAATTTATTTTGAGGTTGTAATTACTAATGTACAAGAGACCTTTTTGGTCTTATTCTATGGCAGAAGGATGATTAAGACGGATAACCTCATTTGTAATGAACACAATGGAAATAAAATTACAATTTTCCGCAGGGTAAGAAACCGCGTCTGAGTCTCGTGACCAATGATGGTAGTACGAATAGCAGCAATTCTGATGAATTCTGTTGTTGGATTAACAACAATTTTAAACAATTTACACAAAGAATATTTAATGGGTATTCTGAACCATAAGTTTCAGCCATAATGCTATATACAGTTGAGTTGAGAGTTTTCAAGTTACTGAGAACACAGCTTCTAAGGAATCAATCACAATTAATTAGGCACTGATTTTGGCCGGTTGAAATCCATTTGTTACGAGTGAAGTGGAGTTGAATTTGTGTAAATGAGATGGAAGTCACTTGTGATAAAATCGGATATAAAAATATGCAAGTAAATTATGTACACTCTTCCCCCCTCCTTGTATTTTCAGCTTTAACTTTGAACCACACATTATCTGATGATTATTGTTTCCGTTTCATCGACCATACTTAACTTCATTCCATTATAAATTACTACAATTTATTTGATGACTCAAAATCCAACACATCTAACGACGTAAGAAACCAAAGTTTTTGATAATGTGTGCGCTATATACCTGGAACATTAATTATAGTATTATTATTTCTTGCTTCTACCTCATAGATGGTGACAGGGCACAACCTTAACTTCTTACTGGAGTTGATGATGGCTTTGAATTATTTCTGTGTCTTTGATATTTTTAATTTGTTTAATGAAGTCAATAACCCTGGTAAATTGAATGCGCTTCGGTTATCAGATTAGGACACGCACGAAATTAAATTGACAACCGGGATTTCCACATCATTAATTTGTTGTATTTTGTCACATTTTATGATACTAAATTACGAAATGAATTTAGTTAAAAATAGGTTTACAGTAACATACATATTAAAAAAAAAAGTATCTGTTTCTTGAATCATAGGATGATGTATATGATTCATCCCATAAAAAGCACAAAAATTGATGCGTAAAAATCATCCAATTGCTATCTCCAATAGTATATTATTGATCCTGCAACTGCGAATTAAATGGGCATTCTGGGGTTTTCATTTTGATGTGTTACTAAAATGGAGGAAACCAGGGAATATTATAAGAACATCCTAGTATTCCTATGGTAGAAGTATGTCAAGTGGCATGCACATAATGATCGCAACAATCAAAAAAATAAATAAAAATCAGATAAAGGCGCATTTTCGTAGAAATAGAGATTATCAAAAGCCAGATCATACGTGTATGCAGTTGTTTGCACAATTTTATAGTTAAAATAAGATGATTACCTAATGTTTGTCTATAAAGAAAAATTCTGAATTTCCAACGTCTTAATGAAAATCATCCAACCCAACTCTCTTATCTCAGCAATCGACCAGTTTCTTCCCAACTGTGGGCAGGCAAAAAAACTTGTTGGATTTTGTTCCCTCGTTATAATTAATGCTCAATTGATCTGCTTTGCTGATCCGATCAAATTGCAATCACCCCACCCCCACCAAATTATACAGTATTTGGAAGCCTCTCACTGGTAAATTACGAACCAATTAAAAGGATGCGATTAAAAAGATAGCTTAATTACCTAACACCATCAAAAAGCCATCTTCATCAATTTCCACTTGGAAGACATATTGTCAGCTTCAGTGCAAGCAGTCTCATTAACATTGATCTCATTCCACCTTCCAGCAATGTTTGTTGTTTGTTGTTTGTTGCTGTTGTTTTTTTTTTTTTTCTCCATTCTTTCAGTCTCAAAATGAATTATTTTTTTTGAGACAGAACTAGGAACGGAGTATAATTTTCTTGTACTATATATAGAGTTGGACATTCAGTAGTCCACTTGGCTCACAAATAACGTCTAATTCTTCTTAGTGGGGGGAAAAACTGAAAAAAAAAATAAAAATTGTTATAACAATTTATGTTCATTTTACGTGTCTCAGTCACACGTTACACGACATCTCCCCCACATCAGGTGTTATGGGCTTATAAGCAATTTGATTCGACGAATATGTTTATAAACAATTAATTGCATGCAAATGTCACATTTGTGCGGAATGATCAGAAATCCGAGGCTTTTTCTGCTGCGGCGATGCTTCTTCTTCTTTATGAAAGAGTTCTTTCACGTAACTTACAAGACCAAAAACTCAAACTACATCTCAATAGGTTTGTCGTTACACAATGCACCCAAAATTTATGAATTTTTATACGTAAATTAATTCTATTATAAACGTGTGTTCATGAAATAAGCAACCACTTATAAAAAGAAGACCTTAAAAAGTTGCTATTACATTTAATTGTTTGTCGACTTAAGGCAATCGCTTCCTCTTCAATTTGAATTTGATATCAAACACAAATCCAAACTAACAAAATTAACGTTACATATGGGTATTGGTTTTATGATTGAAAATTTGCAATAATTGGTTCGTTGAGTGGAAAGCTCTGTTCATTTCACTTTCGCTTTAAAGTTGATGATAAATAGTGATGGGATCGAAACGTGTGGGGAAGGATATTCCTCCATGAAGAAGCTTATAAATACGTCTGCAAGCAAAACCCATGCAAATGGAATTTGCTTATATCCCACTCCCACCATATATATATAACTCTTTGATTGATACATATATATGATATGGAGTTGTTGAAACAGGCAAAACCGTATTTGGCAGTGATATTCCTGCAGTTTGGATATGCAGGTTCTGGTATTATTGCCAAAGCTGCTCTAAACAAAGGAATGAGTCATTTTGGTTTCTCCATCTACAGAAATCTCTTTGCTGCTATTGTTTTTGCTCCTTTTGCAGCTGTTTTAGAGAGGTACTTGCATCTCAATGTCATTCGAATTTCATTATCTCTCACTCCCTCTGTTCCGGCCCAAACGAAAAATTTGTATTCATTGTATTATTTTAGTTCAACAAGCATGACCAACTAACATTTTGGCACGAAGGGATAAAGGGTCTTAATTATGGTGTTTGTCACACAGGAAAGTGAGGCCAAGGATGACTTTTCCAATTCTTTTCAAGATACTGATGCTTGCTTTGTTAGAGTAAGTTCCCAAATCACTATTTATTTTTAAAAAATAAAAAATAAAAAATAAAAATCCATGAACTATATGGGGATTCCCTAACTAGCAAATGACAATTCTCCAAACAGACCTGTAATCGATCAGAACTTGTACTACGCTGCAATGAAGTACACTACAGCTACATTTGCGGTTGCCATGACCAATATGCTTCCAGCCTTGACTTTTTTGATGGCTTGGATGTTAAGGTTTCAATTATACCATGATTAATCATTTCCACTTCCATAATTTTTCAATGGGTATGGAAAATTTTAATCCCTTTTTTACCATCATTGATTTTATATCCTTTCTCTAAGACTTGAGCAGGTTAACATCAGAAACATTCATAGTCTCGCGAAGATTGCTGGAACGATAGTCACTGTTGGGGGTGCCATGATTTTGACCATGGTGGCAGGACCAGCAATTAGATTGCCCTGGACTAAAGCTGATCAGAGTACTAATGTTGCTCATTCAACAACTGCCCAGGATCCAATCAAAGGAGCTATCATGATCACAGTTGGTTGCGTCTGCTGGGCTAGTTTTTACAACCTTCAGGTAACCAATAATCAAGGGCATTACTGAAGAATAGATCAGCTAATCAAGTTAAATTTGATGGTTATTCTGATTTAGCCATGCTGCATTGCATTGTCTAATTGTGCAGGCCATCACATTAAAGTCATACCCTGCTTGTCTCTCGCTCACAAGTATGATCTGCTCAGCTGGAGCGCTTCTGAACACCATACTAACCTTGGTAGTGGAAAGGGGAAATCCTAGGCTGTGGTCGTTACACTTCGATATTATCCTCTTGTCCTACTTTTACAGCGTAAGATAATACAGTCCTAATTCGTAAGAAGAATGTATAAACTGGAACATATTAGAATTAAGTTTATGAAGAAACTGATGCATCATTCGCTCATTAGCGGTGATCAATAATCAATTACTTGTCATAACAAACTTAGTCAATAGTATAACACACTTGTCAATTACTGCCACTATCATTATCCAATTCATAATCTTATTGTTGTCAATGAATTTTCAGGGAATGATAACTTCAGGAGTTGGTTATTATGTATCAGGAAAGATAATGAGGGCAAAAGGACCTGTGTTTGTCACTTCCTTTAACCCTCTAGCCATGGTCATTGTTGCTATTTTGAGTAGTTTCATCTTAAAGGAGCAATTGAATTTTGGAAGGTATACCACCACAAACTAGCATCTCACCTTTTAGTTGATTGAGTTAGTGGAACAAGATCTAAGATATTTGTATGTTTCAATAATTGTAGGGTATTTGGAGCAATCACCATCGTAATTGGCCTTTATTTAGTGGTTTGGGGAAAGTGCAAGGACCCAAGTTTATCATCAAAATCAGACAATGTTGACCAGATTGCAACCATTGATGTACAATTACAAGACAAAAATCTAAGGACAGATTGTGTAAAAGAAGGGAAAGCTGATGTAGCAAAGGCAAATAATGTTGGAGACAATGCTGTCTAAGTAGCATAGCAATATATGTAAAGAAAGATTTTTAAGTATCTAAGTTTTTAAGGATTTCATGCAGTACTACAAACTCCAAGTGCGAATCTTCCTTTTCCACTGGTACCTGAATGTTTGCAATTATATCAGTGCTTTACATTATGATCCTAATTCAAGGTCCTTTTTTTTTGGGGGTTGTAAACCGTATTGTTTCATTCTTATTTCCTTTTAGATAGAAAATGTCAAATATAATTTAAGAAACTCTAAATAACATAGCATTAAGCCTGTAGTGCATCACATTTTTCGTAAACAACCATATACAACCTACAATTTCAAATTTAGATGTACATCCTCATTTCTGATTTCCCCAAAATAGTTGGAACTCTAAATGGAGGGGATTATGTCTCTATTCTAATCTCAATGATAACAACAAACTATTATAAGCGAAACAATATCATTTTAGGTAAAGCCAAAAAATAGACAAGCTATATCATTTAAGAATGGTCAACGAATAACCAACAAAACAATAATATCGCCAAAACACCGACAACTGTCTACTCCAAATACTATAACAGTTGCTCATCCTAGTGTTAGGAACATCAACTTTTCGTAACAGATAAAAGCATTTTTATTCAGGGGCTAAACTCAGGGTTTTGTTATATTATGAAGTTAGCAACCTTTCCTCACATGTTTTCAGACAGGTTTCATGAGATAATATTAGCAAATATGAAAACCTGAAAAGTGTTGACTTAGGCCAAAGATTCAGGATTCTGTTTTGATAGCAAACTATTAAAAACTTGTAAATAATGCTACTTTACAGGCCACACACAAGCATTAGCATCTGAAGTGAATTACCTATTAAATTCCATTATATATAATGTACAAGCATCAGAACCAGAAGGAGATGTCTGGTACTCATAATAACTTGGCTGCTTCCTCCTTGCCATATATACGTTCAAGTTCACGAGTTGCTGCTTGATAAGATGCTGAACAAAGGTAAGCTAAGTTAATGAGCAAATACAAGATAACACCTCAACTTTCCAAAGTGGAAATGTATTGGTTAGGAAAAGTAGAAAACTAAAGCAGAACATAATCTCACCTTTCCAAATACGAAAGTTCTTCTGATTGATTGAAGACCCTGTCAACTTTTCAATGGCTTCAAATAGCATTTCCTGAGGAGTGCTTTTTAGTTCTTGTACCGCTGCATAAACAGATTTCCCGTTCTCAAAGAAAATGTGATTGTTTGGATGTTTTGTCTTGCCACCAGCATGACGCTCAAACTCATAAGCATTGAGAGCCTGTAAAAGAAACTAACACATAATACATCCCGAATGAATTACAAGTTGCTGTGGCAATTTTTTAACAAACCCTGAATCACCTTGGTTTGATTACAGTCCTTGCAACCACACAAGTAACCAGTCCCTTTTATCACTCCATGAAGATTTTTCTGCAAGGACAGAAAGTCTAATACATCTCACAACTTGGCAAAATATAAACTTCATTAAAGGAAGAACATATGTATCTTCCAACCCACCTCTCTTGACCAAGAAACATATTTCACAGGAACTCCATCAAAGATACCTGTTGATAACATACTCTTAACATTTGCAGGAAAGTTATTTGTAGGTATCTTCTTCTTCTGCTCCTTATTAATGAGTGCACCGTCTGCTATGTTGCTCAACGAAGCAACACTTGCACCCTGATTTTCATTTGGCTCCATCAAGTTATCTTGGGTATGAGTTTCAGCAGGTTTCTCCAATGATTGTCTGATTAACAAATCAGAACTGCTGAGCAGCCTGACAGAGGCATCACTGGTTTCTGCTTCAAAAGAGATGGTGGTGGCCTGACCTTCAACATAGTTTGGAACCATTGCCATAAAGTTTGAATTCTGGGTATCATATATGATGCCCTGTGATGCAGTTGTATTGTCCTTGCCCTGACTAGGACCAACTGTGCTCATAACATCATCCCTCTTGTCAAAAGAAGTACCTATTGCCATTTCAGCAGGTTTATGGTAACTGTGGTTGATCAAGAAAATACTTTCATGCTCCCGACCATATCCAGGAACAGTTGAGGAAAACCTGCCAGCTTCCTTTCTATATTGTTGATCAACTGGGATAAGGTTGCAATTCCAAGTATCATAACGGAGAACTGAAGGAAGCACAGACTTGGTCTTCCTGCCATGCTGGTGACCAATTAGCAACGGATCATCATTTCCTTTAGCAAGTACTGGACCTGCTGAGATGATGTTGGGCTCTGCCTTGCTGAAGCTGGTCACGGGCAAAGTGTCATTGATATTTTCCTTGGGATAAGTTCGTTGAGGCGCGATACAGTTTTCACTCCTTTGGTACGAAATACACCTCGAGAATATATCATCCTCTCCTGTGTTAAGGGGTGGCACAACTGATTCTGAGAAGCCACCTCCAGAATCCCTAACCAGGTTGCCATTAACTTTTCCCATGCCACAAATGGAGTGTTCAATGTCACGACTCATAGCTAAATTAACCGATGAATTATTCCCGAACTGATCACTGCCACCTGCTCTGCCCACATTCATATTGTTAGAATCAGAGCATGAGGTAGTCTTATCAGAAAGATCACAAGTCCCCACAGACTCGGGGTCAAATAGTTGGTCAGTAAAAGCAGAAACAGATTGGCAACTGGAAGGATTATTCCACAAGGAAATGTCCACATTTTCTGCTTGCACTGGTCTGATTATTGATTCTACTGCTTGCTTTTTGTTACTGAAGAATTCATGTACTGGTATATCCCATTGATGAGTACGTTTCTGCTCAAATTTGGAGGAAGTTTGAACATTCATCATCCCGTCATTAAGGGAAACGGACTCTCCATTTAACCAGAAGTTTTTGTTATGGAAAGACTGCAATAACCACATGAACATTTGTCACTGGCGATTCTATCTACTGTTTCATTTATTCAATCAAACCCATACAAGAAATCAAACAAACCTACAAAATTAACATATTAATATCATCTAAAATTGGTGTCGGTATGAAGCATTAAAGTTATTTAAGCACTGCAATTAAACCACCAATAATAGTTCCAGTCAACCAAAATGACCCACTGAACTATCAAGATTTCGACTTTGCACAGACAGTAATGATGTAATAAGCAAAAGGGTAGCTACTTCCGCAAACCCGTGTTAACCTTTCAACTAGCATCGAGTAAGCCAGAAATGCAAAAACATAAGCGTGGAAACTCAGCTTACCATTTCGACACTCATGAAATTCAACTTAATTAGCTGTGGAGGAAATGACCAGAGCTTCACTTATCCTGGACAACAGGTCTCAAGTGTCGACTCACTCCAACCTGCATTTCAACTTTAACATCGATCAATGGCGAAAACTTACTTTTCTGGGTGGGGTGTGTGTGTGTGTGTGTGTTGGGGGTTTCAAATATCATAGGAAGTGCAGATCATTTTACTCCCAGAACACAGGTTACAAAGGCTCTGCTCTTTTTTCTCTCTCTTTTTTTTTTTTGGGGGGGTAAAACAAAGGCTCTATTGAGTTCACAGTTGGATAATGAACAAAGTAATTGAGCACGAAATTAGAAACTGTGACAGAAGGCAAAAAGGAAAGGGTACGTTTTACACTTTCCACCTCAATGTTCAAAAGTAAAGCCTATTTGGGCAAATCAGATATTACGGACATTCATCATCATCATCAAGATAATAATAATAACAATGAACAGCTAAACGACGACATTGATGCAATTGATTTTAGAATGCATACTAGGGTAGATGCGAATGCGAATAGAAGGAGAGCATGATCATCGGTGAGAACATAGTTACCCTAATTGTGGTACTGGGAATTGCCGACAATGGATGAGAAGACAGACGCGAGACCACCGGCGGTGGGCCTCCGGCGAACGTCGCCGAAGAAGACAAGAAGCAATTTTGATTATCCAGTGGCTATCATCATCAATCCCTTTTCAAAAGTAGACAATTAAAATAAATCTAATAGAAAGTAGAGGGGCCAGTCAGTGTGAGGTCACCTAAAGAAGAGTGGAGAGAATGAAGACTGAATTATGGAAAGCATAAAATGTGGAGGATTCAATCAATTGCTAGATAACCCGTTTGAAACAAAAGAACTATCTTGTGTACAAGGTTGCCAGTGTATGAAATACTCTTACCAAAATCCCGGACCAATTTTTGGTAACGGGACCTCTAACAATACTATACTTCAATTTTTTATTTTTTCAATTTGTACTAAAATTGAGAATTTTAGAACAGAAAGAATAATGTTTTGATAAAGAGAATTTGAAAGAACAAAAAATGACTACCTGTCATTTGTCAGGTTATCAAATATACTATGCTAGTGCTTCTTCGCATTTCAATCGATTGAATACGTCACGCATGCGTGATCAGAATTTACCAAATTTTTAGTTTGCACTGATTAGAATGTTATAGGGAATAGAATGGAGTGCTAACTTTTCCTCAAACTTTCCTGCTGTTGCTTTCTTGTCACTTGGAGGAGAGACTGATGATTTCTATCATCTGATGACGCAAATACTCATTCAAAAGTAAAGAGTCCTGCGCCTCCACAACTTGGCAGAGTTTCAGTAATTGTTAACTGCTGCAATGGGAAAGTTTTGAATAGCCGGTTATGACTTATGATTTGTTACTGATTTTGCATCCTGCTTTTGCTGATGATATCAATTGCTACATTTTGCTCCAGGACTGGCAAACAGTTAGGATCACAAGTGATGGATCTCACAAAAACTTAAAGTAGGTAAAATCATCCAATATAAATTAAGACAATACATATAGCTAGCTACTTGACCTGATGACCAATAGGTCACGAGTTCGAGTCACGTTTGGGGTAAGTGAAGAACCACTATTGATCCCTAAAAAAAAAAAAAAAAAAAGCTACTTGACAAAGCACTCTCTATCCATGAAAGCGAGCCATCTTATCCAGTTAAATACCGAACCATAGTCAAAATAGATTGGTTAATTTCTTCTCTTCTGTTCTACCATTGTACCTCTGGACAACCACAAACTCCAGCCACCATTGGCCCTGAAGCCAGGACAACTATTATGCCTCATCTTTGTACCACCTGATGATACAGAGGAGTCAGCTGCTTTTGATGTTGTATCTTCTTTCCTTTGGAAGAAGCAATCAGTATCTTACAGGGATTCAGGACTAGTGGAGGGTCTGATTCTCCAGGGCATCTGTGGACGATCACTCTGTGCAGGTTTTCGCGTTGTGGACATTTTGTTCAAAGGCTAATCAGACTCATCATCAACATCAAAATCTTCATCGTCCATACCCTAATCATCATCATCATCATCATCTAACATCATCCTATTACCTCGCGTAGTAACTTCAGCTGCATCTTTGTCGCTGCTATCTACATCATTGTCGTCATCTTGTATGTCATAAGGATGTCTGACCATCGACCAGTACACAAAGTTCGGCCTGATGAATCTGGAACCAATAAAGGATACGTCTCGTCAATGAATGTTAAGCAAGTTGGAGGACTGAAAGGTTTCTCAGCCAAAGGAAATTCAGAACTTATATCGCTAAAGAAGAAGGCAAACCTATCAGACTTCTTGAGCAAACATGGATCGAAGGGGAAAAACATGTCAGGCCTTTCTTCTTCATTACCAAAAGCCCTAGCGAGTTCTGATTCTACTATCACCAAATTCTCAGGCACAGTAAATAAGCGGGAGGATCTAGCTGCAGAGAGAAATTCTCCAACTACTGATTGGCAGCATTTCTGATAAGAAGCAGTTTTGGAAAACAAAAAAAATAAATAATAAAATTAAAGAACCAATCCATGATGTGAGAAGGAATCTCTTGTACCAATTTAAAATTCAGTTTTTCACCTTCAATGGGTTCAAAGGATGCTTCAAGATTTCATCTATCCGCATTAAAACTAGTTTTGATCCGAGACGGGGGACCGAAATAATAGATCTCGTACGGAAGCAAAGCACATACATAAATGCCTGCAGCAACATCAGAAATCTCAGTCAACAGAGACAACAAAAACAAACTCAATTTCATTCAAGACCACAGGAAAGAAGACAGAAGGCAAAGAGAGAGCACAGGCCAAGCAACAAAATGCTTTCGCACAAGCTATGCACCAAAATAGTAAATACCACATAGAATGCACGGCAAATAGGCGACAACTGATCATCAAATTGTCCTGAATCAAGATGACATAACAATACCTGACAAGCAGTATAAAACTCTTTACGTGGTCTTTGGTTACTATGTCCATCATGATTCTTGCAATAATCAGAGCACCAATTTACCAGTCTGAGGCGGCAAAACACAATCAATGAATATTCTGAATGACTTTTTTTGCAAGCTGTCCTTCCAAAGAAAAAATGTGATGGAAGAGGACAAACTAATAATTAAAAGATATAAATAAAAAGCGGATCTACTGATCAAGTAAGGTTAACTGGAAAGAATATTAGACATTGATCACCTTTCCAACAAATGAACTACCAAAGGTGTGGATACAAACATTGCATGAGACAAGTAACTCGCAAGATAAGCAACAGCACTCATTCTGCAATGAAGAAGAATAAGACAACGTTAGTTTAGGACTTTATTTCGATTAAGAAGTGGAACACACACAATGACAAATATATCATCTAACCGGAGACAGTGGAGCAGAACTGACTGAACATTCATCATCAGGGTTATTTATCCAACAGGATTCTTATAAGAATTTTTACAGTATTATGAGCACTAATATAAGGGGAATATATCGCCAGATATGCCGCAAAGAAGTGTAAAATAGAGCGACCATACCATAATGCCAGGGCAAGAAACATCAGTGAAATAAGAAGCACAATTCAAGATTTTTTTTAAGAAAAAGAAGAAGTAAATGATGACAGCAGGAACAAGACACCTACAACAGAATAGTGAAAAGGAAACTGAAACAATAACTTTCTAGCAGCCACATCGATTCCTATCTATCAACATATAATACTTTTAGTGACAAAATACGATAAGGAACAGCCAACTGTACCTCTTGGGTGGACAACTGCTGCTCAGAAATGTATTTAAAAGAGTGATGGCAAATTGTTGTCCGCAATTGTCAGGATCCAAAGAGCACATATAGAATATCACAAACTGCAACAGCCAACAAAGCAATAATGAGGAAGTCATTGTGCTTCCAAACACACTGGAAATGCATGGTGGCTATGAAGAGTGAATGAGGGACTCCCAATGCTAATTATGGTTTATGTCAACAGGAAAACACCTGTCCAAACTTGGGTTTATCCGTGGTCAGAACTTTTTCCATAAATGACTGGAGGAGGATCCCAAAAACCTGCCAATTTAAGGAATGTTCGTAGAGAGAAAACAGGAGAGAAAAACACATGAATGAAATAAATATTATTAATGATTTAAAGTCTTACTAGATGCAGACGACCATTACTATTTGAGAGCTTAAGGTGTTCAAATGTGACAACCATCAAGCTGTCCAATTTCCCGGCCATTAGATTCCCACCCAAAACCTTTTGTATCCAATTCTCTCTACAAGGCTGAAAGCAAGAACCATTTTCAGTAAACCAGAGAGACAAAGGAAATAATGATGTTAAAATGGGAAACAATTAATCTGAACGAGAGGGAATCATTAACAAATTAACAAGCTAAATGCACACATCCATAAAAGAAGAAACAATAACCCAAGTCAAAAGCAAAATGAATTACACAGATGATAAACGCGTCCACCAGAATGGCATATAATGAATTTGAGTTGTAATTTTTCAGATACTTCAGATAGTCAAAATTTACCAAAGGATAGATGAACAATGCTCAATAAGACAGTTTCTAGTCAATTTCACCTGATCACCATCACACTCAAAGTCATCTTGAGGGCCTTCAAGGTAATTGTCCAGCTCCATGTCGAAAATGCCTTTGGTTAAATCATCCTGTAATATATCATCCCAAACTATCGCCGCCTATTAGGCATCCAATTAAGAAAGAAATGTTAGAACCCCTTTCTCCATTCATTAGCTACTACTTAATGTAAATGAGCAATTAAAAAAAACAATGAACTAAACTCACATCCAGCTCGACAAGCATATCTACAACTCCCGCAAGCATTGACCTCCCAACAAGTTCACCCATTGTACCACTCTCCAACCTTGGCATGTTCTCCACATACATAACGATTATCTGAAAAAATGATACAAAGTTATAGCTTAAGTACACAAAGACAGCACAACCGTAAAGAGAGAAACGTAAAGAGAGAAAATTTAATTGAGACATAACTTATGCCGAACAAAAGAAACAAGAAAAGAAAAAATGAGTATACAAGTAAATGATATTCATAGGATAAATTCTTATAATCTTATGCTTTCAACATCAGAAAGAACAAATCAGTAGTGGAAAAGTAAAATCCTCAATGATGAGCGGCTAAAAGAAAAAATCAGGAATCCTTTTAGAAGGGATCATTTAAAAGTTTCCTTTTAATCATTTGCATAATGTAAATGCATCCAAAACAAATTTAAAGGTATCTTTTATGACAGGTTTGAGCAGAAATCAAAGCCGACTAAATTCTGATGATCAAGAGTTACCGGAATATGGATTTTCTGATATGGCTTTTAAGTCTGTTCATGGCTCTTTCAAGTTTCTCTTAACTCCCTTTTCTTTGGTCATGGATGAAATTTATGCAACTTATTTCCTCTGCATCACTAAAGCGCGGCTAGAACACTACCCGCAAAACAATTAAGAAACATTTATCACCCTAAGTCCAAATGAATTGTAGCTAAATAAGAAGGCAATGTTATTCATTTACAGAACCCCATGAATGTCATTAACTATTGCAGAACCAAAATAAGAAGCTAAAAATGAAAAATAAATTAAAAAAAAAAAGATGTCGAAGCAGAACTCATGCATCATTTACTATACATATGCGGGATGTATGTGTCTGTGTGTGTTTAGAGGGAGACAGTACAAACTTGGGATTCCATATATTTGGTTGGCATTCTCTGGATAACTATTTTTTCCAAAATGAAAGCAGCAGACGCACCCTGTAAACCAAGTATAGCTTTCAATGTCGAATGAACACGATCGAGTACTTGATTCTTCTTTTTGACATCACGAGGCCATTTCAAAGAAGCTAAGAGATAGCCAGGTGGAACAAAATCACAAACCAGCATATCCAAACACAAATGAAGAAAGTTTGAATTCAAAGGAGCCTGCATAAAAAAAAACACACGCACACACAGCTCAAAGAATCAGGCTGGTAGACATAAACAATACTTGTGAGGTTAGTTTCACACTAATGGTGCTAGGTAGAAAAACCGAATATGAGAACAACACGGTGCAAACATGTACTACCTCCGTCCCAAAAAAATAGTCCACATTGAGTTTTGAGTTTTGTACTGTTTTTAGTACAAATTTAAAAACTCAAAGTGGACTATTTTTTGGGACGGAAGGAGTATAATATAACAAAATACCAGAGAGAAAAGCATGATGATATTAAATGTTTCAACATACCAAAGATATCATAAGCTCAACCAAAGCATCCAATACTAAAGAGTTGCACTTCCAAAAGCTCATCGAGAATATCTGTGGACAATTTCCTAATTGAGAAATGGTACGAAAAAAGAACCAACTGTATGTAAGAGAACTAAAAAAAGGAGCACAAAGAAACTATAAACTCAGTACTTACAGCTTCAAGAAGAGATCGGTGGTGAACAATATCAATACAAGAAACTGCCGACCTTAAAGTCTGCAAACATTTCTACCATTAGCGGAAGCCAAAAAAAACAAAAAACCAAAAAAAAAACCAAAAAAAAACAAAAAAAAAAAATAAAAAAAGTATATGAATATAAAACACAGTACAAACACACCTTGAGCGCAGAAACCTGAAAAGCTATTACGTCCGGGCTTAAGCCTTCATTATGATGCATCAATCCAACGACTTGGCCTAAGCCATGCATCAACCCAACAAGTTCATTATAACCATCAGAATCACCCTAACCATAATGCAGAAAAAAAAAAAAGGTTCAAAATTACAACGTGACTGAGCAAAAATAAACAATAAATAAGGGGAAGAATGAATGGAATTTCACCTGAATATATAGCAGAAGTGAGGGAATCTTTAAAAAGCTGGACCAACTGGGAATCATTTAAGTTTACGAAATCCATATGATCATCAAAGATACCTCCTTGCGCAGCCCCACTCAATATATTTGACCAATAAAAACAAATCACTCAATCTACAAAATCGGAAACTTCAAAGAATTTCGTGGACGAAAATAATAAACTGTGACGACTTCCCGATGCTTACACTTTATTTCGAAGGACGCTGAGGCGGCAGGGCAGCCTCTGGGTGCTCTCCGTGTAGATCGTTTAAAATAGGGTTTTAGGTTCCCAAATTTTTAGTATTATTATTATATTTTCTTTTTTTTTTTCTCATAGTTTAAGGCGTTGTTTGTAAGTTTAGCAATTATCAGGCTCTGTTCGTAAGTAGTATAACCTAAAATCCTACTTCTACAACTTAATTTTGATTCATCGTCAATCTCCCTTTTTTAGTACCTTGTGTCTCTGCAGAAAAGAACTATACAGTATGTACACATCAATTCAGTAGTACTTTTTTTTTTAATCTCTTTTTATTAAATTAAAAAAAAATCAGCAAAATTAATAAATTTCCTTTCCTCTTAAATCTTAATCAACTTTCACCATAGTTCATTATTCGATCTTTTTCTCCTAAGCTTCATAAAAACTGAGTTTTCCAGATAAGAATGCAACCATTAATTGTTTACAAAACAGGTATTGATGATATATATGTATAGAATCAGTACTTACGCCAACTTACATAAATCATTAAAATAGTGGACCAAAAAAATGTATATGTTGAGTGTATATATATAATAAAATAACACGGTAAATGTGTGGTATGAAGTATGAACAAATGAATGAATCCAAGAAACAACCCTGAAGTGCCAACATCATGATCAGTACTGTTGGCGGCCTAATATATGGACTATGATCTAGCAGTACTAAACAAACTAAACTCAACATTTACACATGTTTTTCTTAAACGGAATTGATTTACAAAACACAATCAAGTAGTGTTGCAGGATGAGGCACTATCCTTTTCCCAAGTCCGAAATCCAAATCATCATTCTCCAGAGGAGTCAAATTCAAATCCAAACCCCATACCCTTTTGTAATCATCATTATTCGACTTCTTCTTCACATCCGAATCATCATGATCGTGTGACACATTTGTCGTCGTCTGAGACGAGATCGACGATGAAACCGGAGACTGGTGGCGGTTCCGATCATCGCGATGGTTGTTGTCGGCGGCCGCCGCCGCCCGGTGTCTCCTCATGTGACCGCCGAGCGCCTGACCGACGGCGAACTCCTGGCCGCAGATGGAGCACTCGTGGGTTTTGGGTTTCGGCGGGGAGGTTGCCACGTGGGATTGTAAGCTGAGGTCTCCGCCTAGCTTTGGCTTCTTATGGCTCGCCCGGTGGCCTCCCAAAGCTTGGAACGACGGGAACTGCCGGTTACACGTTTTGCACTCGAACACCCGGCTAGGGCTCAGATGATGGCCGGCGTTGTTGCTGACGTTTGTGATGTTGTTTAGTACTTCGAAGTCTCCGGTGGCCCCGGATAACAACATCAAGCAGTTGGCCATGGCGGTTATGCTGTTGAATTCAGAATCCCTGCCTCTTTTCATCCCTATATTCATCATTCCCATTTCAACTGCTGGTTCTGGTTTCGGTTTCGGTTTTTTATGTTTTGGGAGGGGTGTGAAAGAAAGCTTTGATGTTGTAGGAATGGAGGAAGAGAGAAGGCGGTAGAGGAGATTTTGGTGTATTTGTTGAAAGTGAAATGAGCAAATGAGAAGAGTAAGCAAATTAAATGGTGGTGGGTGGTGATCCTTTGCATATTTATAGATTCATTTTTCTGGATTTAGATCAGGGCACTTTGACTTTTGTGTGTGTGTGTGTTGACCTTTTGTGTTAATGACGAAACTGACCATGTTTCTTGTGGGATAAGGAAGCTGTAGACTTTTAGTTACTTGGTGGTAGTTTTGGACTTTTCGCAAACAGTACGAAATATAGTCATTACTTATTTTAATTATTATTAAGCGGAGAATAATCACCGAAATTATGTTACTGAAATAGTACTTACGTACGTAGTAAGTAGCAGTAAAACTTTTTGTACAAGTGGTTATACTAGTATTTTTTTGTAAATATAAATATATTTTTTTGTGGGGGTTTGGTAAGTGTTTCCAGTAGCTGTTCAACTTTTTTTTATATCTTTTTCAAATTGGATGCCCACAAACCTAAAAGGTGTGAATTTTGGAGCTGTCAAAGGGACCAAGCAAGCCGTAAGCCGTGACCGCGTGGCTTAGGCAGCTAACTCGGAGTGACGAGCCCGTGATTTGTGACTGTGAGTCGTGTTTGGCGAGCGGCTCCGACCCAAGTGAGTCCTCCTTTCTAAGAATCTTCCATTCTTCCAGAAGGTTTTTCGATTATTTTATTATGATCACCTGATGATTTGATTTGCGTTACCCCCTTGTTCATTCATTCGCTTTTTTTAAAAAAAAAAAAGTACGTTGAAATTACTAACATGTGGTATTCAATTCATTGCACGTAGCTGTGGCGTTGGGGGATTAATTTAATGAAATAGTTCGTACTAATTCGCTTAGATAAGAATGGGAGGATAAAAATAAAATATGTACTATATCGAAAATGTAATTTTGCACTAGTATACTGTTTGGCATTATTGGTACTAAAAAAATTCAGGAAATTTACATGGATGGTTATGGTTCAGTATTAATAATTATATTCTGTATTTGGAAATGATAATACGGAGTTACACATTCGCGTTTTGTGCTTATATAGTCTTAAATCACATCCTTATTATAAGACATTTTGATTTGTTTTAGGTTTCACTTCACCTAATATATTTTCACATTCATTGTGTTCTCTTAATTATTAAAGAAATATTTTTAAGATTTTTTCTTCAATTGAAAAAATATATTAGATGAAATTTGTGACAAATCAAAATGGTTTATAATAAGAAGCGGAGGAAGTATTTCGGAGTTTAAACCGTGATGATGCGGACTGATCCGCAGAACGCTGAAGAAGCTAACTACAAAACGTTGTTACTAGTTTCTTTTTCAGGTCAAATTCAAAATTTAGAATGGTCTACTTAATTAAAAGATTCTGCATGTGTTTCCTGGTTCACATGCATGTACGACCGGACCAAACATAATTTGCTCATAGTAGTGGATTTGTTCTTTTGGTGCTTTAGTAAACACAAAATATCATTAACAAGTTGCAGGTGCGCATCGTCCAGAAGAATACTAGCTACCCATACGTTTTATTTAAATTTAATTAGAGAGTTGAAGCTGTATAAATGTGCATCATGCCAATTTGTATTAATAATGTAGGAGTATAAAAGTAGTTTAACAAGAACAAATAGCACAACTAACCCTACCACTGGCTGCTGCTGGTCAACCAATATATTGCGCGTGGGTGATGAAGTTTTCGCGCCCACAAGTAATGTTCATATTACGCTAATCTCTCCTAATTTTCTCCAATTAATTGTTTGCCTTAGCTCTCTTCAAATTTATAATATAAAGTTTGAAGGATAGAATTGCCACTTTAAAAATTAAAAAACAAAATACATTACGCAAGAAAATTGACAAACGTACAACTATAGTTAGGGGAAACTAGCTAGCTATACCTAGGCAATTCTTTCATTGAGTATTTATATACTCTCTCTATCCTAGAAAAACTGTCCACATTGAGTTTTAAGATTTGTATTAAAATTATTACGAAATTCAAAACTCAATGTAATAATATACTATTATTCACGCAAGTCGCAACAACAATTTATTTATTTTTTTTTTATGAGAAAGCATTATTTATCACATATTGGGGGATTAAAAAGCAACAACAAATTCAAATTAAAGAGCTAGATATGAAATTGACCAGAAAGTTGAAAGCTTGATTTTTCATTTTTTTGTGCCGAATCTTTGAAGCTAAGAACAGAAACTCAAAAAGACGTTATATGCATGCCCAAAGAGCTGCGAGTCAAATTAAGTTTTAAAGTGTTCGAGTGGTACAGTCACAGCACTATTCGTCAGAAGTTTAACCTACTTTTTCATTAGCTGCCTTTTGTTTGTTTTTCAATTCATCAGGTTTTAATTAATTATTTTATGGGTTTCAAAATGATTATTCTCTTTGTACAAGGTTAATTTGGAGACGGACGGACGGAGGGAGTAGTAATTCATTTGAACATCAAAGTTTCTAGAAGAAAAGGAATATTTCACTTTTGTTCCGTCTTCCTGTTTGTTCTTTTGGACATAAAATAAATGGTAAGTTACTGGGTTTGACTGAAAGGAGATATACTCAGAGAGCGTCGGCGGCAGTCATGGACTGCATACTTTTAGTTTTTATACCATTTCGCCTTTGCTTCGATGTTAGACGAAATTAATAGAAGGAAAAAAAAAATACTGTTAAACAAATTGATGGGTAGTTGAAATTTGTGGAAGGGTCGGTTAATATCTTAACCAAAATACAGAGTTGACTAAACTCAGAAAATCTTCAGAGATTTCGTACATTAACTGTGTTACTCAAAAGGATAAGTATTCAAGAAAACTGAAAAACTCGACCGTCATTCAATACGTGGGTTTTATGTTTCATTAATCTTTCTTAAAACTAGCTAACTACTTCCTAAGCTGGTATGATATAAAAGGTTTAAACAGAAAATCTCAAATAGGGTGATGTCAGTTAGTTGGATAAAATGAGATAATCCGTGACGCCCAGAATATACTCCCTGTTATTAGTTTTCACACACGATCATCCACTCAAAGACTATATGTACTTTTATGAACGCTGGCTGAACGATTTTAGAATGTTAATTAGGTTATCATATTAATAAGCTTTTGATATGACTCCATTATTTTTTCTTTCAATAAAAGTCCAATTAACATTTAGAAAAGAAAAACTTGGATCAAAATGTACGTGCGCGCATCTAAGTCTAGATGCCCGATGAGCTTAATTAGTTGTTCCAAAATCCAACTACTTTTCAAAACGGATGTTTCTTCTTGAAAAATAAAATGGCTTATTCACATCTGAATCTCAATGATCATATTAATGGATTATTCTCATCACGCTGTCATGGTTCGAAATTCCATTTTAGGCACTATAAAACTTTACTTTTTAAAAAAGTGAAAAAAAAAACATATTATCATTATAAAAATCTTACGTTATGTTTGTTTTGTTTTTTTAATGTGTGTTTTTAAGTATTTTTTGTATTGGGAATGTAAAAAGGTGTGTTGAAAATGTAAAAAGATATGCTGAGATGAGACAATTATTAATAAAATAAAATAAAATAAAAAAACTATTAAAAAATCAAAACAAACAGAGCCTTAGTTACGCACTTTTAAGTCGAAAGGACATAAAACCAATTTATGATAATTTTTTCCACATTTAAAAAAAAAAAAAAAAAAAAACGTTTGCGGGTGAAGTTAGAACCTCCCCCTTAATTTTCTATTTCTAAAATCTTCCATAGAGATCAATGATGAATCTAGCACGCTAACTCACACCATTTTTAATATGATTCATTAGCGTAATAAATTTGATTGGTTGTTGAGAGATCACAAGCTTTGCTAACAAGAGAAGTGCACAATACAGATCGTGAACGCAAAATTCTCCATCAAAAGTCAAAATCAGTGCCGTACATAAATAGCATTAGCTTATTCATACCTACGAGTTTCCAGTTAAGTTGTTTTGTATACAATTTTAGCTAGTCAGCCAAATTAATATTCTAAGGACCACTTAAAAAAATGATGATTATTACTACTATTTCACTGGCTGCGCTGCTGACTTGTTACTCCGACTTCTCTAGCCAACCGATTAAACTATTATTTATTATACATACAAAAATCAATATTATCTTTTACAGCTAACATATACGCTCCGGAGTTGATATGGGACGGCTTAGAAATGAACCGAACACAGCTTACTTGATTAGAAAGTAATTTATGTAATTGTCACAAATATTAATATTGACTACTAAATGGAACAGACTTTTACTTGTAGTATCAATTAATTAAATGTAACAATAAAAAATAGTGGAATAGGGTCTATTAAATTGTGGGGCTAACATCAGCAACTTCTCGATGGGTTGATAGTCAAAGGGTCTTCAGTACCGCTCTTTAGGTAGCCCGTGGATTTGAATATCAATGATCCCCTTCAATGAGAGGACAGCTTATTAATTTGACTTGTTAGTTTTATTCTTTTTATTTTTTTTTGGGATTTCCGACTTCGACTTTTAGTGTTATAAACCGTATTGATGGACCATAGAAAAAGGTGTTTTTTAACGAAGAAAACACGAGGAATATGTGTTTCTTAAACAAACAAATTCACTGTTCATTCTTCAAGGTTTGATATGTTTGCTACTCGGTATATGTGTCATGTTCATATTACATCCTATATCTTGGACGTTACCCCACTGGCATCCATCTATTTTGTTTGATTGTTTTTTTTAAAAAAAAAAAAACTTTTGAACTTTTTCATGCTAAATTTTGCTCTTAATTGAAGAAACTTTGTTTGAATTACGATTGATGAACCAAAAAAAAACATCCTTAATTTGGTTAATTACTGGGTAACCTACTTATATAAATTATTAACGGAAACTAATAAGTAAAGATTTTTGTGGTAGGAGTGAGGTGCAAGTGGGGAACTAGGAGGATGTGCTTAAAAACACAGCCGTAAATACTGAAGTAATCAAAACTCAAATCAGACTAACTAAACAAAATAAAAGTAGTTAATTTGATATATATATACTAAAGACAAAAAGTCGTCAAGTTTAGCTTGTAACCGAACGCAATCTACGTTGTAGAGTTTATCTAATTACAATTGGTAACAGTAACACGGTAGTAATTTTGTCTTATTTGATCGTATTGATAAAAACTAACGAAAAAAATGTGCGATTGTGCTATGAATTCATAGGGCATTTTCGCAGAAATGTCGACCCCTTTTAAATTATTTGCAGCGGATCTAATAATTTTCTTCTCCAACGAACTTGATCGTGAAAACACTGCAAGTCTGCAACGACTAAATATGATTTCTGCGTAAAATAGATATTTTTTTTCTTTTTAAAGCTAATTAGTAATGATCTGGGGATGTATATTTATTGACATTTACACTTAGCCGCCAGCACGTCAGATTCGATACTGCTTCCTGAAAAGTTGCACATCACATTTCACATTTAAGGGGAGAAAAAACAGTTTATTACGTGGAGACACTGGGTAAATTAGATTAGTAATTGACGTGAAATGAGTAAATGACCAATGAAATTGTTCATTGAATCATTCTTTTCGAACTTGGTGATATATCATACTTTGAGTTTGTTATGTTGCATTGTTCCTCTGGCAAATAATGCATGTTTTTAGAACCAAGCAACGCGATTTCGCGTTTATTTTGATATATTACATATACAATATTCGCTAAAATAATCATGCTTTTTTACCCAAAAAATAATAATAATAATAATAATAATCATGCTTATCAAACAAAAACTGAACAACAAAATTACTCTTCACTTATCAAATTAGGCTCTACTAGTTATATGTATATTCGAAATGTGAAATTATATTTGATGGAAAGATTGATTTTGTTGCTTTCTGCAGGAAGAAAAAAAGAACAAGAAGATGATGAAGTCGAAAATAACCGGCAATAGGGTTCACAAATTTACCGACTAAGGCATGCAATAAAACATGAGTACATGACCACATGCATAAGTCATCCCTGACCTAAGAATCATGAATGTGGATATGATCAATAATAAAGATTCTGATGTGTTAAACACACACAGGCACACACACACACACACACACACACCGTATTATAAGTACTTGTGTTTAGTTTTGATACCACAAATACAAGTAATCCAGAAAAGAATGACAAGGACGTGTATAAATTGTATGGCTGTATATGATGATACATCGTCTCTATAGGCCGGAGAAGGCGGCGATCCACACGACGCCACCAACTCATCCACCAAATATGTAAAACTCCCATGTCCAAGGATTAGTTCATCTCACCTGTACTTTTCTCTTTCTTTTTCTAATTAAACTACTTAATCCCTACAACAAATTTTCTTCGAAAAAGAAGCTGACAGACATGCATGATTAACTTACATGCGTACCATCTCATCAAACTAGTTGCTTAATTATTAGCTAGATAGAAACTTGATTACGTGTTTTCCCAAAAAAAAAAAAAAAAATTGTTTACGTGACGAGTAATCATTTATTACTTGCATATATGAAAAGATAGAAATACACTTAATTATTATTACGCTCATATGTGGTAGCTTAATAATTTAGGTTTTTTAGCCTTCTTCGTTGTACCAAAAAAATAAATGCACTTAATTAATATTTTTATATTTTATTATTTTCTTTTATGATACATTAATCAGTGAGTCATTACACTCAATGAAAATGAATGGGATGGAAAATGTATTCCAACTACAAACTTAGAAAAAAGTTGCAGTGTTGAAGATATATTTGTAAGGATAACAAAGGTTACACGTTTCTGAGAGAGACTTGCGAATTGCGAAAGGGGGGGAAAACCAAAGTTTTATTATTATCACTTGGGGAAGTCAACTGAGAGTGCTCTAAAAGTCAACAATTGGGCACGTCAGGATGAGATTGATCACACCTTTAATAAAGAGTTAAGAGATAATTGTCCCTGTTGAAGAACGTTTGACTTAAAAGTTAAAAACCTACAACAAGGCTCTTGACTTCTAGTTGGGACAACAAACCATTCTGCAATTTCTTTTCTTTGCTTTCTTTTTTAAGTTTCAACCTCCAAGTTGTAGCCCTAAATTTTTCATGTCAAATCTTCAAAATCACGATCTTGATTGCTCATCGTCACCACTTGATCATGCATGTCGCATGGTAATCTCACTTTAAGCAAAAATGCATTCATATTGATTGGGAGAGAAAGATTAAACTAACACGTAATTTTATCTCTAAGTCATTATCTTACTAAGTATATGACGATTTAAATCATATCTCTTCCGTTTGTCAACCCCAGTTGGAACTCCCAAATTATCCCAAAGAAAACAAAAAGGGAAATAGTCGTTACCGTGTAGGCGTTCAGACAACAAATATAAGGCAAACAAACTGTGCAGACTGAGTTTAGTTACCGCCTCGGATGTTTAACAAGAGTTGTCTATATATTTTCAACCAATACCTGACATCTTATGACGATTTTATTGCAACACGAGGCATGATTCTTTCAGTAGTCCACACTACCAAACTATAACGACCATCCTCTTCTAGAATGTCTTGACTAGACAGGTTAAACACTTTGATCCCACAAATTATGATTAAGATCCAAGCAGCTTTGAATCCTAACCTACAGAGAAACTGCAAGAACTCTTTACCATCTTCAATTATCTCTGTTCAGAGTATAATTTAATTGATTCATCTCATCTGAGATTGCCAAATTAGATTTTTTTTTATAAATAATATATAGCCAAATTAGATTATAACACGTAATTTGTTTCATTTCAAATAGTACAAAGAGGGCAGTTCATAAGCTCTGAATGGCACAATGGCGACATGCTCGAAAGCCGCCAATAGTCAACTAGTGTACCAATCAAATCCACGAAATTGACTTTTTAAGTGCAAAGTAGAACAACTGAACTTTCAGCACAAGCAGGTTTTCCATATGAAAAAAGGAGACGGAGTTATCAAAAATAGAGTCAGGCATCAGATTTTAAGGATAACAAGCTTTTGTGAACAGTAAAGGGCCACTTTATACGTGGATCATTCCGAAAAATTAATCAAATATATTGTAGATTAGAAACAGGATTTCAATTTACTGCTTGAATATATTGAGCAACAAAAATTTATAGTAATCACTTCCATTTCTTGATTAATACTGTACTTTAATTCTGGTCAAATGCCTAGCAAAGCCTGAGGACTATCAAGCTGTTATTGTTAACAGTGATCATGCAGAGAGTGTACCATCATCTTCAATAACAGTGGAAAAGCGACGTGCTTAGGAGTGTAAACAAACACATGTTAGCTTGGTGAAGCTATAAGCCTCGGGCAAGGCAAACATCCCAGTTAAACTATGTATATCTGGCTCATAATTTTAACTAGATTCTTGATTTTCAACTAAAACCTGACATCATATGACTGTATATGTTATTGCCAACACGATTAGACAAAGCATGATTCAGTTAATAGTCCACACCACACCACCAAAATATGTACACTGACCTCTTCTAGAATGTCTTGACTAGCAAGGTTGAACACTTAACCAGTGACTCAGCTTAAAATTCAAGGGGCTTTGTATTGAATTGAACCTAAAGAAAACTGCAAAGAACTCTCTAGGATTTTCAATCATTTCTCTCCGACCATCATCATCTGTGGTTGTCAAATTTGATTATGGCACGCATCTTGTTTCCCTTCAGAGGATATCTAGAAGGCAGATGATATAACATTTAGTGTCATGTTCAAAAGCCAAGAAGTCTACTTAACATTATCCCACAGAAAATGACTATCTAGCCAACGGCAAATACCAGACTTCAGAACTTCCAGAAACAGCAACTTTAGCTATTTTAATATTGGAAAAAAAGAAAGTAGCTGAATATATATCATATAAGCAGAGTTAGGCATCAAAATCCAAGCATGAAAACCTTCTACAATCTCCATGGATGATTTCCCAAGAATCAACACAATGTACACTACAATCAGGACTGATATACTGCTTGACCATTCCGAGCGAACAAATATTGGGTCCTTTTGTTTATGGATAGTTTACCAACCCATAAGCTGTTCTCGTATGCTTCACTCTCCAATTCCAAAGACCGTTTTGATTATAACTGAATCCACTAGAAACTAAAGGAGTCACCTTTATTACTCCGTCTATGTAAAACTAAATGCCCAAAATCAAGTTAACTGCATCGAACTTACACAAATCACCGGTAAAGATTGCACAACCCAAATTCCACAAGGATCAAAGTTCCACTATCATTACAGATTTGTAAGCCTGAGTAAAATGCAGGACATAAGCATCCTATTTAGCTACAACCGAAGGTGGAGGAATCACCATTAACTCAACTTTTTTTTTTTTTTGGTGACAAATATCGTAATTAATTGAATCCAAAAAAAACTCAGAAGCTAAGCATCATTATTAACCAAAATGTGAATAATGCTTCCTCTTCAGACGCAGAAACTATCAAAAGCTGAGCATATATAAGCATCTGTTGTTTCGACTAATCAGAGTCCGCTACCTCATTTTCATTTTCGACAGTTCCAAACTTCTGCTTGAAAGCATCTTGCCTTTGTAAGCACATCATGTGTCCCTAATTAAACCAGAACCACACACACGTACACGCACACAAAATAAAAGATCAATCGGAAAGCAAAATGAGAACTGAGATAATAGGTATCCGAGGCGTACCTGGAGGCCAGCAGCCCAAACAATAAGGAAAGAGGCAATCCAGAAGCGTTTGTCCTTGAGGAGAAGCCTGGGTTCAAATTTCCTCGATTCCATTTGCATTCTTAAAACCCTATGCCTAAACCCCCTTCCTCCTTTGATCAATTTGGATGATTCAATTGGGCTTTAGATTAGCAGAAGATAGACCCGACAATATACGTCGTCGTTTCCACTATCTCTGAAAAAGGTCATTATAGAGATTACACTATTTTTTAAGGAATTTTGGCATTCTTCTCTCTTTTCTTTTTTTTTTTCCTTTTGTCTTATTGATGTGACTTTTGTTGAGTGCATAATTATTTGGAACATACAAATATACAATAAGAGTAACATTTTTAAAAGAATAAATCATTAAATATGCTGTAAACAAGGGTGCATGAGCACAAAAATGGTTCTGGGACAGGACTAGACCGAAATAAATTTTTTTTTTTGTGGAGAAAAAATACTTATCTCGAATTTGAGAAATCCGAAATATTAAAATAAAAATATTAATTTTATTTTCAAATATTGTAAGAGGAAAAAAGAAAATTCAATCAGTAAATGAACAGTGAAATTCAGATTTGGTAAATCCGACTTTGTTTTTTAAAATAAAAAATTCTGAAGGGCGGAAAAATTTAAAAATTTATTTATGGTGGAAAAAGGAAATTAAGTTGAATGAATGAATAGTAAATTTTGGATTTTGAATTTCCGAACTAATATTTTTATAAAAAAATTACTTCAGTGCAGGAAATTTTGAAAATTTGGTTTGAATTTTGGTAGGAATCATTAAATTGACCGATTCTCTTTAAAAATAAAAAATAAAAAAAATAGTATTAGATCTTATATCAATAAAACATAATATTACTAATAATTAATAACCGTTTGGTAAGAATTTTCATTAAATTAACAAAAACATATACTTATTAGTGTTATGTATTACTATTAACACTGTTAAGAATTTACATTAAGTAAATTCATTATAATCAGTTTGTACTAGAGCTATGTATTATTTATATTACTAGTGTTACATAGTACTATCAATACTGTTACCCATTATGTAGTTCTATTCATCCGAAATAGTGTTATGTAATATTATTAACACTGTTACACTCAGATATCATATGAACTAGTGTTACTTATTATTATTAGCATTGTTCCACATTACTATCATTAACGCTGTTATACATCAGACATCACATGTACAAGCACTAGGTATTATCATTGACACTGTTACCCATTATGTATCACTGATACTATTTGTTACGTATTACTTTTAACACTGTTACTCATTAGATGTCATCTGTACTAGTATGACATAATACCATTGATATTGTTACACATTAGATATTCTATGGACCGGTGTTATGTATTATTGTTGACACCGTTACACACTATCATCATTAATATTGTTTTTTGCAATTTGTATGTTAGTAATTACTAGTATTATAAAGTGTTACAAATATTTGTCTGTTCCCCATTTATACTGGTGTTATAAAGTGTTGTTAACTCTGTTACTCGCTATATAGCATATATACTACTGTTATACAGTACCACACAACATTAACACTGATACATCTTTTATTACGGATTAAATTGACATACAATATCATATTTAAAACTCGTAATTTGCAATAAATGCGTATTTAAAAAATAAATCGAATTCTACAAATCCGAGTTAATAATAAACTCGGATTGCCAAAATATGAGATAAAGAAAAATTGGATTTCAACAATTCGAGTTAAGGGACAAATTAGATTCCACAAATCCGAGATAAATAGAAAATCGGATTTTCTAAAACCGATTTCTCACCTAACCCGGATTCCCAAAATCCGAGTTAAATCATAAACCCTAAACCCTAAACTTGTCTAATAAATTTCGTATTTTCAATATCCGAGTTAGTTCAAAATTTAGATTTTCAAAATCCGAGATAAATAAAAAATCGGATTCGTTAAAACCGATTTCTTACCTCTTAGATTTCCAAAATCCGAAATAAACCCTAAACCTGTCTAATAAATTTCATATTTTGAATATCTAAGTTAGTTTAAAATTCAGATTTTCAAAATCTGATTTTTATTTTTATCTCAAATTTTTAAAATTCGAATATTATTCACTCATTATACTTTTTCTTCTCCCCTAAATTCATTCAAGTCGCCCTCTATTTGTTCAAATCTGGCGATCGTTGCAATATGTTTGAACTCGAATTTAGCAAATGTGATTGTAATGAATTTTCCATCTAGGCACCGAGGTTTTAGTTTAAATACATTGTTTTGTAAAAATGACTAATCACAATATTAGATTTAGACTGATTTAGAAACAAGTTCATCTTTTTTTTAATAAAAAAAATATTGTTAAAGGTCGGATTTGCCAAATCTTATTTTAGTTTAAACTCGGATTTAACAAATCCGATTTAAGTCAATATTTTTTTCGCCAAAATAATTAAATTTTTTCTCTCTAAAATATTATTATAATAATAAAACTCGGATTTGAGAAATCCTAGTTTACTTCAATTATGACTAACAAAATTAATTTCTGTAATTAAGTGAGTTTCGGATTTACTGAATCTGATCTTAAGCCTAACTCAGATTTAGAAAATCCGAGATTGATATTTCTGTCCACTCCCACAAAAAAACAATATTTCTGTTCATTCTCTGTCCAGAACCATTTTTTTGATAAAAACTCCTGTAAACAAAGACCAAATACTTTTTGTGGACTACTGTGAAAAATTAGTACATCCATTCTTTAATTTTAACATGATGATACTGGTAGATGGGGTAATTGTAAAACTCATGTTAACTTTTTCTATGAGTATCAAAATTCCATCTTAACACACACATACACGGGCCCTCATAAGCAAGTTTAACGTTTACCACTAATGAGATTTTGAGAGCTTAAGTGCATAGGAATTATGAGATTAATGTGGGAATTTTTTTTTTTTCAACGATTGAGTGAAACTTCTCCAAGATTTCTTATCACTACAACAAAAATGGGCTATTAGTACCTTTATGGTGGGATACTTTTTCTAAAATGTGTCTTACGGTATGTGTATTAGGACATTTGTTAAAAAGTGTCTTATTAAAAATGAAAAAGTGTATTCATATTATAAAACACTATCATAATTGTACTATTTGGGGTTGCTTGTGAACTATTACCTTACTTAATAAGTCACTTTAAAGTGTGTTAATGAGTGACAATCTAATAATACACTTTCAAATGTTTTATGACTTACTGTGACTCGATTATAGGAGACACTATTTAGTAGTGTCTCACGCAATTTGAGTCACATGTATCCTATTACATCACTTATTAAGACACAAATAAGTGTCTAAACTACTCATTTTTGTTGTAGTGTATGATATTCTACATTAGCTCTTTTTTTTTTCCAAATTTTTCTTTTCCTAATACCCTTGGATCTTCATTAGATAATATTACTATATCTTTTTTTTTTTAATTAAATAGGAAGGTTGGAAAGAAGTTTGGGTTCTAACTGACTTAAAAACACTTAAGGGATCTACCCAAGAGATGAATTTTTAAGGCTGTTATAGCCAAATTAAATGAAACACCCAAGGAATATACCCAAGGAATGGACTTACATATCATTTAGTTCCTTAGCTTCCTCCCTCCCTTAATTTATATTACTATATCTATCATTTCCTTTTCCAATTAGAAAATTTATCCAAAAAAAATTCGTTATAGAACCATCTAACAAGCCAAAGGGGGGAAAAAAGAAAGCAACAACTAAATAGCGAAAAGAGGGAATCCCTTTTACCCTATTAAAGCAGAAGACATGAAGCTTATGTGGCAATTACGTATGTATCTGTTTTGGCTCCAATGCACCATATTTCAGATTTCAGGAGTCTTTTTGCCACGTGTAAGTCTCTTTTAATTAGAAGCTATATAATTCTTTTTTTTAAAAAAAAACACATGTTTTAGATGTGACACTTATCCAATGAAAAAAATTCTACAAATAATAATCAGTTACATTTCAAACGAATGGATATATTAATTTAAATTCAAATGTCCAATCGTACAGTTTTGCAGGCTTAATATAAACAAAAAATAAAAAAAACTAAATCCAGTAATTAAGAATAATGCATTATAAACTAATTATTTATTATTCCCTTATAACCTCAGATTTATAGGTATATTTTTTTAAGCCACAAACCATAGCATAAATGATATATATGCCAAATTAATTCCTCAAAAAATAGTAATTCAATTAGATTTTTAATAAAATAGTAATTTAGAAGGGGCGCCCGGGCATCTGCCTGGGCCAAACATCTAGTACGTTATTAATGTAGGTAGCAACCCAGAGCCAAACTGAGATTTTTTGAACAATAGACATTAGTCACTGCACTATGAAGATCTTAATTAACGATCCACTACATCGCGTAACACGGTTCTTCCACATCTGGCCTTCACGGAATATCCGCGTGGACTCTCTTTGACGGGACCGAGATCCTTAGCCGTTGATCCACAGCTGATCAAATGCATTAACACACGAGAAGGCTTGATTCTAGTGCCGCTCGTGTACTCATTCTGAACCGTCGGATCCATGACACCTGCACACTGATCAACGTCTCCAGATCCACTCACACATCCCTCGGAGCTGGTCATCGAAGGAGGAGACAAATTGGACAATTCTTCTTCCCTGCTTGACTCCACACTCTTGTTAACATACACCCTCATACTCTTGCTCCGCCGCCGCATGTCCACCGCCGCCTCCGTCTGCGTCGCCATGTCCGCCGACGCCCTGCCTCCTCCGAGTTCCCGGCTGGACTCGCTTTTCCGAACCAGCCGGCATTCGTAGATACTGTTGTTTTTGCTGGACGGATTTGTGGGAATCTCAAACGTACTCCAAGACTGATTTTTCTTCCTTGACTTGCTGGATCGGTGATGATTCGATGAATAATCGTAAGCCTCAATAGTGGTGGTTTGTGGGAGTAATCGTGATCCCTTGAGGATTTCTGAACCTTTGAGGATGTAATCGTGATCGTTGGTTGGGTGGATTAAATCACCCTCTGTTAAATCCTGCCAAACATATCCATTCTTGTAGCTCCTGCCATCGAAGAGGAAAAAAAAAAACTCAATCTGAGGTTGAAATTTGTTTATTGCTAAGAAGAGAAACATTGATTACCTTTTGGAAGACCATGAATACATATAAGCCATTCCATTTCCTCTGATAGAGTTCAATTTATTCACCACATCTGAAACGTTTTGGAAAACAGAGTAATTTAAGTTGGTTTTAAGCTGGAAGCACCCTAATTAAGGTAATAATTGCCATTATGGGTATACAATGAAAATGTGATTAAAAATGTAGTACCTTTGAGAAAGAGGCCGCCGTGGGAGCCAGAGAGTGGGACTTGGATGAAATGAGGGTGATCGAGCTGGCCATTTCGGCTGAGATAGTAAACTACGGGAACCGACCCGACGGAATTACTAAACTTATTAGGTGGTTGTTCCGACCAAAACATAGTGCTCTCAGGACTCTGAGCAGATTCAGACCGTTCGATGTTCCACTTACTGGGCATCAACAGTTGGTCGGTGCTACACCTGGAATACACGGCCATTATTTCTCCTTGATCAATCCTGCATGCAAAATAAAACCAAGAACTATGTAGCAATAACTACTTACTAATATATAGGGAGGGAAACCTAGGAAAGGTCGCAATGGTGGGGGGATCGAATTTTAATGCCGCTCGTGGAGGAATTATATAGAAGGGAGACAAAAGCTTGGGGAAGAGGAGTGTGAGTAGAAACTACTAAAAAACAGTTGAGAAATGGAACCTCTCTCGGATCCCCCCTTGCTAAGACTGACTGACTGACTGACTGAGAAGAGGAACTTTAGTAGCGCGCTAAACAACAAACCTTGGTTCTTAATACCCGCCGTAAATTCGGTGTTAGAGAATGCATGATTTTCTTCATCATCTTCGACTCCTGTCACCCATCTCCTACACTTGTTTATCCACACTGGGCCCTTCCTTTTCTTGTTTTCTACCGGATCTGGTCTTCATGGGTAGTTGGTTCAAAGCCCATTAGAAACAGGGCAAATTTTATTTATTTATTTATTTATTTTTTTGATGATTGATTAATGGAAGAAAAAAAACACGATAATTGATTAGTTCCTGTTTTTTGTCAAGCATTATCGGAGGTTACAAGTTTGGGAATTAGCATCTGATTTTGTGGGAAACGTTTGACCCATCTGCATTCTTTCCTTTTTTTTTTTTTCCCCCTTGAAGTAGACGAGGATTGATCTTTGAGATTGTAAATTTGACATGTTGTCGAGAAATAATTACTAGTACATTAACTAGACCATAGTTATTTACTGAATAAACTTACTAAGTACTAGGAGATGAAACTAACATCTTTATCAAACAATTATGGTCAAATTATAGACGCAATAAACACTGATGAAGACGATCAGATGAAACAAGATGAAGAACTGAAACAGAAATTTACCCCCAAGAGTGGAAAATGAAGTTACCCTTTAGCATTAAGTTTAAACCCAACAGGCTTGACCAAGACTGCTCACCAGTAGTTAAACCTACAAATTACCAAAGCTTCCAGTTTCCAAAGTCAAAGCTTGCCCCCCGCGAAACATGGTTTAGATTTATCGGAAAACAAAGATCAGGAGTTTCTGGGATTGCCCTTGTGGGAAAAACAAGATCACGTTCCTATTCCTTTCAAAACGTTCCTCAAACAAGAAAGGGACCTCCTACAAACTTGATGTAGACCATTCAAGTTTTGCTACAAGTCACGAGCTTGTATGTAACAATTTATATATATTGCAGTTTTTGTATTGCTACAAGGCATCCCAACTTGCTACAGGATTTCAGCAACATTAGACACTTGGCAGTCAAAGCAGAAGAACAAAGACTTGGTCTAACTGGCTAATGACTAGTTTAGTATACATTGTTCCTGAACCGTATATCACCATTGATATTTAGCTTTGAAGACTTTCATTTGATAGATAGTTCCACTTACATGATTCTTACGGCATCGTAGCAGCATAGAAATTACAACTTAGGTCACATGTGTGTCTTCATCCCAAACTCCATTTACTTATCAAAGGAAATTTAGCATGCAGATTAATGCAGACCGCAAATTCTGTACATGCAGACTGACCAAGGGAGTACTAATGAGAAGTAGACAGGACACAAACAACATATGGAACGGAACTGTCCAATTGGTGGAGCTCTTACAGTTTCATACTAGGAGGTTTTGTGCACTCATTATAGGCGAAAGAAAAGAGAAGAAAAGAGGAGAAAAAGATTGTTGTATTACGGTCAATGTCAAAAATGAGAATTATCCAACAAATTTTTGAGTTTCAGTTGCTTAAGCATCCCCAAATAGTACCTCCCTTACGCAACACTAAAGAATAGCCTCAACCCATAAAAAAATGAACAACACAACACAAAGGAATGGACTGACCTACACTAGCTGTCTTACAACATTAACTTGTGGCAGCATCCGTCTGGTCAACAGCTTGCTTCTTCGGGCAAGCAGACGACAGATGACCTTTCTCCCCGCACTCGTAACATGTCCTCCTTCGAATTTTCCCGCTAATAGCAGTTACAACATCAGCAGCAGCAGGTTCCTTACTCTCTGGCACAGATACAACATCACCAGCCGGTTCATTACTCTCAGGCACAGATTTCGTTTTCTTATCAGACCCTTTCTTTGGTACAGCGCATGATATGCGAGCAGGTCTCCCGCAGACAATCTGCTGGTCAAGTTGCAACGCACGGCTTAGGGAATGACTATCAGAGAAATCCACATGGGCATAACCTCGGAATTCTTCTGTTTCTTTGTCTTTACCAAAACGAATAGATGCAATACTGCAGCCTGAGAAAAACGTCTTCAAATCTTCCTCGGTTATGTCCCAGGATAAATTCCCAACATAGATCCTATTATAGCCCTCCACAATGGTAGGCGAAAAGTTGGCTGTTTTGGCAGGTTTACTCGGCTTGTAAGGTTGGATTTTAAGGAAGAACCCACCCCTGAAACATCACGATTATTATCTTCAGCACATAGAGGAAACACCAGTTCTTTCAGAAGTTAAAAAAGCACTGATAAAACTTTACTTACATGTCAGAACCATCAAGGGCCAATGCTCTCTTCGCCGCAGCTTCAACCTGCAAAGTGGATCATAATGATACATTAATTACAATAAAGGATGTTGCCTTTATCATGTATCTACATTTTTATTGATATAGTTCACAAAATTATAAACTAATCTTTGCTAATAAATTTCCCTTTCCAACGAACTACAAATAATAAGAACTAAATTAAAATCCTAGAGTATTGTTTCCTAAATATTAGCGAATGCAAACAATTCTTGCAAGAGACCATAGGCATAATAAGCTGTATCTTCTGAAACTTTCAGAGTTCCTGATATTTGTTAAGCTGCAGTTCTGATGCTTTCAGCAATTTGCGGATATTATTAAGCGCCGTTACGAAACTTTCATATCCTGATTTGCCTAAACCATAATAATTATTATAACTAGAAAGAACTGTAGCCCAAAATAACCGAAAAACTGAATTCACAGGCTCTCAAATGGAAACAAGCATGCAATCACTTGATATTATCATAGCAAACCCACCTTGAAATTTAAAATGGCAATCCCTCTGAACTTCCCAGTTTCAGGGAACTTCATACAGTCAATTTCTGTAATGGTACCACAATCTTCAAAGTAGTGTCTAATGTCATCTTCTGAGGAATAATAAGGAATGCCTCCAACATAAACTTTAGCAGAAACATCGACACTTTGTTCGCTGTAATAAGATCACCAAATCAGAAAAGCAAGAGCAAACAAATACCAATAATTCAAATAACTCTCTTTAAAAACAGTTCACATAATTGAGAACGTGAATTTGCTAAAGCTACAAAGAAAGCAAAAACATAATCAAAATCTATTGCCACAATATTAATTTATACAAGGCTGGTTGCTACATCACATGATGATGACTGCAAACAGAACTCATGCAAGCCAAAGTAGCAATATCACCTACACCTTACATGCCTGAAAATTTTCAGATCATAATTCAACTAGTTATTTCTAAAATCACTAAGAAACCTTTTAATCAAAGTCCAAAATTTTTAGCTTCAGAAACTCCTAAACAGCTGAAAACCCCAGCTCATCATGGTCGAGTGATTGTCAATCACAAGTCATGGCTCAATCTGAACAACAACAACAACAACAAAAACAAAAACAACAACAAGCCTTTTTTCCACTAGGTGGGTCGGCTATATGGATCATATGCCATGGCTCAATCCGAAGTTTGAACAAACCAATACAAGAGAAAAGGAAACAAAATCAAACAGAAGAAACAAATGCCTACAGCATTTGACACATAAGGGGCACAATCCAATGTGATATCCAAAAAATTAAGAAATAATGAAATATAGAATGTTCTAACATACCTATTAGCCGTGGTTGCAGTTTCTGCAACACCCTGGCCATCATTTTTAGCATCATCGAAACTCAATATTCCATCTTTGACCTTCCCATTATCCACCTTCTCCTCCTCCTTCTTCTTATTCTTTTTTTGCTTCTTCTTCTTCTTCTTCTTCTTCTTTTTATTCGACTTTTTCACTTCCTCCGATTTTCCGTCATCCAATTTCTGATCCCCTTCACCTCTTTTCCTCTTCTTGCTTTTCTTCGCATCTGTAACCACCTCCTCCGAACCCTCTCCCGCATTCTCCGGCTTTTCATCTGCCCGGCCTATTCCATTCAACTTGCCGTTATTTTCTTGCAAAGATGGACCCTTTTCACGGCGTTTTTCTCTCTTTGATAATTTCGGCTTCCGGGGAACTGAATCCACAGGCTCCAGAGATGGTTGAGAGCCTGAATTTGGGTCTTCGGAATTCTTGCCAATTAGGGACTCTGCTGCAGCTAGAAGTTCAGCTTTCTCAGCTCTTAACTTCTGCTTTAGCTTTTTATTTGATAAAACCATTCTTCTTTCACATATACACACTATTATACCCCCCCTCTTTAGACGAACATTAGATTCGACATCACAGCGGAGGAGGGTTTCAAACTTCAAAGATACGCTGGGGTTTCTGGTTTTGTGAGGATTCTTGAGTAAAAACCCTTAAAACCCTTGCTGATTGAGTTCCGCCAATAACGACATCGTTTCACCCATTTCTAGTGAATTTTTTCTGACATTTGTTGTGCGACCAAAAAGTGAAAAAAAAATGAAATTGCTAAGGTGAAATCTTTAAATTATTTATTTTTTCCTCCAATAAAAATTCCAAAACAAAAAAAATGTCCCCAAAAGTTTCAAGAATCTATATAATTTCTAAAATTATAACTTTCATACTAATGATCTGGACAATACCAAATGTTGACTATCTTCAGAAACACAAAATATAAGAAATTTACCGTATCAATATTCCAACATCTATAATACGATAATACTTATAAATGAAATACGAGAGTGTAACATTCTTGTCAATAGTTAAATTAAAAAGAGCAAAAGTGCACCATCTTTATCGTAAATGATTCATTTTGGGGTGTATGTTATAGTAAATCATACTTTGAAAGGGGAAAAAAGAAATGCTTCGAGGTAAGGACTAAGGAGTATTTTGTAATCAATTTCAATTCATGAAATTCAAAATTGTACCACTTCTTACAGTAACAAAATTGAATAAGGTGCAAAATAATCTATTACATGTATGTCACCTTTCTTTCTTCACTTAGAACTTTATTGTAACCCTTCTCCTTCCACTCTCTTTGTGACTATCATTTAGAAATGAAATTAAATTTGCTAATATCAAAATCACGACGATATTTTGCCCCCAAAAAAAAAGTCAAAAATAAATTGAAGAAATCACTCTATGAGCTAGTAGTCCGTGACTGGAAGCTGTTCATGTGTGCTGTCAACAATGAAGACATTATCATACACGAGGGCTGCAAAAGTGGCACCAATCATTGGACCAGCCCAATACACCCAGTGGTTTGTCCATGTCCAGCTGACAACAGCAGGCCCAAATGCAACTGCAGGGTTCATTGACGCCCCATCAAATGCACCACCAACCAATATATTAGCCCCAACTATAAACCCAATTGCAATTGGGGCAATGGTACCCAAATTGCCCCTTCTCGGATCCACTGCAGTAGCATACACAGTGTAGACTAGCCCGAATGTCATCACAATTTCGAACACCAGTGCATTCCCCGCTGTGACCCCTGATGATAATGCGAATGCCGATGTTTCCTGCATTTTTTTTAATCAATTTTCTGAGATCATTTTCAATGATAATATTGGAAATTAGTTCAGTTACAATGACAAATTCTTTTTTTTTTTTTCGTTTTTATTATGATTGGTAAGTAAATCTGAGCTTACTAATCCACCGGTGGCGAGTTTGAGGAGCCAACAGGCTACAACTGAGCCCAAGAGTTGTGCGATCCAATAAACAATGGCCCTAATAAATGTAATGTTGCCACCAACAAAGGCACCAAAGGTGACAGCCGGATTCACATGGCCGCCGGAGATGTTCGCACCAACGGATACGGCCACGATAAGTGCAAATGCATGGGCTAATGCCGCTGATATTAGACCAGAAGGTGTTGGCGACCCATTGTACGTCAGCTTATCTGAAACAGGAAAGTGTCACGGAGGATGCAATTTTTTTTATTTTTTTTAATGTACAGAGCTTATTGGAGATTCGCTTTGGCATTTGTGTCTTTTATTTTTTTTTTGAATTTTTATTTTAAAAAAGTGACTGTTTTACTGAAGAGACAAGACTAGTTCACTACAATTTAGGGAATGATGAAGATTTCTTTTGATTTACTATAATATAGTAAAAGAAGGAAGGACTTACTGAAAGCCATCCCGGAGCCTTGGCCGGCGAAAACGAAGATTAGCATTGAGAAGAACTCGGCTACGGCTGCTTTAAGTGCATCCGGGTGGCTTGCTTCACCCGGTGTACCTATCGAAATCCGGTAAAGAGGCATCTTTCCAAACTAAATACGCCTTTTCTTTTAAATTCCAAACTGAAAATGCTGGTTGCTTGATCTTTTACTGTTCCAATCTGCTGTAAAACACTCTTAAAGATTAAGTAGATCAGTGATCTCAACATAATATAAAGCCGAAATGCTGGGTTTTGTAAACGCTTTGATGGGGTTAAAATATTTGACTGAGCCTACTACGTTACTACGTGTGTGGTTATGATTTAGTCTGATTGTCTCCCTTAAATTTGGATCCCCCAAACAAAATGGTAAGAAAGAAAGAAAGAATCAAATAAATAAAGGAAACATCCATTAGGTTGATCTCTTCATCCATGAATCCATGAAGCCTTTAGTGTCGCTTTGTGGTGCGACTCTGTCAAGCTAGTATCATTTGTCTCCCTGCTTAAATAAAATGGGATGGTTCTTGGACCATTGGAAATTAAGGTCAAAGAATGAGTAATATGCAGGACTTCTAAGCCAATTCTTCCCAACAAAATGGTATCATTTGGAACCCGTTTCTGCTGATCGCTTATCTGAAAGTTCGATAATCATTTTGTTTGATCTATGGGGAAATGATACATTGGTGGAAACAATTTGAACTAACCAAACACAAAAGCTAATGAAGTTGAAATTAAGCACTCCCTAATCTACTATTCCTATGTAAAGTAAGCCCCAAATGTCATAATCTTCCTTCCTATTGAATGAACATTGAAAAAAGAAACCAAGGTATCATCAATGCATTAACAAAGAAGCATTTGACATTAGTTATTATCTACCCCTGGGATTCATCAACTGAGAGAATACTCCTGTAGAATTTGTTGCATCATACTCTTGTGTGCTCACCACGTCAATGTCATCGCTGTCGACTGACTCAACACGAGCGATCCAGCCAGGGATTTCCGGTATATGGTTTGCGCTATTGTCTTCTATTATTGATTGAGTGGAAGCCTCTTGCAGCTGCAGAGCATACTCCAAATTCCACAAAACATCTCCCATTGTTGGCCTATCACTCCCATACTCAGCTAAGCACTTCTCTGCTGTTTCGCCGAATTTTCTCAGGGAATCCATGCTTATAGAACTCACAAGATGTGGATCAATTATCCTGTGCAGCTGTCCCTTCTTTTGCCAATGCATTGCCCATTCAGCAATGTTTACTTGTTCTCTAGGAAGCGACGGATTTATGGCTGGCCGAGCGCATAAAACCTCCAAGAGTACGACTCCAAAAGAATAAACATCTGATTTCTCAGTCAATTGCTGCCTTCTGTAATACTCGGGATCAAGGTACCCAAAGCTGCCCTTCACTGCAGTACTTACATGAGTTTGATCCAGTGTAGGACCGAGTTTTGACAACCCAAAATCTGCTACTTTTGCTGTGAAGTTCTCATCCAGCAAAATATTCGTTGTTTTGACATCACGATGTATGATGATTTCCGCAGCTCCAGTGTGAAGATAATGCAGCCCTTTCGCTGCTCCAATGCATATCTCTAGTCTTCTTTTCCAGGACAAGGGAGGAAGACCAGATCCATACAAGTGTTTCCTAAGGGGTCCTCCGGCCATAAACTCGTAAACAAGGATCATTTCGTTGAGCTCTTCACAATAACCAATCAGGGAGACCAGGTGTCTGTGACGAAGCTTAGAAAGCATCTCAATCTCTGTCCTGAACTCAAGAAGGCCCTGCTGAGATTTCGGATTTCCCCTTTTTACAGCAACCTCGTCGCCATTGTCAAGAACTCCTTTATAGACTTTTCCAAATCCGCCTACACCGATCACCAAGCTCTCATCAAAGTCCTTTGTCGAATCACGAATCTCAGAGAAGGCCAGCACCCGTCCCAAGCCAAGAGAAGCCGCAGTCGAAGCAAAACTATTAGCTGAAATTTTGGTATCCGAAATTCCCAGCTGGAAAGATAACCATGCCCTATACTGTTTTGGCTTCTTTTTCTGAGAAGAAAAGGCAAAGAAAATGGCTGCGATAATCAGCAGTAGGACCACGAAAGCGCCAACAGAAACTAAAGTTATTAGCAACACATGCCTTTTCCTCTTAGGCACCACCTTGGAAGAAAGAGGCATTGCAGTGAACCTTTCATCAAGGCTATCAGTAGAACTGCTCATCTTCATTATCTCCAGGCCATTTAGAATTGCATTGGAAGGGAAATTTCTTTGATTCGCCGAGCCAACTTGAACGAGGATTTGATCGGAGACTGTGGAACCGTTGAGAACAAAATCTACAAAATAAGCAGCTGACAATTCCATTGTCTTGCTGGAAATATCAAAGGTATCAATAGCAGAATGATTGTTGATGTAGACATTAAAAATCAAAGTGTTCAACGCCTTGCTAACAATATCACAAAAGTGCAGCCTAACAAAGTAATTGAATCCTCTTTCAACTCCAAATGACCATGTCATATTGAACTTCTGCTCTGTGACATTGGCATCAGCCATTTCCTGAGCAGTGGCGTATACCCAATTAGGTGCAATTTCAACAGAAGCGCCAGCAGGATATTTGATCCATCTGGGATCTTCGGAAACATTACGAGCACTAGCTGCATTTAGCAGAAATGGCCAATCTGGTATCCAAATTCTCCCCAAGGAATCATTTTTTGGTGTCAAGAGAGATCCCCCAACATTAATTCTGTACACAGTTTCAAGGGCAACATGTGTAGGAATCACAAACTCAGGCCTTGATGGGATTGGGATGACGCTGAAATCGAACTGGCCATCCGGTACAGACACCACTTCTATGCCATTGATGAATGCAACGGAGCTAGTACTCCACGGAGAAAATGTCAGTACCAATTTTTCTGAACTTGATCCCCCTATTTCAATCACATATTCCTTAAGCAAAGGGGAGCTGTTTTCGAGCTTCGAAAACGAAAAACCGTGAAGTAATGTGATCCCATTTGCTACAACTGAAAACAAAGCAGATTTCAAGTCGTATTTGTCATTCTCAACTGGATAAAAATGCAACCTCAGCCAATGCCGTCCAACTTGGTTAATATTAATGGTAAACTTGGCAGTACCAGTAAACACACGAGCTGAACGGTAAACAATGGGGATTGACAATTCAGGATTGGAAACAATGGAGTTAGATTTAGCCGAGAAGTCAACGTTAGAGTTTCCAAGATCAGGCTCAAACAATCTGCCATCTTCAAGCTCAATCTCATTATTCACCCCGCAGCTGATGAATAATCTGTCTTCAGGAATGAAAAGAGAAACCACTGATCTAAGACCATAAAGGCTGCAGAAGAAACAGATTAAACACAGCTTACTCAAAATTCCCATTGGTGAAATGTAGCTGCAAATTCCTGATGCTTCTAAGCAGAAGCCTTATAGAGCTCCGATCAAAGCAGCCCCAGTTGACTTTATGAATGCTTCAACTGCATTTTGTAGGATTCATTTCCAACAAAAGCTTGTACTAACTGAGACATAAAGGGTACCTTGATTTGGAAAACCCTGAGGGTAAAGAATTCAAAACCACATAAGAGAGAGAAAAGGCTAATGACTGAATGAGCAAGGAACTAGATTTAAGTGAATAGCAAGCAGCATGGTATGGAGGGAGGACAGGACTCAGGAGGGTAGTTATCAATAATGATAGCGATGAGAAATGCTCTTTTTTTCCCCCAAGATATTAGTCTCTTGGGTACTCAATACTAGTTAATGCTAGAATGAGTAAAACAGAGGTAAAGTTACCACACTATGAGGAGACTGACAAAATGACAGCTTTATAAATCTTCAAAAACAAAGTTGAGGAGCTGTGGTCATTAACTAACACACACAGTCACACAGTGACAGAGTCACAGTGTCATAGTCACTGCTGCCAAAAGACATAACCAATAAAGTATAAAAAAAAAAGAAGAAGAGAATTAGGATAAAACTAACCAACAAAGCCAGTCAAGAACCAACTGTCCCCTTCCATGGCTCCAAATAATTTAATAACGGTATGTGAGACTGTGGATCCACCGTTTGACCAACTTTTCTTTTGGGGTGGGGACTCTGGGGAGAAAATCTCAGAAAAACCCATTGGGGGAGTTCAAACTTCAAACTCAATTTCACCTAGTTACATTTGGAGAATCTATTTTATGAATTATGATAAAACTACTTCGAAGTAGTAGTACATGTTGATAGGAAATGTATGTGCTTGAGACTTAGAGCTTACACAAGGTTTTTAATTTTGATCACATCAAAGTTGGGTTCCTGTGACTTCAGAACACCAAAGTCATAGGAAATTGATCCCAAGTTTTTTACCCAAGAAAACAACGGTATAAAAACGGGAGAATATGTATCAGTTTCAGGCTTTCACATGTTCACAGCACCATCATAATGCACATTTATAGCAACAACAATACTACTACAACTAGTAATAACACGTTGAACCATATTTGACGCTGCAGATGTAAATTATGAGATACCAGTTGTCGACCATGCAGAAAGAAGACCGGAGAAGTTATCAACAAGAGTGATAATAACCGATCATTCATTTTCGAGTTAAAAAAAATGGCAACTTGCTTCTAATAGCATTAAGAACAGGGCATCAGATTTTAAAACTTATAATTATGCAAAAGGGCCATCATATTTATTAAGATGGGAGGAATCAATATGTGAGTGACATTTCCCAGATTCAACAATGATTGAAGCCTAAAATGGTCAAACCAATCCATACGTACCACACATGCCAGAACTAATTCCTAACTTCGGATGCTAAATTCTGAATTGCTCAGTCCCATGTTAGCCCGGGGGGTTTGAGTGAGAGCAAAATAAGGAGCCAAAAACGCACGTTTTTACGCAGTTTCTATTAATACGAAGATTCATAGTATCATACAACCCAGAGAAAGAATACAAGCCATAAAATTACTGTAATCAGAAGGTTCAGAATTCCCAAGAAAAAGAAAAGAAAAAAAAGCACCAACTTTATTTGCTCGCAAGTGCACCGGCACGCCTGCACTTGCACCGCATCACAGTCACGTGCTACACTGACTTATCTGGATCTTCCCGTACTTGACGGGCTTCTAGGAATATTTTATTAAGGGCCCGTTTGGTTCTTTCTTTGAGCTATCCCTTCTTCAACTAAAATTGGGCTTTTATTCGTGATGAGGATAGGCCCAATACTATTGTTTCCGATGGTTCTTCCATCTTCATCATTTGCATGGCACGCACCTTATCCATTCCATAGATGAGGAGAAAATGTTACAAAAAGCGAAATAAAGAATAAAGAAAGAAAAAAAAAGAAAGAAAAAGTAAATAGCTTTGCATCACAGGAATATTGATGAGAAATAACTGAACCATATGTAGCTAATAAGATTTAGGTCTAAACTCACAGAGAAGCTGAAGGAGCTTAGTGCAGAGAAATGGCTGCTTCTTCAACAATGTCACTCAGCTTGCTATCAACTTCTACCTTAACTGAAAGGGTCAGCCTTTTTCTTTTCAATTTGTATATACCATTGGCTACTAATTTGGTTATATCCTTCATGTGGCTCTCTGTTTTTCTGACCCAAAGCTGATTGATGATTTGCAAATTTTTGCATTTTCTTTTGAATGATTTCTCAGTTTGATATCCCTTCTTCTTCAAAGCCCATTATTAGCCTGGGGCCATCTTGTTTTTCTAATCACCATGGCAGTGTCACCTGCTCAAATGACGCACTTCCTCATGAAGAACGTAAGATCCCACCCACCATTCTTCCATTCCAAATCAATCACAATTGGGTTCTCTGAATTTCGCTTCCTTCCTTTCTTTTTCACCCAGGAAATTGCCAGAGAAGGGCACTTATGCTTGGAGTGGGAGCTCTGGCCTTCAATTTGTCCACCGCCACTTCCGTCTTAGCACAGGGTTCAGTGACCTTTTCTTGCAATTGAACTTTAGAAAGGGTCATCTTAATCGATGGACTTAAGGATTGTGCTTACAGTATTGTGTCTCACCAAACATTGGTTCTTTCTGCAGGAATGCCAAATAATTTTGAAGCCTTCGTTGACTACGTAGATGGATACTCATACTACTATCCATCAGACTGGAGGGTAAACTTTAAGAATGCCCGAATCAGAATCTCTTTAAAACAAACTACTCAAAGTTTTTTGGCTGCTAATGAAACAACACTTTTCATGTCATTCTCTCACAGGGTTTTGATTTTATGGGCCATGATTCTGCATTCAAAGACAGATACCTGCAGATGCAGAATGTCAGGTTAAGTTTTATTCCAACCGATAAATCAGACATCCATGATTTGGGCACGTTGGAAGATGTGGTGTTTCATCTGGTTAATCACGTATACTCTGCACCTACCCAGGTAGCAAACGTAATGGACATGCGAGAGGTTTGTATTTCTGCTTACATTTCTCAGATTTTAGTTTTTTGCATAACTAGAATTTGTAATCTCATGTCTGATTGTGATATGAAAAATGCAGAAGAACATAGATGGAAGAAATTACTACACCTTCGAATATGCACTGACAAATAAAAATTTCTCTCGAGCCGCTTTTGCTACCCTGGCTATTGGGAATGGTAAGACTAAAAGATAGAAGGGTGCTCAATCATAATTAAGTATCTGATTTATGTGACCTTGGCTGTCAACTTATATAGCTGCATTTTCTACTTTTAGCTTATTCAAGTTTGTCTCGAAGCTTAAACAGAGTAAATTTAACAGGAAGGTATTATACCTTGATTGTTGGAGCCAACGAAAGACGATGGAGAAGACTCAGGAACCAGCTCAAAGTGGTGGCAGACTCTTTCAGGTTGTTGGATATTTGAGGCATATCAATTTCTGAGTTTTGATCCATATTTCTAATGCACAATGGCCATCATGCATCCCATACCTTCCATAATGTATTTATTTTACCACAGCAGCTCAACTGTTGGAATCAGCCTTATCAAATATTGTTCTTTGAGGAACTTCAGAAATGCAAATTTAACTGACATACAGAATAGGTGAATGAAGAAACATTATCAGATAAGGAACCTCAACATTCTGGTTACACTTCCACAGGGAGTGCTGAGAAAATGTGAAGAAGGTAAGACACAAAATATATAACAGAAACTCTCATTTCGGATAAATAAGGAAGCATCAGTGGGATATTATAGAGGAGGAGAAAGCGTAACCACGACAAGTTAAAGTGATCAACTCAAATTATCTGCTCTCTTTATATACAGAATGTTACATGTGATATCTGCAGCCTGTTCTTTCACCTTCTAACTAAGCTACAAGAACAAAAATTTACAATAGTGAGATGGAAGGTATGGGGGAAAGGTTATAGAAAGAAAGAAACTCACCACACAAAACTCGCAGAGAAAATTGATTTAACTGCCTACCAACGACTAAAAAACTACTCCAATCCATCCTAAAAGCAACAAATCAAATGTCATGGAGACTGCCATTGTTAGGTCCAAGACTGCCTCCGAAAGAATATGTATCTAATTCCAAATGCTTGCCTTCACAAGCTTGCTGAAGCTACAAACTGTACTCCTCAAGCAGGCCCCCCTCAAATAAACCACCACTTCGTCAACACAGACCCTTACCAACAAACATTCCTCCAATGCGTTATCCTTTCTCATTCCTCCACTTACCAAATCCAAAAGTACCCGCCACAATAAGGTCGAGTAATCAAGATAGAGCTTGAAGGGCAATGCAGCAGAGAATAAATCATTAGGTAAACATGTATTCCGTCCATCTACACAAGTCTATGCTGACGAATACCCTTACCAAAGTGAGGCTGCATTAGACGAACATACAAACCATTCTTTGCCATCAATGCGTCATGGCTTCCCTCCTCAACAATTCGGCCTCCATTAAGTACAACAATGCTGTCAACATGCCTCATCATGGCTGCTCGGTGGGCAATTAAAATGGTTGTTTTGTTTCCCATGATGAGAGTATCAAGAGCCTCCTGTACCACCCGACTCGACTCAGATTCAATGGAGGAGCTAGCTTCATCTAACAATAGTATTGGCGCATTCTTCAGTACAACCCGAGCAATGGCAATTCTTTGTTTCTGACCTGGGGTCAGATCCACACCTCTCATTCCCACGTGTGTGTCATAACCATGAGGTAAGCTACTGATGAAATGATGAGCATTTGCTATTCTTGCAGCCTCTTTCATCTCAGCTTCACTGGCATTATGCCTTGCATAGATTATGTTCTCTCTTATTGTAGTTGAAAAAATAATAGGTTCTTGCTGAACAAGACCCATGTGGTTTCTCAACCATCTCAGATTATACAGTTTCAAATCTCTGCCATCTAACATAACCTGACCTGCAACTGGGTCATAGAATCTCTCTATTAAAGAAATTATTGTGCTTTTGCCAGAACCTGAAACCCCCACCACGGCTACAGTTTGTCCTCCATTGACTTTAAGACTAAAGTTACTCAATACCAGGACTTCTGGACGAGTGGGATAAGAAAAATCCACGTTTTTTAGCTCAATGCTTCCATAAACATTAGGCGGTTTCAAAGCTGAATTATCATCAGGGTCTATCTTAGGAACTCGATCAATGATTTCAAACACTGAGACAAGGGACTTTCTCCTCTTCAAAATATATGGAGCCAAGCCAAAAGGCTCAACCAGTGCAAACGTAGCGAAAGAGAATACCATATACTCCTTAAGTGCTGTAGTCAAACCCATGTAGTGATTTTTAACAGATATGGCGGTGTACCAGAGGAGGAGAGCATTGCATCCAAAGAGAAGGAACTGAGAAAAACCAAAAGCAAATCCAATTCCCATTCCCTGTAAGAAGCTTTGCTTAAATATCTTCCGCAGTTGCAATCGATATAGGTCCATCACCTTGTTGCCAGCACAAAAGGCTACAACAGTATAAATGTTTCTAACTGCATCCTCGAGGACCAAAGATGCCTTCCTATGCATCTCCTGAATACCCTTTGAAAATCCAGCCAGCCACAATTTCTGAAATAGTTCGAGATAAGCGGATCACATTCCCAGGAATATAGTCAAAACCGTACTATGTTCTTTCAGATTCTATAGTGACACCAAAGCCATGGTTCAAATGTAGAAGGAGAACTGACAATCATTTTAAGGAAGGATGAGAATATTTGCTCAAAAATAGTGATATCAATAATGCACAAACCCACCAAAGACAGACAGGATTCAACCTCACCATGCTTTCAGAGCAAGCCATGACAATTACCACACGCAAGATACAGAAGAACACCCCGGGGAATCATATGCAGTTGCAGACAGACATACAATATGTAATTCAGGAATCGAATTGATCCACTCAATTTGTAAGGGTTGGGGGTCAACAAATCAGAATCAAATTGACAACATAAAAATGTGGAAGAAGAAATATCTAGATTGATAGATGAAACATACTTTTAAAGTAAAGTCCTAAGAAGTATACCTGAGCAACCGCAGAAACCATCAAAACAGGAAGAGTAGCTAAAGCGACGAGCGCCAGCCGCCACTGCAGTAGCATACCAATGAGAACAGCCACAATGATAGCTGCACTATCTTGTATAAATATGGAAAGTCTGTTGCTAAAAGCAGCTCTCACAAAAGTAGCATCATTGGCCAAGCGCATTGACAAATTGTCAGCACTGTTCTCCTCTTCATCAAACCATCCGACTTCATTACGAAGCATTGCTGACAAGAAAAGAATGGAGTTTCAGTCATTGCAATCAAAATGGTAATAAAGAAACAAACAAAAAAGAACTAATCAATCAACAGCAAACCAGAAAACAAGCTTATAAAGCAACGATTCTATACCAGAAAACATCATTCTTCGGACACGTTCAGTCATTTTCTCCCCCATTATGCCAAAGTAGAAGTGCTGCAAAAAGTTGGCAATCACCGTCACAATGCCCATGCAAGCAATGATTAAACACCATTTGTTCACTTCTAAACGCAAATGATGCTTTTCCTCTCGATAATATGCTGTTACTATCAGAGTAATAACATAAGCAAGAAGAGGATTAAAAGAACCAAAAATGGCAGCACCAATACTTCCTAAAACAGCATAAAGCCACTCAGCAAGGCTAAGCTCCACCAGTCTCCAAAAAGATGGTGGTTCTCGATGTCGTGAATCTTTTGAATCCTTTCTTTTAATAGGAATATCATCAAATTCACTGTGTGGCCGACTAAAAGTTTGAGAATGAGAACGCTCATTTTTTGGGTCAGATGTCAATAACGGGGAGACTGGGGATTCAGGATCAGAACCATTCATCGTTTGTCGATGTGCTGACTGGACATCAATCTTGGGTAGCTCAGGAAGTCTCATTTCAAAACTATCTTGCCTCTTTATTGATGGCTCTTTATCAAATCCATCCAGTGGCGTGCCATTTTCACCCAATTGCTCTGGTGGACTGCGGATTTGAGGAGACTCTTGTGAGCTATAGCTAACATCCGTAGGCCGATATGCTTGAAAACCAGAACCTCTCTGGAGGGAAGGTGATTTCATCATTTTGGGAGATGATGGGTCTTGGAAGCCGTGGCCCGATGAATCCTTTTCAATTTGAAAAGTACCAGTTTCTTTATAATTCCTCAAGGGCATCCTAGACCAACGCAGAAGATGACGTTATTATTCAAGCAAATTTATCAACAATACAGGTAACATTCTATCGAGAACATTTCTTCAGTTAGATTTACCTCAAATAAAATGATAAAATCCAGAGACTAAAAATTCAACCATAAACAAAGACAAGAATAACAAAATGTGCAAAAATACCTCCTAGGAAGCTTTGCAGCTTCTTCACACTTGAGAAGCTCTGCATAGAGACCATCCAAGTTGATTAATTCATCATGTGTACCCATTTCCACAAGTTGACCTTCTTCCATCACAGCAATGTAGTCAGCATTTTTTATCAAACTAAGCCGCCTGGCTATTATTATTGTTGATCTGCCCAACATAAGAAGATCTAGGGCTTCCTGAACAGCTTTTTCAGCCTCAAAATCCAGTCCACCAGTAACCTCATCAAGCAGAAGAATCGAAGGATTTGACAGCACCGCACGAGCAATCGAAAGCTTAATTTTTTGTTCTTCAGTTAATGCTAGACCAGCCCTACCAATCTGCAACAAATTAAAAAATTACAAAAGTTAGATTATATGAAGCCACAACAAGGTTAAATCAGAAAATAAGAATCTGACTGAAAAATTCGTACTTCAGATGAGGGATTTTTACAAACACAACAGGTAGTGTGACAATTTTAAGACCGCTCTAAAGTTTACCTGAGTATCATATCCTTTCTCCAATGAACTGATAAATGTATGGGCATGAGCTATTTTAGCAGCTTCTTCAATCTGATCTGAAGAAGCATCCCTCCCGTATGCAATGTTCTCTCTTATACTTAAACTCAGCAAAGCAGGCTCCTGCGTGACTAAACCAATTTGGCTCCTCAACCACTCTAGCTTCAGATTTTTAATATTTTCACCATCCAAAAGAACCTCTCCTATGGAAAAGAAAGGGAAAGCGGTAATTTTTTTATTATTAAGGAAACTATAACAGTAGATTACATGACTTCATTCATAAACGAAGGCAATACCTAATGTAGGGTCATAAAACCGTTCCATAAGAGGAATGATACTGCTCTTTCCAGAACCATTTCTACCAACAAGTGCTACAGCTTTTTTTGCAGGAACTGTGAGGTAAAATCCACTTAAAATCGGGATTTCGGGACGAGAAAGATAACTGAAATACACATTTCGGAATTCAATATTTCCTTGAACAGAAGCAAGAGTTGTTCCATCATGATTAACAGCAGAAGATGACCGGCTTATCATCTCAAAGAGTCTGTATGCAGCAATTCTGCCTTGTTCAAAAGAGTAGAAATTTGTTGCCGCCTGGTTCAAGCCACTACCAAACACAAGTACATTAAACAGGATTTATAGATGGAACAGGAGATAAATGAGAAGTTTAATGAGGCAAGTTAGTCGCTTACAGGCCACTTAAAATTACAGCAAATAGAGCTGTAATTATTTCACCTCCATGAGCTTTCCCATGGGTCACAAGAAACCTTCCCACCCATAGTTGCAGAGCACAAGAACAAATTGCAAGCCCGTATGTAAAACCAAGACCAAGCCCTTGCACAAGACTGATCAATATACCATATCGCAATGTAGCTTGCAAAGAAGTTGCATAAGAGTATTTCGCTAATGTTTCATTTGTGAATCCATATAAAGTCCTAATATATGACACCGCCTGCAGCATAAAAACAGAAATAAGATATCTAGACACGCAAACCTTTACCAAACAACTTAGTAGAATATACAGCTATCATACTTTAAGCAAAAAATTTAAGCAAACTGATAAAACATGAATGGCCAGATAAGCCATGCCCTTTTAGACAAGGAAAAAGGAAACTACCATCAACCAAACCATGTCTTCTAAGGTATAGAAAAAATGCAATATTTGAAGCATTTAATGCACATTACACACTCTATCCTAAATGTGAATGATTCACTCTAGTCACAATAGGCAAACTACAAAAGAGTCTTCATCTGCAATATGCTAAACTTGGACATGTGCCAATTCAGCAGTCAGTAGTGTACAACACAATTTATCCCAAGTTTGTTACATTGAAAAAAGGTAGAAACACAAACGTGTTCAAATCAAACTGCACAAAAGGAGTTCATCTACAAGTGTGCATATGACAATAATAAAGTCTTCACACACTAGTACACTCCAAATTGAACACCAGAGGATCTTTTCATAACATACTCAAGAAAAATGAAGATAAAACGGAAAAAATACCTGTTCAGCAATACTTGCAGCCTCAGCATATGCATCTTGGATGTTTTCTGCTAGTCTATGAAGAAATATATTTGAAATTCCTCCTGCTGCAACAATGAACGGACCGGTCCCTAAAGTAATAAGAGCTATCTGCCAGCAGTTAACAAATCCAATCACTAAACCACTGAAGAAGGTAGCCATGTTATGAATATAGTTTCCAACCTGTGTTAACATAGTCCAGAAGGAAAAATCAATCAGCATCAACAAAGAGATTATACAGTGAAAGAAATTAACAGTCATATGAAGAAAAAAAATGCCATAAAAGTTGGCCATACTTTTTCACTAAGAGCAGATTGTATAAGCAGCACATCACTCAATACTTGGCTCACAATGTCCCCATTGTTCCCGTAGGTGTCAAAAAAACTCATGTCTTGGTTGAGTAACACTTGAACATATCTGGACCTAATTACAGCAGTCTGCCGCTCTCCGGTAAGAATCCAACATGAAACCTCTATTACAAGAAACCAAGTTCATGTTATGCAAGACCAGGGAGGCTAAACATTCCAAACTAATTGTAATAAATTGAAGACAAAAAAGTTTAATCCATTTCAATATTAATCTTACCAATCCAACCAGCAGCAAAAACTCCCGCAGCAATGTAAACGATAGTCAAAACAAGCTGCACAAAGTAGACAACATGGCTAAAGATGTAGGAGTATCAACTCACAATTAAAGTGAATATTTAATATAATTGAGACTGCAAACATTTTAGAAGGCACTTGAGTGAAGATTTTAAAAGGCAGTGAGGCACTAGAAAAGAGAAAGTAAATGTCAACATTTGTCAAAGGTCAAGCAGAGAGTCAAGAGGAAGAAAGTTACCAGCAAGCGGAACTCACAATATTATTAAATAAATGAATAATCTCGCTCCACTATCAAAATTTCAAAAGCGAACAACATAGAAGTTACTTCTCAGTTTGAGCCTGAATGTTGGAGATGTGTGAATGGTTCGAAACCAGAAATCATGATCCAAGTGGTTTGAAACCAGAAATCATGATCCAAGGCGCCACAAATAAGCTCACAGAGGTACAGGAGGGCAAATAATGATTAATGTCTAATGAGGATTTTTCACGCCACGGGCTTATTGAAAACATTTCAGCCAATTGACTCCCAACATATTTAGATTTCCAATTAATTCTTATCACACACAATTGCATCACAGTATTGCAGCAATCGGCATGTTTATGAGTGTAGGAACATTGAAGCAATAGCCAGAGTTTAGAAGTCTTTGGCTAGACAGTTGTTGAACATTTGAACGTAAAAGGGCAGGGAGATGATTAAGGCCAATACATAACCCTAATCGAATGAATAAAGACACGCATCCTTTTCAGATTCAGAAAATAACATACTTGACGCAAGGAAACAAATGGTTCGCCAAGTCCACGCATATCCTTATCTATAAATATCGACCCCTGGAATAACTTACTTTCCATCTGGCATTTAATTACCTAGTTACGAAAGCCAAAAATGACTCTGAATGGTCATAAATTGGAAATTATGACGAATATACTATTACTTACGTATTAAAGAAAGTAAAATTAACTATTAAGAAATGGAAACTCAAGCGTGTAGTGGATTCCATCAGGGATTAATCATCACTAGAAAATTAATTAAGAAATGGAAACTCAAGCTTAATTACACAAAAATGTAAAAGTATTAAAATCCATACATCATAAACCTTCTGCAGAAGCGATTCCCACGTGCTTCCCATCTTTTGATACGTAAATTATTTTGAAGCAATTTCCAATAATCAGGTAAATAGAAAAATATCACACGCTGTATCAACTGAAACAACCACTCAATTCCGCAAACATCTAAGCAGGTTGCAGCAAACTTTTAAGATAAGATCTTACCCTCAGTCATGAGCTAAAAGAGCTAAGAGCCTTTCCAGCCAAAAAAACAAACATCCCAAAAACCATAGAAATTTGTAAAGACATCCAACACTAAACCAAGTAAGACGCATTTTCAGCATTCAAAATACCAACAAACAAACGGGGAAGGGAGCGTAAAAACTTGTCAACGAAGTGAAAAGGGAACAGTCATCCCCACCATAATTGATAGTGATAATAAAATTATATTCCAAAAAATGTTACCTCAGTGAACCTGTGATACAAATCTCCAGGAGGTTCGGAGGCGTGGCCCAGTAACTGCACAATCTTAGCGAAATAATGCAAGTAAACCACCAGCGCGGTACCATGGGCAGCAGCAGCCAGTGATCCGACGAACATAAGAACCCAATCGAGGCGGTCCGCGCAAGCAAAAAGCCTCGAGAAAGGTACAGCAGCTGGAGGTGGCTCGATCTCTTCAGCCTCGGCGTCGATCTCCTCCTCCAGCTCCACCTGCGCGCCATCTATACCAGTGTCCAAATAAGGAGAAGGAGACTCCGGCGGCTCCGAAACCTCAGACACCGGGGTAAGAGGCTGTATGTGTGGCGGGGACCACCCAAACAGCCCCCTAGATATCATCATCTTCGCAGATTCGGAGGTTCCAAAGTCACTCGTGCTACACTAACAAAACCGCCGGATAATTTCACAGAAGGTAAAAACAAACAAAAAACAAAAACCCTAGAGCATGGCCGGCGCTGTTGTTCTAGGGTTTTTCCAAAACGCAATGTCCAAAAAAGGAGCTCAGATCAAGGATAATTGGAAGTTGAACTTTCCCCAAATTACGAGTGTCCAAAAGAGATTAAAGAAAACAGTTTAATTAGGAAGAGGAGAGAATAAAGGAGCCGTTTCGGAAGTTACAGAGACGGAAAGAAATGAGTTGGGTGGACTCAGTCAAAGAAGGTGGTGGGAGAGAGAATTTGACTGCGGCGTAAGAGAAGGTTCCGCTTCTTTGTCTATGGGATTATTGTTGTTGTTTTCATCTGGGAGAATGTGATGAGTTATCTATCCCCCCTTCTGAAACGGGCAAAAACAGAAGAGCCAATCTCCGGCGAGTTAAACGACGGCGTTTGGCACTGCCCGATGCCGGAGGAAAACCGGAAAAGGGGGAGGAGGAGGAGGAACTGTGGCCGTCGGAGTACTAAAAAAATCGGGAGCGGATTTGGGGATTTTTTCGGTTTTCTCTTTTTTTTCTTAGCTCTCTCAGCGCTCCCAATGCCCAAAAGGCGTGAGGTTGATGAATGGATACAGCTGTGAATTGTGGGAATGAACTGCTGGTGAGGGAGGGTATTTTTGGTAATTCGGACAAAGAAAAGTGGACAGATGTTGGTATCTTAAAGGGTGGGTAAATGGGAATTTGACTAATTTGGGGACTGGAAAAGTATCGGAATGGAGATATGGAATGGGAATGGGAATGGGATGAATGTAGTTTTGTTTTTGTATTTTTTTGGGTCTTTCTTATTACTAAGTTATTTTATGTTCAAAATATCAAACCATGTATAAAATGTGTCACATTAATTCATTAATATTGCATCACTTTTTTGAAGTAAGTTCCGATATCCTCCTTCTGTCCCATAATTATTGTCCAGTTTAAAATTTCATTTTTAGTACAATTTGAACTAGAAATAAAAATTCGAACTGGACAATAATTATGGGACGGAGGGAATATTAGTGTTTCTGAATGTGTCACATTAAAATGCATTTTCTTCCTAGTGGAAGTGGACAGGTGAAAAAAGGAAGAAAATGGAGGGTGTCCTGGTTGGAGTTTTTGGAACAAAGGGGGGAATCATTGGGGAAAAGCTTTTTTCCCGATTTAATTTATGTCCATTTGCCAGACCATTTTATCTGTTCTTACTTTTTCTCATTTTTTGCAATCTTGGCTTTTGTTCTTCATTAGTTTATCTTTTACTGAATTGATGTTTTGTATCATTTGTTAACCATTATTTTTTACCGTTTAACGATTCTTTAACTTTTTTGCATGGATGGATAAAAATAAAAACCAGTCAACCATTTTATGATTTGTGCAGATGCTTTTCCCGTCCATGCATTAAAGTTAGTACCATTTAAATTGGCTAAAACTCCCTTCTAGAATTTCTGTTTTTAGTTCATAATCATAAATATAGCAACTAACATTTGTCTCTTTAAGATCACAAACTTGTCTCTTTTGACTGATTTGAAGTAGTAACTAATGGATCAGTGATCTAAAAAATTCCATTTTTCTTTAATTTTGGCAAGTAAAAAAATCATTAATCACCATAAATAAAGTCAACATCCATAAACATAACATAAACTAGTAATAACCAAGATTTTAACGGTTCCAATGGTGGTGAGGTGGTAGTCTGGTAGATGGACAATGTTTTGACTTCTAACTCAGTCTTCCACCTACCCTTTTTTGACTTCTTAAATACTCCTAGTTAAACACTTAAACCCCGTTAAGAATTACGATTACCGCGAACTTTAAATAAGTTTAAACCCCAAACACCATTTTGAACCTTATAGAATTTTATCAAAAAGGGAAAAAAGAATTATTTGCGAATTTGAACTATGCAGTAAACAGTTTCAGGGGAGATAAAAATGCAAAGCTCAAACAAAAGTTGAGTAGAGTACTTGGAATTGACTCCTAGGTTAGAGTTGAGAACATTCTTAGCAGAAATGGAAGTGATTATTCCTTCTATTGGATATCGGCGGCCCACACAGCTCAGGAGTAAGGCTGAGGGAGATAGCCATAGTTGTCCAATCATGTCAGCCAGATATATTCCCCTTACCTTCTTCTTTTTTAATCATCCCTTTTTCCCGTATTTATTAGTGTCCCAAAATTGACCTAAAATCTTCAACTATTCGCTGGGGAACAATCTAATCCAACGCCAACAGCGAGGGAGGAGATGGATGACAGATTTTTTTTTTTTTTTGCAAGGCCCATAAGAAAACGTGGCTTGTTTTTGCCTTTTTTTCTCTTCGGAGATAATCAAGGGCCTTTTGTAATTCAATTTCATCATCAGCAGCATAAAATAGCCGTTGGCGGGCCCTAAACTTTGTTTCCCCTTTCATTTTTCTGCATCTAAATAAAGCACATAATTAGTGTAGTCATCATTCGTTCGGATCTTGGTATCGCAGCTTTGCATCAAAACGGAAACACGGATGAACCAGAGAATCATTGCTATTCAGTATCATATCACATATTCTAGATTCCATCTCTCTCTCCGCACCCATGCAAAGCACCCCGAATGATAGCCTAAAATTTGTGTATGGAAACAACACGGAACTAACATCGGGCAAGAAAAATAGACATGAACAGGGAAGCTCGAGTGCCCACTACTACCCACTTAGAAAAGGCAAAAGAGAAAGGCACACAATCCACTGATTTCAATTGAGTGCAGTGTTATCCAATCCAATGTGTCCTTTATCGTTTGCGAAATTTGACAGTGTCATCTGCTTCTTTCGATTGAGTTGTGACCTTCCATACTTTATTGGTAGTAGCCAGTTAGCCACCCCTGGCCTTAAATCCTAAAGGATTGCTTGCCATTATTACTGCCTCGACAATGCCACATGATAAAAGAACCATTCCCATTGCTCCAATCACCCTTTATTCACTTCCTCCCTTTGTTTATTAGTTTTAGGCTATTAGCTATTGTTGTTAAGTTTCCCTTGGAGGGAGGGGTTTGCCCAACCAGGCTTCACAAATGAGGAAATGACCAGCCTGACAGCATAGTTAAGGAAAGAGCAATAATAAGTACACGGAGAATTAACAAGGAAAACTTACAAAAAATAAGTTGTTAATCATCTAAATTATACCCTAACATTAAATGCTTAAATCCCAAATAAAAGTGTTAAAAATGAATGGTTATAATCAATTCTTTGTTATTTTTCCTTGTCATTTTTTCCTGTGCAAATCATTATCCTTAAGGAAGAGCAATGAATCAAGGAGCAGAGTAACAGGGCACTATTACCAAATCAAAGGTCAAAATTTAGACTAATGCATGCTTTGAGGCAATATTATAAAAGAATAATAAACTTATCCTACATGCATGAGCATCACCACCGTATAACCGTATTCCAAAGAAGTCGTCCTAAAGGCTAATCAAGAATGAACCTCAAGATTTCAACTTGTAGACACGTTAGTAAACGAAAAAGCAAATAAGCTTAAAAGCAGAAAATAAGCAATAGAAGATGATTAAGATAGATGACTACATCATAGCTTTTAAACAAATGTAAAATGACGATCTTTTCAGTGTACCAAAAACTGGTACCGAGATAAATGCTACATAAGGTTCGGAATAACCAGAACATTACTACCATCCAAGACAAACAAGCTAACAAAACTGTCCCAATTTAAATAGACTGATCCTGGATAAAAGGGAACAAGATTGTAAATTTCTTAGATGATCCCAATCTTGTTTGCCACATCCAAAGCATCATAGTCCGGAGTCAACCTAACATATGCCTTCTTCGTTCCATCGGGCCTGTACAAAAGAGAGTTACGGTTAGTACCATATTGATGCAAACACAAAATTAGTAAACCATCACATCCAGAAAGGCAATACAGCTATCCAGTCAAATGTTACAGCATTTTTGACATGTAAAGAACAATGTTAATCGTTGCGTCAAACAGTTGAGATACCAGTTCCAATACATAAACAAAACGAGCATTGACTGTGATGCCTCTTAAGAAGCAATATCTTAACCAGCAAACAAATCAAAACATTCTACAACAGTTATTTGGAGTACCTGATCAAGGTGTTAACTTTCTTGGTCTGAATGTCATACATCTTCTTCACTGCATCTTTGATTTTCTTCTTATTGGCACGAATGTCAACAATGAAAACCAAAGTATTGTTGTCCTCAATCTTTTTCATGGCCGATTCAGTAGTCAATGGATACTTGAGAATCTGATATTGGTCCAATTTGTTCCTTGGAGGAGCACTGATGCGTGGGTACTTGGGATTTCTGTCCTTTTTCAATGTCTTGGGGCGGTGGAAGGTAACCTTAGTGCGGATCTTCTTGCCCTTCTTCTTGAAGGTTGACCCAGACTTCACTGCATGCGCAACCTTTGTAGCTTGGGCTGTGGCATCAGCCTTTTTCTTGGTGTCAGCTGCATGTCCAGAAAATCTATTATTAACTACGACATTTGAGAGCATTGAGAGATTTTAAACTGAATGCATAAACAAAGCAAACATATTAAACAGACCGGAAACGAGAGCCTGAAATTCAAGGAAACAACAAAATCACCAAACAAAGGATGCTTTCCCACTCAGTCCTAAATGCTGATGAAAGATATGGAAATTATGTCACACCAAAACATGACACCTATGGAATGAAATGCCCCGTTCTTTATTCTTGAATCCATCATACAGAATAACACAGTAAAGAAGAACTTGAGCCTATTAATAAATTAACACAGCATAATATATACATATAATGGTCAAAACGATGCAAAAATATGTTGAATGCTGTAGCTATCTACATTCCACACAATTCTTATATAAAAACAGAAAAGCAGAAGCTAATTTGAAGGATGAAACTACTGGTGACAGAAAAATCAGCCAACTAACATAATGCGTCCAAAAAATCATGGTATGCAAAAGAAAACTCAACCGTCAAAACCAATAAAAAAAATGATATACTACATTCAGGGATAAATCCTGATCTCAAAACAATCAGATCCACTAAATCCAAACCCTAATCTACAACATAACTCAAGCTGCGCTCTCAGAAGGCAAGCCTTCCATATCACACAACGTAATCTCTCAAATAGAGTCATTCAATATGAAAAAGTAGCAACGCTTGACAAATAGAAAACCTAAAATCAAAAGTAAGGAAAAGATACAGCAGAAGAATAGAGACCATTAAAAACAAATAGCAGCGTACACTAGAAAACTAAGCTTTAAAACCAACTGCATCAGCTCGAAACAAGCATTTCTAATCCCATCCGAGAATTAAGAAATCTTACCCAATAAGAGTTTAAACAAAATTCCAAGAAAAGATGAAAAGCATTACCTTTAGGAGCCATTGCTGAACTTTGCGACCCGAGGCTTACCTAATCAAATCACCAAAACCACAAAGTTTCAGAACATACAGATAATAGAGAACTGGAATTACAAAAGGATGAACATATAAATATCGAATTTCGATTTGAAAAGAAGAGTGGGAAGTACCTGCAGCGGACAATGGAAAGGGTGTTGGGAGGAGAGCGGTGGAATCTGAGGCTGCTAGGGTTTATGTCAAACGACGGACGAAGTTATAAGTTGAGACTAGGGCTGTAGACATAACGGGCTTTTGCGCAAAGGATAATGAGCTTGGGCTTCATTATGCGGCAACAAAAACGAGGAAAGCCCAAATTCAAGACCCAGCCAATATTTTCTTCCCTTGGTTTTTTTTTGCAATTGTATTAACAATGGTATGTTTTTTCCTTTTTTATTAGTATATCCTTCAATTTTTGCAGCTGTTATAGTTATAGACTCTAGGATTCGGCTAATGCTTACATGGAGCCAACTTTTTAGGAATTCATACGATTTACTCTTTTTTTTTATTCAATTGAAAACACGATTCAAGCTTATTATTATTTTGCTCTTCTTAGATTGTGCGATTTTTATCATATAATTTCCCTTATAAATAAATATCACATGAGATATCCTTGGTGATTTTAACCATTTAACAAGGGGGAAAAAAGGAGATTTACAACAAAAAGATACTCCTTCCTCCTTCCGTCCCACAAAAACCACAAAAATAGTGTACATTAAGTTTAGAGTCTAATACTATTTTTAGTACAAATTTAAAAATTCAATGCGGACTATTTTTGTATGACGGAGGTGGTATAACAAAATTCCCTTTTTCTTTATTAGGAACGTAGTGAAATAAAAGGTTTTCGCCAATTGTAATGGATGGGCCCTGTTTGAAAGGTTATACTCTGGAAGTCACTATCAACCAACTCAAACGTCTCTTCAGTGTGAGTACCAACACAGCATGAAAAGCACAGAAAAGCCATCTACAGTCGCTAGATTTTCACATAAGTTTGGGCATTACATAACTCCACTCCACAATGTTACAAAATTTCTAATGTCAAATTCTAACAACTTCGCATTTGAATTTCATCACATCAAATTTTTAAAGAGTACAGGGTGTTCGAAGACCATTCTTTCGACTATTTGCTAGATTCATAATAATGCCACTCGACATAACCCCTATCCTTGCCGGCTTTGCTTTTCTTCAATGCCCGATTGTCGGAATCTATGCCTCAAGACTTCCATTACATCTTTCACCTTCACTCCCCTCTTGGCCAGCAAAACTAAAGCGTGGTACATCACATCAGCCATCTCCGAGGCTGTCCGTGCAGTATCCTCATTCTCCTCGAGGGTTCGACACAATTCATCAGCCTCCTCCCTGTAAAGGAACAAAACATTATTCCCAGTTGTTGAATGTGGATATTACTAGTTGCCACCAAACATACAAGTTGTGATTTGCATAACCACAACTCAGGACACCTTTGCTTTCGCAAAAAAATCGTGTGCACATAACTTCCAGGTACCCCCCCCCCCAAAAAAAAAACCAAAAAAAATAAAAGGAAATAAAGGAAAGATGGAATACTGTACCGGATTTTTGAACACAGCAGGTTGTCATCAAGCAATAAGCGCTTGGTCCAAGATGGTTTTCCATTTGGTGATGCTTTTTCCTCCTTTCTCCCGTAGATAGTAGATTCCAGTGCGTATAAAGTGGTCAATACTTTCTTCTTTTCTTCAGTCTACCAAACATCAGCCAGTGACCAACAATTTTTATTGATAGAATATCACCCAGTGTACTAACTTTGGCTTAAGCTGATCAGATCAAAGAAGAAACTAAAAGTAACCCACACAAAGGATGCATACCTCTGAACTATTCAGTACATCATCTGCAGACACAAAGTAGCATGTCTCTTCTCCAGTGTGGCAAGTTGGCCCATCTGGCGTTCCTAAATATATAAGCTGAAAAACAGGTTAATTACTCAGCAAAGCTGATCACATCAAGACATTCAATGATCAAATAAAAACAGATTAAACCCCATAAGAGCTGAAAACTTACCGAATCCCTATCGCAGTCTAGATAAACATCACATACATTAATGAAATTTGAAGAGGTCTCCCCCTTTGTCCACAGGGTTGATCTTGACCGGCTGAAGAATGTTGCTTTCCGTGAAGATATGGTTTTTAGCAATGCATCCTTATTGGCAAAGCCTTGCATTAAGACAGCCCCTGTGTCAACATCTTGAGCAATTGCAACAGCCAACCCTTTTTCATCCCACTTGACACTATCTAGAAGTAACTTAAACTGTATGACTCTTGTCAGATAGAGAAAAGACAGACAAGCTTTTTAAACTTTTTTTATTTTTTTTGAGCCACAAATTGTGTGACTATTCATAGATCACGAAGAAATTGCAGAGAAACCACAGCCAGACGAGTGGTAGACAACTGAAAGCATAAGTTTGCTCATTTCATGTTTCTCAATTTTCAATACTAGATAAAATGATGCCGCATAGAAGAAAGCATTACAGAACTTCATTTCCTAGAATCAAACTACTTGAGTGGTCATTCGTAATTAGACAAAAAGTGCCGAGAACATTGAAAAAACTAATTGACGTGCAAAGTGGAGACTGCAACAGACAAGAGCAACACCGTCTCCCAAAAAGAATCAATCCATTGCAAGAAGACAATAGTTTAATAGAATATGGGGTTCAGATGTAGCTCGTGTATTCACCAAGATGACTAACGAGGGACTACGAACTCCTTCATCTTAACTCTTTAGTATTCCAGACATTCAACGGCCCCCACAACCAGATGAGTGGTAGACACCTGCCAGTCTGGTTGAAAACATACATTTACTTTTCAAATGTTCTTTACTTAAGAAGTTGGTAAGACCATGAAAAATGAAATAAAGTTTGCTTTTAAAAAATCACCAATGACAAAAAGTGTAGAGAACATTTAAAAGGAAAACTAATTAATGTGAACATTAGAGCGTGCAACATAAATAAGCTACACTGTCTCCCTCGAAGAATTTCGATCCATTGCACGAAGACGATAGTCCAATAAAATATGGGGTTCAGATGTAGCTCGTAGAGTCACCAAGAGTGACTAACAAGGGACTACGAACTCCTTCATCTTAATTCTTTACTATCCCAGACATTCAACGGTCCCCACAACCAGATGAGTGGTAGACAACTGCCAGTCTGGTTGAACACATAATTTACTCAAATGTTCTAAAAACGGGATATATCTTTGCTTTTAGAAGATCACCAACGACAGGCACCCACAAAAAGGTTGCTTGCTATTCACTAGATCGTGTGTAGCTCATGTACTCACTAAGGAACAAGGACAAATGCGAGTGGTGATGCATTGTCCAAAGATTACTACTATTAACAGAAATCCTATCTACCCATACACTCAACAGTCTTCAAGATGAGGATAGTTGTAGATAAGTGCCAATGTTTGGTTTAAGAAAGGAATGAAGATAGGCATCTTATTATATAAATCATCAAACAAGTCAAAGTAATTAGAGAATAATAAAAATGCAGTAAATCAACCATTTGCCCAAAGTAACATTGGCACAATTCACACTTTCATAACCAATACCCCCAAAAAAATCAATGCGGCACCTCTGAAAATCGACCATAGTAAAATGTAGTACTATTTGCTCTAAAAGTATTATAGGAGCAACATAAAATCACAAGCAGATACAGAGAGAAAGAAGTCAACAAGCGATGAAGACGAAAGACCGGGGAGGCTAAAAAGTACCTTAGGTTCTTGATCCATGTTCTTAATGCAAGCATAAACAGGACCGCTGTTGAACCTTCGACCACAGTAAACAAGGGGATTGCATTTAAAAGAGATTTTTGGGGTCTGAAATCCACATGAATACGAGAATGCCATGACGAATTTAGCTCACTGCGACTGTCCAGCAAATACCAGAGCGTCACTAAATTCAGACCAACAAAGGGTTACTGTAATTGCACATTTCCAAATAACTAGAAAATCAGGTCACTAAAATGAACATTGACAAAAATGTGACTAGGTGAGGGAATTTACCCAAAATTCCACCAAAACCCAAAACTCAACAAATTGAGGAAGGCGATTCATTGTCCGTAGAAACATGAATAGAATCATAAATCAATTGATAACTTACGGATGAACGATTAGACGATACAGAAACTAAGGAGTGCAATTCTGCCCGTCTACTTCGTCGGGAGAGAAATGTTGAGCAGTCTCGGCGGCGGAGAAATGATTGGTGTATGGAAACTAAGTAGAAGTGGCTGGACTGGGGAAGATTTGCAGGTCGTTCTCTTTTCTGAGAACTGAGAAGCCCATTTCATTGGGCTTGACTGTTGAAATGCCCGTCACATAATGGACTCCGCCTCGTGGTAACCTGTTCACTGAGTCTGGAATATTTGGATACTGGATAGATTAGTTTTCGTCACATCAAATCGCTATCCCATCTTACTAGACAAATCCTGTGTAATCATGGGTTCCCTATTAATTTTTTTTACAATGGGCGCTATTGATAGAAATAATGAATTTAAATAACAAAAGTACAAAAATATATAGGTTTTGCTTAATGAGCAATATTTATGAATATATATAACCATTATTTGTTATTTAATGTTAAAAATTAACACAAATTATTTGTTAGATCTTTATTGTTATATGATGGATAAGAGGAAAAAAAAATACAGAAGAGGAGTTAGGATTGAAAGAGAAAGGCACTAAAGCCTAGAAGAAAAATATATGTTGTGTAAAAGAATTTTTAAACACACTTTTTTTTTTATGACACATGGAAATCAATGCGATACATTAAAGAATAATGTTGTATTCCTTGTTCAACTAAGAAAAAGGGGTTTAAAAAAAAACACTAAGGACAAAAGAAAAAGTTTGGCACATCAGTTATACGGTGCTTAGGACGAGCGGCGATGATGACCTAGGCGGCGGCGAACGGCCTAAAACCTGCAAGACAGAGCCTCGGGTGTCTCCCGAGGGTAGACTCTCCGATGCTTAAGTCAATAAGGGAATAGAGATAATTAGAGAGAGAGGGATGTGTGTCATGTGTAAAAGGTGTAGAAGATAGGAAGAAGATATGAATTATAGGAGAGGCACCACCTCTTTATATAGAGGTGGTGTTACCTGTTTCCTGAAACCCTAGCGGAATTGGTTTAGGCGGTGGCTTAATCTCCAAGTAACCTAATCCTAGGCTCAATAGGCCTAGGGTTAATTTATGACTCGTCAAGTGCCCCTAACAAGACATATTTTCGAGACTTGATGAGAAGAATATGGGTTACTACGAGTGTTAATGTTTTCTCGAGTTTCGTAGTGTTGCCCCAGTTCTCGAACTCTTTCATTCTCAGGTGTCACCTATATAAGATAAAGAGAAATAGGATGCCTCGAGGAGGTATTTTGTGTCAGAGAGTTCTTTGTTTGCGCGGTGGACCGTGAGTATCCTTGTTTGCTCGGTGGACCGCGAAAATCCTTATTTGCGCGGTGGACCGCGAGTGTGTAGATCATTGAGATGCAATATTATATAATAATGACATATAATGTAAGATGCTCGTGAAGAATATCAGTCTAGCAGAGGATGTTAGGATGATCCCTCAAGTTCCTTGCCCCTTGGGTATATCCCTGTTTGTGCCCCCAAGTACGTTTTCCTCGTTGAAGGGTGATAGGATTTTACCGCAAGATGGTTAATAATTTGAAGAACTCCTTTGATCGTGCTCAAAAAGATATTTTTATATGACATGAATAATATGCTTATGGCAAGAATTATGATGTCAATGATATACGAACTTTTGTTCAAGAAGCATATAATAATGACAAGGTTTGAGGTGTACCTCGATCTTGAGATAAATTGATTATTCGAGAAGATGTTACCTCGATTCCGAGAAGGTAGTAGTTGAGTAGACAAAAATCGAGATACATCTTCTCGAACACTTCAAGTAGTAGTATGGTGCTCGAGGGATGTATCTCTCAAAACTTCAATATCAGAGATTCCTCCTTGCTTCAAAGTTAAGTGAACTAATTAAATATTCTGCCCCTTTCGATTGATTTTGAACTCTAGGGATTGTTTTGTAAAATTAGAAACTTTAAGGGTCAAAATCAACTAAGTTTAAAAATTGAGAGACCAATCTGCAATTTTTTTGAGATTGCAGAATTTCTTCTCGATCAGCGCAACTCCTTGAATTACTAGCACGGTTGAATTCTTCTTTGGGCTGCCTCTTGGCTGGTACTAATCAATTGGTTGATTCTCAGGCAAAGCAAGAACTAAATTGACGCCAAATAACAAATAACAAAGTCTTTCAAGGGTAGAAAGATTGACGCCATAATAATTCAGGAACACCAAAAAATTCCATACTCCGCAAAGAAATTTATTTGGTTGTGAGGACCATCCAATCCAAACTTAGGAGGTAATTGAAAAATAAAATTAATTCTAAATTATCAAAAAATGGCACGTCAAATGGATGGGATAAAATGGACCGGAAAAAAATATAATGGGCTTTTCAAAAGAGTTCTGTTTTAGTAGATAGAATGATTTTTTTAAAAAAAACAAAATTTACATTTCAAACATAAGATTGTTTAATTAATTTGATTTTTTGTCTAAAAAAATAATCCACGTTTGAGGCAGAGGGAGTACATTTCGTGATTTCAACATTAACAACCCTTTGGTTCAGAGCTGGAGATAACTGAACAACTGTGCCGTTGAAATGCTCAAAAGAAAAAGGATTAGTGGATCTGGATGATAGTTCCTTTCCCTATCCATGAGCAAAATGAACAAAGTGACTATTTAAAGGCTAAATAACCCACTACTGCCTAAAAACTGCAAAGCAAAACAACCAATCTCCAAGACTAAATTTTGCCTATTCGTCTTTGCTTTCAATTGGCGAAAGCCTGGAGTTTCATTTACACAAGCTGATGTGGAGAGGAAAACCCAGCCTACCTAGCTAATTCTTTTGTGGATTCTAAGATTAGTGTTCTAATAATTCACAATGTACAAAAAGTTGATTTAGCAAGACGAACGCCTTGAGGGTTAAGAAAAAAGCTCTATACAGTACAGCCATTAGAACCCCACCTCGGAAATGACACCACAGCATCCTGCATTGCCAAAAACAACTTCAGAGAAGAACAAATTGTTTAAACACATGAAGCAGCCATACAAGGAAATGAAGCACCATATGCAGGATATGATTGGTTCGAAAAAGAGGACATGGGGCAATCAAATTTACTTGTACCAGCAGCGAACTTTAGTTTCTTAACAATTTTGAAAAGGGATAGAGAACTACAAAAAATCATCTCTAAAAGGAAAGGAAATACCAAATACCTTCAACTTGACATAGAAGTTCGTCAGGACCAAAAGAAACTTGCAGTAGCAGGAGATCATACATAATGGGTGGAGGTGCATCATTAACGTCACAAAGAACTCAAGAGAGACAGAAACTCTGCAGGTTCTTCTTTCTCCATTATGATCTGCCACAGATTTTGGACAAAATTATTCAGTATCTTTAACTCAATACCCGTTACATGATCAAACATCCAAATACACAAAATGATAACAAAGGGTATCAAGCACTTAAAGACAGATAATAAGTAAACCTTAGTCCTCTGTCACAATGAGGGATAAGCAATATGAACCATCTCTCTCGATTGTCGTATGTTATTTACTTTCTTATAGTTTCTCCCACATGTCACTTTTGGTCATCCCCTTACCGTTTTAATTTTAGGTATCAAGTCTTCTTAATACCAGCCACATTGGCTCATCTAAAGGGCTTCCACATGCATCTCTAAACCCCCATAAACTTGATTTTTAATTTTCTCACAAGTCGTCCCACTTTGTTTCTAACGCATCTGTAATTTATTCTATATGGTCTAGCGTGTCCATTCATAAATAACTGTGGAAAATTATAAAACAGCAGCTTGGAGTTCCCTCAGAATATCCCACCTAAAACCGAATTCATTTGCATATCACGAGCTTCACAATATGGCAATCATTGTTCAGTAAAACCTCATCAGCATGAGGAAAAAATGAGATGCAGAAGATCAATTACAATCATGAAAATAAAATTTCTCTCAACAAGGAAAACCAGAATCTAACCATACAGGTACAATTCCTTATCTTCAGTAAAGTCTAAACAAGGGGTGCATAAACCCACGGTATCAGCATACATTACCAAGTCAATGTGCCTACATGTATAACACTAAAAATATCACAGCTATATCTCAAGAAAAGATCAACCTCGTGGTGAACAGAGTACGGTTTCCATACAGAGAATACCAAATATAGGCCTGTGCTTCAACAGAAGATTCCAGGCATAGGAAAACCATTTTTGTCAAAGTAACCTCACAGTAGGATTCCTTATTACAGAGAAAACGAGGCAGCCAGAACACAGCAGCTATGTTATTACAAAACACAGAAGATACTCCTAAAGACGGAAACAAGAAGCTAGAGGTCCAAGATATTAATGCATGATTGAAAAAGTTTAGGTGGCTACCAACAAATTACGCATGCCATAAGGTCTCCTGCTAGAAAAAATATCATTATGGCAAAGCTTAGGTGAGCCAAATTGCCTTCCGTTCTGATTGATTTTAGAATGACAATTACAATGAGATTACCAAATGCAGTATGATGAGAGACAGAGCAAGGAAAGAGAAAACGATGAAGAACCTGAAATCTACCTCAATTTTAATGTCCTTCGGCAGACCCATTCGAGAAACAACATCTGAAGTAGCATATTTCCAGTCAAAATCCCGTTGACCACCAAAACTGAGATTGCTTTCATACTGATACTTGCATTCATTTGAATTGAAAAGCCGTCCAACCCAAAGGTAGAGAACACCCGCCTCCACTTTTTCAGGAAATGAAGTAGGAGTGATGAAAACAAATGCAGATTTGGAATCCAAATCATCAGAACCAAACTTTGCAAGCCTTTCCAAGGTAGGCCAACGACAAACTACAGGCTGAACAACATCAGATACCAGACTATTATCAGCCATTGCATTCTCTGCAGTAGCCACCCTCTCACCAAGTTTATGTTTATTGGTCAGTAGGTCAAGACTATTTCTCAAAGCAACCTCCCCCTGAAGAGAATCTACTCTACCTAAAGATGGCCGACACTTCAGGTCATGATCCATGAGTTCCAGTTCACTAGATTGCAACGAATCCTTCTCATGGAGTGTATCCAAAGAACTAGCATCACCGTTCCTAGTAATTACGTCAAACTCATTTGGGAGATAATTAATGGGGATATCTTTTCCCTGTGAATCATCAGTCAGCATCGGCAGCTTCAGAAACTTTGACAAGCTGCCTCTGCGCTCCGCAATTGAAAGTGAACATTTTTTTGCTGGGGTAGACGCTGTTTTTAAACAGGACTCTGAACTGAAATTAACATCTATAAACTTCGAACTTTTAGATACGGAATGGGGAGATACTTTTGATGGAAGGAGATTCATGTTAGAAAAATTAGACAGAACTGAAGATGTTAAACCAGAACAAAATGTAGTTGAAGGAGACAAAACAGGGGAATCCGAGAAACTAGTTGAATTACAACTAGCTTCAGAGGAAAATGAGTCTGGAGAGAGATAAGGAGGAGAAGAAGAAGAAGACAAAGTTGAAGATGAGGATAACGATGATAGGGAAGATGTTGATGGTGATGATGATGATTGTAAAGAAGACATTGATGTCAAAAAGGAGCTCGCGGAAGAACAGAACTCTTTGCTTGGGCACTGCTCTTCCACCACATAAGTTGAATCCGGATAAACTATGGAGGGACCAGAGTTTGAGGCAAAGACAAAATCCTTCATATTTCCCGAGATAAACTTACATCGAAGTGCACTCCAAGAACTACCTCTAGCTGGAAGACGGGTTTCTAGTTCAGACTCTGATGATGCAAATGGAGGAACAAAACCACCCAGGATTGCTTTCTGGAAAATCTCGAAGTCAATACTATATGATTCTACTTTTCTTTCCCCTGGGCAACTATTGACTGACAAATCTACTGCATCTACCTTAACATTGGACTTTTCCATCAGAGGCAAGAGGCTGGAAAAAGCATCCCAGAAGTACAAAGGTTCTTCGCCATCCTTAATCATTACCACTGGACCTTGCACTTTCTCATACCTAACAATCTGGCAGGCCGCACCTCTTGCATCCCTTTCCATAATCATATCGCACTTCTTACCAATCCAAACATATATGGCTGAAGGAATATGAACTATGAAGGCACCCCTTGAATCCAAGGCAGATGGAGAAGGGTCATTTAACATTTTTGGAACAAGATGCAAAGGATCATATGGCGAATGTGGAGCAATCCTATACATCCTCACTAAAGAACTTGGACTCAAAGGGAAAGCATGTACCCTTTTCTGGCATTGCAATAACTGGCAAGCAAAACCCATATTTGGATCAGCAATACCTCTTGCAGCCTTAACATACTGAAATGCATCATCGAAGCTTTGTCCTTCTCTCCACATAAGATAAGCAATGACTAAGGAAGTGGAACGTGAGACGCCTTGGCAGCAATGAACAAAGACCCTCCCACCTTGTTCCCGAACATCTTCAAAGTAGTCAAAAACATCATAAAGTATGCTTGTAATATCCTCTGTCGGGCTATCTTGCAGCCACAAAGTTCGGTACACAAAATCAGTCTTGAAGTACTCTGGACACACAAAGCCTACACAATTAAGAATGTGAGTGATCCCATGCTGCTTTAGAATATCTCTGTCCCTAGCAACAGCATCCCCACCAAGGTAAACATGTTCCGCCACCTTAGAGCACTCCTTGTCAAAAAAAGCGATCTTTTCCCTCTTGACAAGGCCACCATTCTTACCCACATTCTTTTGAATACTCGACAAATCGAGCTTCAACCTCTCCCGTGAATCAGTCGCATCCCTCCCACTAGGCGTACTGGGAAGTGGCCACTCACCTATATCATCAGAACCAGCTTTGGGCCACTCATCTAAACTTCTTCGAGCGATGGACAGGGGTTGCAGCGGGGGAAGACAGGACCTATTCTTGAAGCTGTTTTGGGATCTAGGGGTTAATGGACCAGAAATTTTGCGACCCTGCCCCCCTTTACTATTGCTGTTTTCAGATGGATCTAAACCCTCCTTTTCACCATGCGGGTTGAGAGGAGGGAGTGAAGTCCGCGAAGAAGACCATGATGCAGACCTCCAAAACAATTTCCTGCCACCCACAAATTGGCACGGCCCCTGCAAACCACCTTCACTGCCTCCACTATTGTCACCGCCATATGGGGCATCCTCCTTCCCCACCATTCCAGCTTTCAATCCTAGAACCCTAGTTGTTTCCTTATACTTCTTGTCCCAGTAAATCCGAACAAAATGTAACAACCCAAAATCCCAGAAGGAGCCTTATTAAGTAAAAGCAAACCCATCGGCATCTGGGTCCATCGAATTCCCCTGAAAAAATATATAATAAAATGAACAAAATTTAAAAATCCATTCGAATGGTTACCAGAAAATGCTTCAAGTAGACGAAACGTTTATGCATCTAAGATTTTCGAAACAAATAAAACAAAAATCTAGACATCAAGGGTACAAATCAGGCAAAAAAAAGAAGAAAAAAGCTAAGATCTTTCAGCAAACACATCAACCCATAATTTCAAAATAAATCCCAATACATATCCGTTCCCAGGAATTGCCACAGGACGTAAACAGTGTATTCAGCTAGTATAACTCACTATATACTCGTATATAACAATACAAACGCGGGTTAATTACAGAGAAACACAAACCATGACGGACGAGTAGTTTATATGATATCGACAAATAAAGAACGCAATAACGAGAAATTCAGAGAGACTTACAGAAGAAGCGAAGGGGAAAGATAAATCGAATGAAAATATAGTGAGTGAGGGGAAGAGTGAGGAGAGTGAAAGAAGAAGAGAGTCAGAACAATGAGAGGCCAAAGGAAACAAAAAGCGCTCTAAACAAAGAGAGAGAAAGGGGGAATGATATTGATACTGCGGTCTTATGTTTTTCTTGACCTCCTTTTTCTTTTCTTTTTTTCTTTCTTTTATTTCTTTATTACATGTGCATTTATTATCTCATTTTTTTCCTCCCTATTTGTATTTGCTCTTTTAACAATATTTCCTCATTTGCTAATTTATTCCTAGTAATTATCGTATAAACTTTATCAATATTTCACAAAACAAGTTCATAAAACTATTGGGTCGACTGAACAGGATTTAAGAGGTTAACATCCTTAACTAAAGCGGTGGTGGAGCTAGGGGTCGAGAAGTGTGGTCGCACTTGTTCAGTTTTTTGTAATTAATTAAAATAGTTTAAATTTTAATAGAAAATTATGTATTGTGTAATTTTTTGCACTTATTACATTGATTTCTTAGCTCATTAATATATTTATTTCTAAATTTTGTATCGCCTATATTGATTTTCTGGTTCCGATACTCTGTTAATGCTTGAAAATAGTTATGTCAAATGATTTCCTCGACCTTCATCGAACACTTCGTTATGATATCCGTTTTATTATACACCTCATGAGTCGTGTACTAAAAAACACTTTCGAGTGGTGAAGATTGGGAAGTTGTACATGGTTGAAAACTTATTACCCATTTTGAAGGGTAGAACTTAAAAGAAGTGCTTAAAAAAATGAAGAGAGGTCATGTGAAAGGTCATTTTTTCAATAAAGTGTGGTCTCTTTTTTTCCATCCTATGGAGTATGGACTAATGCATGCATTTTTCACTTCACTCACCCCTTGTGAATTCCATTTACTCTTTTTCTTATCTGATCATGAAACTGATGGAAGAAATAGTAGTGGACACCACCTTCATTATTCATTTCCCCTCTAAATGTTTTTCTTGGTTTGAATGATGACTCTACTGTCAAATTACTCCCATGGAAACTCCTGGGTCTCCTGGAAAATGCATATAATAAACTAGTTTCTTTTGTTACGTAGTAGTAGCAATGGACCCCTAGTAATGGTGTGAACTTTTGTCTTGCTTCATTAATTTCCTTGAACATTCAAGAGTTCTTTGATGATTTCTTGCTTCTTAAATGAGTTCTAGAACGGAGACAGGTCCCTTTAAGTTTTTCCTTTCTTTCTTTCTTTTGTGGAAGGGTCTAACTTTAATTATTTTTATTAGGATTATATTATTATTCGTGGTTCACGGTATTTGAATTTCGGGATCAAATGGGAAATGATAAATCAGTTGAATTGATTTGATGCTTTGCTTGCATTGAACAATCGCTCTCATGATTCATTTTCAATAATCGGCTGTCCAAGAAAATTCACTAAAACAACAAATTAGGGTGAGAATAATATTACGATCATGTCTAACTTACTGATAAATCTCTAATTTTGTATTTGAACTTGTCACCCCGAGCTTGACTAGGGTGGTTTATTTCCCATTGTGGTTTGCAGGCTATTACAGTAGGCGTGAATTTACCATCTCTGGTGAGGTTCCCAGCATTAAAAAAAAAAACATTACGATCATGTCAAAATAATTATAAAAAAAAAAAATAGTATAGTATGCTGAAAATTTGGTACGCTACATGTATAAGTTTACTAGGCACGCACTCCTGTTCGGAATACACATACTCAACTGGTGGTGTATCATAATACTATTTGCTTGTAAAATTAATGGACTGCACTTAGCTGGTTTCCAAAAGGAAAAAAATATTGTCAAATTTGTCACTTTCTTGAGTAGTTTGATACTTTGATGAATTGATGCTGTTATCACCTGATGAGGTAAAAAATTGTCCGGTCAGATTCCTGGTAAAACTTTTGACTGGCTGGAAAATGAAGTATAATTGTCACCATCCTCCAATGAGCTATACAGCTAGTCTTCCACTAGCCTTCCTTTTCCTAGCCCTGAATTGCTGGATAATACAGCCAGACAGTGGTCAAATTTTAAATCCAATTCTATTCATATTTACCTCGGTAATTGAAGCATGGACTTATCAGCAGCAAGGAACTGATGAATCCTCAGTTTCACTTTCCTCTGAAACCAAAAAGATTTTCCCTACTTCAAGGCATACTTCTTATGCAGAATGAAAGGAAAAGCTAACTTCCCCAGATTACTTTAGAAAGCACAAAAATTTGAAATGAAACAATAGCTTTTAACTTTCTTTAAGGTATAGAATTGGATACAGATAAGAGTACAGATGTAATACATTAAAAGGGGTATGAAGACGTTACAAGTTACAGTAAACTGGCCGTCAAACCAATCCAAGTACTCAAAGCTGTATTATCGGAGCCAACAATGGCATGCCACCGGATCTAGAACACCATACCATATTTACATTCTTGAGGAAGTACACAAGTGTTACTGCTCATAGCATGATCCATAACCAGGTGGAGCTGTTCGAGCGTAATAGTTCTTAACCGGAGCAGCTGGAATTCCACGTCTGGTCAAAAGGCAACGGAAGTATTCCAATCTAAACGTCGGTTGTAACTTAGAAATGCCTGAGGATGTAGCCTCTCTGTTGCTCCACAGGCGCTCTGAGAATAGGAGGAGATAAAACACGGAAACAAATTGGTATGCGTAAATCCATACCACAGAGGAAGTACATAAACATAACGGTTGGGCAGTATTCATGGCTTATATCACAACTTGAAACATAAAATAACAGACAGTATTTACATTTTACAGCTCATATCACAACTTGAAACATAAAAATAATGTCCGACTCAATAATGAATCCTAACATATGAACCTTTTAGAGAGCTAACAACAGCTAAGGATTTAGTCCAATATGTGGATCAGCCATGTTGATCAAATTTTGCTATCATTTTATGTCAAAATGTGATTTTTACTTTTCTTGTGGGCATGTAAAGGTATTCAATGTAACCCTTCAATAGGCCCGTTAGATTCTTGGGGGATTCAAAAATAAAACTAAAGATGATTTTCCTAAAAGATCTTGCAATGCTTTACAAGGTCGGAACCTTTCAATATTCAATGAAAACCTTAAATGCGTTATAAAGCTCGGTATATGGCCAAACTGATACCTGCAGCAGCAGCAGCTCGAGGCCATATCGTCTGCAAAACATCTGAGGCATCGGCAGTTTCTCCCCACATACACACTTCTCCACCAATCACTAAATTCTGCAGAGAGGCATTATTTATTCCTTCTAATGGCTCGGCATAGTAGACATTCTCCCATGGGATATCTAAATGATCAAGATACCAGACACCTTGATTGCTATAAATGCATTTAAAACCCTGGGCAACAGCTTTTGGGCATACACCAGGACCCAACCTGCATTACATAAGTCAATAGTCGTGAACAGAAACTCTAAATGGAACTGGTGTTGTTAAGAAGTATCGTGTTGTTGCAATACCTTGATCTGAAACACAATGCTAGACATACTGGTATTTTATATGTTTCAAAAATTTGAGGCTTATCATTGCACATAGCTCATTGCAGAGTAGAAAATGGAAGATGTTATTTTTCTCGACTGACTAAAAGCTTGTGTAACCATATCGAACAAAATTTTTACCAGTTGTGCACAATAGTCTCCGGGCTGAGTTTTGACGGAAATGTATTGAATGTTTCCTCCCTAGGTAAAAAAGAGTATACATCAATATTTGCACCAGTATGGACATACATGTCAATATAGATGAAAAATATAAGCTCTTCCTCTACCAAGGTGCTTGAGTGTTTTTCTTCATTGATTTTTCAGTTTTGTTGAGAATGGTGGGTGGACTTTGGAACATACCAATTAACAGGAATCCGGTCATGCGATAGAGCTATTTCTTGAGCTTTGATAACAAAATATCGATATGCATCTCTAGTGGACATATTATGCTCTTCTAGCCTGCATTAAAAAGAAAGTCATTAGAAAAACTCACAAAGATGAACCAAACAAGCAATAAAAAAAGTACAATGAAAACAAGATCTTGATGATAATCTTTTGGGATGTATCATGGATTCATCAAAGCACAACGAGAATAAGCTAAAGCAATGCCATCCACATTCATCCATTCAAACCACCATGAAACTAATGCCACTTCACTCGACCAAGAAGATAAGTCATTCACAAGGAATGACCACTCGAATTAGCACACTTGACCAACTCATAGGAAGCACTAGATGTGCAAGAACTTCATTGAAATATAATATGCCATAAAACAAAAACCAACAAAATATGATAAATAGCCTTCCAATAACATAATTTTACAAGGGTATCAAACTGAAGGGAAACGAGCTCACCATTGTGCCACATGCGGAGTGGAGGTCCAACAATCTGAAACAGGGCAGAATTAATTATTTAAATTCCATACTAATATCAGCAGCCAATAACTTGGGTCTACCACTAGGAAAGTATCAAAACAAGAAAAAATTTAATTTAATTTTTCTAAGTAAACATCTCAGAAGGAAGAGTAATTACCATGTATTTTTTTTGTTTGCTAACATAGCACATTTGAAATGCATGCAAGACAGCTCTAGAGTAGAAATTATAATGTGTTATTTCCTTACTTATCCATAAAAACAAATGTTTTCAAAGGGAATCCGAACAGGGAAACATTTATTAAGAAATTAAGTTGTCAAATTTAGCTCTTTGAAACAATTTATCCTCGTTCAATTCTCAAATTGAACTGACATGCTAAACTAAATTAAGTTCATAAAACTTTTTTGTAGACCACGGTCTATTACAAATGTTGCCTTGACTTTTCATATTTCCTCCAACATAACATAAGTATTGCTCCATATCTGTGTAAAGATTCTCAGTTTCCACAAAACGGTTCCAAAGAATTTGAAAGTTTGAAACAACATATTCTTTCCCGCACACCTATGATTCTACATGTAACGTGTTGAAAGGTTATCTCAGTCAAAGAAGAGAACAACTGAATCACCCACCCATGTACATCCAGTATGAGATTGTTTCATTATATCTTAAATATAGTTGCTAAAGAGTATTGGAAACCATGATACAGTGACGATTGACACAGGTGCTAGAGAAATAGGTTCCAAAAGATCACAGAAAGTACACCAACCTGTATTCACCTCATCACCACCCAAATGAAAGAGCTTGAATGGAAAAATCTCCTGCATGCCTGCATTGGAAAATATGTTTTAAAGGTGAAAAACACCTTACAGTCACAGTGGGTTTTGGAATTGTCATAAGATGATGACCCCATGATGCTTATGAGCACGATTTCAAATGTTAAAAAAAAATTCAAAGGAGTACAGAAGCAAGAAGCTCAACCAAGTTGCAAAAGGGTATATTTGTGACCAGTTCTACCAAGATTTGTGAACTAGTAAGTTACAAGAGTCATAAATTAAGAGGTTACACTAGCGTTACTCAGCTCAAGAACACCAAAGAGCGGGGCATGGAAATGAATTGTCCCAAAATTTAAGAAATTGATGACAGAAAATTAAAAAGGATAAAAACAAGCTACCATGCCGTCAGAATATATAATGAACCTAACTTGAAGAAACCATCTACACACCTGTTAGAATCCCAGCAATCACATCAAAGGTGAAGTTTTTAGACACGTCTAAAGGCTCTGTGCAAGAAGGTGAAGGCCAAAGATCAGGATATCCTTTACCCCTAAGACAAAAATGATCAGAAAAGATGTTACAACTTTAAGGGCAAAGTGATAAACCAGTCCAAAAGAAGAGATGAATTGGCTAGAAATCATGAACAACATGCACAATACCCATGAAGCACGTTGGAATTCTAACCTACTACACAAAGCAGCCCACAATTTCCCAGAGACGCAACAGGATATCTTAAGAACGACAAAATTTGATACTTTTGTTTCAAAATTTCAGAGAACATTGCAAAACGGAGACAAAGAATTTCTTAACATTTTTCCTTTAGTAAGTTATTGCCTCTGGCTCAGAAGTAGAACTCAAAGCCTGGTACTGGGAAATACATTTATCATGCAGGCTGCTATTCACACATCCATGAAGGTTGATTTTCGAGGACATGACACTGTTCACATTTTCTTTCAAGATGTTACTAGTGTTCCAGCCATCAACAACAAAGGTCCTTATCAGACCTAAGTATAGTGAACAAACTTACGGCATTGCTAAGAGAATTCTTTGATTCAAAAAAGTTAACTGACGAATTAGAATTAAACATGATATCCATATTTGCTTCAGACACATGGTACACATACCACGATTCAGCATGACCAGGAACATCAACTTCTGGCATAACATTGATACCTGCCATCATTAAACAATTTTCATCAGGTAAAAAAAGATTAAAAAAAAAACTGAAATGACAATCCAGATGTTAGTTGATCAAGTGTAAAACCCACCAAAGACAACAAGATTAGAGGGGAAAAATCCAAATAACAGGAATTTCATAATTCAAAGAAATTGTCAGCGAAAAACGTACCCCTCAGTTTTGCATAGCTTCATTTGACACCAAACGTTGGGCAAGAAGTGGAATCCCAGAATTTCAGAGGGAAAAAGAGAAAAAAGAAAATGAAACATTAGATTCAGGAACAAGCATGGAGAACTAGTCTGATACTGTTAATGATATGATTAACAGCTGCTGCTGACAATTCACATCTTTCTGAAAAAAGTTCAAAATCACCCCAAAAGAGAAAAACAGAGACCGGGGAGTTAAAAATGAATTTCTATACAAATATTTCCACACTGACAACAAAGAGTTAACAACTCAAAGTTTGGAATAGGAGATGAATCAGGACGCTTTAACATTTTCAAATATCAATTGCTGAGAAAGAGATGTGCCGGTTGTATCCTTCAATTCCCAACCTCTTTCATTCAACTTCTATATGTTGAAGTAGTAACTTTACCCTTATGGGTTTTGGTAAGTTTGTTGTAAACGGTGAAATTAAAAATGTTTCATCTTATATGACTCCAGAAAGGATTTTCCACTACTACCTCAGTCATGTGCCAGGAACAAAAGAAAGTATTTATAGGAAACTAAAAGAACCATTTGGTACTTGTAACATAAAAGAAGCACTTGGTAAAACAATTAAAGAAAAGAAGATGAACAATTCCCACCTAACAATTTCCAGGGCATCCTCAACAGTATAGCGTTCCCACTTTGTGTAGGACCCACTCCACAATTTTGGATATTCAGGCACTTCCAGTGGAAAGGATTCTTCATCTATGATGTGCCAATGAAGGACATTCTGGTTACCAGGACAATGAAAGAATCATGAACACGTAAAAGTTAGATATGAAGCTATGCACCAGAGCACATGTGCTAGATTGTCTTACGAGTTTAGCATAGGACATGGAGTCTATGACTTGCTTGATAATTTCAACCGGCTGGTAGTGCCTGGAAGTATCTATAGTATAAATTAAAGATAACGAATATGATTAGCATGCTAATCTATTCAAGCTAAATTTAGTTAAAGAGCTAATCAAAGAGTACCTAGTAAAAGCCCACGATACTGAAACCTTGGCTGGTCCTGAATAAACCATGGTGCTTTGAATACTTTTACTGATTTAGATTCGTAGTCATAAACACACAGTTGGCTCATTGTCTGTAGAGAAAAGAATTCTTAGAAAACCACAAGGATAATAAGATAAGAAAAACCGTAATTCCTTATCAAACTTCAACCCTAACCCGGTGATTGGAGAACTGGAATTATAAACGAAGGGATTTTCAGAAAGAACAATAGCAGATATCAGTTACAAGGTCACAACTGTTTTATCCCACCATAGCTAAATGAGCAAACACCCTCAATCATCCTTTCTGAATCATCTAAATTCATTTAGAGATAAGCATGAATAACAGCTACCAAACAACTCGTTTCCTCAACACAAGCACAATTGCGGAATGCATACCTCTAAACCCCTCAGTGCACCATAGAGTGTATTAGCCTACAGCAGAAAGAACATATAGCATTAGTCAGAAGTTCTCCCGCGGATAGTTTCAATGTAATGCTCGGTTATTGTGAAAAACCTGACCTCGATCGTGACTTCCCCAATGATGGAATGGCCATCATTCTTTGCCACGAGCAACGAGTAACTTTCGTCCACCCCAAGTTGCAGCTACCAAATGTAAACAAACAGACCCAACAAAATTCAAAATAAATTCACGGAGAAGTTAAAAAAAAAAAAAAACGCAAACAAAATCTAAATACGGAAATCAAAAAACCTCTTCATTCTCCGAATGAACAATAATGCTGAGCTTGGTGATGTCATATTTGAATCCCGAAGCGGACTCTTTAGAAGGATGCTTAAAGATGATACTCTTATATCTCATAAAAGCTTCCGTAATAAAATTGGAATTCCCAGCCTTTCGTCCGCCGAGCACGAGCGAGAGGTTAGGATCAACGGTGAGGGTTTGATTGCCGAAAGTGTATTGAGCGGGAAGAGGCCATAGAAAGGTAAGAGATTCATCGGTCCGGACCTTCGACTTGTGGAGTGATGACAGAGTTCGAGCTGAATTAACAAAATTCGATGATGGAGACAGCGGTATAAGGAGGAGGATGAAGAAGAGAGGGATTAGGGCGTTAGGATTAGTTGAGATTAAGGATTTTGCGGACATTTTTAGGGGATTCGGAGGTTTTGTGAGGAAATTAAACTGGGGAAGAAATGATGATTAATCTTGTCTCGACATCATTATCCGGTTTGGGTCGGAGGTGGAGTAAGCTTATTGAGCATGCTTTCCGGTAAAAGACAATGATTAGGAAATAGCCGGGTGCCTATAGTGATGCCTTTGGTTGGTGGGTTGTTTTTACCTTTTTCCGTACTCCCTCCACTCTTTTTTTATTTTGTCCTAAATTTTATTTAAGATATATTTTTAATTGGAATAAAAATCTTGAAAAATTTCATAATAATTAGATGAATATGAAAATATATTTTTAAAAATTTTTTCCAATAAAAAAAATATCTTGGGTTAAACTAAGACGAAATCAAAACCGGAGGGAGTATTTGTTTATTGTGAGACATGGCTCTAACATTTTTTTTACTATTACACGCATGAAGATAGTTTCTATCAATTGGAAATTTCAAATTCGGGAGGGGATCATTTTGTCGCTTATGAGTTACTATGACATTCGTGGTAGTTAATCCAAAATGATTATCACGTGTGAAGTTTTTAATTATCGATGAAGTAATAAGAACTTAGCATTAGCAACTAATAATTTCAAAATGATTATCACGTGTGAAGTTTTTAATTATCGATGAAGTAATAAGAACTTAGCATTAGCAACTAATAATTTTTTATTAAAAAATCAAATCAAATTCATCACAATTTACTACTCACATAAGTGATAAAGTAAGTCTATTATTTCCCACTTATGAGTTGTTGTAACTAATTTATTTTGACTATTATAAAGGGTGGCATTTATGAAATTAAAAACATACAAATTCTACAACTAATGGCATCTCTAACCATGCGCCCTCTATCCTTCTATTCTACAGTTTCTACGGTAAAATTCATTTATTTTTTCTTTCTATTGTACCGTTTCTACAGTGAAATCTATTTATTTTATAGGTTCAAGAATGTCATAAACTCCTACCCATTCCCTCAGTATAATTTCTTCTAAAAGAATATTCTCATTATATTTTTTTAATATTAAATCTAAAAAACAGTTTTTATAATTAATATTTTGGGACATTTTATGAGTAAAAATATATATATGTAGCTAGCAATATTTTAATTAGATTAGTTATCTAATTAAGTTCTAAAATTTTTTAATTTGCAATTTACCCACAAAATCTTTAGTTTATGAAATTGTAAATAATTAAATGTAAAACACTTATATTTCTATTAAAATAAACAATCCATTACTGATATATCATTAAAATGATAAATAATACATTCAAATCTGGAATTTAAAACATTAATTTCTTAAAGGAAAAAACACATACACACAAACATGCAAAACACACTGAAAAGCTTATTCTTCAGAAAAACCCTAATAACACTAATTATTGCTTTGAAAATATCCAACTAATACATCTTGAAGTTGAAATTGAGCATTTCTATCATTTATGTTTTTTTGTGACGTGGTAAAAATTGCTGAATAATCTTCATAACGCGACACGGATGAAACTGTTGAAGCCACAAATTTTACATCATCTCTAATTGGCACATTGAGATCGTGTTCATCTTCGATTATCATATAATACAAAAAAAATACATGTCATCATTATATCATTCAAGACTTTTTGTTTTCCCCATAAATACACGGGACATGCGATTACTGCAAATCTTTTATGTAGAACTCCAAATACACACTCAACATCTTTTCTACATGCTTCTTATTTTATTTTAAAATATTGTTGCTTTGGAGTTGACGGTGCAACAAAAGATTGAACAATGGTGGACCATTTCGGATACCATCTGCTAAATAGTATCCCGTATCATATTGATCGCCTCGAATAGTATAATTAATCGGAGAATCGATACCTTGTGCAAGATTGGAACATAAATGAGATGCTTCTGCCATATTAATGTCATTATTTGTACTTGACATATCCAAATATGTGTGCCTTATTCTTATATCATATTCTGTAACAACTTCCAAAATGATAGTTAGATATCCATAATGTCTATTGTATTGAACGATGCACCCCGTAAGAAATGCTTTCCATTTCTAGTGTATACAATCCAAACTACCAAACATTTTCGGAAAATCACGTTTTTCACCAATGTGAAGTAATCTAACAATATCAACAACATTTGATAACCTTAGGTATTGTACACCTTAAATTTCAATAATTGCTCGGCAAAATATCTCTAAGGCTTGATGTACTGTTGACTCGGCAAGTTTAAGATATTTATCAAGTTGATCTCCTAGACCGCCATAAATAAACAAAGAAATTAAGCTCTAACTGAAAAGACCCCTTGTTTATTTGTTATTTCATTTTACTTTTTGTCTTATTTTATCTCTTAAACACAAAACCCAATACACTATCAAAACATCAATTTAACTTACCTTTTAAGCTATTATAAAGTTTAGTGCCGGTGGTCACTAAACTATTGTAAAGTTTTAAGTTTGGTCACTAAACTATTGTAAATTTCAGTGCCGATGGTCACTAAACTATTATAAAGTTTTAAGTTTGGTTACTAAACTATAGTAAAATTTTAAGCTAGGTCACTTTATTATCCCACTTTTAAAAATAGTCACTATAATATAATACTTTTCAAACATTGTCTCTAAACTACATTTTAAATCCCCTCCCAAATTCAAATGAAAAACTAAGACAAAACATTGTCCAAACAAGCACCAAATAATGCCATAATAGGCCAAAGTAAAAAATAAATAAATGAATGGACAAAAGAACAAAACTTTAGTTGACAAAACGGGATATACATGGGAAAAGAAAAGGACAAGTATTCTCCAACAATCAACCAAATTAATTTGAAAAAAGAAAAATGTTTATTAAATATACACAATTTTCTCAATAAATACCATAATGATCATTCCAAGTATAACATTCAGTTTTTTTTTACCAATTTTGTTTGTTTTCATTTTTTTTTTCACTCTAAAAAATATCTTCACATCTAAATTCCAAAGATTAAGAATGGCATTTGATAAAAAAGAGACTAATTTCTCTAATGTTGAAGATGCTTCTTGAGACATGTTATAAAAATGTAACGTAAAATTCAATATTTTCAAATAAGCAAAATGGAGATACGTTTTTGAAGAGAATTATATTTGACTACAATGCCAAAAAAGATCTTGTGAATATTGCTACAATACGATTAAAGTGATTGTTTGAAAGTTCAATGGATGTTTAAAACAAGTTGAGCGTCTCAAACCTAGTGGAAAGTCAAAGATCAACTTTTATTTCGGATGCAACTTAAATCTGAGAGAAAATATGGTTGTGTTTATTTATTTATTTATTTTTTATTTTTTTTGTAGATGCGCCAAGCAAATGAGTTATTTGATCAAGATGACAAATATAAACGAGGGTTCTAGTTTAACCATATATTCCACTTGTTCAAGATTTTAGAAAATTTGATAATCATATTCTCCAACGAATAAATGATTCTCGGGATTATGTTAAGATTAATGAATCATCGTAATGTGAAAATCTATATTATGTACAACCAATATCGGAATCTACCGAATTGTCATCTTTTGATTCTTCACTTAGCGATGGTAGTGGTAGTATCAATGGAACATCTTCTAAATGGCTCATGGGAGTGAAGAAATTGAAAAAGAAATCAAAAGACTATATATACAAGGTATTAATTAATTGAACTACTAGAAGTGATGCTATTGTTTGATTTGCCAATGAGACGTCAAAATGTCCAACTTCTACTGCAAAAAGAGAAAGATGAGGATAGAGTTTTAGTGACATATTTGAATTTCATTCCGAAGAGCATTGGTTCGTGCACATTGGGAGAATAAACAAGTGAAGAATTCAACAAAGAAATAATTTTTCTCAACAATAATCTCAAGCACCCTCATCATCTAGCATGAGACAATTTGAATTTCTTAACGATGTCCGAATATACCAGAGAGAATTTGAGTGATTATTATAGTAATAATGATGATTGTTAGATTAAGATGGGGTAGTTCCATCAACCTTATTTAATGTTTATTTTTTAATTCTTGTAGTGTTTGTTCGTGTGTAAACCATATAATTGAAGTGACGATGAAATCAATTTAGAGAATTTGACCTTTTTTAAAAAGTGAAAGTCGATGAAACCCAGAGGTCATGATTTTGTGTCATTTCACGATTATTATTTGATGGTGTTATTCTTAAACAATAAGTAATACGTAAATCAATTTCATTTGGGAGGTTCAGTTACATATCTTTTTTTACACAAATTGTAAAATATTTCAGAAGAAAATATCATATTTAAGGATACCCATCAAAAGATTTTAAAGAATATTATATTTATAATCACATCTTTATTTTATTAGAAAGATACGTCGACGTTTTTAAATGTAACGTATTGTATAATGAATTTTCAAATACTCCTTCCGTCCCATAATTATTGTCCACTTTGTCCAAAAAATTTTGTCATAAAATTATTGTCCAATTTGACTTTTTATGGATCAAGTTACACATTTGTTCTCAGTAAAAAACATTATCCAAAAAATCTTAGTGGTTCAACAATTACTTATGTAGGGGTATATCCGGTTGTTTAAGGTAAAATATAGTTAAGTTTGGCCAAAAATAAAATCTTTCATTTTAATAAAACTGGACAATAATTATGGGACGGAGGGAGTACAACATTCCATTTAGTTTTCTACTTGTATGATGGTTCTCATTATCATCGTTCAATTAAATCCAAATTCATGATATATATATATATATATATTATAGAAACAAAGAACTGGCAACAAAAGAGGTGTCACGAATGTCGGGTCAGTTCATAACAAAGTGGGTTGGATCTTCAATTAGGTTTTCTAATTTGGGAGCGAACGGCGTGGCCTGAGGAAGATTGCTACTGAAGTTTGTCCGTTGGTTAATGCATATACACGTAGTGACTCAGCCGATTCCAAAAGTATCTCTTTTTACCAGTTTTAGTCAATTAAGCTAGTAAATTAAATAAAAACAGTAATTAACGAGAAGAATAATGTGATTAAACTATTTATGGCATTGTACTGAAGACTATTTGGATGTTTATGAATGAATCATCATCTTTCTTCTTCTCATCTTTTTCTTTTCTGACTTCTGTACGAATCTCATCATTACCCTTCATCTAATTTTTTCTTTTGGAATCATTTCTTTTCGCTCTTCTCAGCCGTTGCTTCTTTTCCGTTTTAATTTCCAAACCCTAATAGAAAAACTAAACTCCATCGTGACAAGAGCTGTCAAAAATTAAAGACCATTGTTTTCATGAAATAATACTAGTACTCTATTTTTTTTTGTCCAAATTCACAAAATGGAATATTTGAAAATAAAAATGATTATGCTCATTTGTATATTCATGGAATAATTGAAACGACTTTAATTTGATAATGTAATTTATGTTAACTTTGTGGAACGTATTCATCGCAATATGATGCCAAAATCTTTGAGTTGGCCAGATTATGAAATGGGCGATAACATATGGACTCTATACATTCTAGGTTTTGGCCTATTATCGGTCTATCGGACATCTGAGTTTGAGAGGTGAACTCACTTGTGTGGCCCATTATCGGTATTATCCTATCGGAAGGATTACTTCGGAAACTCTATGATGTACACGTGGGACAGGTTCACTTCACCCTCCCTACCTCCGTTGCCCGAAATGTAAAATTCATTTGTCAGTTCCGAGGAATTTCTTGTGAAGTTGGAACTTGGAACCACTCCTCTTAAACCCCTTTCGGATGTGAAAACACGCGCAATATTGGAGGTCTTCCTCTCTCTTCTTAACCCCTTTAAAAATTTAAAGGAAAATTTTTATTTACATTTTTTTTATCTTTTAAAAAACAATAATACATGCTCCCCATTTTCTCCCAACAATAGCTAGCATTATTGATTATTGTGTCCAAACAATTATCAATATGAGAAAAATAGAAGATAATTGAAAAATACATTTATTTGTTTAAATCATAATCTGTTTTATATAGAACTCATAAATTAAGATAGTGTTCAAACATAGCAACTATAGACTTGGAAATTGGGAGGGGGGAAGAGTCTTCTCCAAATTTTTAGTTAATTTTTGAGAAATAAAAAAGGTGAAAAATAATTTTGTACAGTAACTAGTCACTAGTTTTTTTTTTTATCATTCCAATTTAATAAAAATGCATTTGTCTGCCTGAAAAAATTTATACTACTACTAGTATAATTAACGATAAGTAAGTGTATCAGGCAATCAGGTGAAAAAGTGTTAAAAATTGAACAAATCAGGAGTAAAACAAAAGGTGCAAAAAAATGAAGCAAAACAGCGCGTGGAGCTGCGACCAGAAAAGTAATTTTGTTTCAGTGCGCCTCTCATCTGGTTCTTAAAGTTCCGTCGTAAGCCAACCACACAGGCTCGAGAACCACCAACCACGAGATTAATCTTCCCAAATTACCCCTGACTCCAAATTATTTTCACATTCTCCTCTCCAATTTCATCTCAAAAAAAAATCTCAATCATTGTAATCCTCCGTAAATAATACCTTCCCCGGGCAGAACTTAAAAGTGCTGGTGTCAACAACAATATAGGTTTGATAATCTGCCCTTTTCATCTGAAGGGGCAATGGTTGAGCCGGGAAAACTTGACGCCGACAGCGGCGGCTCCGAGGAGCAGTTTCTCTTGCAGGAGACCGGTAATGCGGACCGATCGTGGAGGTTGAACTTCGACGGCTTTCAGTTGACGCCTGAGCTAAAAGAGAAGCCTCCCCGGGGTCTCCAGGACTGTCTTGGGGTTTTAGGTAATATTTCGCTTTTTTCTTATTTGTCGCTGGTTTTGTTTCTGCTTCGCCTGGCTTTTCTTTTGATTTTGTTTGGTTTGTGTTGGCCGTATCTTCTTCTTTTTATTTTCTTCTTTGTTTTATTTGCGGTTGCCAAAATTGTTAGTAGTATGTTTTGCTGTCTGCTCTTAATGATTTTTTTTTTTTTAATCTTGTGCGAAGCATGAAACGTAGTGGAATCCGTTAGTTTCAACACTATCAATTTTGGGGAGACAAAGTATAAATGGTAAAACATCCAAATCAGGATCAGTCATCGGCTGGCTCTTATTTGACAAGCAAACAATAGAGTTGGGGGATTTAGGGTTGTTTGCATGCCAGATGTTTGGTGGAGGTTTTGGATTTCTCTGTGGAATATTGTGTTCCTTTGATTATTATTATTATTTTTTTTTTTCTTTTTCTGGTTCCCTCTTTCTTTGTAAAATCTTTTAAGGGAAGATTGGAATATTGCTTTAACTTGAATTATTGTCACTTTTCAGGTTCTTTCTCTATCTTCAGTCTTAGTAGAGGCTCTTATTGCTGTTGTACATGTGCACACAGTGTAAAGGAGGCATTATTTGTTTCTTGACTGCATTTTGTTTTGGAGCTTTTGTTTCTAAAAACTTTCTGTACTTGTTTAATATTTGGATAAATCATTCTTCAGTAGCTGTTTTCCTGTCAGTTCATTAGAGCCTTGGAGATGCATGGTTGTGCAATTGACCCTTTTGACTGTGTCCGTGTCAGTTGGCATTCCCAATATGATTATCTAGACTTGTTAGATTGACCTTAGATGTTGTAATAGGTTATGTTTTTGCATCACTCTAGTTTCTTTTCAATGTTTGCTTTTGTTTGATCACCAGGAGGCTTTTATGCTTTTGAATTGTTTGAGAGAGTTGAAATGTACAGTACTTAGTTAAGGAAGCTTAATAGAGCTTCAACTAACTTATCCTTGATGGTTCAGGTCCAGAAGATTATGTGTCCGAGTACTATCAACAGCAGGTTGAAATGCTTGAGGGTTTTACCGAAATGGATGCCCTGGCAGAGCGCGGTTTTGTACCGGGGATGTCCAAGGTTTGTACTTTTGCTCTGCTCTGAAATCCATCCAAAATGGATACTTCAAGAATTAAGGGCTGCATTTCAAATTATGAGGATTTGGTTGTCCCTGTTTCAGGAAGAGCAGGAGAAGTTAGCTAGAAGCGAGACACTGGCTATTCGCTTATCAAATGTTGCCAACATGGTTCTTTTTGCCGCTAAAGTTTATGCATCCATCCAGAGTGGTTCATTGGCTATTATTGCTTCCACATTAGACTCACTTCTTGATCTTCTCTCTGGGTTTATTCTTTGGTTTACCGCATTCTCCATGCAGACTCAAAATCCATATCAGTATCCAATTGGAAAGAGACGTATGCAACCATTGGTTAGTTCTTTCCTGATCCAGCTCTTTGCTCTACAATTGCTTTAATGCCATGCCTCTTGTTTTGGACTATTCTGTATTTGGGAACATATGCTAAGTGATTCAATTAGCATAAATTTAGGATGTAGATTCCACTTTTATGATTTTCACAGAACTTCTCTCGTGGTGTTTTTCTTCTAATAGAAAAGACGAGCTGAAGGAGGTCATGCGTTCTAAGATTGTTAGAAAACATCTATATCTGAGTTAGAGTTGTGCCAATCTTATTATGGGGAAATATAGATCTTATTAACATTGTGAATTAGTCAATAGTCTATAGGCACTTTGCAGTGAATTAGTAGGCAGCGAGATAGCCTATATCAGTTCATCTACATTAAAGGCTGAGGTCCGAGAGAAGTGGGATAAGAAACATGACCCTCCTGCTATTAGTTGATTTGATTGGTCAAAATTTAAGCATTAAGGGATTTATCTTTCAAAATAGAACTTGATTCTGAACGTTTTATGTTAATTTCTTGAATAGATTGTTAGTAAATCGTATTTCACTCTGTAAATTTATTATTTTTATTATTATTATTATTATTTTTAATCTAATCCTTGGTACAGTATGTAATTGCATGATTATGATATCTCTGCCCTTTTGCTTTCAGGGAATCCTAGTTTTTGCATCTGTAATGGCAACTCTGGGTCTTCAAATCATCCTGGAGTCTGTGCGCACTCTGATATCTGATGTAAGTATTAATCAGATAGTTTCTGTGGAATTTATAAATATAGTTTCCGTGGAATTTATATAAACATAGTTTCTGTGTTTCTTGGTTGGGTTTCAGTGATTGCTGAAAAGAAATCCATTTGAAATAATCTTATTCTTTTTATCTTCTCCGCCTTTCCTCTGCCCCAAAGAAAACTAACTTTTCTCTTGTTCTGGTCAGCCTTGTGGCAGCATACATCAACATTTCTTTTTCCTTTGTCCTGTGACTGAAAAGCTTCTTTTCCCATTACAGGAGGATGGATTTAGCTTGACTAAAGCGCAAGAGAAATGGGTTGTCGGCATAATGCTCTCAGTGACTGTGGTGAAATTACTTCTGGTTTTCTATTGCCGGTCATTTACTAATGAGATTGTCAAGGCATATGCCCAGGATCACTTTTTCGATGTGATTACCAACATCATTGGTCTAATTGCTGCATTACTTGCTAACTCCATAACTGGTTGGATAGACCCTGTCGGAGCTATCATTGTGAGTGAAATTTTCTTCATATTTTTAAACCTTTGGCCTTAAATCGTCATGTAGTTCACAATGTTTTGCTACGATTCAAATATAACATCAAGTTATTTGTTTAGCTTCATCATTATTTCATATCTGTTTTTGTAGTTGTGTCCATTTCAAGAGACTATGGCTATGTCTGTATAATGATTGATCTATTTAACGGTCAGTCGCAATGTGACCTGGAAAGGCCTATTTTTCCCCCATATTCCTTGTTGGTTATTCTGGTTGAGGAGTTGTCTGGTGACTCTGGTCTAAATAGTTGGGTTACTTACAGTCTTGTGTAAAAAGGTGAATGTTTCTTTAGCCAGTTTGAATTTAACATTGAAAGAGGTATCTTTTGCAGTGCTTATCTGTGGACTGCTGGATTGTAATTTTTTAGGGTTCTTTTTCCTCTCCTCTCTTTTTTCATCTCTTTCTTCTAATTGTCTTTTTTTGTTTTTATTTTATGTGCTGTAGCTGGCATTGTACACCATACGTACCTGGTCATTAACAGTTCTGGAGAATGTGAATTCCCTTGTTGGAAGATCTGCCACACCAGAGTATCTGCAGAAGCTGACATACCTGTGTTGGAACCACCACAAGGCCATAAGGCACATCGACACAGTCAGGGCTTACACCTTTGGGTCTCACTACTTTGTGGAGGTTGACATCGTGTTGCCAGCTGACATGCCCTTGCAAGAGGCCCATGACATCGGAGAGGCGTTGCAGGAGAAGCTGGAGCTACTGCCTGAAATTGAGCGTGCATTTGTTCATTTAGATTATGAATACAGTCATAAACCTGAACATGCACAGGCACACCTTTAACTAACCGAAAGTGTTCTACTGGCTTTTGTTCCTTTGATCCCAATCATCTACTGGATCCTTGGTTATTTATTGAGGGAAGTACCATGAGATGGTGTTTGTATATGGGGTGATAATGCCTAGGATTGAAAGTAAAAACATTCTAAGATGGCGTAGTAGTATGTGAATTACACAAAGGCATCGTCATTTCTTGGTGCCTAAAGGTCACACAGGAAGAGATGATTCAGTTCCAATTCCATGTCTGCGTCTCTTTGAATGTCATAGCGTAGTGATTTTAGACACCTCTATGAACCTCTTTTTTTCCTTTTTCAGTGTTGTAATTGATGCAGAAAAGCAGAGAAAAAAAATCATGGCAAAATGGACAAATCTTAGATAATAGCCATTCATTAATGCCGAATCATAACGCACAAGCTTACGCCATCCTGTCCCCTGTTCAGATTAGTCCAACAGCCTTGGCTAGTTTACGGCTGCTTAACAACTAACAGTAGAGCCAACTGTTTTGCTAAGTGTAGCACCGATTGTGGCACCAAAACGTGAATCGCGATACCGGTGCAAAACTGCACGATGCACATCATCCCCATCACATCAGGGCCTATGGGTTTTGGACTTTTTGTGGTGGATGCGAAACATTTGAAATTTTGGATGAAAATGACACAGTCGACCTAACACATTAGCATGACGTAGACGCTTTTAAGGAGATTTTTTAGTTTTGTGTCTAATTTTAACATTAAAGCTTTCTTAAATTGGTTCAAATGCATATTTTGTGCTGATGTTGGGTGCAGTCATTTTCAGACATTTTCAGAGTTGGAGATCTTTAATTTATCCTATGGACCTCTCAGAAAATTAAAAATGAGAGTTTATTTTTTGTCCTATCCTACCTATTGCATCACAATTTCCCGCCAATCATTAGCCACGGGGTATTTCGGTTGGTAAATTTACCACGGATATTAGTATCTTTTTTGTCTTTTTTTTTTTTTTTCACTATGAACGCCCGTAAAATGTTTTATTAATGTTCGCAGTACAAAAATTATGCTTCAAGATACAGTTCAACAAGGATGTTTAATAGAACATTGAATAGTTAATTAAAAACTCAAAGCTTGTTATCAATTAAATACTACTAGTAGAATTTAGAGAGAGAACAAGGGATTGCAACAAAATATGAGTTGTAAAGATGATTGATTGAAACTGAAGTGAATAGAAATATAGAATCATAGATCATTCATTTATTGATTATCAGTTCATTTTATTTGTTTTGGTCTTTTTTTTTAAAGAAAATATTTGTTTCGAGTTCAAAATATTTTTAAAATTTAATATCCGAAATAATTACCCGATATTTAAAATAAAAAACTAAGAAAAAGTTCTCCGGTCTTTATTATACGGCATTTCGATTTCGTCATAAATTTCACTTCGGATGTTTCATTAAAAACATTTCTTAATAATTAGGAGAATACAACGAGAAAATATTTCAGTATTTTTAGGTCTTGCAACTGAGTGCCCTAATTTTTTTTTCTTTTGAGCGCCCTAAAAAGACTTTAAAAGACTATTTTACCCTTATTTTTTTAAAAAAAATGAGAAAAGCCGACCCATTTTTGCGCTAGCCGTGAAGGAACACGCCACCCTTTCACGGGTGGGTGGCGTGCACTTTTCTCGTCACCCCAGAATTTTTTTGTCCCTTTAAAGGAGGTGGTGCACAAATCTGGGGGTGGCACATCCCATGTACTTTAAAAGCCGATATCAAATGCTTAAGAAATTTACATTAATGTTAATGTCATTTGTTTAAAAAGCTTGATTTATGTGAAACAAATATCCTCTCAAATAAAAGTAAAAAATTGTTGTCGAATAATCTATTAAACGAAACGCCTTAGCAAGAGGAACTAGTTAGATTCGTTTCCAAGGTTATAATGTCATAAATCCATACTTTATACAAAAAATATCTTGAAATGATGAAGGTCTTTAAATCCTTAATTAACTCCATGTATAATTGTTTAGACACCGATTAGAACATGTAAATCTTTTTTTTTCTACATAAATTAGTCAAGTTCTACTTCTATAACAATTGGATTCTTTTGTATTAAGTTGGAAGATAATTCATTATAATGATCTTTTTATTAATTAAATGAATAAATTAAAAAATTAATTAAATAATTTTTTAAAAAGATTAATTTTGGTTTGGCGAGGGGTGGCACCAGATTTGTGCACCAATCCCATTTCGGGGGAAAATTTTTCTCGCGCCACCCTTTAAAGGGTGGCATAAAGGGTGGTGCGTTTCTTTTGCCCCAGCCGTGAAAGGCTGACACAAATATCCCTCGTCCTTTCTCCTTTAAAAAATAAAAATAATAATAAGGGTAAAATAGTTAAAATATAATTTTTTAAGGGTGTTCAAAAGAAAAAATTAGGGCGCTTAATAGTTTCTCAGTATTTTAAAAGTTTTTTTTAATTAAAAAGACATCCCTTTTACCCTATTAAAGCAGAAGACATGAAGCTTATGTGGCAACTAAGTACGCATCTGTTTTGGCTCCAATGCACCATATTTCAGATTTCAGGAGTCTTTTTGCCACGTGTAAGTCTCTTTTAATTAGAAGTTATATAATATTTTTTTTTTAAAAAAAAAACACATGTTTTACTACAAATAAGGATCAGTTACATTTCAAACGAATGAATATTAATTCAAATTCAAATGTCCAATCGTATAGTTTTGCAAGCTTAATATAAACAAAAAATAAAAATACCTAAATCCAGCAATTAAGAATAATGCCTTATAAACTAATTATTTATTATTCCCTTATAACCTCAAATTTATAGGTATATTTTTTTAAGCCCCAAATTATAGCATAAATGATATATACGCCAAATTAATTCCTCAAAAAATAGTAATTCAATTAGATTTTAATAAAATAATAATTTAGAAGGGGCGCCGGGCATCTGTCTGGGTCAAACATCTAGTCTTAGGTTAAAGACGAAATCAAAATGTCTTATAATAAGGAGTAGAGGGAGTATTTTAGAACAGATGAACTACATACTTTCAAGTTTCAACACGTAGACCAAGTGGAATTACGTGCACGCCTGGTTCCGGAAAAAACTGGCATACAGATACTTGTTGATCAGGCTTCAGGGTTTCTGCTTAACATCTCATGTTTGAATTTTCCCCTCATTCCGTCCAAATACAATGGGGTGGTGTCCTTGGACAAATTTTGACTAGTCTTTTCTCTTTTCTTGTTTTTTTCCCCTTTAATTTGTAGTCTTTACTTACCTAATTTTTAGTTTCACTACTATCACATTTCCTTCCCAGCCTCAAAGGGAAAAGAAAAAACAAGAAAGAGAGAAAATAATTTTTTTTAATTAGTAAATTGTAATTTCTGTTTGCAATCTCTAATATTCTTTTTATTACCATTACGATTTACGATGAGTCGATGACATTTTTGCTTCCAAATTTCTGATGCGTTAGTTACAATACTGTTAGTTTCCTTATGATGACATTTTGAAGGTAACGCACAAAATGGAAAACCCCCTTCTGCCTTTCTTTCTGCAATCCAAAATTACCACTACCATTCACCTGGAATTATTTTATGCATGCCGTATTAGTGCACAAGATTCATTGTAATCACAATTTAATGCTTCATTCCCCTTTTTTTTCCCCCCATATCTAATTGTATTTATCCACAAAATTAATGGTAAAGAAATAGAAGTAAACTGAATATTAGTAGTAGTAAACTGAATGCAGCAGGGTGGCGGGACCCATCCCCCCGCCTTTTGTGGCCAAGTGAAGGAGCCGTCTTCAAGGCCAACTATATATAAATCATCCTTTTCCCCATTCGATTCGCCACCAATCATACTTGAAGAATCGGAGGGTGGGGGCCACGCCACGTCAGAATTTTCAATTTCCCCCTGTGACCGTGAGAGACTCTCACATACAGAAGCGGACCAAGCGTACGATAGCCAATCGGACCGGTAACCACTAATTCCATGCGCGGGGTTGCATAAGAAGGATATGGAGATAACGTACGCCTCTCCCAGCTTACAGAACCTGGTGGCCGCGGCCGCGGATCCTTCGTCTTCCCCGTCTTCCACTACCAGTTCCATGTCTTCTCTGTCTCGGAACGTTAAGATTATCCCCTTGCAACACCCCACGGCGGCTTCCTCTTCTTCCGCTTCTTCCAAGACGCAGCACGCGGTCAACTCTGCTGTTTCGAAATGGCGGACCAAGGTGGAGCGAATGACGTCCTCGGAGTGGATCGAGACGTTCTTTCCTTGTTACCGATGGATACGAACCTATAAATGGCGGGAAAACTTTCAAGCCGATCTCATGGCTGGTCTCACCGTCGGCATCATGCTTGTTCCTCAGGTTAGTATTTGTTTCTTTTTTTTTTTTTTTTATAAAAAGTTTACAAACTATGAATTTCGAACTGCGAAGTTTTTACTGTTAAGGTTCAGAGCTTTGAGACGCCAAAAACGACTCGACGTCGACTTTTTTTTTTTTTTTTTGGTCGGTTTGAGAGCTTCTGTTTGAATTGAGTGGAAAAGAAGAAGTGATTCAGTAGTTGATGTAAATGAATGTGACTGCTCTTTTTCTGTTTCTGCTCAGTACCAATGATTCTTGAATTTTTACTCTAAACAGGCAAATTGGAGTCCCTCTTTTGCTATCGTCAGCTCTTAGGAACTTCCATATTTTGATTGATTGGTTGCTAATTAAACATACATGGAGTAGGATTTGAGAGAATAGGCCATTGAAAGAACAGTTTAGGGATGGAAAGTCTGAATGCTGATTGCTTGATATATTTATTCAGCACATGTGTTCCCCGTGATTGGATCAGTTGTTTTTTTCCTCATATTTCAGTTAGTGCTTTTGCACTGTGTATTTCCCAGATGACTACTTCACCAGTTTACCTAGCATGCTTTTCCATTCTCTTTTCCTTTTGCTTCTGTACTTATATTGGAAATAACTTGTAGGAGACATTTATTATGTGACACACTACACATGTAGACAAGGGCAGTTTAATTGTTTTTATTCTTATTTATTTTTTTATAGTAGTGATCTAAACCCACTGGTTTTCATGTTTGTTTGAATGTTTTCTGACAAATAATCCTATTTTAACAGTCAATGTCTTATGCAAAGCTAGCTGGGCTTCAGCCTATTTACGGACTTTGTAAGTTTCTACCCCTTTGTCACCGTCTATTTTGAACTGTACTGAAATATCTGGTCCATTAGCTATCTTAAGAAAAAACAAGGGTAAAAGTGGCTACTATTCTAAAACAGACACTTTTGGAGCTCATGACAGGTTGAAATGGAATGCGTAGCTCTTAGTTAGAATGAAAATATTTTTCTTTTTCATTCTCCCCCTCTCTTTTTGTGAACAATTTATTGGTTTTGCTGCAAAGAATCTAATTCTTATCCAATTGACAGTATGGTCAGATAATAGCTCCAATGTTTCTCCAATTGAGCAGCTTCATGATTTCCTTTAGAGATTTTTGGAATTTGACCTGAACTGTAATGCTCAAATGTAGCTTGCATGTCTGATGTTTCTGGAATTTAGAATATTTTCTATGCATTGTCTATAGCTGTTTATCTTCTTCATTTTCACCTCTGCTCAAGTCTCTGCTGTGCCTTGACATAAGTACAGATCTTGTTAAAATTGATTTTTTGGTAAATCCTACACTACAGCACTTTTCCTTTCTTATTTATGACATGATTAACACAGCGAATTCCTGTCTAATCCGCTAGAAGTGCCTTTCCCCATTGTGTATGTAGTTTGCGTGACTGTAAACACTCAGAGTGTTGTGTGAATGAGACTACTACTAAGTTTACTCAGCTACTCGTTTGATACAAATAATAATCAGCTCTTTTGCTTCATCTACAACCCAGATTCTGGCTTTGTGCCTATTTTTGTCTACGCCATATTTGGATCATCTCGACAGCTTGCGATTGGTCCTGTTGCATTGGTTTCCCTTCTGGTATCAAATGTCTTGGGCAACATAGTTGACTCTTCTGAGGAGTTATACACAGAGCTAGCGATACTACTTGCCCTCATGGTTGGCATTTTGGAATGCATAATGGGTATCTTGAGGTACATTTAGTTTCATTTATTTGTATGCAAATAAACAAGTCCGGTTACCAAATGTAATATTACGCCTTTTCACAAAATTTTATTAACGTATATGAATCTTGCACAGGAAAAGTTTACTTAGCACTTCTACTAGGGATAACTTCTTACAAAATGAATTCCTGTTGAAGTAACGAAGAGGGAATGTGATGAATATGACATAACCTCTGAAGTTTTGAATGCTAAGTTTCACAATTTCCTTTTTTGCTTCTATTATTGTAAAACGCCAAAATGACATCAGGTTTTTAGCATCTCTCAGAGTTATAACTTATAAGGAATTAAGTCTAACATGAGATTTGGATGCTGGGTTTCTCTTTGTTCTTACAAGTGTTGGTGGGAATGCATTTTGTCTTCACTCTTCCCAGCTTGATAACTGGCTGTTTTAACAGCACTTTTTCTTCTTTTTTGATCGACCTATCTTATACCTGGATGTTACCTTCTCCAGGCTTGGATGGCTTATTCGTTTTATAAGTCACTCTGTGATTTCTGGTTTTACAACTGCGTCTGCTGTTGTTATTGGATTGTCTCAAGCAAAATATTTTTTGGGCTACGACATAGACCGTAGTAGCAAAATTATTCCTCTGGTAAAGAGTATAATTGCAGGAGCTAATAAGGTATCCCTTGGCCTTCAGTTAAGTCTTATGTGAAATGTTCTTCCCTATTTATGTTGCGTAATGTGTTATACTTTGCTTTTTATATTTGAGCTGTGTCTAGTTGAGGATAAGAGAAAAGGCCCATAGCCTTCTCAATTTCGATAAAATCAGGGAGACAGTAAAATGATTCACATTTTGATAAAAAAAAAAAAACAAACTCTGAGAAGTTGCCAGATATGTGCTTTTAAAGATCTCAGCTCAGCTCGTTTGAAGCTTCAAAATATATACATTGGGATCATGAACAAATGGTGTTACATTATATTACAATAACTAAATTGTTGTTTTCTTTTGAAAACTGATGAAATTCAGAAAGATATAACACCAGCATATCGACCTTGCATTAGTTTTATCTTAGGCATATATATAAATACGAATGTATATATACATTTTTTTATTTGTTTATAATTTTCATTTGAAGAGATAACTCAACTATTCAGTTGATCCAGGGAGAAACGACATCCTTTTCCTTTTTCAATTATTGATCTTTCTTCGTGCTGTGAGATCATGACCGCTTTCACATTTTTCCTTTGCAGTTCTCATGGCCTCCCTTTGTAATGGGCTCTTTCATGTTAGCAGTTCTGCTAACCATGAAGCACTTGGTATTAGCTCTTTCTTTCCCCCTCGTTTTACTATTAATTTTTTTATTTTTACACAATATCAAATTTATAGTTGTACAGCTGATTACCATATTTTCCTGTAACTGCTATATAATAAGAGTTATGAAAATTTATACTTTGTTTGGCTTTCGCCGCAGGGAAAAAGTGGGAAACGATTGAGATTTCTACGAGCTGCTGGTCCCCTTACCGCTGTAGTTCTGGGTACAGTTATTGTGAAAATCTATCACCCACCTTCTATTTCATTGGTGAGATTTGCATTGGAGAACTTAACTTTCACGTCTGGATTGTTTCTTTATCCTGTAGTATGATTTTATTTAAGCTTTATTGAACGCTGTGACATCACTGCTATAATTTCTTGTAATGCTTTTCATGATTCTCTAAAAAAATCAAGCTCATTGCAAGTCCTGGCGTGAGTTTTTGATTTGTTTTCCGGCTGGACCTTGCTTTTTCCAGAATCTCGTTGCATAGTTGGACAGTGGTATACGATAGTATGGGGTTTATGGCATTGTCTTCAATTTGATTTGATACGTACCATTTATAATATGATCAAACATATCAAGTACAAACGTATCAAGTACTTCATGTTCACATGTGGTATCATTTGTTCTTTACATTTTTGCTCTGATCTACTACTGCTGTCGTAATGTTTAAAAACCTGGAGTTGCTGCAAATTTGGGGCTCTTCTTCATTCTCCAGTTTGTAAGTTTATGTAGGTTTATCTGTTTCAGTAAAACATTAATATATTATTTGCATTAAAGGAACTTGTAATTTCTATATTGAACCTATACTAGTGAAACATTTTTCAAGAATAGAGACCTTTTGTATTCTTTCTTCAATTGATAATTGAACACTTTATCCATCTTACATGATGCTCTAAATCTTTTGAGTATTTTTTTTACATCTTAGAGATTGGTATCGGTAACATTATAACATAACAGTAAAACTAGCTGATTACTTTCTTAGGTGGGAGACATACCTCAAGGTCTGCCAAAGTTCTCCATCCCCAAGGAGTTCAGCTATGTGAAATCTTTAATTCCAACAGCAATGCTTATTACTGGTGTGGCTATTTTGGTAAGAAGACATCTGACTTTCAGGATTAGAAATCCCGTGCATATTGTAAATATGCCACTAATCCTCCAGTTACATTCTTGGTTATTAGGAATCGGTTGGGATTGCAAAAGCTCTGGCTGCGAAAAATGGATATGAGTTGGATTCAAACCAAGAGGTATGTTTCAAAAAGACCTGCAATATCACACACTCAAATAAATTGCAGTCACCAGTTATTTCAAAAAACTTCTGGATGAGTAGTTCTTTCCTGCCTCTTTATATGGATCATTATTTGCTGCAACCTGTATCTGTGTTGGGGCAGCATAATTTTTGTAATAATTCAACATGATTAGTGCTTCAGGCATAATTAATCTTTTTCAAACAGATACCAATATCTTCAGTTCTAGTTGTCAATTTTACATAGTAATCACAAGGAGATGTTTCTGGTTTGGTTAGGTTCTCAATCAAGTTTGGAAAGGAATGAAGTGACATCCATTTTCTGCTTGTTTCTTGTACTACTTAGATAAAGATGTTTTTAGGTTTATGAGTCAAAATCATTCCTAGACAATCACATCAAGAGAATACGACTTTGGCATACTCTTAGTCAGGAACAGGAGATGATAATAATATCCGTTTATTCTACTGTGGCTACAGATTTCGAAATTCAAACCACCCAAGTATAAACATAATTTGTAGAAAGAAAAATCATCTGATACTAAAAATCATATTCCTTCTGAAGTTAGTTTTATTTAAAGCTCTGTCATCATGTGATAAACAAAACCATTTTGTAACTTATTATTCGTTACCTGTCCTTGAGCAGTTATTTGGACTTGGTGTGGCCAATATAGCTGGTTCATTCTTTTCTATCTACCCGACAACAGGTGAATTGTCCTAGGGCCTACGTGGCACAAATGCTCTATGCCCTTTTAATGATTGATTTATTGTTGGTATGGGCTCTGGGTTTTTAGCTCTATTGCTTCTGCAATGACGCTAACTTTTTTCTTGAAATGTTGTTTGCTCTTTGGTCCATAGGTTCATTTTCTAGATCTGCTGTAAATCACGAAAGTGGAGCAAAAACTGGCTTATCTGGCATAGTCATGGGAATTATAATGGCTTCTGCTCTTTTATTCCTGACGCCCCTGTTTGAATATATACCCCAGGTTTTGCTCCTTACTGATGCATGAGTAACTATTATTGGAAATTCTAATAACTTCATGTATCAGATATGGATGTTAATTTATTGTAAACATTAAGACCGAAATTTATTATTTTAGCTTGAAATGCATAATACTAGGATGAAGAGAAAATGAAGGAACACTGTGAAGGTGGTCCTAGCCTGGTCCTAAGAGGTTTTGACTGGATCTCGTAGGGGTCTAAGTATCGGATCCCATTGGGGTGGGTTGGGTTTGGGTTTAAGGGTGTTAAAAACGCGATTGATATAAAATGATGAAGGAACACTTGTAGCAATTTACCCTGAACCTGATTTTGGATGTGCTTTGGAATTTGAAATAGTTAACCTTTAATTCAGTTGCTTCTGTTATCCTGATTGCCTTTAAACACATTGTTTCCAACCTTCACTTCTCTTTTATTTTGCAGTGTGCGCTGGCTGCCATTGTCATCTCTGCTGTTATAGGACTGGTAAGCCTAGCTTCCTTCCAAAATGTAGTACACTTGCTGAATTTGATACTGCTGCTGCACTACTCTTTTGTACTCATCCCAATAAAGTGGAATCTTCTATTGGGACAGTAGGAGTTCTTTCATGTTGCTCTTCCTTTTGATGTTTTGCTTCAAGTGATGTATAATTTTTGTTTACAAGTTTAGTTATAGTTGTCTCGTGTGTTCATTTAATGAAATTTTCTATATACGCTTTCAGATCTTAACAACATGCATATTCTTTTGTGTGTTTACTGGTTGTGGGTCTGCAAGTATTCCTATGATTATCATAATTGTACAAAGCATTTCTTTTGAAGTCAAGCCGCAAATTCTGCAGCACTTTCTGTATTTTCCGTAGTGTGGTCATGAAAGTCTTAATGTCTTAATCCATTCGTTACTCATCCTGATTTTTTTTTTTTTTTTTTGGCGTTTGTAATAAGTCTACTTGAACCTAGTCATTGAAAATGACCGTTTGTTTTAAAGGATGAAGTTCTTCGCACTTAATTTACCAAACCATTGCTTCCCTTGTTTTCACATGCAAATGTTGGAAGCCATCCATTCCTTGCCTTCTTGTGAAAGCATGCAGCCTTATGTACATTTTGATTGTTCACAATTTCAGGTGGATTACGATGAGGCTATTTTCTTGTGGCATGTAGATAAGAAAGATTTTCTCTTGTGGTTAATTACTTGCATAAGCACCTTGTTCCTTGGCATTGAGATTGGTGTCCTTATTGGTGTAAGTTGAATATTTTCTTGCACTGAGATTATTGATGCAAGGAGCAAAACTTTATTTAGCGAATTTTGCGGGACATCTGTGCAGGTTGGTGTTTCATTGGCTTTTGTCATTCATGAATCAGCAAATCCCCATGTTGGTAAGTTATGTTGGTTTGTTAACTCCTTGTACTAGGTTTATATGCATCCCATTATCAAACAATTTATACATCAATAATTGGACTCTCCCTGATAATCATTGACTTGCATGGGTGCAATTGATATGAATGCTGTGATCCATCCAGCATTATGCATCTTCTGATATCCTTCTTTGTTTTGCTAATATTCAGTGATTGGTAAACTATTTTCCTTTTACATAGGTACTCACTATGATTTATGCTCTTGTTTTTGCTTGTCGTCATGTTTGAAAGAATTTCTGTTGGATTGAGTTAAAGAAACCCGGTTCTCCAAATGTCATCCCATTCCTTTCCATCAACCGGCAGTCGGGCCACTTTTCTTATTTCATCAGATATCAGAAACTCCACATGTCATTACTACTGCCGTGTTCTTTTCATGGTCCTTTAACAAAAATTTCCTCCTATATTGGCAAGGATTGGCTATATCATTTTTTTTGTGATATGGACAGTGATGCCTATTGGACTTCGTTTTGTTTATGACTTCAATCTATTATGTTTCTGATTCAATAAACTATGTGTTTCACACTTAAAGGTCGGTCACTTTTGTTTTGCAGCTGTCTTGGGTCGTCTCCCTGGAACCACTGTCTACAGAAACATTGAACAGTATCCAGAAGCTTATACATACAATGGGATAGTCATTGTGCGTATTGATGCACCTATATATTTTGCAAACATAAGTTACATCAAAGACAGGTAAGTTTCTGCTCTTTTGAAATGCGACATTGGTGTGAGCGACTGTTCCAGAATTGCTAATTAAGGTGCTTTAACTTTGTTGACTCTTATGCTCAGGCTTCGTGAGTATGAATTCCAAAGTGAGGGTTCTGCCAGTCGAGGACCTGAAGTTGCTAGAGTTTACTTTGTAATTATTGAGTTGGCCCGTAAGTTTTTCATTGGTGAAGTCGCTAGGGTTCTGCAATCCAACTTTGAATTTGTTTTAGAATTTTGCCTTGCCTGGTGATCATCCGTCATCGAGTTAAATGCTTAAAAGAAAAAATAAAATCAATTAAGCTTTGTACTTTGTGTACTCTTGCAAGTTGCAACCTGTGCATGATTTGAAGGTGAAACTGGTGTAAATGGAAAACTAGGATGCTTGATTGAGAAACTCTGTTTATAGATACTACGTTGATGCTTGTGCTTTTTCTCTCTTTCAGCTGTAACATATATTGATTCTAGTGCGGTTCAAGCTTTGAAGGACTTGCATCAAGAGTACAAGTCACGGGGGATTCAGGTATGTTGCTAGATAATTTGTTAATCTTGGGGCTGCCATCGCTGTCTTCCATCTATAATTCCTCGGATTCATTTGCAGATCGCCATTTCCAATCCAAACCGGGATGTTCTACTGACTCTGACAAGGTCTGGGGTGGTTGACCTGATTGGCAAAGAGTGGTATTTTGTGAGAGTCCATGATGCTGTTCAAGTTTGCCTTCAGCATGTGCAAAATTTAAACGAGGTTCCCAAGGTATCAGAAACCTTACCGCATGACAGGCAGAGTTTTCTCAAGAGGCTTCTAAAACATAGAACAGAAGAATTCGCTAGCACCGACTTAGAGTCCGGCCATAAACAGAACTCCAATTACAAAGATTCAGATCCTCAACTAGAACCACTTTTATTCAAAAAGTGATGAAGATTACAAACAGTTTTTTTTTTTTTTTTTTTGGGGTTCCTTTTTCCGGGTGGAGAGCAACACACTAAAGATGCATTCGTTATTATTACCAGTACATATTTGTATCGATTGAGTTGATGTAAGTAGAAACTAGAATGTGGTGTAATAACAATACTCACAGTTTATATATCGTTTATTTTATTTAAGAACAAATGTGTATATATATTGTTCATTTTTTTAATGAAAATGTGTGAATGGTTCTTACTGGATAACAATATTTTCAGTTAATGCAGTTTCCTTAATAATATTGGATAAATGTGCTCATGCTCAATCAGAAACATATGATATTTAGGCGGGAAGACGGCAACGATTGTTTTGAGTGAATATAAAAGAGAAGAAGAAAATAAGAAGAAGAAAAGGAACAAAGAGTAAAAAGAGGAGAGAAGTGAAATGTTGCGAAATGAGGCGGTTTGTCCCACATGGGAAGCGGGGAGAGATGTAGCGAGAAATGAAGGCTATAAATAGGAGAAGTATGGGAAGAAGATAACTTGCCTTAAACTAATGAGTAAGGAAAACAAAGCGGCCGGGGAGACCTAGCCGCAGCGCTCTTGTCATTTTGTGGCGCATGAATTTATGGAGGGGTTATAGGCTGGCCGGGTGTTGACGCTGCTTACTTTGCAGAACTCGCTCGAGCGGGCCTCCCAACACCCACCAATTATAACTTAAAAACATTTTATGCGCAGATAGGAATAACTTCGTACCAAAATTGAACTGACCGACCAAATTTTACACGAAATCTACCGAGGCTTTTCCATGATCGAATAATTTAACTAATCAGTAATTAGCTTTTTTATTATTGCTTTCTCAGAACCAATTGGAATTCATCCTGCCTCGATCGGGACTAATGGCATGGTCGGGAAAAGATGGAGAATCACTAAGATCCAATTAGAATGGTGATTCTACACGTTTTCCATGTCCCGTTTCTAATTTGAATTTCTGGTTCTCCGATCAGATTTTGTTTCGTTGCTGATTTTTTTTTTGGATCTTCTGGTAATCGTACAATTGATGCTGTCGATTCGTCAACTGATTGATATTTTGTCTTTTTGTGTTCCATCATATTCTAAGCATTTTCAATTTGCTCGGGAACCCTCAAATTATGAATGCCAGACTTGGGCAGTAATTCCTGTATAGACCCTAGCATTGTGTTGCCCATGATTTGCTGATTGTATTTTTGATTATAACTGATCACGATGTTTCACATTCCAATTTGAGTTGATGCTTTTAACTAGTGAGATTAATGCTTACTTCCATTCTTTTTTGTTCAGGTTCAACATCAAATGGCACGACAGGGCAATCCGTCTTAAACCGCCCCCCCAAGTTAACAACGATAATGACATTCTAAATCTGATCTGCGTTGTCACAGGTGAAATGACTAATTATGTTTTAGTGTCATGTTTCTGAATTGATTGTTCTTCGGCCGTATTTTTTCTTCTTTTTTTTTTTTTAAAAAAAAACATGTGTTGATCTTTTTCTCTGTTCCTGATAACTTCATTCTAAGCATTCTGTTCTGCCCCTAAAAACTTGTACGGAAAACAAGCATCCTTATTCCTTATTGCAACTATGTTGACCCCCTTCCGACTATTAGATCTTGCAGTTTGAATTCTAGTAATGACTAATTAACAAAAAATTCTGACTAATCTTTTAAGCTTGTGCTCCATTTCTATGAGCTCTAAAATAAGAGAGGTCAAGGCAGCCATCTTACTATTAATATTGTTTGAGATAGGTTGGATAGGAAATGGAAGATAAAATGTGTTTATAGTCATTTTCTTCATCCTGAACCACCAATCACAAGTTGCCATGTAAGGTACCTGAATCTACACCATTTTTATTTTTTTTTTAGAAAAAACAATCTAGAACGGACATACAAACCAGTACTGATACTGGCAGTATTTGATGATCTGGCTAAGAGAGTTGAGGATGTAAGGTCACCAGCCTCATCATGAATTTTGAATGAGATACTCTCTGATGCATTGTGCACCCTTCAAAGTTCAAAGTCCTATCTCCCCTGGTACACTGCACAGCAGCCTGCAATTTGAAGGGCAGGTTCGCAGATCATGCATGAACCACAAATTACCCTCTTCTAATACTATAGCCTTATCAACTCCTGCTTTGGATGCTATTGTCTCCTCAACCCCAAAATAGCCTCAATTATAGGATAGGACCAGGTGGGCAGGCATATTCCGGGACTGAAATATCTGCAATAGGATATCAATTTTACTTTACTTTTCATCATCACCCCCCACTAGTCTAATACTGGTTTCAATTGTTACCAAAAGTAGCTGTTTTGAGTTCTATAGTAATGTGCCATAAAATCACAGATCGGGGCAGAAACCATTTGGGATTAAAGAATGCGGGTAGATAATTTCCTTAAAGTTAAGAAGGGGCATCTGATGTGGAAGTGTTAGTGGAGTGGTTTAGTATAAGGTTTTACTAGCTTGGTGATGTAAAAAATGGTCATAGTCTGGGATTGGGTCCGTCTTTTGTTGCAATTATTTCAATTAAGAAGGCAGAATGATGGATGCCTGAAAGTTGAGAGGGCATATCAAGATTTGGCCCTCCCCTGTTTTAGTTAGTATGGGAATTGGCCAAAAGTTGCATTTGTAAGATCCTAGAAGTGGCAAATACTATTCCCCACCAACTGGTCATTCTAGAATCTAAAGAGAAAGAACGAGAGGGATTGAAAACAACATGTAAAGCAAGACAAGACGTTGAGTTGATTGCGTGATAGAAAGATGCATTGGCACCACCCCAAAAAAATTCAAGCGGGAAGTTGAAAACAAATAGTGCACAAATTGGCATTCTCTTTCATTTGATCTTTCGGTTATTTTGATAAGTGATCCCAACTTACAACATATGACAGCCTTTGTACTGTAGTAGCATAATCATAGTATATAATTTTGACAGAGTTAGCAAATCTGTATGGGTACATGCCACGTGTTCATCGATGATTGGCCAGCTGATAGCCCACTGGATAATTTTTTACCAGAGGGAGGATCAAGGATGCCATTTGGGTTTTTTCTTTTTTCTTAGGGATTTTTGTCAAATTCTGGGCAGGTCGAAATGGGGGGTCCCCTTGATCACGTGGAAGGGGGCTGCCTAATACCAAATTCCCAAAGACAAAGAAATGGTCATTTACAAATCTCCCCTAATCCCCTCTCCACCAATTATTATCTATCTCCCACGTGGGCCTTTGGCCCAACCTCACCATTTACGAACTTTCCTCTTCTTTTATAAATATAATCTTAGCCTTCATTCTTTCTTCTAGCCCAGCTCATAGATAATCTCCATAATCATTAATATCGTCTACGATTTTTGGAGAAGGAAGTTATAAATTTTGTCATTTAAAAAAAAAAAGCATTAATGGGAGACTCTTCTGCATCATACATACATATGGTAATAACATGTAACCCGTTATTAAAGTTTGAATATATGTTCTTTGGGACATTTTTTTTTTTTTTTTTTTACTTTTGTTTACATGTTTTTCTATACCATGGAAGATGTTGCAGCCTCAGTTTTATGATTTTCATTCTTGAAGTCATGCAGTTGTTCTCCTCCTCTGTAGAAATTTCATTGTTTTTATCTTTGTTTTTTCTAGGTCTCTTTTTCCCTTTTGAGACTGCGACCTAACAAATTAAGATGACCTAATTCAGGTGCAGCACTTGATAGAGAAGTGCTTGATCTTCAACATGAGCAAAGAAGAGTGTATGGATGCCCTCTCCAAGCATGCAAACATTAAACCAGTTATCACTTCAACTGGTGAGTCAATATAGTTCAGTTATGACCTCCTCACTTTTTCCTGCTTTAGCTATCTGCTGAATACATAATCTCGTTTGCATGCATGCGCATGGCTGGGCACTTCCAATCACTTTAAAAGCTTTTTAGTCACTATACTAGCTGTTAAGTTTAACACCATCTTGTGCCCGAAACGAAACAATAAGATCACCACGAAAGATAGGGATCAAGTGAGTTGAATAACCTCACAAAATTGATTGAAGATGTTATATGTTGATGATCATGATATGTAACGGAAATGTTCAAAGGCATCGAGATTGAGTGACAGTTTGATAGACCAAGAACTAGATAGCTTCACTTTACCTAAAAGCAAAAGAAAATTTTGATTCAAATGATCTTAAACTTATTAGGAAACAAATAAAATAGATGAAATCTGGTGTGAGCTTGAGTGAAACATGTAAAATCTTGGTTTAGGCAACTAACTGGTAACCCCTTTTGGTCTTGTGGCAGTGTGGAATGAGTTAGAGAAAGAGAACAAAGATTTCTTCGAGGCGTATGCTAAATCTCAGAGGGACGAAGATCGAATGTCAGAAGCCGAGACGAGTGCATTGATTCAGAAGATGGTATCCGATCACGATGATCATGAGGAACGTCCCAAAGATCCTCCTCTTCCTGAAGATGAGCAAAGAAAATCACCTTGAAATTCTAACCTCTTCTAAGTTGCAGCTGGTTGGGGTTGGGGATGAAGCAGCTCAGTTGTTAGAAGAATAAACACATGACCTAGAATTTGGAGGACAACCAGCAAAACTGGAAAGAGGACATACCATACATACATACTAATTTAAATTGAATGGGTCCTGCTGCATATCATTGGAATTAATGCTAGAGTCTACGGACATAGTACGTACTCTCTGTGGTCCAAATTCTCCAAGTCAGCAACGAAATCTAGAGGATTTCCTATCAACAAGTGCCACATCGACCCAGGTAGAAGAGAAAAGATTTTTACATGTGAAATCTCTGCCAACGTTTTCTTTTTCTTTTTATTTTTTTTGGTTCAGTGACAAAGATATGGTAGACACTCACTTAGTAGTAGTGTGTATATTTGTGCATATTCTGGTTGGAGAGTGACTCAATATTGATAACGTTGTTGAAGAATACCTTGTACTCTCTCTTGCACAGACGACACACGCCTGGGCTGTGGGGGGATGGCATCTTTGTTTCATTGTTTGTCAGTTTATAACTATTTCGATCTAATTTGGTTCTATTTTGTGCTATTTATTAGTTTACAAACATTTGATATATGGGTGAGTTATTTTAACGTATATCCATCGGTATTAATTAAATCCACATAATGAAAACATTGTGAATGGTGCAACATTATGTCTAGAAGTCGCAAATCAATCACGACGAGTTGTTTGGGGTATGTTTATTTCGTTTTTTTAATGTGTGTTTTTAGATAATTTTTATATTGAGAATGTAAAAAAGATATATTAAAAATGTAAAAAGATATGTTGTTATTTTATTAATCTAAAAAAATCATTAAAAAAAACTAAACAAACAAAGCCTTGGTTTGATGGGTTTGGTTTTGTATTTCGAGGATGCCTGAATATGTTCCGTACATTGCATTGAGGAAATACCCCTACAATAATTGCAAAATGGCCGAACCAGAGAAAATATTCCGTGGAAGTGAAACGAAATTTTTTAAAACAATAATTAATCATATTAGTGCATAATTTTATTAAAACAATACGTGAATATTGGCTAATTGTACAAAACTGCTTAAGGCCCGCCCCCTAGATGTTCTTCATTTGGCGACCTCTTTGTAGCTTGTTTTTTTTAACTTACTTCAACGTGTGTGGGAAGTCGGTAATCAATTTCTTTATAATTTAAGGATCAAATTTTTTTTTTTTGGGGGGTTAGGATGTGGTTTTCAAAGAAATGCGGAATAAAGAGGAAAAGAAGGTCAAGCGGGTATGGTGTCTCATACTCCCACTCTATGGAAGAATGTCCAAGTTGCCGTCTTATTTTTTGTCATTGCAGCCTTTGGATTGTGAAACTGTACGTAGTTACAATTCCTTGCTCTAATCAGATTAAACTGAAAAGACGAAATTGCTACAAAGATAACAATGTCCAAACTAACTTGTACTAGTATTTTTTCACTTTCTTGAATTAAAATAATAAAATAAATTAAATTAAATTACGGAGACAATACTGGTTTAATTATTAAATATGCTACAAATTTTCATCAAATATGCTACAAATTTTCTTTAATTATTAAATATGAAAAGTTTCAATAATTCATTCATTGTTATGGATCATTTTAAAGATAACAAATAAAGATAAATTAATACTACTTTCCAGCAATGATTGAGAAGTGAAAAAAATTATTTTCCAGCAATGATGGAGAAGTGAAAAAAATATAACGAAACTCATAATAACTGATGCATACACAGTCATTAGGATCATACTATTACACAGTACACACTATTCAAAAAAAATTTTTTTTTTTTTACTATACATATCATTTTTTTTAACAAATACTTAAATTACAAAAACATTAGCATTATTGTAAACATTGCATCAACTCAATGGATGAAATATAGTAAGGCTCTGTTTGGTTGGATTGAATTGGACCCAAGAATTGGAATTGGAGGCCCTCAATTCCAATTATTGTGTTTGGCTGAAAAAATAGAAGTTCTAGAATTAGAATTATAATTCAAGATGAGGTTCAATTCTTTATTTTCAATTCTTTTGTGGGAGCAAATAATTGCAATTCGAACTTTAGGGGCTTTAGAAAAAACGCGGGTCATATACGGGTCGTTTTCCGAGTTATAACAAAACGGGTCCTTTTAAGTTTGAGGTTTTTTTTTTTTTTGTAGCGCTGCACATGCGTTTTTTTTGCCTTTTTCATTTTCGTTTTTTCCCCCTTTTTCTTTTAGCGTTGCGTTGGGCTTTTTTTTTTCTTTTTTTTTTTTTCCTTTTTTTGCATTTTGTTAAATTAACATATGTTTTTATTTATGGTGCAAACGAGGTGTAAATCATATTAATAATTATTAATGAGATTTATATATTAAAATTAGTATTCTTTTAACAAAAACTATCAAATGTATAACGACACCTGTAATTTATTTTAAAAATGGATGGTATTAACTATTGGTTAACATTTTTTTATCAAATGTATTTTGAACTATACTTGAAATTTTTTCACTAAAAATTATGTAAACTTTCAAGAAGTCGAAATATATATTATTCCATATGTAATTATATACTAAAAATAAAAATAATTAATTAGCACCATGTATTAATGTTAATTTATACATAAATGAATGGTCTTTACTTTTAACTATGTAAAATTTTACACTAAAATCCAAAAAAAAATTAAAGATTAAAAATTTATAAATAATAAAAAGGAGAGGAACAAGGATGTTCTACATGTTACTTGTGAGAATTCCGATCATCACATTCATACTTACGTAATAATAAAAAAAGCTTTTCCACAAATATGTATGTATCTATAAATTATAAAATTGATATATATTACTCAAACAACAAAAGTTCTAATATAAATGTATATGATAAATTTATTTTTGTTATCTTATATATGTAAGTAATAAATTGTTTTGATATATAAAATTAAGTATTTATTTTATTCAATGAAATAAAATACTTAATTGTAGGTAGATAATAAAAAACTAATTCTAATTCTAGATTTTATAAATTTATAAGGATCCAAACACAAGAATTAGTATTAGAACCTTAATTCTAGTCAATTCTTACGATCTTCCAAACGAAAGAATTAAGATTGAATTGCAATATTAATATCTCATTTTCAATTCAATAGTATTATAATTCTAATTCAATTACAATTCAATCTAACCAAACGGAGCCTAAACATTATTGTTAACCTCTCCAAACTTTCAAACATGTCGACGTAACTACGTTATAGAAACCGAATTTAGATGGGTATTTTCCCTTTCTAAAACAGTATAACGTTTTGAGTAAATTCAAATCGTTTAATCATAAATTTTAACCAGTCCATTTTCATTTCAATGAGATTATTATTTTTCCTTTCTTTTCTGTTTTTCGTATGTTTTCTTTTTCTTTCTTTTTTTTTTTTTTGGGGGTGTTCCTAGAGTGATCTTGTTTGGAATTAGAAAAGAATCTCACCTTTTTCTCTCTCTCTCTCTCTCTCTCTCTCTCTCTCTCTCTCTCTCTCTTTTTTGTTTGTGTCACAAGAATCTCACTTTTTTTTTGTTGATATAAGAACCACAAAAATTGGGCCCAAATGAATAGTAACTTGGGCTTTGGGTAGTCGCCTCGAAAGCCCAAGAGACACGTTACGCTTCGAAATACCATCGGTTTACCAAATATTCCACCAGCTTTTTTTCTAGCACATTCTCCAGTCATTCAGTGCGCTCATACATCACAGAAGTAGAAAGATCCTTTGCTGCGTTTGATCAATGGCCGACCCGGTGGAAATCTGTGTTAAAGCTGCATCCGGTGCTCCGGATGTCCTTGGAGACTGTAATTCCTTCTATCTTTCACTATTTTTATTATTAGTTTAATCTCTTGATCATGTGCTTCTCGTTCTGCATTTGGGGGCTTGTATTGTTAAGATTCGAGTTCGTAATTTCTCATGGGTTTTTGTAAAATCACTCTGATTTTGAGTCGGGTTTTTGCTTTTCGAAGGTCCCTTTTGCCAAAGGGTGCTTTTGACCTTGGAGGAGAAGAAAGTTCCCTACAAGTTACACCTAATCAACTTCGATGATAAGCCTAAATGGTTCGTTAATTCTTCATTCAAATCAGTTATTCTTTTTCATCTCTCCCATGTTTGTTGTGTTGTCGGAGCAGTGCGTTAATATAGAAAGGGGAATATTTGAATGGTGTATAGGTTCTTGGAATTGAGCCCAGAAGGAAAGGTTCCATTGGCTCAGTTTGATGGCAAATGGATTGCTGACTCTGATGTGATAGTTGGCATCATCGAAGAGAAATACCCAGAACCTCCTCTCTCCGCTCCCTCGGAAGTCTCATCTGTGTAAGTAAAGCCTTTCTCTGCCATGTATCTCGTCTGTTCCATTAATGCACTCAAATAATAGGTTTGCTTGTGTACACATTCATGCTATGTAGTAAATTAAGTGGAGAGTTGCTTTCTTGAGCTGTTGTTATTGAATTACCGTCATTTTTGTATCTTGGAGCATGGCTGTTTGTACGGGGTGATGTTGACAGGACTCAGGAGTACTTGAGTATGGCTATCTTCATGTTGAAATTAAAATTTTCCATTGGATTAGTTACTGGAATATTTAGATTATGCATAAACCTTATCGTTGTAACTCGGGTGACATAATTAAGCCTTTAGATGATTAGAGTTTGCAATGGTTGTTTGCCTTATCATTACTTTTTACCAGTTATGCCAAGTAGGTGGAATAGTATTGTGGTCTGGTTTTGGTCTTTTTATCTATTTATTTTTTATTAATGTCCTTATTTCTATTCTTCAACTTCTTATTGTATAGGGGTTCGAAGTTATTCCCTTCTTTTGTAAAGTTTTTGAGGAGCAAGGATCCCAATGATGGCACAGAGCAGGACCTACTTGAAGAACTAAAGGCATTGGATGAACACCTGAAAACTCATGTATGGATTCACGCTTTTTGTCATTGATGAAAACTGCCACCAACACTGTTGGATAATCTTATGAAATTGCGTGTGCCTTGATGTATTGATTAGGGGCCATATGTCAATGGAGAAAAGATTTGTGCAGTTGATTTGAGTTTGGCACCCAAATTGTATCATCTCGAGATAACTCTTGACCATTTCAAGAATTGGAAAATCCCAGAAAACTTGACTCATCTGCGTAACTACCTGAAGGTATGAGATTTCTTGTTAATGCAAGTGTCTGTCTTCTGATATGTGACATATGTAACATATGTTTTCATATCCCTGTGCTTTTTTCACCCTTCCCGCATCTGTTTGTGCTTATTACTATTATTTGTTGTGTGGTTGGTTGAGAAAGAGAATGGTTTTGAACTCAGTTCCGGAGTTATTTCCATTTACTTTAAGTCAGAATTTTCTAACCCCTGCATCTGTTGTTCCTTTCCCGATAATGTTATTCCTTGAGTCGGTAAAACTCTAATAAATCTAAGAAAACCAATAATTTTTAGCATGGGTTGATGAATGTTGCGTACATTCTTGATTTGATTTTTTGTGCCTTTAAACAGCTGCTCTTTTCTGCGGAGAGTTTTGCGAAAACAAAGGCCGCAAAAGAGTACGTGATTGCAGGATGGAAACCCAAAGTTGAGGCATGAATTATCTCTAGATTATGAAGCATTATGGTATTGCTACTTAGTTTGGGGCATCGTTTTCTCTGATAGTTTCAAGTTCTGCTTCTGGACTTCAGAGATCTTAATAAACATTGTAGCATATTTGTGAACTACGAGTACAGGTACATGTTTGTTCCTATTTGGAGAAAGGCGATTATCGGCTAGATGTTTGTGTTTTATTGTTTAAGAAATGTGTGAACAGTTTTCCAGTTGGCACAGCATTAAACCTCCTTTAACAGTATAATATTGTTGTCTTTGAGATCATAATGTTCCTGTTTTAGTGATTTATTTGAAGTGATAGGGTCTCAATTACTCATCATCATAAGCTGCACTAAGGTTATTAAAGAATATGTCCTTAGTTGGGATTTTGGGATTCTCTCATGAATTTTCCTTCTCTCACACCGATGACAATGTCTCCCAAGTTGATCTCAGTGGTCATACGCCATCAAGAATCTATCAATAACAAGTTTTCAATGTTTATCCGACTAAAATGAACTCCGTATTTATGCCCTCCGATGGAATGGCTTCGCCTTGGTTGTTCTGTGCCCAAGTTCTGGGCCACAAATACTCATAACATCCGGGAACATAAGCCTGGCCGTAGCACAAAATAAAATAAAAAAGTTCCGAGCCGTAGCCCATTAAATGCTTTTGTTACCTTTTTATTGGGTCAGTGGGCTCTTATCGTTTTGAACCGGGTTCATCAAATTTCATCTTTGAGCGGCACTTTTTCTCCTTGAAGTAAGATTTATGGACTTTAAAGTAAGGTTTCAATCTTTCATGGGCCCTCTGAATTTACAGGAATGAACTCTCTCATTCTGCATTTTGATTTTCGTAATAATTGATTAGATAATATTTCAAACTGATTGATACCCCCCATTAATAATTAATATGTAAAAAATCTATTCAAGCTCCTTATTTCTCTTTTTTCTTTTTTGTTTATTGAAGCTGCTTTTTACCCTTCTTCCTAGCAAAACAAAGTATACGAAAATAGCTTCAGTTGATGTCTTCCTATTCCTATGAACAAGGACATTACTGCTCAGAAATTTGACTGGAGTTTTATCGAATTTAAAAGGTAATTTCAATTAGTCCTCCTGACAATGACGATGCAACCTTTTTGGTAAAGGGGGAGTTAAAAATAAAAAAATTTTAAAAAAAAGAAGGAAAAACTTAACGACCTAGGTGTTGTTATCATGGCTGCCAAACATATTAAATATGTTTATAAAATAATGGGTGATGGATTGGGTTAGTTAAATCCTAAGATATGATTAATTAATCTCGTTTAGTCAAAGTGTTAACTACTTTTTAATATTGTGTACTAATTTTTACATGTAATGAGAAATTTAAAAGCAATTTAATACACGCAAGCAAAAATTAATAAATTAAATTAATATGAGTTTGTATGGTCTTTGGTATACTACTACGTGTGTGAACTGGAAGAAGAAATCCACGTTTCCGTCATCCAATTAGGTGCTTGGAGCAATGGAAAAAACAAATATAAAAAAAAAAGAAAAAAAGAAAAACAGAAAGAAATCGCAAGTTTTGACGAGCATTTTGATGAATATATTCCTCGGCCTTTCTGTTATTCTGAAGCAGCCCAGCAGCAAGATTATCAATGTAATGACACATTCTTAGAATAATTGGTGATTGGAACAAGATTCTTTCCGCGAGGGAGGGGGGTGTTGTTTGAGAACTACACCAACCATTCTTTTTTATCTATATATTTATTTGAAAAATTAAACACCCATCATTTTTATAAACCTAGCTAGAAAAGGTTGTTATAAAGTTGGGTATGAATGAATGATAGAGGCTATAGCTAGCGGTGAGAACGAAACAAACAATGTCAAATTTGATAGGCAGAGAGGTTGGTAATTAGTCATTGGATCTTAGGACTTAATATAGCGAATATTAAACAAATGAAGTTTGGGCAAAAAGAAAGGTTAAAAATTGGGAATACGTATAGTCCTTTTTGGTTTTCTTTTCTTCAGTACCCGTAACGTGTAAAAATGGTTGAGGGCCACAAAAGGGATTACGAGTAAGGAGCGTATTGGTTTAGATTAGATTAATATATGAAAAGTAATTTGTTAGCATTTGATTTATTGTGCTTGTAGCATACGAAACCCGACGTGTGGCAAATTACAGCATGTGCTTACTCATCCTTTTTTGCCGATTTGATAAAAAAAAATGTTACTCCCTCTATTCCAAAATTATTGTTCAATTTGAGATTTTACTTTTAGTACAATTTGAACAAGAAATGAAAACCCAAAGTGGACAAGAATTATGGAAAAGAGGGAATAATTAATTAGCACAAATTAAATTATGCTGAATGTAATGATCATGTAGGCAAAAATTAAAATGGAATGAAATGGTTCCTTAATTTCGTTTGGGTATGCCTAAACCAAGTAACATTTTTGGGACTTTGGGGTAATATCCCTTATTTTTAACAATGAAATAACCGAAACGTCAAAGCTTGAATAGATCCATTAGTTTAGTGTATAATTACCTCTTTAGTTTACGAGCAAAGTTTAAAGTGATTTATATTTTGAAATAGAGGGAATACACATATTACTAGCATCCTTCTCTCGCTGTTCCCCATAAATAATGAGATACATATTTATTTCTGTAACAGAATTTCAAAAGGAGACATTGAACCCAAAATTTGGTGACACGTGGATAGGAGAAGAAGGCATTGCAACATAAAATGCACAAATTCTCAGGGGAAAATAAATCGCTGTGTCTAACCAAACTTAGAAAATGCGATCTCCAAATTCTCAGGGGAGTACCTGCTTTTAAATTAGAGCTGCTGAATGAAAAAGCTTCTGATCTGATGGCAACAGAACACCGCACCAAATTTCTTTACTAAAAGAAGAGAAAAGAAAAAAAAAAAAAAGAGGAAGTCTTTCAATCCCAACCTTCTTCAATTTGGAGCATCGGAAAAGGAAAAACCAAAGCCAACACAACACTACACTCGTCATGACCGCATGCACCCTTATTATGACACCTGATCATCCTCATCATCATCACCCTTTGCCCTTTTATTTATTCATTTCTTTTTCTGAGATAATCGGGTCAATTTGGGAGAGTTAATCGGGTCGCTATCGTTAGGTTTATGCTTTATAGGGCCAAATTAAACCATCAGGTCCAGCAACAAAGTGAGTTTGAAAGAAAAGTAAAAAAAAAAAAAAAGATGGTGATTATGATAGTGGTTGCCTTTGCCTAAACTGCACCATTTCTAACCTAATACAGAATTACGTGGTCACGCCCTAAAAGGAAATATATATACAGCAATAATACTCACAAAGCAGTAACCGAGTAGGCCTTTAAATTACAAGTGTTTGGACTTCATATGGAAGTGTGCATTTGCACTGTGGCGCCTATAACCGTTAATTTACATTGTTAATTTTTACTTTAAAAAGGAAAAAAAAAATCTCTAATTAATTGCCTGATTCTGAGGATTTTGCATGTAATGGCTCCTATTTGTTTCTGGATCTGAACCCCATCCGCTTGTTCGGTGTTTTTGTAAGAATATAGTTCGATACATTCGTCCTAATTGTAGCTTACTATGATTTGAATCATTTTTTTAATCTCAACAGAGTTAGGTGTGAACCTTAACTATGATATTAAATTTCACACTTAGGATTTAATCACGCTTTTAAGCATCGAAGCGATTGCAAAGAAAGCAAACACAGAGACATGCGGGGGTTTATTAAAGAGACAGCTTAAAAAGTGCATTGAAAATATAAAAAAGTATTTTGGAATAGATAAATATTAATTAAAAATTTTGAAAAAATTAATCAAAAATGGAACCAAACAGAGCCATATATTAATAATGTTAATAATACGCAGTACTTGTATATGTACATAGGACATGTTTGCTGTCCAAGTTTGACCAAATGGAGAACCATAACTAACCATTGTCTGACACCCGTTACTTAGAAGAAATGATTCCTACTATCATTCAAGATCTCAGTATTTCACACCTTGAAAAAAAAAATATCATCAACCCCGGGAAAAATAAAAAATATTGGTGATATTTGCTTTCATCATGAATATACAAGGCCGTGCGTGACAACTGGAGCAGATATTTTAGAGACAGGGAAGAGTGTAGTACTTGGCATCCAATTACCAAATCTCCTCAACGGCCATTTTTACAAAGTTTTGTTACAATCAATCAACCCAAAAATCGCACACTTACGTGTCTCTTCCCTTCCATATTGTCCCATTCTTTATGCCCTTCATCCGGTATCATCATATGCCTGCTTAATCACACAGCTGCGTGCCAACATCACAATACCTTTTTTTTGCATGAAATTCGTTCCTTCTGCAGCTGAAATATTTATGGCTTTTGGAGTATTGGACGGATTTGATTTATTCACTCCACATTATTACATTCAATCTCAACGATAATCCGGCTGTTTCCAACGCTATCGTTTCTTTAGCCGATAAGTCGTAGTAAACTCACTAGTGTTAGTGATCACTTGATCTTCAATTATGCAAATTTGCGAGCATTTTAAGGTTTTGAGAGTGACTTTTTCCAAGCCCATTGTAATTTGTTATGCCATTTTATATTCTACTCCCTCCATTCACATATAGATGTGTCGTTGGAGGAAAACTCAAATATTCTAAAATAGATGTCGTTCTCACAAATCGAGTTATATTTTGTCAATTTTTTCCAATATCACCCTTACATTAGAAATTGTTATGATATTTAATGTAGAATTATATTAGAAGTAAATTTTATTGAGATTACAATTGAATTAAGAATAAATGAGGGTTTTAACAAGATAATTATTACCTCCTTAAATTTGGTGAAATCTCTCCAGCGACATCTATTTGTGAATGGAAGGAGTATTTTTAACCTTACGACCCTGACTAACCACTTTTTGTTTCGTCATCATGTCTTGGGATGAATTAAAGCAAATTATCGGCAGGCACTGGGTGTACTAAATCTTCATCTGGGTTGCTTTTATCATCATTGCAGATTAATGGAATTCACAACTTCAGCTTCCAGAATAGCAAAAAAATACAATTTGATTCAACGTTGATTGAACATTTTTTTTTACATTTCTTTCCAAACAAATCACATCAATACATTTTTGCTATTAATAACAATGATGTAAAACCTATAGACAGACTCTATTAAGTAAAATTTCCCAGAGAAGGGATATATATAACAAAAAAGGTAATCCCCCATGTTAATCAAATTGTCTCCGCCTAATCCAAGCGAAACAGAGTGATTTTTTTGCTTCTTCCATATGGATCTTTGTTCCCTACCCATTACACCGCTGTCTGTCTTCGACGCAATCCGAATGGACAGAGACCCACTAGTCCTTTAAATCAAATCCCATTTCTGTTGGAACTAAACATATAATTAATAATATTCATATTGGATGTGTTGTATAAGAACCTCCTGTCTACTAAAATTGGAAATTTTTAAGGTTTTTTAAGATCGATTTTTCCTTAAATCAATCACCACCACGCTGACATTATCAGTACTGTGCCTGGCCAAAGCCAGTTTGGTCAAAAGAATTGACGCATCGGAGCATGCCTTGTCGGAGCTCTCCCTGGCAGCACTGATTGTTGTTGCATCCTGGTTTCCCGGTGACCGTACCGGCGACGGAGGTTTCAAAGACTGCAAGCACATCCGAGCAACGCCGCACGCCGTTTCGTTTGAAACCACATCCCATAATCCATCAGTGGCCAATATTAGGCAATCATCCTCGTCGGTTCGGTCGATTACTGTCACTTCTGGCTCAGATATAACGTACGGCTTCAAGTAGTTATCTCCGATGGCCCGTGACATGGCTAGAACGCCCAGAACTCGAGCTCCATCCCAGTATATGACCCGCCCACCAGCTTCTTGGATCCGTTCTAATTCATCAGGCCTATCAGGCTGCAAAATCAAATCCATACCCAAACAAAAATTAGCACGTCTTCAAAACATTATGCATATTATAATTTGCCAAGGAGAGAGATTTCATGAATAGTGAAATTTACCTTGTGATCCACGGATAGAGGAACGGCTTTCCCGTCCCGGCCAAGAACGGCCCGAGAATCACCGCAATTTGAGATGATGATTTTGTCCGGTGTTACCACGGCGACAACGGCGGTGGATCCCACGGCGTCGCACTGCGGCGTTCGGAGCTCGCAGCGGCACGGAGAGGTGATCCCCACCGCCGTAGACCACTGCGTGACTTCTTCATCCATGCGCGAGAAACTCCTCTTCATCTTGTTCTCCCAGGAATCATTTTCGCCTACTCTCTCCAATTCATCCTTCACTATCTCGTGCATCCTGTCTTTGCATTTCATGGCAACCTGCAACATCATCAACGCGCTAAATTAAATTAGCCCCCCAAAAAAATGAAATGTAAATTATTAAGCTGCAGTTAATTGAATGAATCGGAAGCAATGGATTGCAAACAGCGTTTTACGTACATGGGAGCAGCCATGTCCATCGAAGACACCATAAAAGTGCAAATCAGTTGAACTTTCAGGAACTTCTCGAGAGAAAGACGGATGAATTGATACTGCATCTTCCATATCTCTCCTCCTTCCACAAACTGAAGTCATGCCGAATTTAGGTACATCAGATGCAAGCTCAACAGCAGGCTTAATTTCGGAAGAAGACGAAGAAATTGACGGACAACACTTATTTGAATCAGCATCTTTTTCACTCCCAGGTCCTGCTGGAATTTTTCTCTCATCAACTATAGAATTTTGAACGGCGTTATCACAGGCTCGGCCAGATGGAACATCCGCCGAACCAAGCCTTTGCCTCTTCCTCCTACCACTTTCAAGCGGCGGAGCCACCGCTGTATCGGAGGCCACAAATCTAAACTGATGAATCTCCATCCTTCGCCTCCGTGCCGATTGAGAGCTAGGCTCAACCGGTTTGGCAGTTTCCGTTTCACCACCAATATTTGCACCACGACACAAACCCGCCATTAGTACTCTCAGTTAAATTCAACCCACAAAACCACCTCCTAAAGATTGGTTTAAACTCAGGCCAATCAATCAACCAAAAAAAAAGAAAATTCAAGACTTGCTTTAGATCAAAATGATGAAATTGGTAAGTAACATATGAACAAAAGAAATGGAGAAATTGGAAAAGATTGGGAGAAGTCAATAAACCATAAAAATGGAGAAGTGGGAAGGAGGAGACCACAATATACATACCTGATTAAAAGTGGGGGCGGGAGGACTAGTTACGGGCAGTCTGCCCGTCACCGTCTCGGGCAGAGTCCGACACGTACAGTAGTTGTGACGTACAGCTCTTTTAGGCCTAAATCGTTGATCGCGGCCGTCCATTTCGTTATCTAAGATTAAATCATGGTGTTTAGAGAAAACCACGTGTTGGGGGCAAAATTTTGTTGGGGAAATACGTGGACCAATGTGAGGTTGACACAATAGGGAGAGGAGGTGGACCCTCTCTTTACTGACACGCATGTGGTCCTTTGGACGACCTTGCCTCGCTACCGTTTTTATTATTCGCTTTTTTGAAGTCTTTCTTTTTCTTTGATTTTTAATATTGGACTCTGTCTGTGGATATATTACCACGTGGCGAGATCTTAGGTTACGAGATTCGTTCTGCTTCCTTCTCTATCCACGCCCCTTGCCACAGAGCGTGTTAGTCTTTCCTGATTTCTTTTTTCCTGCTAGTAACCTATAAACTTCCTACAAGACTACTAGTACTTGTAGGGACATTATTTAAAATAAATTCAAGAATATATCTTATTCGTACTACAGTTTATTTATGAACTATATTAACATTAATTGAATAAATGTGTTAGTTAAATTCTTAAATAATCATACATTTCTGCAGTTATACCCCTAAATCTATAATGAATAACATTAATCGGGAAGAGAGAAACAAAAAATTGCTGTAAATTCATTATACAAATAAAATAGTTTCTTTAATGAAAACTTTATATTTCTTAGCATTATCAAAATTTGTAATCATGCGAAACTTGTATAATGTATACATCATTTTTTGTCATTACGTTGTAAATGAAAATTAAATACTTATTATAATTATTTATCATAAGAAATGAGAAAATGAATTACGACATAAAGTATTATTATATGAGAATAGAATTTTAATAGTTGTTACAAGAAATGTGCTGTCAAAACTATTATTCAAAAAATGATTTTTTTTCTTTTATTTTTTTATTTTCTTTTATGGCAGGGCATAAATAATAATTAAAATCTCCCATTACAAGTAAGTTGGAATTATGAAATAGTATGATGAAAATATACAAATAAATGGGAGCTGTTAAGAAATTCTATCTTTTTGAAAGACTAGTGATATTGTCAGGTCAATTTTTAACTTATAAGGCAAAATTTTATTTTATTACCTAATTTAACCCTCTTTAAATTAAGTTAATTATTACGTTCTATATGCATGTGTATGTGAAGACTGAAGTTATGGTCTCCGAACATCGGGATTCAAGAATTGTCATCTCCAACCAATACTTCAAATTTCTGACACAATTGGAGAAACATAACCGCTATTTTTTTAAAACTCTCATTTCTTAAATATCCATGGCTGAAAATGCCCAAAGAAACTTTTTTTTTGGCAAAATTTTGGCATTATAATTTATTTTGGAATAATGGTTTTTTCAGCAGATAATGATAATTTGACGGAATCTAGATAAAGATTAGAAAAAAAAAATCTACTTTCTATTTATGTTTTAATTTAAAGGAGTTGTTCATCTACATTGCCATTCAAATCTGAAAAAAAAAAAATCCAACTTTCATGAGATCTCAATTACCCTGTTACACCATTGATATTCCAACTCGATGCTTGTCACAAAGTTCAAGCCTTCAAGTGAAGTTCTGGATTGAAGGCCTCTTTACAAAAAAAAAAAAAAACAAAAAAAGCCTCAATATGTTATATAATTTTTTACATCCAATTGTTTAATCTAAAGAATTATGAATTTTTGGAACAGTGAGTGTGGGATAAGAGTGGAGAAGAAACTGTGGGATAAAAGTGGAACGGTAACTTGAACAATATTTTTCTCAGAAGGAGTAAATTAGAAAATAAATTAATTTTTTATTTGGAAATTAAAAATTAATTTGACAATATCATTAACCTTTCTCAAATCGTTTTATAAGAATTTATGAGAAAAAAAATTCCATCATCTTTATAATAGCTAAATGCCTCTTTGAAAATCTGAAGCTATGTACCATGGATTTTTTGTCATTGAGCAGTGAGAACTCACATTGGAACAATTATTTTGTATATATATTACTATATTATACAAAAAAAAAAAAAAAGCGAGAGAGAACAAAAACCAAAAGAGAGTGGCGCGTGGAAGGAGTTGCATTTGAAAGGGAAGTGGGGAAGTGCCGAGGTGGAAACGAGAGCACAATTGCGGTGTTGGGATGTGGTTTTTATGTTGTGCTAATAATTTTATGTGTAGAGAAGCTAGAAAGAAAGAAGTTTATTAGAAGAGAGGCATGGACACGTGTGGGGGCCAGATGTCAACATCCACTGACGGTAGCAAAGAATATCTCCAAAGTTGTTAGGCTCCGCCTCTCCTCGAAACGTGGCGTTTCACTGACGTGGATCCGAACCAGATTCATCCCCTCCCGCCTCCCTTCCCACCTCCCTCTCTCCTCCGCTACTCCTCCACTACTTAAAATTTACTACACTGTTTACTGCCCCCTGTATTAATTTTTGCCGCCCATCCAACCAGCCTTTTCTTTTCTTTTCCCTTTTCTTTTTTTCCTTTTTACGATCAATTTATCACGGGATTACCCTAATATTTGAAGAGGTGATGGATATTGAGTCTTGAGATTGGTGAAATTTACATTTTACACCTTTGATTGGGCAACATATAGTTGTTCCAAGTTTAATTGCATTTAAAAAGAAAAAGTAATACGTAATAGTTTAATACAGTAGCAGTTAAAATACTTTTAATTGCCATATTTCACATAGAAATTATTAGTAATTTTTCGACTAACGGTATTCCAAACACAAATATACTATCATCATCTATACAAAGTCGTGAACTCAAAACAAATGTGTCATTCTTTTTGAATGCTTAGTGTACGTTATTGGATCAATAGTTTCATCGGATGCTTCTTTTGTGTATAACAATGTTTTTTTTAAAAAAAAAAAAGAAACAAAATGATTTATAGCGGGAGCATCCCGATTTTATTGATTAAAAAAAAGATATAGAAGACAGTGTTTAAAACTTATTCAAAAAAAAATTACTAAGAAATTTTAAGAAACTATCTTACAAAAATTCTCTAAAATCTCATCACAATTTTTTTTTTATTTAAAAACTATTCTAAGAACATGTGTTACAACATTATTATAGAAGCCCATAGGGTCCCACCTTAAAACCAATTGGCAATAAGGGGAGTAGCCTATAGACTTATATATTGATATCAACTCTCTCACACCACCGATGTGGGATACTCAACACTCCCTCGCAAGCCCAACGTCTCTTATTGGGTTGGGCTTGTCAGTCCAGTCACCGCCTCACGTCTCAGCCCTACTAGTTCTATCACATCAGGCTTTGGAATCCGACTTTTGGCGGGCTGGCTCTGATACCATACAGGAGCCCGTGGAATTCCACCTCAAAACCAATTGGCAATGAGGGGAGTAGTCCATAGACTTATATATTGATATCAACTCTCTCTCACCAATTGGTTTTGAGGTGGAACCCTATGGGCTTCTGTATGGTATCAGAGCCAGCCCGCCGACATTCGGATTCCAAAAAGCCCAACAAAAAAATAGGACTGAGACGCGATGCGGTGTCTGAGGTAAAAAAAATAGGACAAGCCCAACCCAAGAAATACGTTGAGCTTACAGGGGAGTATTAAAGAGTCCCAATCCCACATCGGTGTTGGGAGACTCTGAATATCAATATATAAGTTTTATGGGCTACTTCACTCGTAACTAATTGGTTTTGAGGTGAAACCCCATAGGCTTCTGTACTTATGACTACTATATCTACCTTTTTTGAAAAAATAAAACAAAAAATAAAATGGAATCAGCTTATTTGTAGATATGAAAATGACTGTTGATCTAAGTCCATCAATTCCCTTACCTGTTTCGGCATTTGCCTCTGATCTTCAAAGTTATTCCTGATGATTCCAATTTAGCTAAAGAATTCGCAACAGAGTTAACTTTTCTATACACATGAGAAACTATATTGTTTTTTCTTTCGAAGAAATTTTTCAATCTCACAAAGTGAATTCCGATTCTTCCAAGAATAAAGTCTTGTTGTCATCTTGCGTATAACAATGTTTATAAAGCTATAGTACCAAAAGTAATGATACGAAAACAAATCACCCGTGACTAGTTATAAGGACTGAGGGTCTTGATGAAATTTTGAAATTCATTTTGTTTTTGCCATTTACTACCCTTTTATTATTATAAGAATAATGATACATAAATGAAAACTTTAATAACCAAAATAACAATGAATGATTTGATTTAACCTTAATTATTCTATATTTTAAATGCATAATACTATAAAGGTAATGTGTAAATATGAGTGGTTTCAATTAATTTTTTATTAAAGTTTCCTATAAAATTTTTCTCCGAAGATCATTATCAATATTGTAATTGGGAAAATATTATTATACTCTCCCGATCTCAGAAAAATAATTCATCTTAAGTTTTGAAATCCCTTTTACCCTATTAAAGCAGAAGACATGAAACTTATGTGGCAATTAAGTATGCATCTGTTTTGGCTCCAATGCACCATATTTCAGATTTCAGGAGTTTTTTTGCCACGTGTAAGTCTCTTTTAATTAGAAGTTATATAATTTTTTTTTTAAAAAAAAACACATGTTTTACTACAAATAAGGATCAGTTACATTTCAAACAAATGGATATATTAAATCAAATTCAAATGTCCAATCGTATATTTTTGCAGGCTTAATATAAACAAAAAATAAAAATACCTAAAGCCAGCAATTAAGAATAATGTCTTACAAACTAATTATTTATTATTCCCTTATAACCTCAGAGTTATAGGTATATTTTTTTAAGCCCCAAATCATAGCATAAATGATATATACGCCAAATTAATTCCTCAAAAAATAGTAATTCAATTAGATTTTAATAAAATAGTAATTTAGAAGGGGCGCCCGGGCATCTGCCTGGGCCAAACATCTAGTTTATATTATTTTTAGTACCAATTTCAAAGTTTAACGTGATTTTTTTAAAGGACAATAAAGTAATATAATATCATTTTGGTCAATCATATGAATTCTTTTTTTATTTTACGATACTAAGATGAATGATCAACAAAAGATTGGCGGAAAACATAGGATTCAGGAATTCTTTTTTATTAGGTTGCTCAGCTAATTGTTGTTGAAACTGTCAAGTTATTGTGCTTGGACTCCGGGGACGAGGGTTTTATAAACACTTTTATGGTCTTTTTGTAGCTGTGCAAATTGACCAATAAATGTTATTTGTTTTAACAAGACACTCAACTACTATGAAATATCTACCACCTACCTTTTTCTCAATTTTATTTTTTTTTCCCCCAAAAAAGTCTAAAATACACAGCAGCGATACTTTAACGTTAAAATTGATAACCCTCCATTTTATAAGGTTATACTATCATTTTTTTATATATATATTATACACCCAATTTCGAAGTCATTGCTTTGTTCGGAAGGCAAAGTTCTCCTAACAAGTATTTTAATCATTGTTACATGCTTATATCAAAGTTCGAACCTGGATGATAGTTAAACTGGCCCAATACCTTTACACTTGGACCAAATGCTTGTTGGTCATAGTCAAACTATCATTTTCAACCACGTTATATGTTCTCACTTCTCAATGAGGAAAACTTGATTCGAGCATTGCCAACCTCAACTGAACAAGGAACGGCTGTAAGTATTATAAACACGATACCAAAAATGAACTATTGATCGATCGGTCTTAGAAGTCAGAACTTGATGGAAATAGAGGTCTCCACTCTCTAGTTCAATGTAAAGTTTGACGAGAGCATAAATTACCTAGTTCACTTTAATTAAACGCTTAATATAATGTATATTCTCATGCAAGCAGTAGATTCAGTGGCGTATTTTTATTTTTTTTATCTTTCTTTTTCCATTTTGATACTTTTACGGTAAATAAAAACACCTAAAAATTTGTAAACTGTGTCATTTAAAAACGAATGGGAGTAAAGATCTCGGCACCAATATAAAAATAAAAGACTTTATATTCAATGAAAATTATTATAAAACACTCACATAGTATTGTGAATGTAGTTTACGATGTGTAAATATGAAGTAGGAGTACACTCCTGATGACTTTAATCAAAAGACATAAATTGACGAAATCAAAAAAAGAAAAAAGGAAAAAAAAAAAAGAATAAGAAAAGTGTAAAAATAGAAAGTGGTGTTTATTGTAGCGACCCTGGCCGTTGCTAAATGGAAAGGGGAAACTGGGGCGGGCCGCGGGAGTGGGGGCAGGCCGTGTTAAAGAAAGCATCATAAATTCGCGTACAAACGTGGAACTAGGTTGGGGGATTGTACGACGATTTGATGGAACCCACGAATCTTTCCTTTTGGGAAAAACCGGATAATTAAGATAGGGTAACCATTCCACGGTCGCCACGTCCCTTGCGCTCGGCTGGCAAGCAGTAGCCTTCCCTAACTTTGAATTGACACGACACCAGTCTCCATCCCTCATGATAATTAATTATGAAGGTAGGGGATTTTACATCCACCCAAATTAGTAATTGAAACCATCAATTTTGAAAAATTTTCATTTTGTCCTTATTATTTTGTCCAAATCAAAATGAAGTAGAGAGAGAGGGAGAGGAGAAGAGAGAGAATAAACCACTTGGACCGAACTGGGTAAGTCATTCGGTCCGATTCATATGAGAACGGATAAATTATTACTTTTTATTTTAATATTAGTTTATTCGTAGTATCATTACATGTTGAATATCTCGTACTTTAAATATTATTAACAATATTTATACTTTAGTGCTTAAACTCTCGATTTTATATTTACTAGAAAATAAACAAGTAATTAATTTTTACTTGAAAACAAATTTAAGATTATTTATTAAGTTAATTTATTTGAATTGATATTAAAATGTAAATTTTGCTTTAATCATTATTTTAAAGATAATTTTTAGTTAAAATAACAATTATACATTTATAATGAAAAATAATAATTGTACTACAAAGATTGTGACAAATATGTACAAATAGATTAACTATTTTTTGTACTACAAAGATTGGTGATACTTAATGTAATTCAAAAAATAAATTATTCATAAATTTAATGACCTAAAAATTAGATTAACTAATTACAACAAAAAATCTAAAAATTAAAAAAATAGCAATGAATCCGATTGATCATTGCTTTTTTTAAATTTTTAGACTTTTTTAATAAAAAATATTGCTACTTTTAAATTACAAAAAAAAAACAAAAAAAAACAAAAAAATTTAAAAATTAAAAAAAGACCTGACCGGTCCGGTTCATCATATCGAACTGAACCGAGACCGACCAAACAATGAAATCGCCCTGAATTAACCCGGAACGGAGAAAGAACTCGACCACTTCTCGTGTCCAAATCTAGTAGTAGTATATTTTTCACTTTCTTGTATCGTACTGTATCGAAAAAAAAATACTACTTAGTATTTATTAGTTTGAAAGATTTACGTTTTTGTTTTAGTTTCCGACATTTGATTATTGCCGTGTTAGGTAATCATTCGTTCTGCATTTGGGTGGATGGAGTGTAACATGATAGTTTGTTCATTAATCAACGTCTTATCCTGTTACATTACAAATTTTTGCATGTTAAGGCATCATTTTGATGTCCATCAAGAAAGCGCGCAATTTGTTGTGATCAATTTGCTCACAGTCAAATATTCATCATGTTGCCCCCAGCAACTCTGATTTCAGTGGTTTCATTATGAAGAATCCTCCTACAATTGTTGTGATCACAGTAAGGTAACAATGACCTTACTGATGATGTCCTGAGCATCTCTCTTCATCTTCTTAACCCAAATGGCAATAGGGAAGTATCATTAAGCTGTTCTTCGAACTTCCTGTCCAATGTGGTAAACCTGAAGAAATTGATATGCCCATTCTTTCATTCCCATTAGGGCTTCTCATGATTAGCGGATCGTAATGATTACCTAAATCACTCTCTACCTTCACTACATTTAATCCGTATCACCACCTAATAACCCTCCTGTGAGATGTGATCTAATTTCAGGAAAATCATCAAACCACAGCTGATTCCAAACATTTCCGCAACGCCAAGAGACACGGCCAGAGAAGACAATCTAGAGTCTATTGGGCTTTGGGAGTTGGAGAGAAACCGATAGGCTTGACTTAATTCTAAGGTTTTGAGTGCTTCTGAAATAAGCAGCCTCAGGATTCAGCTACAGAAATGATGAACATATAATTTTTGCAACAAGAAACCGAAATTGATATTCTTCTCGAACACTTAACTTCGTGCTTATTGCATTTTAATAGAACACAAAAATTTGAGTAAGTAGTACTAACTTACTTGAAGACTGAGAGATGTAACCCTTTTCAAAAAAAAAAAAAAACCAGTATTCAACTATTCAAGATTTACGGAATCAAAGTGGCTTTCAATACACTACACCAGCATTACCCAATCATAAGGAGTGAACACAAGTTGAATAAGAGAATACCAGAGATAGTTCTTCAAGAAAAGGAAGATTCTGGCAAAGTAAATCCATTAACCGTCATTCCTCCATCTACAGCAACAATCTGCCCAGTTATGTATGATGCCGCAGGAAGACAAAGGTAAGCTACTAAGGATGAGACTTCCTTTGGTTCTCCAACGCGTCCAAGAGGAGTTTTAGATTTTATGCAGTCCATAAACTCCTTATTGCTGAGCAACTGCAACAACAGAATATTCAATGATGCTTTTAGTAATCTTTTACAACCCCCGTATAGCTTAACATTGATGACAATAATAAACTGAAATATTTAATAGTTAGACTCTCACTAATGCCACAAATCGGCAACATTTGTCCAACTAAAACAAAAATTAGGAGAAAGGATTCACACTTTTAAGCGGCAATAATATGTAGCAGACTTATAGCCGCAATCAGCATTGTAAGTCAAAGGTCAGTGCACAATCTACTCAATGAATAGATATAGGAGCACCAAATCATTATCATTTCATTTGCAAATGGGACAAAAAGGTTTATAAACATTACATGTTCCACAAGTGACGTCCTGATATACCACGGTGCAACACAATTAACTCGAATATTGTCTTTTGCCCACTCACAAGCCAAATTTTTTGTAAGTTGATTCATTGCACCTGTACGTAAAAAATCCAGATAAGAAGCTGAAGCTTTTCTGAACAAATTTGAAGGAAGACTTTGCATAATGCCAATCAATTACCTTTAGTTGCACCATAAATGGATCCAGAAAATATGTGCACCAAACCAGCAACAGAAGAGATGAACACAACGTTACCAACTCCAGATGCTTTCAGGAGTGGATAAGCAAGCTGACAAAGATGGTATGCTGATTCCAAGTTCGTAGCCATGAGCTTGGAGTACTCGTCAGCCGTGTAGTTAGCTGTTGGTTTCCTAATGTTTGTCCCGACATTATTTATCTGTGACCAGGAAAAAAGTAGAAGGCAATTTAATCAATTTCAAGAGAAGTCTGGAGAGAGGATGAATCACTCTTATTAATGCAGAACGGTACACAAGGTCCTTGGAAGCAGACACATGCACACAGAAACAAGGGTGCTACGAGTTAGAATCTTTTTGTAATTAACATTCATCCAACCAAGAAAAGATGAAACCAAAATTTTGGATACTGTTATACAATATAATTAATCTTTTCGCTATGTTAGACTGTCTGGATCAAATAATTAGCATTGCATAATCCATTGTCTATATCTACTATTTAAAGAAAAATTCTATCGCCTCTCTGAGAAAGAAACCAAACAAGGTGTTTAAGTAGATTAAACTTGTTCACGTGGGGCCTGATGCCCTGGATCAATACAATTAAATTTCTCTATAACACACAGAAAATTATATCACCCACTCAAGCATCCTAGGTTGGATTAGCAAACGTGTTTAGTTGTTCATAGTAGCCATATAATTGAGATGCACATAACACTAACTCAAAGACAGACAAGATTAAGCAACCGTTTAGAAGGTTCAACTATGAATTAGTTAACAAACTTACGAATCAGCACAGCTATAAGGATTCTCCTTCTGGAACCTTTAGAAGAACAGAAATACAATCTAAGTATAGCTAATCAGAGGACACAATCACATAATTTAATTTCATTCTCATCCCATTAGACCACCTAAGCTAGTCAATAAAAAATCATGGCCAGCAAGCTGAGTAACTCTCATGAATTGCTAAAGGGAAACTACAAACAAAATCAACATTAAAACCAATGCCACAACATAATAGCATATAACAAAATGATTGAATAAAAATTGAATTATTCACGACTTACAAGAATGTTAAGTTTGCCATCGAAAACAGAGGAGACTTTCTCCATGAGCTGCTCCCTTTGTTCCCTGGAAGATGCATCACAAACCGAACCGGTAACTTTGTAACCCTTTGATGCCCATTCCTGCAAGCGCTCGTTCAACTCTGTTTCATTCCTCGAACACGTATGTACTGTAGCGCCAAATTCAGCCAATTCCTCCACCACAGCATGCCTAATAGTTGAACCCAATCATCATGCATCAACAGTACATCAGGATACGATTAAAAACAACAATTTCCCAACAAAAAACGGAAAACATAGTAAACCCAGAAAATATTATTCGAAAAGACGACCAAAGATTGAACCAAAAGCTTACCCAATCCCGCGAGTGCCCCCAGTAACAAGAGCAGTCAAGCCTGAAAGCGACCATCTTAAACTGCTCCCCCCAACCTTAGCCATTTCTTTTGCCTCTTACGGATTGAGAAGCTTTCGACAGGCAATCGAACAGTAAGGACGGAGTGACCGGCAACTATGCTGCGGATTTGGAAGTGATTATCAACAAAAATAATTGGATATCCTAAAAAAAGATATTTTTACATTTCACATTCATCAGTCGTCACCATCACTATCCACCGTTAGTCATGCATCAGAAAAAAAAAAGTCGTATTTGTCGTCTATTATGATTTTTGGATTGGGCCTGGTGTACTGTTAAACGTAAGTTGTCGTGGAGATGTTTAAATTGGGCTTGATTCACAAAAAAAACAGTTATCCCATTAGATCAAGATTTTTATAAAATAAACCATTTCAGCATTTCTACCTCTGTATATGGGTCCAGATATTACTTTCCAAATCCATATGAGGTCCTTAATCCTCACAATTCATCAGCTAAAGAGATAAATGGCTGATTCAGCCAAAAAAAAAAAAAAACTATCTTACCTAGGACGAGACAATGGTATATAGTAAAATTGATCAATTTTATCACCGACCTCTGTAAACGTAGTTCGTACTTTTACAGGATTAAGAATGTACGTTGGAGCAGGGTAATTAAGCCAAATGTATTTGCATAATGTTCGCTCTGAAAATACGTCATCAGAATGGATTGATGATAATATGGAAATCTTTGTATGTACTCGTTCCAGATTTATTTAGAAGGCATAAGATAAAACAAATTTTAATTTAATTTTATATCTTGTAAACAAGACGGGAAAAAAATAAATGGATATCATCAAATATACTAGAGTGTGTTTTTGGTGTTTGGGTACAAATAGTCAAATTTCATAACCTCATCATGTTCATATATACATGCAATTTCGCAAGAGGGAGTCAAATCACGGAGGTTTGAGTGTTAGACAAAGTCAGTTGACGTCACGTTTGAAAAATCTCTAACTACGTAGACTTTGATCAATGTCTAAATGTGAAAATTGAACATGCATCAACTTGGCGGATCAAATATAGATTGCATATTAACCTCATCATATTCACAGATTAAAAAATGCAGCATCACATCACATGAATTCACACTTGAAACCATCTATCTTTTGAACCAAGAAAAACCCTAATTCAATCGCCTCAAAATTTACGACGTTCTTGATAAGTTAGTTTCGAAACTGGTATGTTATGTGTAGTGCTTTCAACATTTTATATTTTATTATTACCCAAAGGAAATATTGTAGAAATTCTGCAAAGCTACTACAAATAGAGACAGAGGTCCAAATTTAATTATTTTTTATAGAGTTTTTTAATACTCTCTTTCCTGTCTTTCTCCTCCGTGCATGTGCAAAAGTCTGACTTCGTCACAGCATCCTTAAAACCTCCAAACAGATTTAAGTAAGAATTCCTCAGATTATATAACCATCCTTGTACAGGAGCCATTATTAAGTTCTTGACTTTGAACTCTTTGCTATATCTGATATGATATATATGAAGCTCAAATTTGTAAGTCTGTGCACTCATTAAATCCACCTGATATCATCATTAAATTTGTGATCACTTGATTACACAGATGGTGACTGCAGCCATAAATCCACACTATAAATCAGTATCCCAAATTCAGCAATTGTTACATTTCTATTACCTTTTTTAGAAATAATAATTTTTTTTTTTTTTTTTTAAAAAAAGGGCCTGGGGTGCTGGCTGTACATGAACTAACTATAATAGCTCCTTGTACATGTACACCAAATTCTCAGAAGTTCTATCTGTTCTTCCCTTTTCAATCCTGGGTACAAAAGCACAACCCCCACGTCTAGAATCCCTGCTATTAATATATAACCGTATCATCATCAATTCCCTCCATTTTTAGGAATTTCTCGATATTCGAAAACAACCCTTCAAGACTAAAGTTATGTTCCATCAATTACCTTTGGCAGAGAATGAAATCAATTAGTTAAGAAAGCAGCAGGTAAACAAGAACAAGGATTTTGTATATTGTATAATGTGGGAAAACAAAGTGACTGCCGCGAGAGCAGTAGTCGCCGGGTATTCTGCAAGAACCTTCGGTACCAACTCTGGCTAGCTAGCTATACATAATACATGATTAATTTTTTAGCTACAAAATTTAGGGTTATTAATAGGGTTTTTCTTATACGAGATTAAAACACCTAACCTCTCTGCACATGTTCCTTAGGAATTTGCCCATACAATGTAATAACAAACGTAAAAACAAAGCAGGCATTTTAAGTGCTTGCCAATCATATATATGATCATTGTTTTTTTGTTTTTTGTTTTTTGTTTTTTTTTTTTTTGATATAATGATATACTTCAACACGAAATCAATTATTAATCAAGATTAGCATATTGTATATGTTTAATACTTTATTCCAAAGAAAGATTCTCTACAACAAGCAATCTTTTTGGACGTTTACATGGGGACAAGTAGGATAATGTTGGACATATCTTCAAGAAGAACTGGTAAACAAAATCTCACCTATGTGATAAATTGACTGTACGTAATTAACTGTTAGTCTGTTAAGTTTAACATTAATTTAATCTTTCAACTTGACTGTCAAAATTGTCACGTAGAATGATGTACGTGTTGATAGATATGAGACGATTGAATAATCCCCTTTATTTTTACTTTTTAGTACTACTTACTGGTCACGATTTGCTAAGCTTCACTTCAGCATGACATGATTGCCCATGCCGCCTCTTCGATTTTTATCATCACTAAATTCAGTTACAAATTCGAATATACTAAGGAGTACAAGATTAACAATCATGTAGTAAGTCGTTTCCTCGCAGCTGTCTGGTCAAAAACATGTTTCACATAAATATCATAGAAAGCTTAAGTTATCGATTATAGCATGAACATGTAGTCTCCCTCCGTCCCGAAATTATTGTCCAGTTTAGTTCATTTTCAAATCGTACTAAAAGCGAAGATCTAAACTGGATCTTAATCATTTTGGGACAGATGAAATAGTATGTTCTAGAAAGCACAACCATATAGCCAACTTCGCTAGAACTAGCCATTAAAAGAAGATTAATCAAACTACAGATCAAGAACTAGTAGCTAGAGGGATTACTTAATATTTTTTTCCCCACAAAACATGATATGTTAATGAACTAATCAAAGCACCAACAATCTATTTCACTGTTGGGGCACTTCCAAGCCTCAATTCAAGATCTATGTCATCCATAGAGGTTGAATACTGGAATGGGAATCTCTCACTTGAACATGCTTTGTGGTAGAATGAAAATGATGCACTACTTCTCTTCAGCCGCTTGGAGTTTATTGTCATCTCATCATGTCTCTGGGGACATTTTAGACCCACAGATAAGTCTGTTTCAACAGCATCATCATCATGAATCCTAGTTCTAAAATTGGATTGATGGCCAGGAGAAGAAGAAGAAGAAGTATGGGGAAACCTTGAGATATTATTAAAGGCTTCAAACTCACTGGTATTTTCCCTAGAACCATTAGTAGATGATGACGATGATGAAAGAGGCAAAGAAACCCTTAAATGATCATCAGAGCCTTGATGATGAGGTGATGTTGATGAATCTTGATCAGTTGTAGCATTTTCATTACAAAGGGATTGCTTGAGCCTAGCTCTATCCCTGCGATGGACATTCATATGACCACCTAGGGCTTGAGCAGACCTGAATTCCCTTTTACAAAAAGTGCAAGAGTAAGATCTTGGTGGCCATACAAAACCTCCAAGTGGGCCAGCTGCATCCTCCGCAAATGCTTGTTCTTCCCAAGATGATGCCTGAAACTGTGAATTCATCATCACCAACTGTTTGTTCTTCATCCACATCAAGTACTGCATATTTTGCATCATTTTTCTTAAAATATGATTTTCTGCTTTTTTTTGTGGAATGAATATGTAATGGTGGTTAGAGTGGAAGATGTGGGGAGTACTTTCGTTTTGGTGAAAGGGAATTGTAGTAGTGGTGATCAATTATATAGGAAAAGAAAAGGGAGAATTGATGAATGAATTTCTAGGGTCCAACTCCAAATTGAATACATGAAAGCTACTTGCTATAGGAGAATCTATGAGGGAGAGGCTGAAAATTGAGTCTTGTTTCTTTTTTTTTTTTTTTTCCCCAAGTGTATTTGGAACTTATGGTGTGACCTGTGAGATGGCTCTCTTTGGAATTTTGGATCTTCCACTGCAGTTACTATTTGGCTTTTTTTACTTGATTTTTCTTCCCAATGATCAATTCTTGGTTTTTTTTTTTTTCCCTTTTCTTGACGAAAGGAAAAAATTTTGTTGGTGTGTATCTATCTCGGGTACTAATATTTAATACGAGTACTTATTTTAGCAAAAGGTTTGAGAGTCCGACAAGGGTCAACTTGTGCACCTATCGTTTATTGCAAGTTCTTGTGTAACATGCTAAAATCTTATATCTATGAAAAATTCATTTATTCCTTAACCAACAAAATGCGAAGTAATGATTTATGGTTGAACTCCAGAACTACATATATAGGTTTCAAAATCTTAAAATATGACACCTAAACTTTTTAGAGATATAAATTCTTGTTTAGTACAACATAAAAGTTCAACGCCTTGAAGAAATGTATCAAAGCTTAAATGCAAAATACGGACTATGTTGTTTTCAACTAGACATTTTGATAGGGCAAATCAAAATGATTTATATTAAGAACATGAGAATATTTATATATATATATATATATATGCATTAATCAGCAAAGGTTAACTAACACATACATATTTTCTTCCCCTCGTGTGGAATAAATCCAATTACGAATGCCATCTAACAATAATGGACAAAGACAAAAGGTAGCTGCAATACTTGTGGAGAGTAGCAAGAATTGATTTCTTAGACGACTAAGGCACCAACTAATGATGTGTTTGACTGAATTACATCAACAGAAAAGGTTTTTTTTTTTTATTATGATTTTTGTCTAACTAAGTTCATGTACATTAACAAAACAAAGGAGTTACATTATTGATTCACATACTGTATACTACGATAGCTATAGCTTAATTAATATTCATTTGGTCACTTCAAAATAGTTATATAATTTGTCTTCGTTCGTGGCGAACGTCTGCAGAATCTTTCCCGTTTTTCCTTTAACTTCACGTCAATTTTGAAGTCAAAAAACAATTAACAATGTCATGAACGTTGGGGATTTTATATAAGCAAAAAAATGTTGTGGGGGGAAAAAAAAAGACTCAATACAACAACTCGCATTTTGAAACCATAAATAAACATTCTATATTGCATAATTTTGTCATCATAATTACGTTGGTTAGAATGATTAGGTTGAAAACGGGATAATAGTAGGTAGTAGAACTATCTATATTAAACCTCGAGACCATGATGCCCGTATTTGGCTTTGATTTTTCAACGCCATTATCGTAGGGCTCTATATAAATATACATGTTGCTTATACTTCAATAATCAAATAAATACTCTAGACTCTAGTTAAAGTCTTGAATTAAACCACTTGCAAGAAACGACTCTTGTAAATTCAAGCTTGAAGCAACCTTCCATTCTAAAAATATTTTTTAAAAAAAATTGTGTCGGAAGGAGACATGCATCAATTCAATTCAATCATTGACTACGGAGAGACTAGCCCCATAATTGACATTATTTTATTGGCACAAATAGGTTAATTTACTCTCTGAAATTGTCTGATAATTGTAGCTTTTATCTAAATTGTCTTCATTATCGACTTTTAGTGAACGACCACTGGAAATGTTTTTTTTTTTTTTTCTTTCTTTCGTAAGACAAGCAGAAAAAGACTGAGGAAACACTTTTGAACGGAGTTGAGAATCACAACTAAGTAAATGGAAGCCTAGCAAGCTATCTCCATCCATATTATTTACTCCACTAAGTAAATGGAGTACTATATTATTATTTGTTTCCACTGCGATTGCCGGCTAACGTAGAAAATAAGTTTGATAATACAAGCAAATTCTTAAACAAGAAGGAATATAAAATCGGACGCCCGGCCTCTATCTCAAAATGAATGCCACGTTTTGATTTTGTTAATTTGTAACTAAAAAATTAAAATTTAAATTGATCATTTCAGAACAGAAAAAATATAAAATAACTTTATATATTTTTTTCGAAAATAATTTTAGTCTCTACGCTATTATGATAGTCGGTATACTATTAAATTTATAGGGGCGGACTTGAAAATTTTTGATTGAGCTTAGTATTCTCAACAATGATTCACGGATATAAATCGCATATAATGTATACGCTTTGTTTCAACTACGGTTGAGTCTTGAGTGGTTGCGGGGTGGATAAGTTCTAGACTGGTGTTTCTCTAGTGAATTGTTTTCTCTCTTTTTTTTTTTCTTTTTTTTTGGAATGGTGAGTTAATTAGCTTGTCTTGGAGTAAAATGTACTACATATATGAGAGTTACTATTAAGTCCATGAGTGGTGTGGCTATGCCTATTTCTTTGTTACAATTTTTTTTTTTAAAAAAAATGTCCAAAATGTTGTACAGATTGTACAAGGATCGTTCATTCAATTCAATACTCCATAACAGAGTTCTTTTGTTTTAAATTGTGCTTTATAAGAAGAGAAGAGATATTCAGCAAAATTATTAAGCTGGTTGCCACTAAATACAAATTAATGGACTAATAATTTTGGTGAATGAATGGCCAGCCTGCCTTTACACTTAACAGAGAGAGTAGGACAACAGATAAGTTCTACGACACGGACCCGCAGACCACAATTTTAACTTACATGCAGCTATCTTTTTCTTTTTCTTCACCATTTCTTTATGGGACAGACGGGTAAATTTAATTTTCTTTTTTTTAAAAAAAATAATGATCATGAAAGGCAGATCAAACCAATTCTTTTTTCTTTTTTTTTACGTTTGTTTTCCTACGTATGATAGTTTAAATTTGTCATCTCCCAAGCCGTTTTCTAATCACATCGTCAAAGATAACTCGGATTACGGAAATACTAGTAGTAATTTAACTAAAAGCACCTCAGATTAATGACATCTAATTACTCAGAGATTCTTACTCATTTCACTATACATGACTTTGAAATTTGTAATATATCGTTCATATTCTTTATAATTATTTATAATTTCATTGATCTATTCAATCGATTGTCAACTTGAAAAAATCATTAGTTGTAGTTTGTTTCTAACTTTAACATAATCAAATGTAATTGGATTTCTTACACTCTAACATTAATTGTAACTTGATTCAGTAAGGTGACAGCTTCGTTTTCAACAAATAATTTGCCATACTAATAAAGGCTCCTCATTTCCAGAACAATTTCACATACTAGTTGAATTTTCTTTTTCTTCTTCTTTTTGTTTTTTTTGAAGGAAAAAAAAAAAGAAGAAGAAAGAGAATAAGAAAGCAAAATGTTTAAGTACACTTCAACATTTGAGAGGTGTGGTTGAAAACTGGGCCGGTGAATTTTCTTCAGCGGCCATTTGCGTTATGTAAGAAAGTCAACTATTGGGCTGATGACTCATGCTTCCTCACGGGAGACTCGTAGAAGCCCAATAATGTTTAGTTGGAAGATTGGACCCCAAGGAAATGTTTCACCTGAACTGCAGGCCTATCTGATGGGGTTATACTTGTGTTAAATGAGTGAGTTGCACTATTTTTATGGAAGGCCATGAAATGTTAAGCTGACCTTTTGTCAGCTAAGATACGTCGCAACTCGCAAGTCGCAGCTCCTTATCTAAGGACTGTATGACTGTAATTAAGACTTGAACCTTCTTCATCTTATACATGAGAAATTATACGTCCACTGAAAATAAATATAGTAAAGCAAGATGGTAATAATTAATAAAAGAAAAACTAAATCATCAATTTAAATCTTAACAACTACCGACTAACAAAGAGTAATTTTGTAAATACATGTATCACATTATTCAGTATTTCATTTCACTATATATATCATTTTCCTAATGAAAAAAAAAAAGAAAGAAAGAAGTTGGTTCCCTATACCTTAGGAATTTTGATAATCAAATGTATATATTGCTTTCAAAAATGAAAAGTATCCTCTTTTTCCATAAATGGGTGAGAATTTGCGATACAAACTCCTTTTGAGAGGGTTTTTTTTTTCCCGGTCCATTGTTTTTACGACTACAACGTAGGAACCACGACACCAGTCGCTCTACTACTGCTACTAAAATCATTCTACACAATTCATTCAACATGGAATAAGTAGTAAATTCACTTTCATGCGGGTAGTCCAATCCATTTACGGTAATTGGTTTGGATCATAATTTTCACGTCCCATTATTGGTGTTTATGAAGAAATTGCCCATCCTTTTCATTAGACTAAAAAGTAAAATGCGCCCCCTGACTTAGAAAGATATCTAAACCAGAAATAATATCGCTCCATGAATCCAGCAATTTTTTTTATTTTTTTTTATTTTTATGATTTAAAAAACTCAAGTCTATTAATATCCCTCTTCCTTTTGTTTTTTTTTTTTTTCATTCTAGCAAAATAGATGGAAACTATTACAAAGAATATTCACTTTAAATTGTGTATGTCAATTCGCTATTTCCTATAAAGATACAAAAGGTGCATATACGGGTGAAAGGAGACTTTTTTCCTTTAAATTTTATTGGACGGAGAGACTTGAAAAGGTAAGAAAGACTTGGAAAATGGTAGTGCGAGCACCATATAACACGCATTTCCTTTTTAGTTTTGTTGCCTATTAAGTCCTCAAGTGCTTGAGTTCCTTTCGATATTTGCAACATTTTCCATAGTTACTTTAAAAAACTGTTAAAATTCCACCAGGGGAAAAAAACAATAGAAGTAAATATTGGGTCAAGGCACAGTTAACTGAATCCCACTCAGCAAGCAACACGTATATAAATCCCCCCAAAAAAAAAAAAGCAGCAAAGAAACATACGCACACCTGTCATATTTTTTATTTCTTTTCTCCGCCGTCGATTTCCATTTTACCACACCGCCGTACAATCTCCATCCCAAACAAACTCCTGTCTTCCTTTCTTATTAATCTTTTTCTTTTATTTTCTTTTCCTTCAGTTTGGTTGGATTTCTTACTGCCACAACTTCTATTCTCTCCTTAAACCTCCTGTGTTCTTCACTTGAACTACTCAAAAGTGCGTTATATATATATACTCTGGAGTCGTCGCACTTTGAGTTTACTTTTCTGATTATCTTTTTAAATATTTTTGGATTTCGGTTGTTGGTTTTAAAATTCAAAAAAAGGCGTGTTTTGCGTTTAATTTGATGGGGTGATGATCGAAGATCAATGTCATCGACCCGGGAGAAGATGGGTCAAGTATCCTTAAAGCCATGCAAATTCTTCCTCTTCTCATCATCCTCTCAGAGTAGTGACTTGTTAACGACCGCCGTGAAAGTAGGATTTCTAGTTTTCTTCTTGGTTTCCCTTGCATTGGTGGTTTACTCCTTCTTCACCAGCCAGTCTTGCTGGTTTCTCGAATGCCAGGATCTATTGATTCCGGCAATCTCCACCACTTCTCCGGCAATCTGCGCCGCCCCGGATGACCCCGATTTCGAACCGACCACCATTTCCCACATCGTTTTCGGCATTGGCGGCTCCGCCCTCACGTGGGGCGACCGGAACCGCTATTCCCGCCTCTGGTGGCAGCCCAACGTCACCCGGGGCTTCGTTTGGCTCGACAAAGAACCCGGCCTGAAATCTCTCTGGTCGTCGTCCTCCGACGACGACGGCTCCAGCACTCCGCCGTACCGGATTTCCTCGGATTGGACCCGGTTCAAACACTCGAGTTCCCCGTCGGCGGTCCGGCTCGCGAGGATCGTGGTGGATTCTTTCCGGGCCGGATTACCTGGGGTGAGATGGTTCGTCATGGGAGACGACGACACGGTGTTCTTCACGGAGAACTTGGTGACGGTGCTGGGGAAGTACAATCACCGGCGGATGTGTTACGTCGGCGGGAACTCGGAGAGCGTGGAACAAGACGACCGGCATTCGTTTGACATGGCTTTCGGGGGGGGTGGATTCGCGATTAGTTACCCGTTGGCGGCGAAATTGGTGAGAGTGATGGACGGTTGTCTCAATCGGTACTATAAATTCTACGGCTCCGATGAAAGGGTGTGGGCCTGCGTTAAAGAACTCGGTGTCTCCTTAACCATGGAACGTGGGTTCCACCAGGTACCATTTTTATTTTACTATTTTCTTTTTCTGTTTTCAAGTATCAAACTCTCATCATTCCTAATTAATGAACCAAATCTAATTATATTCTCCTCTATCACTTTTCCCTCTTGTGTAATAATCTTCTTCTTTATGTTGAAACTTAATAAAAAAGCTGAAAGTCTTAAAGTAGTGTTGTTCAATGTCATCTTCTATGAACTCTCTTCTTCTGTCTGAGGAAATTGGGAATTTTTTCAGTTGGGTTTCTGTCAAAATCCTGAAGTTTCAGCATCTTAATTGATTATTCTTTTTTTTTCATAAAATTATTACTTACTACTACTTGTGTTCGTGTCTTACAAAAAAAGAATTACGGAAACAGTTATTATGCCGTAAGCCAGCCGAAAAAAGCTTAGGGTGGGCACTTCGACCGTCAGATTGCCAAACCTGCTTAAATTGGCTGTATTTTTGGCCACCGCCCAAAATTGGTAGGGACTGGTGGTTCGTAGACCTGCATTTATGACTTAATACGTTGTAGTCGTATTTTTCTTCCTCTTTTTGTTTTTTACTATCCCGGGCATCTGCAAAGTGAACACGTCTGGTTTTAAGATTGCAATTTGCACATCTGTACTTGTTTTTGTCCTAGGATTAGGTTGGGGCTTGTGTTTCTTTATTACTGGTTCTGGGCTTCTTAAGGTTGAGGAATTGAGACACGTATCCTGGAATTTGCATCTTTTTTGCTTTCCGTCCTTATAATAATCTTTCAGATGTGTTCTAGTAGTTGTAGTGGGTAGTAGAATCTGATGTCACTTCACGTGATCAGGGGAATCGAAGAGACTCTCTATATCTTTTGGGGTTGTTGTGTAGCCCTTTGTTTCCGTATTTTCTACCATATTCCACTTTGCTTATTATTAGTCATTAGATAAAGATTAGAGAATTAGTTTCTAACAACTCCCTGGAAAGGCTGGAATCCTTCAAATCTGAAGCGTTCCTAATTGTCAAACATTCCTCGGTAACCGATTACCGATAGAGTCCGAGATTTAGGAGATTATTAGGATATCCCTGCTACTTACTAGTCAGCTGGGTAATATTTATAACCTCTAAAATTCAGACAACAGCTTCGCACTCTGTACCTTCCTAATTTGGTTGGTTTAGCACTTTGTCCTTAGTGACCTTGGTGCATACTTAAGATCTTAATTAGTGTTCATAACCTAAACCCAGATTTTAGTTATTTGTCTTGAAATTGTGGGAACATGCAATGAAAGTATGTTACACTACAGTTAATATAATGTTCTTTGTAAAAGTAAAAAAAATAAAAATAAAAATCAACACTGGACAAATCCTTCCTTCGCATGACCGATTAAAGCTAATTGCAAATTTAAAACCGCTTTGTTCCATGATTCCTACAAACCTTCTTATGCCCTTTGCTTAATAGAGTACTTACAGGCCAAAAGATTTCAGTTCAAGTACAATCATCTATTTTGCTATTTGCTTAATTATTTGATTTCATCTTTCAGATTGATGTTCGCGGTGACCTTTTTGGTCTTCTGACAGCACATCCACTGGTACCGCTTGTATCACTCCACCATCTAGACTATGTGAAGTCCTTGTTCCCAAACATGTCCCAGTATGATTCACTAAGACACCTGCTCCAAGCATACCACTCTGATCCACCCCAAATAGTGCAGCAATGTTTCTGCCACCATCTAAAGTTTAAATGGTCAGTCTCCATTTCATGGGGCTATGCCGTTCAAGTATATCCTTCATTGTTATCGGTAGTGGAGCTAGAGAAACCCTTGCAGACATTCTCCACGTGGCGCAGTTGGCAAAGTGGGCCTTTTGTTTTCAACACTAGGCCTGTGAACTCTGATCCCTGTGAACGCCCATTTGTATATTATTTAGAGTCGATTAGCGAAACGGGGCAAGGTGGGACAGTTACTACCTACAATAGGACCATGGCTAAACCAGAGAAGTGGTGTCGGAAACATTACTATGACCGAGCTATCACTCTCAGAAGGATACTAGTCTCGGCCTCGAAAATGGACCCCGAAGAATGGAAGGTTTGTGCTGTTCACCTTTAAGAGTCCATATCAAAATGAATTAAAATGTTGCTTTTAGTATAATGTACGATAGTGTGCGCTATCTCTTGTCAGTTTTTGGTGGGGTTAAGTACCATGTTGAAATTTTTTTACATGTGAACAAGTCAAATCTATTTGTAACAGATCAGGCTGAATTACATCTGATAAAAAGGGCATGCATATACAGGAAAGCTAGCTATTGACCACTCTGATCATTATTGGAAAATCTCAACTGCTGAGAATGCAGCTTAAAGAGACCAACGTGCTATTTATACTCATTTCATCGATCAGTTTGGATATTATTTGACTCTGAATCTGTGATAACCGTTCTGATTCCTAATGCATCTTTATGCAGAGCCCTCGAAGGCGATGCTGTGAGATTGAAAGTGTGAAGAATGGGGCTATGAAGGTGACAATCAGAAGCTGTGAAGAATAAGAGTCAATCAACTTATAGGTTTGCCCTATTTTGTTCCAGTATCCCATTGACTACAGTATAATTTTTAGATATTAGGAGAATGTAATTATCAGAAATTTTCTTTTTTTTAGTTGAAATGAATAAACTGATCATTTTCAAACATGTGGAGTCCGACTCTGGTATACTAATTTTCTAATTAACTAACATGTCACTCTCTCTGAAGGGAATCAATATGGATGGATGTTTATATTACTGAACCAACACATAGAATATCAAATCTTCCCCTTTCATAGTTAGCCTCAGTGGTTGATGGTATACCAATAATGTTGCCAGCAGCAGGTATATGTTCGAAAGCTTATACCTCCGTCTTTTTCCTTTTCTCCAGGTTCTCAAACTAGTTGCAAAACAGTGTGTCTCGGGTGGCATTACCAGTGGTTGGGTTCACTCTGACAATATAATGCACGGTATGAGAAGTGATAACTTGGTAGAAGAATTCTGTTAAGATGTGGATTAGGAAGCACATTACCCGTCAGCAACCTTGCAAAGGTATTCCCGTTGATCATCTCTAAGAGGAACATCTGTGAAGTCTGATCAGCGTAGAATGGTTACAGGAGTCATGCACCAGAGTTGTATCGCTAGTTATACTGAATTCTGAAGGTTTACAGTAACTTCGTCTTACCTGCACCCGTTATGTTTGATCCTCTGAAAGAAGTGTTTCCTGTAGCAAGAGCTCCTTCCAAGTTTGCATTGCTCAAATTTGCCTGCAGAAAGTTTGATCACATCAATCATTTCAGCTGGAAACACATTTTATGCTCGTAAAAGTTCTCTAAAAGAAAAGAGAATAACCAAACTGAAAAATTGTGTGAAGTGATCCAGATAGTTTAATTAGTAGGTATAATTCAGAGGGTTCAGCACAGCCGTTTTTCAGAAATTGTCCGTTCTAGTTAACATGTGTGGAACCTCTCACTAGTCACTAATGTTAGGTGTTAACATCTGGAGAGCATTATGCAGATTGCAGCGAGGCATCTAATCTAATAAGCTCGGTTAGACTAACGTGGATAAAGTAAGATGACATTGGATGTCTGAACTGTATTCATCAGTCGACATCGGAAGTACATAAGAATTAGGATTGTGGATACAGGAAGATGACTTCCGGTATCCTAACTGCATTCATCGGTAGTACATCGCCATTAGGATTATAGAAAAAGGTGTGCAAGAGACTGCAGACAACCATTTGAAACTATGCTCATGGTCTACAATTACAAATCGCAAAAAAGGATTGTGTTCGTGGACTACAATTGTTGAAACCAGCACACTTGTCGAAACTATCAAACACGCATGAGGCAACACAGAAAAGAGGAATACCTTTGTCACATTTGCTAAAGAGAAGTCAGCACCTCTAAGATCAGCATCAGATAGATCAGCCCCTGAATCGAACATAAAATGAAAACCAAACATGGAACTTGAGCATATGAACACTTTCTGAAGCTGCAGAGGCTTCATCCAAGAGTCGAATAGAGCCGATGATAATCGATGATATTGAGTACATACGTATCATTTCCACAAATAGCTCAAATTTTCAATAACCAGGGTCCAGGCCATCGGTCTAGTCTTATCATAGTTCTAGAATTCTGTATTAACAAATCATTGAAATTTTACCTGTTAAATCAGCATCAAAGAAGCTAGCTCCGACTAAGGTTGCACCTTTGAACTTGGCTTGTCTCAGTATAGACTGCAACACACAGAAGCCCACTCACATTTAAAACCTGAGGATGTGGTGGTAACAATACATTCGTTGTTGCAAACATAAAGGGGCACACATTAAAACAAAATTCCTTTGCCAACAGAAACTTAGTAGTACATCAAATTCATAATAAGTACATTTATACAGTTGAAGGTGATACCGTTTTAAAATCTTGTTTGATCAAACTCTTGCCACTAAAATCTTTCCCGGTGAGATCTTGTCCCCGAGTCACTTCGGAACCGTACGGACCTCCGCCCTTTTCACAGAACCCACACAATTAAATTGTATGCATTAGATAAAAACGCAAAATCCATTGGAGAAAGGAATTCCAAAATTTACGCAAACAAAACTGTGCCCAGCTTTTCAAAAAAACCTATATTATGGATAAGTCCATGTGAATTTTAGCCACCGACAAGAAACCTACCCAAGTAGTACCTTAAAAGCCAAAGCGGGATCGGATGCAAAAACTAGGGAAGCAGAAAGCAGAGCAAGAAAACCTGCTCTGGATAATTCTCCGACACAGAATAGAGGAATTTGAGGAGCTCGTGATGAATGATTGAGCGAACCCTGTAGAAGATATGTGTAATTAGGCCTGATTCATCGCATTAACTTCATGCTCCAGTCAAATGTCAATAATGTCAACCTTGAATTTGATTGGATTAAAAACAATTAGCTAAAGTTTAGGAGGAACTCATTCATACATACCAGTGGTCTGGGAATATCGGTGGGAGGAGTGGCGCAGGATTTGCAGTAGAAACTGGAGGTTGAAGCAGGAGTGTGATGTTTTGGAGTTGGAAGGAGCTTGGATGACGAGCAGATGTTGAGAGCAGCCATTGCTGATATGAAACGGATCAACTCGTGTGTGTGTGTGGATAATCCGTACACTTATACTGGCGTATTATCTCCAAAGTCATCCAGTGACCCAGTCGGTAGACTCTGGCAGTTTCTGATTTCTTCTTATTCATTTTTCATTTCATTTTTAAGATAACAAAAGAACCAAAAAAGAAAAAATAATCCTGACAACTCCCCTAAACCTTCAATAAATAAATTAATAGTACTGTGATCATCAAAATTTGTTAATTAGTGAATTGTTAAGTTATTAATTTAAAATTTTCCTTTAAAAAATAAAAATAAAATCTTTTGTTTCTTCAGCATCTTTTCTATCCAAATCAAACATGGTTTGAAATTCTTCTCATTACTAAACTCATACAAAATTTATATTTTCTTCAACGAAAGTAAAAGTAAAGATCAATCGTTCATATTTTATTTTTGAATTTTTTTTTTATCTTATTGTTAAATTATTTTGTTTAGTTTTTGTAGTGGTTCCACATTGAAATGGAAAGAAAAATTTTAATTAATCAAAATTATTAATTTAGTGAATGTTTGCTGTATTTTCATTTGAAGATTTTTTTTTTCTGGGACAGAAATTACTGTTAATGATTACTTGCATGCTACAAGGGAAAACGGATATTTTATTTATTTATTTATTATTATTATTATTCTTTCCATTTGATCTATATAAAAAAAAAAATACTCAGTAATTTAATCATTCAAATAGAGAACATGGCTCAACAAATTCAACTCATCTAAAAAAAGATTAATAGTGGTTTCCCACTTATTCCGGTGTGACTCGAACTCGTGACTTATAAGTCAAAGGTGAGACGTCTTATCACTAGACTGCGCCTCATTGTCCACTCGACTTATCTTCTTTTTTACAGCACATGTAGTAAAAATAATTAAAACATGGAAGTAATTTATTATTCAAATAGATACTTCTTACATCTTGCTAAATTATTGTTTTGTTTGAATACCACCTCTTTCTATATATTTTTGTCCTTAAAAAATAATTCATATCGAACTTTATGAATTATTTTTTGAGACAGAGAAAATACTTTTTTCGTTCCAAAATTATTATTCAATTTAAATTTTCAGTTTTAGTTTATATTGTAATAAAAATGAAAAATCCAAATTGGTCGATACTTTTGTGACAATTGGAGTATAATTGATAGTGAAAGAAAACTATTTATGGGGCGGGCCGGCGGGCGAGTATTACTATGTCTGTGATGAAAATTGAAATGGACAATACCGTGCGGACAAAAGTCATGAGCAAAGTCGGGTTTCGATGTGAGCTTGCCAGGGGTATTTGAGCCCAAAAACTGTGGCAAGTTAGCTGAGCCCATCAAAGAAATGTCTCCCTGGCAACTACAAGATAAACTAAATAAGTAATGAAATTACTCTTACTGTCCCACAATTATTGTCTAGTTTAAATTTTCATTTTTAGTTTAAATTGTACTAAAAGTGAAATTTTAAATTGGACAATAATTTTGAGATACAGGAAGTATTAATTATGTAGAAGCCTACGAGATGTGCTCAAATGTAGTCAACAATTTTGATGATATGAAATGTGCTCAATGAGAGGTCAAATATGAATATTTAACTTTAGGAAGTTTGTCAACGGAATGACGACTATTCTTTTAAGATATCGTGTCCTTGATGTCTGAAATCATTAATTTAGCTAATTTGAGTTGAGTTTGATAAATATCTACAATTTGGAAGAAAAATTTACAGCAAGTATTTGATCCAAGCCTTATTTAAACTGGTCCAACACGTTTTATCATTTAAATCAAATGCTTGTTGTTGAAATGACTAGTATTGATATCACTTTTCGTGCACACTCTTACTATTAGATACTAAGAAGTATTGTTTTATTTAGCGTATATTCTTATTCCATTGCAATTTAAAGTTTAAAAAAGGGAAATAAAATGTAGTTTACTTTAAACCGTTATCCAATCAATTAATTAAAAAGTTGAACAAATTACAAATCAAATTTATGTTGATGCTTATACTAGTGAAACCTGTATCACGACAGACTATTTGACATGTTTCAAAAAATAATTTGTTTTAGAGAGTAACACAGCTTACACGACTTATTATTGATAGGATCAAACCGTAGTTTTAAGACTTTGGCGTAGCTTTTGTTGTTAAAACTTAAAAGTTGAAGTGAGGCTAGCTGGGTGACTTGAAAAGCAGGAGACGTGTGACTAGAGAGTGACAGTGGTGGTAAAAAATGAGTTGGGACTTGGAACTGGGAGGACGAGAGAGAGCACGCAGAGAGAGAAAGGTTTCAATGGGTAATGTAGTGTAGACTACGAAGGTGAATGCAGGAAAAGGACCAGAGAGGAGGTTCCAGAATCCAAAAAATTATCTGAGCCTGAGCCAAGATGTGGCCCAGAACTGTTTCAGAGGCTAGTTTTGCATTAATAATTTGTCGGGACTTCCCCCGACCTGACGTGTCTGTCTCCACCACCAAAAGTCCAAAACCCAACCCAGCACCACCCCACAAACCTTACCCCACCCCCATCTATGTAGCCACCATTTCTGTCTTTCGTCTCAAATGTTTAGGTTCCAAACTTAAAAAGCCTGATGATGAAAGGAATTTAGATGCAATATTGAGGGATGATAATATAAATACAGAGATTTGGAAAGAGATAGGAATTAGGATACAGAATCCATAGATTGATCCATTTGAGCGGCGGACTGTCCGCCCTTGTGTGTGTATGTGTGTGCCCAGCACTCCAGCAACTTTACCAAATACCAAGAGGCAAGAGCTACGTTATTATCCCGTAGATAGAGTGGAAATTTGGATTAAACAGTGTTAGAGGGAGATCGACCCCCTTTGCCTTTTTATGTTTCCTGGACTTTTCAGGATAACTCCACCGACTCCCGGATTGCTATACACATTTCTCTTCGCATATTTGGGATTGGACTTTGACACAATTTAGAGGGAAAAATTGGCTAATCTACTCTAAGCTTTACTTGCGTTGTCAATTCTACCCTATTCTTTTTAGATTAGTCAATATTACTCTAAGTTATCTAATTGTTAGCTGATTTTGTCCAATTTGTTCTTTTCCGTTTAAAATAACGGAATTTTATTTGTTTTAATTACAAAAATACTCTAATAATTTTAAAAATATAAAAATGACCCCAAAAATTTACAAAAATAACAAAATAGTCTTTTCAGTTTTTGTTTAATTTTTTTTGTTTTTTTATTTCTTTTTAATATTTTCATAACTATAAAAATATACTATATGATCTTTTAAAAAAACTATTTATTTTATACTCTAATGTACAAATTTATAATTTGATATTTGTAAGTTATGTTTAATTTACATAAACATATAATTTTTTTAATAATATGGTTTAACGGTAATAATATTATTTTTTTAATCCATTTTTTTCAATCTAAAGAATAAGATTATTTAACTAAAACTAATTTTGCACAAAAGAATAATACATTTAGCATAGATTAAAAAAGAAGTTATTGGTATACTTTAATGTATTACAGTTTAATTCAACAGACTTTAGATTGTATCATAAAATTTTTTAAAAAAATTAAAACTAAAATATAAATTTTTCTGTAAAAGGCCAAATACGAAAAGAAAGTAAAAAAAAAAAAAACACCTATTTCATTTCTACATTGGCCCAACACAAGAATATAGTGTCATGGCATTTACAAAAATGGTACAAAATATTTTATAAAAAAAAATATTTATATTTAATCATTGCGAGGGTTTTTACATTTTGTGATAATTTTTTGAGATATTAATATATCTAACTTAAGCAGAAAGTTTTTTTTTTAAGCAAAAATAATATAAAGAAAATCTATCCAGTACTGGACTCCACCTTTTTTTTTAAAAAAAAAAAGAAAAATTAGATTGCCCCAGTGAGAATCGAGACATCGAACACCGTAATTTTATCTCACATCCTAAATCACCTGACCATCTAACCCTCTCGCCTTTAGTGGACCCCACTTAAATATGTATAAAATCACTCTCCCGGTTAGAAATTCTTTGGTGAGACTTAATCTTATATCTACTCTCATGAAACAGAAAATTTGGCCGATTATTTTTTAATCTATGCTAAATTTTTTAATTTTTTGTAAAAAAATTAGTTTTAGTTAAAAAAAAAATCTTATTCTTTAAATTGAAAAAATGGATTAGAAAATTAATATCATTATTTTCTAGCCATGGTATTAAAAAAATTAATATGTTTATGTAAATCAACCATGAATTACAAATACGTATATCTATAAATTTGTGCAGTATTGTTTAAAAATAAATTTTTATTCTAAAAGATCATAGTATATTTTTATAGTTATGAAAAATAGTAAAAAGAAATAGAAAACAGAAAAAAAAAATTAAAGAAAAAGTAAAAATAGACTATTTTGTTATTTTTACAAATTTTTAGGGTCATTTTTATAATTTTTAAAACTATTAGGATATTTTTATAATTAAAACTAAATAGAAAATCAGTTAATTTAAACGGAAATTGGTAAATTAGACAAAATCAGCTAACGGTTGAATAGCTTAGGGTAATATTAGCTAATCGAAAAAAAAGTAGAATATAATTAACAACGCATGTAAAGATTAAGGTAGATTGTCCAATTTTTCCCAATTTAGAAATAGGGGATAAACGAAATGGCCATAAGTCCATAACATATCTTCCGATTATGGTGTAATTTAGGAAGGTGAATATTTGATGGAACAGAGAGTAGTAAGTAGTAACACATACTGTACTAAAATTTGAGAGAAGTAGGAGACTTGACCATCATAGATTCATAAATAAAACATTAATTGCTTAAATCAACTGCTCTCTTCAGTCTTTATTACTATCAGACATTTTGATTTGTTCTAAATCTTACCTAGTACTCCCTCCATTTTAAAATATATGTCGTTTAAGAGTTTAGTGAATTTTTTTAAATATATGTCGTTTTCAGAAATCGAGTTACATTTGACCACCTTTTACCAATGTTACCCTTGCATTGGGAATGAAACAATACTTATAATGAATTTTTATTGGTTGGTGATAAATTGTATATAAAATAAGTAAGGGTATTTTTGTATTTTAACTATATTATTTAATGTTTTCTTAGTTTGGACGAATTCTCTAGAAAGACATATAAAAAAAACATGGAAGGAGTATGCTTTTTCAATCATCATACATTTATAATGTTTTTAAGACATTAATGGCTTAAATCAACTACTTTCTCGTGTCTTTATTATCATGCATTTTGATTTGTTCTAAGTTTTACTTAGTATATGTTTTAACGCTTAAATATATTTTTTAATAATTAAAAAAATACAATGAATGTGAAAATATATTTTAAAATTTTTTTCTCAATCGAAAAAAATATATAAATAAATTTTAAAATAAATCAAAATATTTTATAATAAAGACAATAGAGAATTATAAATAAGTAAACGACATCAATTTTATGTTGCATTTACTTGTATGATACTATGATTGTACAAAGAATTGTGTAAACTAGCGAGTTAATATGGTCTCTACATTTTTCAATATGCTACCTTTTTTTTCTTTTTTTAACCACCTTATAAGTATTTAAATTATTACATGGGTGGGGTATATGGAAAAAAAGATATTACTAAAGAGAGATCTCACGCGTAAATACTTAGTCCACTCGATCCCTTTAAAACGTGTCTCTTTCGACTGCTGCTGCTTCTTATTCTGCAAGAAAGTTGGTAAGTGATAAATCACTGTCGTGAGGTTCGAACACTGAACGGCAGGGTCTCTATAACTAGGCCACCTCATTGGTATATGCTTCCTTTTGAGTTTTGAGTGGGAAGTGCGTATAATCCTCACCCCGATAATTGCATCTTAGCCTATGGTTATTTGATGCACCAAAAGGTGTAGAGAGGCCCCCAGGTGAACAATAAAATAATACGGTTCCATTAAAAATCAAATAGTAGAAAAACGTGTATTTGCCAACAAAATATTATAGCTGCACTGAATCAATTTTCTATTACTTTTCTATCTCTTTCAAAAACTACGTTCATTTTTAACGGGACTTTGAAATATGAATATATAAACCTGAAATGTTATTTAAATGAAAGTTGACCCTCTATCTGTTTAGCACAGTATATACCTCACGCTTGTACAGGGCATATATTTATTCATCTTTGATTTGGTTATTGCATTTTTTGAAGACTATATATTTGAAGAAATAAATATTAGTATTTCAAAAAAACAAGTTGCAATAAGCTAGCATGAAGGGAGGGGATGGGGTCCAGGGATTATGAAGCAACATGGTGGTCATCATCTAGGACCGACTGCAGATGATTGGGACTTGGACCATAACAATTTTTGACGGTCCAAAACCGTTTACTGCCCTGAGGCCGAAGGTGGCTCTCCCCTGCAAAACCGCCTTAATTGTCAAGATAAAGCCATTATGGGTTTACCACTGACCCGACAGCCACATATACAGTGGTCATTCAATATCTCATTAACATCCGAATTCCCATACGCAAAGCCTCTTCCAAAAGCCAAAGGTACAACTGCATCTTTTAAGCGATTTCTTTTTTTTCCAATAACAAATTATTTAACAACTGCGTCTCTTATTAAAATTACTCCTATTTATTAGTACAACTACTGTATATTAGTCCTGGTACTTTTGTACGAACTGAGCACCTCAGCCAGAGCACAAAAAATAAAAGAAAAAAAAAAAGAAAGAAACCCCAAAGACCTAAAATCCGTTTCTTTCAATATTTTTAGATTCTAGACAGCCAGCTGCTGCTGCTCCGAATTCCTCAAAAAATCCCTTCTTTCCCAAATCTCTTTTCTCAGAATAACCCGTCAAAAAAGACAAGAGATTTTGCTCAGAGGTACTATGTAGGATTTTTAGTATAATATTAAGTACTAGATAGTACTATTATAGTATTCCCGAATAAAGGGTAAGGACCATTTTCTTTTATCTGGGTCTCGTGTTTTACTGTGGCATATATGCATATTTTAAATCACTTTATGGTCTTTGCCGCTCTCTTTTTTCTGCAGCTCTTGTACTACTCTGCTTGCCGCTGCTCTCTCTCTTCTTGAAAGCTCAAGTAGTACTATACCCAGATCCTCACTTTGGCTTTTGAGTTCTGGAACCTCAGATTCTGTCTCTTTTGGTTTTCTTTCGGCATAGGTTTTCGAGCTCCTTCATAAAAATAGATCTGGATTCCTTCAGTTATTTGATTGAAATTAAATGTATGGGGTTCTTGGCAAAGCTGGGGAGGTTCTGTTTCTTTTGGGCTGTAATTTCTCCGTTGAAATGGTAAAATAGAAGAGGGTCGGTTTACAAGGTTTCTCAGCGGTTGAAGAAAAAGTCTACTGCTACTATAAAGCTTTTCGAGTTTTGGGGGAAAAACCAGATCTTTTTTCTTTTTTGTTGCAGAATCCAACAAAGAGAAATCGAGAAGGAAAAGAATTTCGGTTGCCTTCCCGTTCCATCTCCAAATGTAACGGTACCATCCTAGCTATTTTTTTATAAAAAAAAAATTAATTTCGGCTGCGTTTTGTATTAATGCAGTCAGTCAATATTTATATGGTCAGGGAACAAACAAGTGTCAACAAGTTTTAAGAGCTCTTTAATTAAAGCTTGTGCTAGCTAGCTTTCTTCCGCCGCGTATGTGGATATATATAGCTAGCTAGATAAAAGTCTCTCTAGTTCTTCTGAAACATTTGAGCAAAGAACCAAAGTCTTGTACGAAATTTGAGGCAATGGCGAACAACAGGTGGTGGGCTGGAGATATGCCAAATATGAATCCTTCTCTTCATCTCCGACCAGAAGACGACAATGCCGCCGCCGGACTCAGCCTTCAACAGCGGAGGGAGCAGGAGTTCATGGACACCGCCGCCGCTGCCGCAGCCGCCGCTAACAGCAGCGGCAGCAACAACAACAATCCTTCCCAAAACCCTGATGAAGATCATGAAGACAGCCGGGAAAATGAGAGAGATATGGAAGAGCACAATCCGGGAGCCCTAGAGATATCGGAGCCCGGCAGCGGAGGAGGCAGTTCCGGTGGGAGGCGCCCAAGAGGTCGGCCACCGGGCTCCAAGAACAAGCCAAAGCCGCCTATTGTGATAACCAAGGAAAGTCCCAATGCGCTGAGGAGTCACGTTCTGGAGATAAGCAGCGGCAGTGACGTGGCGGAGAGCATTGCGAACTTCGCCCAGCGCCGCCACCGTGGCGTGTCGGTGTTGAACGGCAGTGGGATTGTTACAAATGTGACTCTGCGCCAACCGGCTGCACCCGGTGGTGTTATTAGCCTTCATGGCAGATTCGAGATTTTGTCCTTATCGGGTGCGTTTTTACCCGCCCCGTCTCCTCCGGGGGCTTCTGCTTTGACTGTTTACTTAGCTGGCGGTCAAGGCCAGGTTGTAGGTGGCATTGTGGTTGGGCCTTTGGTTGCTTCCGGTCCAGTTATGGTTATAGCTGCTACATTTTCAAATGCTACCTATGAGAGGTTACCATTGGAGCCGGAGGAGTCATCCGGGGGAGGTGCTGCGGACGAAGAAATGCAATTGCAACCAGCATCTGGAGGAGCGGCAGCAACTACTACTACTGCCACCACCGCCACTTCTCCCGGCTCACAATCTCATGGTATGGCTGATCTTCCTACATCTTCTATGCCTTTGTATAATCTGCCACCTAATATGCTTCCCAACGGTCAAATGGGTCATGATCAGGTCTATTGGAGCCCTCCTCCACGGCAACCCCCTTCTTATTGAGGCGGGCCGGGGGCGGTGGTGCATTTTGTTGTGGAAGTTAACTGATCGGTTAGTAGTTTGCTTGGGGTTTATTTAAATTCCTTAGAGTTGTAGATTTAGGAGGGGAAGAGTAGTTAATTAGCTAGTCTTTTGCTTGACCACCTTGTAGTAATTCCTTGTGAATTGCATTTCTGCCTAGCTAATTACTTAGGTTGATGATGAAATGTTTTGTACTGATCATGGGCTTCATCTTTTGTAACAGCGGCTAATGGTTTTATTAATCGCATGATTTCTTCTCTAAATTATAATCAATGAATTGTAGCTTTTACTTCTGTTACAAAATTTTCATGCATTCATTTGGGATGGACATGGAATTAATTAAGCCGGATAACACGGTAACGGTGATACGTTACTCGTCGTGGGAATCGTGCTTCCACGTTGTCGAAACTGGTAACGGGAGTAACGACAACCTGGTAATGGGGATACGTTACTCGACTCTGGGAATCGTGTTTCCAGTTATCGAGGTTATTTTGTTTCCGTGTTCGTTGTTGTTTTTGTTTTTTACGTTACTCTATTTGAGCCATTGTCATGTTTGAATTCAATGCTAGATGAGTTCATTATAAATACCTCGGACCGGTTTAATATTGTGGCTTATAAATATGGTCGAGTTTTGAATCTGACTCCATCTTTTGGGCGATTTCAAGTTTGGTTCATTTGTGTTCATCTTTTTTTGGTAGTATTGTTCAGTAAATTGTTCAAAAAACGTGGTGCCGACAAGTTCGCATTGCATGTATCTCTTAAAAAATGACACAATAAAAGTTCAAATTCGTTGTGCGTGTTCAGTTTGGGGATGTGTTGGCCTAGGAACTGAATTAGTTTCCAGATTGGGGAATAATATGTTGGAATGATTTAAGAATAAGTCAATGCATTCTGATCTATGTCTTAGACCTTGCATATATATTCATTGATAAAGTGAGATAGTAGGAAAATGTTGGATAAGATGTTTGACTTTTGCATTCAATATGTCCATATCTACTAATCTTGGTTCAGTGTACATGTTCAAAATGCTTCGTCAATCACAATTCACAAGTCATCATCAGTCTCAACTATTAATGAAGTGCTTCTCTAACACGAAATATGCGGGATTTCATTTATTTATTTTTTCCAAGATAATAATATTCCATGTTTTTGTTCTGAGGGAATGTGGCAGTCAATATGTGAGTTATTAATTCCATCTAGTTTAAATGTTGTCCATGTAAATATGTTCAGAAGAAGTAATTTAGTAACGTCTTTAAATAGTAACTCGTATTGTTTTGATTCTACCTGGAATTTGACTATAATGGTTAGTGGGTTTTTTTTTTTTTTTTTTTTGTTTTGGGGGGGTTTTGGGGGGTAGATATTTATGCTTTGACAATTTGTTGTTCAATAAAATAGTCATGCTGACAAACCCTCTTGAGCTTTTCAATGGTATAAAATCTGTTCTTAGTCTTTAACAACCAGGGGGGGTTTTGGGGGGTAGATATTTTTGTTTTGACAATTTGTTGTTCAATAAAATAGTCATGCTGACAAACCTTCTTGAGCTTTTCAAAGGTATAAAATCCGTTCTTAGTCTTTAACAACTAGGGGGACATTTGTGATTGCTCATTGGCTCTCTATCACTACATTCTCAGAAAGTGTATCATTATTGAGATAGCTACGTATATTGGACTATGCTTTTGACATAGCCAGTTATTTGAAACTTCTTCGACTTAATCCTGATATTCAAAACTGATGGCTGGTGTGCTTATTGGAACTTTGCCAACAGTTGTTCAATAATTTGAAGATTGCTGTCATAGTTTTGAGTTTTTAGTGTAAGAAAATAATTGGTTTCTTTCATGTTTTTTTTCCCCCCCTCTCGGTGCTTTTGGATTCATCCGAATTATGACAATGGTCTTTAGTTCTGTTGACCAAACTTCTTTTTATCGACTATGCTCTCTATTTATTTGTCTCGCTAGGCTAATGCATCCACGCGTTGGCTTGCTCAAATTTGCCGTGTGACTAAAGTTCGGGAACTTCATATGCAGAAGTGTTGCGCTTTTTGCCCAAACACTTAATTGCATGTTGTTTCTAAGCCAAATTGGCGACCTTTTGAAATGCTGTGAAGATGTGTTTGAATTCGCTACCCTTTATTGAACAATCTTGCTAAAGCTATGCCTATATTTCATGTGATATTGAAGGTCCCGTCTAGTGTTTTATTATAACTTAATTGTCTTGTCCAGTTCCTCTATATCTACACAGGTGTTCCTTTCATTGCTATATTCTTTTGCCGGCTTTAGATGTTGAACATGTAATCTTGATTTCGTTTCTTTTCCTTATTGAGAAAACGTTTTGCCCTTAATATGATCTAATCTATGCATCTCTAATGCGATATTGTTTTTAGTGTAACATTGAGGTAAACATGTGTAGGTGAAATATATAGTTGTAACTTTGATTGTTTGAGTCTACTTGAATCTAAAGAGCAACTTATTTCCTCCCTATTTCAACCTATCCTACGGTAATAGTTGACCATGCTATCCTTAATTCAGTTCGACCCATTACTTCCAAACGGTTTAGCACTTACTTTCTCTTCCTCTTTAACAGAAGTACATATTACTGATGGCTCATTTACGAGTAATACTTAGAATCCGCCGCCCAAAGGGGATTAAGGGAATTATGACCATCATTTATTACCAGATTAAATATCTGGATCTCATGTCCCTTGTTTTAGGTAGTGAGCATGATTTTTCGTCGGGTTGTTGCTTGTTTGGTCCATCTCGATGACCAAATTGTTACCATGGCCTGATTTTCTCCCGAAGTCTTCTCCAGTTTCACCTAAAGACTAAAGTAGGTGCAGATTGGATCAAACCAATTTCTTAAGAATTGACAATTATCATCAATGTTGATAACAATAACCCGTACTTCCAAGTCTTCAACTACTGATACGATAGCCTGATTTCCTTCGCCTCCAGCTGTAAATCTATTTTCGTCGACCGGACCGCTAGATTAACGTGGAGCTGAGTTTTCGTTCGAAAAACTAAAAGCATGCACAGATCGCATGTGGAATTCCGATTGAGAGCTGCTAGCCGTGAAGGCTAACTACACGCAGGGCCCTGTCAAGTAAATTGTTTTGACTTTTGAGTTTTGACCAAGGTCCACAAAAACTATCTTGATCGAAATTGATAAATAGGACCAACAATTTAACTGGGTTGGCCTGAAATGTTTAATCGTGTTGGACAATGTTTCCCCTATTTTGAGTCTTGCACTTTTCTCGTTTTGACATTACATGAAAATTGAAATGATAATAACATACTACTCCCTCCGTCCCATAATTTTTGTCCAATTTTACTAAAATGAAAGATTTTATTTTTGGTCAAACTTAACTATATTTTACTTGAACAACCGGATATACCTCTACATAAGTAATTGTTTAACCATAAAGATTTTATGAATAATGTTTTTTACCAAGGACAAATGTGTAACTTGATCCATAAAAAGTCAAATTGGACAATAATTTTGGGACAAAATTTTTTTGGCAAAGTGGACAATAATTATGGGACGGAGGGAGTACTTAACAAGAGTTTTCATTTGAAATTCTAAACGAGGAAAACGATTAAAAACAAAAGAGGACCAAGTAAAATGACATTTTCAACGGGGAAAAGCGAGAAAAGGGTCCAGGCCCGGTAGGCTAGATTGTCTGACCAACATTGTAACTGGGTTGGGCTATAACCCACGATACCCACATATTAGTGCATTTCAAAGGCTGGTATGATCAAGATCCACAACCTGAACTGCAGATTTCCATTTGCCCGCAGTAGTAGTATTTTTGGTTTGATAATGCTACTACTTTATCTAAAACTGTAAGAAGTTTTACACAAGTATTTAAAATGTATTAAAATAAATTATAAAAATACGAAATACATCGTGATTTTTATTTTATTTTTTTGAAAGGGAAATACATCGTGATTGGTGATGGAGGTTATCACTTATCATAAGGCAAAAAAAAAAAAAAAAAATTAGAATAGAATAGAATCGATAAGCAAAATCCAAACAGGCACTTGTTTACAGTTTTGGCGGGTTTTTAAGATTCCGTGCTTATTTGATTCATCATATTCATAACTATTTGGGGTTGTTCAAAGCCGGGGGCCTACCAAAACTTCAAGGTTTATACTTTATACTACTACTAAAAATTCTCAAATAAGAGGGATAAACTTCCACCCCAGAGAATCATACTGCCAAAATTGCGCCTTCCTTTGAAGAAGACTTTGCCGGTCTAACCTTGTTGTTTCAAATCAACCCACTGATGCACCAATTATTATTATCGGTCCAGAAATATTGATGATCATCAAGTGTTTGCTGAAATTCTTGAACGAACATCTCTGAAATGTTCGAGTCTGAACAGAGAAAGGAAATGGCTTCCTCCCAAGCATTTTCCTGAGGTAGCTCTGCTCCAATCACCTGTCCATCGCTAGCGCTGAAGTTTCCTGTATGTCCAATCGGTCCGATGTGTCCGTTCACGGTATTATTATGTTTATTACTCTCTTGGTTCACATCAGTAGAAGACATTGCCAATTCAGAGTTGGAATGTTGCTCGGTGAATTGATAACTCTCGCAGCTTCCCACATCAAATGCAAGAGTTGCAGCCATGTGATTCCCAATCAGTTCAATCTCCTCTTTCAAGCAGGCCACCTGCAAAATACATGAATAACAAGATTCTAAGAAAAGGGTTCCTCAGAAATGATTAATTCCTTGCAGTTTTTCGTTAAAATATGAAAAGTGACTTGTGTTGAGAACTTCAAAATTAACCTGTTGCTGGAGAGCAAAGATATGGGCAACACAGCCATAAACAGGGTCCTGCATCCGAGCCAAGGCTTCATAAGAAATGGTAAGGGCAGCTTCGGCACGGTCTGGGACTGGAAGATGCAGCAACAATTTGGATACATTGCTTGCACCAAACACTCTGTGCACAGCTTCAAAATGACTGGCTGCTTGCTCATAACAGAAATATGGTGCAAAGATGCATTCTTTAGAGCACCTTCTTCTCAAGAATTTGCAAGCTCCACACGAAGTGCCACTAGCTCCTGTCATTATCCTCAACTTTTGTTCTCCTGGTGTTTTAATTCCTTTTTTCTTGTTCTAGTTCCAACTGGTTTAGATTTGATTGATGCAGGGTGAAAGGCCAGGGCTTTATAATCACAGCCCAAAAGGGGTTGCTCACGGTTGATTTGATTGTGGCTTAGAGACATTCCAAACTTTACCTGTAAAGTAAATTCTTTTAGGTCTCCTTGGTGGCCAACATTTTCATTCATCATTCACAAGTTGGGTAAGCTTTCCCACTCTGTGCTTTTGCTTAAAAGCGGTGTTTTTTTTTCCAGTTAAGTGTTAACATGAGTGTTTGATACTATTATTATCCACATTCGAGCTCTAAAGCAAGAATAATTGATGATTAGCAGTCCAAATAATTGCTGATTAGCAGCATAAATTAATATTGTTGTTCAGTCAAAGTACGATTCTCTCCTTTTCATTGATTAATGATGACATGTTTTAAATGCTCACATAAAAGTAGGAGAATGGTATACCAATTGTCGGATTAACCTGAAATAGAAATCAAGTCTTGAACAACTAATCATTCAAGCAATCCGACTGAGTATATTCTTCCCTATAATCAAATCATTCACTTCTGATCCTTTTCCTTATCCAACTCAATTATCACGTACTGTATTGGTATTACCATCAGATAGTTTCATTCATTTGAACAATTCTTTACTTATTAGCTTTCTATTGTGTTACATTTTGTCATCAAGAGAAGCTGGAAAGCTCACTCAACTTATATTTTGCTAGTTAATCATGTTTTCTGACTCAACTTTTACTCTTTCAACTGATCAATAAGGCAATTGTTTAAGGACACGTAAGTAGTTAATTCTGCATAATCATGCAATGGCAATAATAATACTATTATTTAAACAAGTGGTTATATAGTTCTTCATGTTTGGCTGTTGGCCACTTTTGATTTGAATGTTGCCACGATAAGGTGGTCGGTCCAAGCTTGCAAACGGCGGCTCTTTCTGGCAACAAAAAGCCGCCAAACAGCTTCCTCCATTTCTATCTGTCAGAACACAACACCAGGAAATTAAGGCAGGCGCTCATGGCCTTCGACTTGAAAAAACGTCGACTCAGAGAGAAAGAGGAAAGATGATGAAACAAAAGGGAATGTATACTAATAATGTGAGATTAGTAATCCAACGCTTCTTTTGTAATTTGTAGTACCAAATCTTAGCAAAAAGCGCACATGTGAAAGTCTCATTTAGTTGAACTTGAACATTTCCTCCTCAATAGGTTCCGTAAAAATGCAAGACGACGCGATATTAAAAAACATATATAATAATAATAATAATAATAAGGTGGTTGTACTTAAATTTTATCAAAGTCATGTCAAGTGAAAAATAAAAGGATGTTATTTTAATAGAAATGCATGCATGAGAATTGATAAATGAAAACTGGAGGAAGAAAACAAAATGTGACATGGGATGGTGGAGAGGAGCCCTTTTCCACTTTCGAGTTTAACGATGAAAGTGTGTGTTTTTTATAATATGATGAACTAATCATCATTCACAAATGTTCCTTATGCTCTGGTAGGCTTGCTAGGCCTATCTGTCCCTTCATTTTGTCTGAATCTATAGCCCTTCTTACTGTTCGGGTGTTAATTCTGATCGTCACCCTACAAGTCGCAATTTTTTGGAAATTTTTTACCTCTGGATTGCTTCACAAAGTACTGTAATTGATTAGGTTCATCGCCATTACGATGATAATTGTGCGATTCTACAGAAGAAGTTTGGAGTCGAATTCTTCTAGATTTGCTATGACAACAACATTACAAGGTGATAGTGGCTCCATCCATTATTTGCTTGTTATGATATATCGCCAATTGAATGAAATTTACGCTACTAAAAGAAAATTTGCACCGCTCTTACATTGAAGAAGACATACTAAATGATTTGATTTTAATCGTAGGAGAGAATAACTAACACCTCTTTGAATGCATTTCTGAGCAGTGAAGTTTAGGGTTGAGAGTTCTTATCATTACTCGAATTCAAGCAAATAAGCAAGCATGGTTTGTTGATTTCTTTCCTGCAAACTGTGTTACGTTAGTATTGTCTATGTGAGAGAGTCTAAAGTTCCTTTTAGAATGTGCAACTGTGTCATATGCTGATATTAAAAGATAATAAAAATGATAACAACGAGGCTTAATGTGTTATTAAAGAAAAAAAAAAAGGATAGAACGGAAGAGACAGAACTATTTGTTTTATAACTTGAAAAAAAGAGAGATTTTTTTTTTCTGACAATTCTAGTGTATTTCATTTTTCACATTCTCGATTCATTTTATTAAAAAAAAAACAGAAAAATTACTATCAACACGTAACTGAGATGTGTTATGCAAAGTTAGTGCAGCAAGTATGTAATGGTAGTGGTTTGAATTCTACATTGGTGACATATGGCAATGATGTGTAGTTTATATGTTATTGGGTTCTTCCCCAGACAAGTTAACTTTTGAGGTGGGGCTCCTTCAAAGAGGTATGACAAGTGGTATCAGAGTTGGTCCTCACTCTTCGTATTGGTCACTTAAAATGGCTACTTAGGAGAAGTGCTATTCGGAATCACATGGAGTGTGAGCCACCGGAAGAAATGGTTACCTGCGAAGCCGACACAGAAAGGGCTACATGTGTCGCAGTGAAACTAACTAGAGGGCAGCTGCCGAAACGTTGGAACGGAAGCGCGGCAATATATAATGATAGTTGTTTGAATTTCACATTGGTTGAGTAGACACTGATAGTTGTTTGAATTTTATATTGGTTGCGTAGACACTGTCGTGCGATTTACATGTCTTCGGGTTCTTCTTTACAACCTAGATTTTAAGGTGGGTTTCCTTCAAGAGCCATGGCGCAGTATTGAGAACTAGGCCTATACATGTAACACTTGAAACAAAATAATTGTGTCTTAGGGCCATGGGTTTCTGATTGTCCGTGTCCATTTATCATGGAGTTGGACCTTCTGAGTGAGCCCAATTAAATTTGACAGCATGGTTATTACTAACCACAAACGCAGGAATAAAACTTGGATCGACCATTTCGACCAATTTATTATCGAAGAATGTGGTTTTTTTTTTTTTTTTTGGAGGGGGTTTCATTGCAGTTATCCACACCAATTAAAAAAAACGGCTTCATATTTTAACCGAAAAAAAAAAGGGAAGGGAAAAATTGTTGATTTTGATCCAATGACACTTGCCTTTCTAATTTCATTATCACATAATGTTAGGGGTGGCAATTTTAGCTGATGAAAATGAAAAATATTGGTCAATTTGATTCCCACCATACATACGTACTCTCGTCTCCCTATTGGATATTGAATGGTTGATGTGGGACCCGCACCCTTGTAGTTAGTAACCGAGAGTTATCAGCAGCAAACCCATACCTCATTTTTGGCCCTCAAAAACAATTTCCTGTGTCTCATTTGAAGAAGTTCTGGAAAATAAGAAACGATGATGTGATTTAAATGCTACTACACAGATAAAATGGACTTGTGTGGAGCACAAACACCTCCCACATACTGACAACTTTACCCTTCTTCCAATCTCTATTTTTCTAACCAGAAAAATAACTAATAATAGTAAAATACCCCATAAGCCCCTCCACACTCAACAGCTACAATCATTTTTGTTTTTTTTTCTTATGTGACAAGCAGTAATAATAACATCAAAACTGGTAGTCATACATTATGGAACAGGACTTTATGGTGAACTCTCAATTAATCAAAATTTGCAGGGGAAAAAAAAAAAAACAATATTACACAAGTGGAGAAGATCAAAGCTACAATGGTAACCTCAAGATTCTATCAGGATTCAAAAGGGGCAAAAAAACCAAGCAACGTCCGAACGCCACGTGGCAGGGCGGGTAATCCTGAGTGTGTGGCCGTTAGGAATGGAAAAGCTGGAACCAAAGGATTTCCCAGTTTCTGAAACACTCATCATCATTCCACACTATAAGTTCGCTCCAATCTCCTCACAGCTTCCCAACTCAGTTTGAAAGAAGCTCCAGCTCCTCCTCCTCTCACTGCATTCTTACAGCTTTTCCCGTTCCTTCTCTCTCACTCACCAAGCAGCAATGGCAACCGTTGGTGCTGTCAATGGTGTTCCGGTATATATTTTCACCTCTCTTTCTTTACTTATTTTCTTTCGTTGGTCTATGATCACGATAGTTGCATAACTTATGTGGGTCAGTTTTTTTTCTGCAAGGTTTATACTACCATACTGGTTTGTAGTGGTTGATCTTGATCAAATTGTTATGTGATGAATAAGAATAGATGATCATAGTAGCATAATATATATTCATATTTTGAGTATAACAGTTTCAATCCTATGCTTGATTACTACTGGTTTTTATATTCCTCAGACACTTCTACTCCTACTACGTCTATGTATATATATGCTATTGTCTTTGTAGTAAGTAATATAGCTGAACTCATGCTCGTATTCAATAACTAATGGTTGTTCAAATCCTAGTTTATGTTTGATCATAATTTTTTTTTTAAAGTAATGATGATGACAACATACTAGAACATTAGCTAGAAGCCCCAGCTTGATAAATGGCCATGTTCTGCAAAAGAAATACTAATGTAGCGGAAGACGGATTCATCTGGTAGAAGATAATTACTGTTACTAGTTACGTAGTTACAACATGTTTCAGAATTTCTGCATCTTAATCAGATTTTTGGGAGTAGTTTCAAATCATCATATCAGTCCGAGGTGGTTAGAATTAGAAAAATGTTAATGGGATCTTTTTTGTCAGTAGGATTGATGTGATTGAATATAAGTCAAGAATGTGCGTTTGGTTAATTTTGAGCATATGTCTGATGATTAGAATTATATTATATTTGGGTTTGGCAGCTAAAGCTGAACGGAGCTGGAGCAACTGCAGTTCCAAGCTCAGCCTTCTTCGGGAGCAGCCTCAAGAAGTTGAACGCTTCATTCACCGCCCCAAAGATTTCATCAGGAAGCTTCAAAATCATGGCTGTTGAAGATGGTGATGAAGAAAAGCAAACCAAAGGGGACAGATGGGCCGGACTTTACTACGACATGTCCGACGACCAACAGGACATCACCAGAGGAAAGGGTATGGTGGACACCATCTTCCAAGCCCCTCAAGATGCCGGAACTCACTACGCTGTCCTCAGTTCCTACGAGTACATCTCCCAGGGTCTCCGCACGTAAGTTACTGTAATGAGTTTGAATTCAGTTCATCTGATTGATTGGATTTCTTTTTTTTGGAATAATAATTGGGTTCTCTCAACTTTGTGCAGATACAACTTAGACAACAACATGAACGGTTTGTACATTGCCCCTGCTTTCATGGACAAGCTTGTTATTCACATCACCAAGAACTTCATGGACTTGCCCAACATCAAGGTACAACAAACAATGTAACAAATTACACCTTCTTAATTCTTATTCATTCATTCATTGATTCAACTGATTAGCTAATGGAAAAACCCTGTTTCTTTTTCTTTTTTTTTTTAACACAACAGGTTCCTCTTATTTTGGGTATCTGGGGAGGCAAAGGTCAGGGAAAATCTTTTCAGTGTGAGCTTGTTTTTGCCAAGATGGGAATTAAGTGAGTCGAACACTTTCTCCTATTCTAGTAAAAAGCAGAGCAACTTTTTATAAACTGTGTTTGTGGTGGACTAATGACTTCAATTCAATTTGGAATTATTTCAGCCCAATCATGATGAGTGCCGGAGAATTGGAAAGTGGAAACGCCGGAGAGCCAGCCAAGCTGATCAGGCAAAGGTACAGGGAAGCAGCCGACATCATCAAGAAGGGAAAAATGTGCTGCCTCTTCATCAACGATCTTGATGCCGGAGCGGGTCGTATGGGTGGAACCACCCAATACACCGTCAACAACCAGATGGTGAACGCCACCCTGATGAACATCGCCGACAACCCAACCAACGTCCAGCTCCCCGGAATGTACAACAAGGAAGAGAACGCCCGTGTCCCCATCATCGTCACCGGTAACGATTTCTCCACATTGTACGCCCCTCTCATCCGTGACGGTCGTATGGAGAAATTCTACTGGGCTCCCACCCGTGAAGACCGTATCGGTGTCTGCAAGGGTATTTTCCGCACTGATGGCGTCGCTGATGAAGACATCGTCGTACTCGTCGACACTTTCCCCGGCCAATCTATCGGTAAGCTGTTTCGAAATCATCAAATCCTTTATCCGCCCCTGTTTATGAAATTCAAGCTTTTAAGCCCAGACGAAGGATGTAAACTGAATATAACTCATTGCCGCAGATTTCTTCGGTGCCTTGAGGGCTAGAGTGTACGATGACGAAGTTAGGACTTGGATTGAGGGAGTGGGAGTTGACATGATTGGAAAGAAGCTGGTGAACTCCCGGGAAGGACCCCCGAAATTCGAGCAGCCAAAGATGACACTGCAGAAGCTGTTGGAGTACGGACACATGCTTGTCCAGGAACAAGAGAATGTGAAGAGAGTCCAATTGGCTGACAAGTATTTGAGCGAAGCCGCTCTTGGTGAAGCTAACAAGGATGCTATCGAGAGGGGATCTTTCTACGGTTAGCTTTCTGTCTCCAACCCCCCTAGCTAGAGGCCTTTGATAGGAGGTTTGCTACTTTTGCTAATCTTTCACGATTTTCCGCTTCCACAATGTTTTAGAAATTCTCCTCCTGACATTTTTCAAATTTTTTTTTTCTTTTTGTTTTTTTTCCCTTTTTGGATGAACGAAATCAGGTGCTGCTGCTCAGCAAGTTAAAATTCCAGTTCCTGAAGGATGCACTGACCCGCAAGCTAACAACTTTGATCCCACTGCAAGGAGTGATGATGGATCTTGCTCATACACTGTTTAGGCCTATCTAGCAAAAGTCCAATTGTTGTTAATTAATTATTTGTGTTTTGGTGAATCCCAGCAGGAGTAATAAGCCAAGAGAGTCCAAATTTACTGTTGTTTTCTTTCCTCTGTTTTTTGTTGGATTATTATTGTCCTGTAATTTTGTGTCACTTTGTTGTATACATTACTACTGCTCTTATTCAATTAATTTGAAAGAGTGTGGTTTTCTTTTTATAACTTATTGATCCGTGGTTGATTCCTGTTGGTTAACTGAGTATGCAGCTTAAAATTTTAAGGTTACTGACTTACTGTAGTATATCAGTAGAGATGGGCTCTTCAAAGGAGAAATGCAAATGCCCCCAGTTCACATTATTGCTTTTGGTATGCAGTGGCAGAAACAATGGAACTGCTAATCATTCGTAATACTCTCCTTGAATTTACACCATCAAATATAATTGGAAGATCTAATGCTTAAAAAGAGAGAGCATTAACACCTAGACTAGTTTTTTAGTGACTTCAAGTTTGAAAATCCATCTTGAAAATCATTTTCTTTCACCTCTTTGGCCTTGTTTTAATCTGCACATTTTGCCTCATTTTTACCACCACTTTCTTGCTTCTCCTTCTTAGCTGTTTTCAATCCCTCTGCTTCTGCCTCCTCTGTTTTTTTGGCCTTTGCTTCTTCCTCTGCCTTCAGCCTTGCATCTTCCTTGGCTTGTTCAATAGCTTTAATCAATCTCTCCAGACAAAACTCAGCTCCCTCTCCAAACACTCTAGGCATCAAATTCTCAGCAACATCAGCAGGGGTCATCTTGGTTTCCTCCAGCATAGTCCCAACTCTAGCAAACAACTCATGTGATTCAATCTTCAAATAAATCTTCGCCAGCTCCTTGAACGCTTCAAATCCACAGTAAGACAGCTCTATATGTTTATCCATTCTCCCTCGCCGAATTAAGGCTGGATCGAGCTTTTCAACATAATTTGTCGTGAAAACAATAATCCTTTCCCCTCCACAAGCCGACCATAGCCCATCAATGAAGTTCAAAAGTCCAGAAAGAGTAACTTGACTTCCCTTGTTGTTGTCCTCCAACTTCTTCTTCACCTTGTCTTCTGTTGAGTCCTTTTTCTCCCCATCCTTTTGCTTCTTCTCCCTTTGGCCAGTTAAGTCAAGAGAGCAATCAATATCTTCAATAACAATGATGGATTTTCCTGATGTATCATTCAGCAATTTCCTCAACTCCGTATTATCCTTCACTGAAGTCAACTCCAGATCATACACATCGTAGTTCAAAAGATTAGCCATGGCAGCGATCATGGTTGACTTACCTGTTCCTGGAGGACCATAAAGGAGATAACCCCTCTTCCAGGCCTTACCGATTTCAGCATAATAATCTTTGGCCTTACTGAAATTGATCAAATCATCAACAATCTCTTGCTTCTTGTTAGGCTCCATCGCCAGAGTATCAAATGTTGCTGGATGTTGAAATGTGATATAGCTCCACATGCTCTTGCCAGGCCCAACCCTTTCACTCTTGTTGTTAGTATACAGTTTCCGTCGCCTCTCCTTAACCATAATCTCCTCCCCAACATCCAAAACCTGTCTCAAATATGTCTCGGTTATGACTTCCCTATGCCTTTTATGAAAAGTGAGAATGAAATGCTTCTTCTCATCTTCTCTGGGATAGAGAGAAATGGACTGCCGATTCGAAACAGTCCGGCTGGAAGCCCACCAAACCTTGATCCCTTGGAAATCATCAGTGACTTCTTCATGGTCCTGCATACTCAGGACAAAGGCTTTTGGATTTGGGACAAAGTTGGCCTTAAGCCGCCTGGCTTGCTGGGAAGAGCTCTGGTCAAGGTATCTTTCAATGGCCTTGTACCCTTTGTTGCGCTGAAAGCTGTCTCCTTCATATTCAGAGAAGGTAATCCGAATATATGGGTTGAAATACCTGGTGATTTTCCTGATGTATCTGGCAATTGGTTGACGGAGTTCGTTGGGGAAATAGTTTCTGTACATGGTGTAAAAGAACAGTAGGGCTGCAATGGAGGAGCCAAAGTTTCCCCATGAATCTCCTATTTTCGCCATCTTCTGTTTCTAGCTACAATAGAGGATATGTGATAAATGGCTGCAGATTTATTGCATTTAAGTAGAGAAATTCGAGTAAATATGTTTAAACAGTATAAGAAGTCCAAACCAGCTTGCTCATTGGGATATTAATAATGACTTTCTTCCAAGCTGCTGACTCATTATTTTTCTTTTTTGAAAGAGACATGTGTTTTATGTTTCTAACTTCCCATTCTCTTTTGACCAGTTGCAGACATAGGACAAATCACGCATAGTGGATCAAGATATCTACTGTTTACTAATTAAACAATTTCATGAGCTCCCTTTCATTACCTAAAAAAAAAAAAAAAAGTTCATGAATGTTCACATTAGGAGAAGCATGATTAAAAGATTGAAATAGCCCTTTAACTTATACTCCCTCCGTTCCATAATTATTGTCCAGTTTAAGTTTCCATTTATAGTTCAAATTGTACTAAAAGTGAAATCTTAAACTGGACAATAATTTTGGGACAGAGGGTGTATAAACAAAGAAATTGAACGATGATGACTTCCGAGTTGGTAGAAGTAGCACCATGGTTTGATCGACGTGGTGAAGTTTTGACCAATAATGGTGTAATAAATGGCTGGTCTCTATTGTAAAGTATTCAAAAGGGGGAATGGATAATGACATATATTGATATCACAAAAGACATATGACTTTAGTGAATCCCATATATATTCAGTTAAAGTGTAAATTTTGTCTTTCTAATATTGGCTTTGATTTTTGCCTCCAGAAGAATGATTTGCTTTCGAACTTAAAATGTGTTCACTCGAAAATTGGCTTTGATTTTTGCCTCCAGAAAATTGAAAAATGGATCTGATAGCCGATGGGCCTGATTTTTCCAAGTGGAAAGGATTAACTTCCCCGGAAGGCCAGTACCACTAACCCGATACAACTTTCATTCAACCAAAGCTTCCTGGGCCTTTCTTGAGAAGCCTTTAATTATTGATAATTAATTTAATAATTCTTGGTAAATCCCAGCATGATTATCATCATTTATCAACTACCAAACCGAAAAAAGTCCTTTTTTTTCCTCGGTTGAACATATCGATTTATGGGTGATTTTTCTTGGTTTTTCTTCATTATGCAGCATGAAAGTTTTATGGTTCTGGTCGATTATGAGCACAGACGAGCTCTTCAATTGTGCAAGTCAAATGACAAATTGATGATACCAAGTACTTTTGGTATTGAGGGACAAGAATGAAACTGCAAATCATCAACTTTTTTCCCATTCTGCGCGTTTCAATTAGAAAAAGCAACACTGAAAACAACTATTCTTATTACTTTAAAGGAAAGGGGCGTTTCCTGGGGAGAAATATGACTTCATCTTGGTTGCGTCATGGTTGGTTGGTAGCGGCATAGGGGGGTCATGCATGCGAAGTGCGAAGGTTACAAAAATAAGCAATAATAGAGTCATATCTCCATATACTCCTTGGCCTCATTTTAATCATCCAATTTGTAAACTTACAAAAATAAATGCATTGGCTTGGAAAAAGGTAAACCAAGTTTTTTTTCTAGTGTTAAACAAGAATATGGTTTAGATGTTTTGATATTATTTGAACTTTGGGTGTCACAAGGTTGGCACTTATTAAGCATTTATATATTACTATATTAGAAATAAAAATCACACTTAAGATGAAGCACCACCATTTGCCATGTGGCATTTCCACATCATATTTTTAAAATAAATTTTTATTTACACATCAGTTTCCTAAACTTAAAAAGTAAATGCAATCCAAATCCACCACCACCTCCTATTTTCGCCAAAACAAAAAAAAAAAACACGACTTCATAAAAACCACAAATCCTCATCTCCATGTCCACGACAATCGACTCCCTAATCAATCCCTTCTCCACAATAAAAAAAAAAAAAAAACAAATTTCTCATCAATCATCAATTGAGAATACGTGGTGAAATATACTTCTTTTCTATTAGGACGTTCAATCTTTTCATTAGTGATGATCAACTACATCCTAATCAGATAAAATTTCGACTTCAAAAAATATTCTCTTTACCTTTTTATATAAACACAAAGGAAAAAAAAAATTCTCATTGATGTTACTTTCGGCCGTTGTGGTGGTGCCGTTACAGATATTAAAATTTAAATGATTTTATATCCACAGATCATTTGTACGGCTTTTATTATTTTTTATTTTTTCCGTTCAAGAATAGTGTTATTTATATTATTTTTATGCGTCCACCCGTTACAGCTACCGTAGCCGTTGCCAGGTAATATGATGTGATTTCTTATATGGTTAGTCAGCTTAGAATTTTTGTATGATTTTAGTTCTGTTTGAATTGAATTGATCAATTGGGTTTTTGTCACAAAGTGTGATTTTTTTAATTTCTTTTTATGTTTTATTCATTTAGAGTGGTTTTTCTTTTTTAAATTATGCAGTCTCAGTTTTTTTTTCATATATGGTCAGTTATGAATTGTGTTTTTTCTTTATTTAATTGCTTTTGATTTTGTTTCATACTCCCAGTTGAACAATTATTATTATTATTATTATTATTATTTTTGCAAATGAAGCGCGTTTTTTTGTGTTCGGACTTTCAAGAATATACTTTTTTGGATTTGGTTTTTGGACTTTTTTAAAATACTCATTATATAAATAGTTCAGGTCGCTTATTCTAACTAATTTATGGGGAAGCCTTTTATGAATTTGAGGTGGAGAGGGAAGGAATGATGTTTCTACGTTTATTTGTGTTTTTATACATCATTTTTACCTACATGAAAAAAAATTTCTCAATTTTTAATGGACTGTTTTACTTTTCTTTTTTTTTATTTGCCATGGTGCGGTGAGTTCTTTTTTACTATAACTTGAAACCTATGCAAATTTACATTAATTTTCATTCTCATATTTGTGATCAACCAGTTTCAACAATTAATCAGTTTTAAGATCATATTTTTGATATTTTACTAGTTATAAGCCTTTGGAAGAAACAGTTCCAACAATTAAACGTATACCCTTCGGAGGAAGCTTACTACAAAGCTATTATAAATCTCCAAAACCAAGTATTGATTTGACACGACAAATGGAGAACATCAATAAATAATCTTACTAATATTTAAACTTATTAGGATGCTTTTATATTTTGTCTAACATTTACTTCAAGAAATATACTTGATCAAGTTTATTTATATTTAATAAGTAATACTTATAAAATATTTCTAAAATATTCAAACATTTCTAAAACGTACGGCCCGAATACACTTTCTTTTTTTGCCAAATACAAACATTTCTATGATCACACTTATAAAACATTTCTAAATTCTTCAAACATTTCTAAAATATATCGGGCCAAATGCAAAATATATATTTTTCAAATACAAACATTTCTAAGATCTACAGATATATTGGGCCAGGGTCGCGCATTAGACATCACTAGTTTATAAAAGAATCATACAAAGGTAACAATAAACAGCTGCTTTCACACAAAAAAAAAAAAAAAAGAAAAGAGAAAAAAGAAGGAAGAATTTTTTTTAAAAAAAAAAAAAAAAAACAGAAGGAATGATCCGAAGACTTTGTAAAAAGGGAAAATAAACTCCTACTCAATTTAAGAGGAAAAAAAAGAAGAAGAGATTAGAAACAGATTAAAGATCCACGACTTAAGAAACGAAAAGAAAATGTAGTCGGAACGACTTTAGTTGTAGAAAGAAGAAAATAAGTCGGTCTCTCCGTCGATAGCCAAATTTCTGACCGGAATCCTCTACTTCAAATTATCGTCGGTACTTCGTGGGTTCTCTATTTCAGCCTTCAATCTTTCTCTCCTTCTTCCTCTGCCTTCTTGGATTTTGCTCTTCTTCTGTTTTTTTTTTTTTGTTTCTTCCTCTACTTTCAATCTTGCATCTTCCTTTGGCTTGCTCAAGGGCTTTAATCAATCTCTCCAAACAAACATCAGCTCCCTCTTTAAACGACTTAGGCATCAGATTCTCAGCAACATTAGCAGCGGTCATCTTGGTTTCCCCAAACATATTCCCAATTTTACCAAACAAATCATGAGATTCGATGTATATTTTGGCCAACTCCTTGTACTCTTCGAATCCACAGTAACATAATTCTATATGTTTATCCATTCTTCTTCGCCGAATCAGAGCTGGATCCAGTTTTTCGACGTGGTTAGTTGTAAAGACAATAATCCTTTCTCCCCCACAGGCTGACCAGAGCCCATCAATGAAGTTCAAAATTTTTTAAAAAAGAGAATCTCTGTCTCTTTTTTCTTTTATTTTCGTGATAACCATTTGCAATAAGAGTTTCCTCTTGCACATTTTCAGTTCTGACAACATAATTTTACATCAAAACGAACAAACACAAAATAAACAAACCGGGAAGTGGGCAAAGTTATTAGAGTAACTATTGATTTCCGAATAAATAGAAAAAATTGAAACTAAATCAATTAAAAGCTGGCTCAATCAGTGAATGTTAATATTCACTTCAGAACTTAATAAACGAAGAAACAAAAAGACAGGAACTTTTCACAACCCAACTCAAAGTCTCCTGAATTCAGGGAACAAAATAACGCGCACCAGTTTGATATCTGCTGCAGGAGCCGAATTTGGAGGATATAATTTCAGTCCCGCAAGAAGGTGGGCAATGCCAGTGGCAGCGCCGGCAAAACGCGATCGCCGGACAGTACTCGAAGATGCGGTGGGTTTTCAGATCTCGGCGAGTTTAGGGGTGATCTGGCGCAATGCCGCCGATGGACGACACCGGTCGCCGGTCTGCAGCTATTGGACAGAATCAAATTTCAAATTTTGTGAAGGGTACTTTTTTTTGGGGATTTATCCCGCCGATGGGACCCCAGCCGGTGGTGGTGGATCTTCAATTTTGGAGAAAGGGGTTTAAAAATTGGGAATATTTTTGAACATTCTAGCCACGATTGTTTATACTAATAAATTATTTCCATATTTATTACTTTCCAGCTTCCTGAATTCGGAATTTTTCTAACATCCATTGTGCGGATTGCATAGAGGCCATTGATCTACATCAATCAAACATAATTTAAGAAATTTCCCATTCGAATGAGCAACAGATGCTGGAACTACCTACAATGAAACAGCAAATTTGCAATTTTGCACTATCAACTAAAACAGGGAGAACTAGAATTTTAAATAGCAGAAATTAGGGAGTAAGACAGACTACTAAACAGATCACACCTAAATTTGGAGAATTTCAATCTAACTTCAAATTCCTCCATGGCCGCTGCTTCCATTTTCTTTAGCCTCCTCTGTCTTGTTTTCATCTGTGCTTTTTGCCTCATTGTCACCAGTACTTTCTAGCTTCTCTTTCTCGGCCTTTAATCTTTTTTCTTCCTCTTCTTCCTCTTCCTTTTTAGCCTTTGCTTCTTCCTCTTCCTTCTTAGCCTTTGCTTCTTCCTCTGCCTTCAACCTTGCATCTTCCTTGGCTTTCTCAATGGCCTTAACCAATCTGTCCAGACAATATTCAGCATCCTCTCTCGGAGACTTGGGCATCATATTTTCAGCAACATCGGCTGGCGTGATCTTGGTTTCCTCCAGCATTTTCCCAACTGTACCAAACAGGTCATGTGATTCAATATTCAAATAAATCTTCGCCAACTCTTTGAAGGCTTCAAATCCGCAATAAGATAGCTCAATATGTTTATCCATCCTTCCCCGCCGTATGAGAGCAGGGTCAAGCTTTTCCACGTAATTGGTTGTGAACACAATGATCCTTTCTCCTCCACAAGCTGACCATAGCCCATCGATAAAGTTCAAGAGTCCCGAAAGAGTGACTTCGCTGCTCTTTTTATCCTCCATTCTCTTCTTCATCTTTTCCTCAATTGATTCCTTGTCATCCTTCTCTTTTTCATCACTTTTCTCCTTTTTCTTCTCCCTTTGGCCAGTCAGATCAAGAGAGCAATCGATATCCTCAATGACAATGATGGACTTGCTTGATGTATCGATCAGCAACTTCCTCAGCTCTGTATTATCCTTCACTGAAGTCAGCTCCAAATCATAAACATCATAGTTCAAGAGATTAGCCATGGCGGCGATCATGGTGGACTTCCCTGTTCCAGGAGGACCATAAAGGAGATAACCCCGTTTCCAGGCCTTACCAACTTTAGCATAATAATCTTTAGCCTTACTGAAATTGATCAAATCATCAACAATCTCCTGCTTCTTCTTGGGTTCCATAGCCAGAGTATCAAATGTTGCTGGATGCTCAAAAGTGATATGGCTCCACATGGTCCTCCTATACCCAACCCAGCTCTCACTCTTGTTGTTAGTATAAAGCTTTCTACGCCTCTCCTTTACAGTAATCTCCTTCCCCTGATCCAAAACATGTTTTAAGTATGTTTTGGTTATAACTTCCCTGTGCTTTTTATGAAAGGAGACGGTGAAATACCTCTTCTCATCTTCTCTGGGGTAGAAAGAGATGGATTGCCGGTTAGGCATGTCCTGGTTTGAAGCCCACCAAAGCTTAATCCCCTGAAACTCATCAGTGACTTCTTCATGATCCTGCATACTCAGGACAATGGATTCCGAGTCTTGGGCAACCGAGGCCTTGAGTCGCCTGGCTTGATTAGAAGAATTCTTGTCAAGGTATCTTTCGATGGCCATGTAAGCTTTGCTTCGCTGGAAACTATCTCCTTGATATTCAGAGAAGGAGATGTGGATATATGGGTAGAAATACCTTTTGAATTTCTGGGTGTATCTTCTAATCTGGCCGCGAAGCTCATAGGGGAAGTAGTTTTGGTACATGGTGTAAATGAACATGATGGCAGCCATGGCTGAGCCTAAGCTTCCCCACATTTCTCCCATATTCATCATCTTTCTTTTCTTCCTTTTTCCCCCCCTGTTCTAGCTAAGAGCAATTGTAGCACCCCAGATTTCAGACCCCCTTTAAGAAGAGAAATGGGATTATAATAAGTCCAAACTTGCAGATTAAGATAGAGAAACTATCTTCCCAGAAGCTGCATCAATTGCATCCTAAAGGACAAGAAAACAACATCATTTCTCTTCTCTGAAAGTAACGTTTTCAGGTTGTCTTTTTCGCTCTGTTTTTTAGTCTTTTATTGGGGAGATTGCATGGATTTTTGTAAATATGATGTCGGTTAGATGAATCAAAAGGGTAGGAATTGAGGCGATGGAGCACGCCTCTAATAGTTTATTCATCAGGACCTCGTGTGTGTTCACACTGATCACACATGGAAGCTTCATTTTTTGAAAAATTGAAACAGCTAAGAGAGGGAAATAAAGAATAAAATCTACGGCTGAGGCGTTTTCTGTGGGGGTGGTATACCATGAGTATGATGACTTCATCCAGCTTGCGTCATATGGTTGTTAGAGAGTTACACAGGAATTGGATGTGGTTAAATGAAGTAATAATAAAGTAAAAGAAAAATTTATATATATATATATATATATATATATTACTTGATGGTCACTCCTGTGCACAACTGGACTATTCAAAAGTAGACTGGATGATGTCATGATGAATAAGAATATAAGACGTGGACATTTTGACTACAGGTGAAGCTCAAATATGAAATATGAACAGGTGTTTTTTCCATTCTTTTCTTCTTGCATGAGTACATTAATGTTTTTGGAGAGTACAAAACTTCCTTGATTGGAAGAGGTGTGCTTAGTTTTTTATCCAAACTATTATCTGGTAGGATTAATATGCTTCAGAAATTACCTTGAGAAACATCAATTTGGTTGGTTTTGATTACGACTTAAATAAAAAGCAGGGATTGAAGCTCTCATTAAGTTCCAGTTCCTGAAGCATATGGCTGAAGGACTAATAAACCATAAAAAGCTAGTGAACTTGCAGTTTCCTGAAATTGAAAATGACCCTATTGTTTGTTCCCCTTGGGAGTGGAGTCAGTTAGTCATTGGGCTCATTAAAAAGCCACAAACTGTTTGTTTTTACAGGGGCCAACTGGGCAGGTCAAGCAAATTGAGATGAAAGTTTAAAAAACAAAAATGAAGGCCCAAAATGAATATACCAAAGAACCATTAAGAAGAAGAATTTACAATTCGTATATCCCCGCCTGAAAACTTAAAAAGACGTTGGAAACTTTTTTCCACTAAGAAAATTGAAATGCGTTTATTACTCCTTTCATCCTAAAATGTACTCCCTCCGTCCTATAATTATTGTTCAGTTTAGGTTTTCATTTTTAATTCTAATTGTACTAAAAGTGAAATATCAAATTGGACAATAATTTTGGGACAGAAAGAATACATTATTATCTAGTTTGGATTTTCATTCTTAGTGCAAATTATACTGAAAGTAAAAATCCAAATTGGGTACTTTTCGGAGAGTGAGAATACATCGTACATGTTTTATCATTCGCAAATTGATTGTTATATTTGTTTTACTGAGACAAAAAGAGGAACAATTGAATGGATTTTTTTTCATATACTAATTATCCTATACAGCACCTTAAATCTTATAGGGGGAAATCATTGTACGATCTCAGAGTCTTACTCAAAATGTCTCCGTAGCCACAAAAAAAAAAAAGGGGTATTTGACCAAGTCTTCTTACAAACCTCATTATGATTATGATATCCACGTTCTTCTGGGGGCTAGGTCAATTACCCAAACAATTGTAAATAGGCCAATCTATATCTATATCGTTATACTCCTAAGTCATTTTGATTTCGTCTTAAATTTCACATAAAATATCTTTTTAATTAGAAAAAAATCTTAAAAATATATTTTCACATTCGTTGTATTCTCATAATTATTATTGAATATTTTTAAAACTTTTATTTCAATAAAAAAGACATCCTAGATGAAAGATAGGACGAAACCAAAATGCCTTATAATAAGGATCGGAGAGAGTATATATTAAAAGAGAGTTTTCAATCGGACACATAGCGCAAATTTAGATAAGTTAATCCGCGTAACGAAAAATTAGATATCTAAGTCCACATGCCACAACCACATTACTCTATCATTTAATAATAATTTATTAATATAATATTATAAATTTACCGATAAAAACTAATTAATTGGGAAATTTTCCAAAACCAATCCAAAAATAACCCAAAACAAAGCACCCGTCATCAAATGACACTGAACAATCACTTACTACACTAATGATTTTTCTGGCGAATTCAATTCTATAGAATCTCATGCAAAATAACCACATATCTCCAATTAATCCAAAAATAACCTAATTCACCAATCAAGATTGGTTGGAGTAAATTAATTTTAATATAATAATTAACTAAGAGATTACCTACTAACAGTAAATTTTAATGGTAAAAAGAAAAGTGACCAAAAAAAAACTTCAAACTAATAAATTCAATAACCAACTAAATTAAAAATCAAAAAAATAATTTGATGTTTTTCTTTTTAAAAATAAAACCCGACAGCCATGACGAGAAAAAATAATTTACTGATCAAAATTGATTGATATAGTTATGTGTTAAACTGTAACCATTAGTCGTTTTTTTCTTTTTTATTTCTTAATGTATAGGTTTTTATTTCAATTGGTGGTATTTTTATTGTAAAATTTTTAATGCTAATATATTTTTTGCTTCTTAACGGGCAATACCAATACAACGAGTACTATTGATTATGTTGTGTAAAAATTGTTAGAAAAAATAATAATAATACTAATAGGATAAGTATATATTAATTGGCCAAGGTTCTTCGATTGTAAATTTTTCTAATGATAATATATTTTTTTCTCCTTAATATGCAATACTAATAAATTATTATCATTGATTACTATGTAAAAATTACAAAAACTAATAATAATAATGCTAATGATAAAATCATATATTATTTGTCCAGACTTTTAATAATATAATAATATATATTATACATTATAAAATAATACAATAAATGATTACTAATAAAATGTCATAATATAATATATTCATTATATTTTTTCATGTAGTATAATAGTAGAAAAGGTTAAAATAACGATGATTCATAAAACAAAACATAGAGATCACTAAGGAGAAATTTTTCCGAAATTAAAAAAAGAGGCAAACATTAAAACAAAAGTATATGAGAAATTAAAAATAATTATATAAATGAAAAAAATTATGTAAAAGATAAGAAAATACCAAAAGAAAAATCCAAGATAATTTTGAAAATGAAACATCATTACAAAATTTTCAAGAAATGAAGCTTTAAAGAGAGATCATTAAATTTTAATTTTTTTTTTTAAAAAAGGTGAAGACTATGCAACCAAAAAAATAAATAAAGTAAACATTATATTATAAGAAAAATGTACGAACAAATTTTGAAAGGTTGCAAAAGAAATATAGAGAGATATAAAATAAATATAAGCTTATGGAAACAAATAATTAGAAAATTTTCTATTATAGAGAGAGTTTGAAAGATATGACACAAGTAAAAATATTTAGAGTAATCATTATAAAAAATTAAGAGAATACTTTTAAAAGATATAAATTAATAAATCAATAAAACGAAAAAATATGAACAATAAGTTACATCTGATGATTTCAAATATTTAAAATAATTCTAAATGTACTTAAAATAACTAAACACATTGACGTTAAAAATTAAATAATTACAATTAAATTTATATCATTAATATTTTTGTACATATATCCCTCCGTCGGAAATGGCATAAAATCGTTAAATCATTAAGCTAATATATATATATTAAACAACCCGCACAACGTGCAGGGTAAACCCTAGTATATATATTAAAGCAGAGTTCTTAATCGACACGTGTCACCCATGGAGCAAGTTTAGCTAATTGTACCACATGTCATCACCAAAGTTCTCCTTCATTAAAAGGTTAAAAGTTTACTACTAATACGTAAAATTATTAAATTGAATTAAGTAATTACCTAAAAGTTAATTTCGGAAAAATAAACACGCTTTTGGTGATTATTGACAAATATATGACATAATAAAATATTAATCATCAAATTAATAATAGTATTAAGAATACAGTTTGCAACTAAGTCTGAACACATTAAATGTAAGTTAATATTAGTTTTCAGATGATTCTGTTTGATATATTTTTAAAGATTAGATATTAGTTACAAAAAAAAAAGATTGTTACCAAATAACTATATTACGAATAGAATTCAAAACCAAGTCTACCTACATTACAAGTATGTTAATACTATTTCTTAGATAATTGATATATTTTTCATAAATAAAAAGAGACTATTTACCAAAACGAAGAGATTATTTACCAAATAATTATACGAGTACAATTCAAAACTAAGTTTGGATACATTAAACATAAGTTGATAATATTTTTTTGATGATTTTATTTGATATATTTTTCAAAAATAAAAATAAATTAGTTACCAAAGAATTATACTGCGATACAATACGAAACTAAGTCTGGATAAATTAAACGTATATTCATATTATTTTTCATATTATTCCATTTGATATATTTTTTAAAAATAAAAAGAAATTAGTTACTAAATAATTATACTACAATACAATTCGAAATCAAGTCTGTATACACGCAAGATAAGTTAATATTATTTTACAGATGATTCCATTTAATATAGTTTTCAAAAAATAAAAAGAGATTAATTTAAAAAAATAAAAAGAGATTAGTTAAAAATAATTATATTATGAATACAATTTGAAAACCAAGTCTGGATCATTAAATGTAGATTAATATTATTTTTCAAAATATTTTATTTGATATATTTCCAAAAATAAAAAGAGATTAATTACAAAAATAAAGAGATTAGTTACCGAATCATTATCATGTGAATACAATTCAAACTAAGTCTAGATACATTAAATGTATATTAGTATTATTTTAAATGATATTATTTGATATATTTTTCAAATATAAAAAAGTAGTTATCAAAAATATAAAGATTAGTTTCCAAATAATTATATTACGAATATAATTTGAAATCAAGTTTAGATACACCATACATATGCTTATATTATTTTTAAATAATTTCATTTGATATATTTTTTAAAAATAAAAAGAGTTTACTTAAAAAAAACTAAAAAAGCATTAGTTAGCAAATTATTATACTATGTACGTATACATTGGGATCAAGTCTATATCCATTAAACTTGGATTAATATTATTTTTCATGATTCCATTTGAGATATTTTTCTAAAGTAAAAAGAGATTAGTTATAAAATATTATATTATGAATACAATTCGAAACTAAATCTAGATACATTAAATGTAGGTTAAAATTATTTATCAGATTCTTTCATTTGATATATTTTTCAAAAATTAAAAAAAAAAATAGTTATCAAA